GAGGCTCTACCAACTGAGGCTCTACCAACTGAGGCTCTACCAACTGAGGCTCTACCAACTGAGGCTCTACCAACTGAACAAACACCAGTTCAAACTGCTGCGATTGTTCAAGCCACTGCTGAACCGACGGTTGGACCGACGGTAGTCGAACAGACGATAGTAGCGACAACTTCTGCACCGGGTCAAGGGTTGATTTCTGTAATTCCGGTTACACCAGCTGGGTTCATCACGATCACAGAAACAAAGACGCAGACTGAAACTGAGACTGAGACTGAGACTGAGACTGAGACAGTGACTGATCGTGTTACGGAGACTGTTACTGCTACCGTTACGCGAGGTTAGGGGTGTTATTTATTTGATTTGTTTATGAGAAACAATGTGTGAGGTTTAATTTGATCTTAATTTAAATAGCTTAATGCTCCAATGTTCCTTGTGCTCTTTTTGACATACTCGTAAATTCTAGCAATGTGTACTTCGGACCATTTAAGAGATACTTGAATGATATGATATTAGATCTCAATAAATATTTATTCTCCAATAGGTCAACAGATAAAGCTACAACTGGTACATCAGGCCTCCAGCCTCTGCAAATTTCTGCTGATACTCCTTCAAGCTTGCCCACTGACTCAATTCCTCCTGATCACGCTCGTAATCACTAAGATAACTCATGGCGCGACCATTCATCTGCGGACTCACGCTTCCTGCAGAATCAGCCATGGAGGAATGACATTCCAACCTGACAAGAGTCTCAATGAACGCATGTAGATATGATTCTGCTTCTGTGGGCGTGAGGACGAGACCCGGCGTAGATGACGGCAATGGAGTCTCGGTGTGTTTGGGACGAGGAAGACTGAGGAGAGTTGATGCTACTTGGCGGATTTTTCCGGTCTGGGAGAACTGTTAGTGGTTACATGGGAATGTGGGATTGGGCACATACGATGCTGGCACCGTTTGGTTCCATGTTCACTTCGTTCACTGTTCGTAGAAGAACGAAGAGATCTTTGATCACCAGCTTGCGCTCTTCGGCCATCATGTGGCCGATTGTATCTGCCTGGACGTGTGTTTGGGTTTGTGTGGGAGTTGAGGGACTGGTGGAGATTGGGATTGGGATTGTTGTTGGGAAAGAAGGTGAGGTGGGAGTTAGATCTGGGATGCCTTCTTGTTTGATTTGAGGTGTGGTGCTGCCGGGAGCGGTGAATTTGAATGACTTTCCATATCGCGAGAATGTCTCGAACAGACTCCAGTACTTCTCGACTAGATAGGATCGGGTGCATAATTGGCTAGCGTAGATATTGGCTTTCTGGATCTCGTACTGGATGGCACGTCTTTCTTGGTAGATGTGGTCATCGGAGTAACTCAAGACGCCGCCATCTTCGCCAACACCGGACAGGCCTGCAGTGGAGGTCTTGGGATGATGAAGGGAGAGTTCAATGGGGACGTCGAGTAAAGTCGACTTGGCTGCTTTGAGACATCCCCAAAGACTATTGCGTTGGTGCTCCCAGTCGAAAATTTGGCCGCTGCCAAAAGCTATCTCCCAGGATAGGAGGGCGGTATATGAGCTGTAGACGCGAACATTCGCGTTAAAGCCGACTAGCTGTGAGACACGGTCGGACGGCTGTGGCTCAACATGCGATGAAAATAAAAATTCATCATCGACTTCCAGTGGTAGTGGTGGATAACGATGGGTTGGGGTCTCCGGGGGAACGTGGACTTTGATATCAGAATTGCCCATTTGATGTAGCGTTTGATACCCTACGAGGGTAACATAAAATAGCCGCCGACCTAGTTCCTGCGTAATGAGGTCCACCTTTTGGCTTTCCATGAAATTAGGTGGTGGGTAGTCTTGCGAACCTGCCGTGTGTAATGCCGGGCTATTGACTCCCAGTGTCGACGGGGCGGGGGATCGACATAGATCGTAGACCTGAAGCATAACCCGGCATTCTGACAGATAGACCCGACACCGACTCATATTGTAGATGTAGCCTGTACACACGGCCACGAAGTAACTGATCGCTGCATCATAGACCGTGGCGTCACGGTCAAGATACCCAGTACCGCGAGCCTGAATAGCCACGTCCAGACATCGCTTCACCAACGCGATAGAATTGGGGAAAGCAGTGCGCTCTGCTTCAGTGTTTAATCGTAACTTGGGCCTTCGCGGAAAGGACGCGACCAGCAGACCGATCATCGAGGCCAATAGCGCCAAAAAGGTGTGGCTGGTGACATCCTCCCTGCGCTCGAAAGCTGCTCGGAAAGATGGCTCATGGGGAATAGGAACCAATGGATGAATATAAGTAAAGAAGTCATCTAACAGCAGTTGCACTGTGCGCAATGAACATATCGACTCTGCCGACAAGGGAGGCGATGCCAACTGGGTGACTAGCGGCGTTGCCGGGGTCGCCGCAGTTGGCTGTGGGGTTGTCACCAGGGGGTAATCTGCAGGACTCAAGGAAGTCTCTTCGGGTTCACGCTTTTGTTTCTTGAAAGCCTCTGCGTGGCGGTTGGGAGGACCGCGCCGTCTACTGGGTCTTTCATAGGTGCATGGAATCTCCAAGCTAGCGCATGACCGACACGGCGGCCCACCAGTATCACACTTGCATGATCAGTAATGTTTCGCGTTGTCGCCGAGAGAGCCTTTACCTTCACTTTTCGAATACTGCAGGCATCACAGGCCTTGCGAAGCCTGGTTCGCTGGTCCATTGAATTGATTGCGCAGACCTCGGTCAGCTCATATTTCGCGACTTTCAGGGTCTCCAACGCCAAGCCGAAGAAATGCCGGCAGCCGAAACAAACCCAAAGCGATCTCAAAGCTGCAAAGTACTGAATCTCCACAGCTCAACAGGACAAAGGAGAGTTGGGAAGTTCCAAGTGTCGGTTGTAGGTGGGAGATTTGCTAAGCGGGCGCGGATCAGGGAAATCTGGGGAACCGCCGAGGTCCATACGAACTCCAAACGATCACATTAAATTATATTCTAATTGAGATTTGAACTACGAGAAGCACTTTGTACTTTTGTCTGATCTGATCCACTGGACACAGACCAAGGGGTTCCAAGTGAAACATTTCATTGTAGATCCAAGAGCCCTGGATACTAGCAGTGGGTCATGGCATTATATCATCACGGTATTGTTCCCCCAACCGATTGGACTGTTGGTTGGCAGCGCGACGCTTGCGTTCGAGATCAGTCACCCAAAGGGCTGACCCAGCAGCCGTGGTCATCAGGAACAACATGGAGAAAGGCGGGATCAATTGGAGGATCAGAGCAACAGTTCCGAAACTACAGCCGGGATTAGTTCTAGCACTGCAAGGGGGAGAAAAGAGAGGAGAGGAGAGACAAGACTCACGTGGTATACTGCAACTGGCGTCGACTGATACTGTCCTTTCTCTGTTGCTTGGACATGTCCAACAGGTGGAAATAACGCCAGTGGTGGAAGGGACCCGCACGATACCCGGTCAAGACAAGGAACATGGGGGTACCGGCGACCGGTATGAAGATCAGCGGCAGCAGGATAATGAACTCGGCGATCTGTCGGAGCGAAAAGGGAGAATAGATGGCGCTGGTGGTCGGGGTGCCGAGTCGCTTGGCTGGGTCCCCAGGCTCCGGGTAGATAACTCGGGATGTTGTGACGAGCTCCTCTTGACCCTCATTGACCAGCACAGCATCAAAGATATCCACCAGGGTCTCATCCACGAAGAATGCCTCGAAGAGGGCGGCCACGATGGCGGCTCCTTCACCGAGGACTAGGAATGCACCGCTCACCCACGCCGAGGTACCCTGGAAGATGGCGAGGAAGGCAACCTGAGGTAGGTATGTGAAGAAGAACAGAATGAAGTAAATGAATGTCGATAAGAGGACGATAGGAAGGAGGCGGGCCTTGAAGAGGGGCCAGAGGAACCGGTTAGACGCAAAGTAGAAGATGCCCTGGGGTTATGATTAGTTTATAGCTCCTCGCACGAAGGACCAGGAGTACCGACCCGAATCGGGTACAGCCATGCAGCCCGACTAGGATCCCAGACTCGAGACATGGTGAGTTGGGGATGCCTCTTTGGAGAAATCCTGTCACCTGGGAGAAATGCACGCGGAGAGGCCTTATCGATAAGATATCCACACGTGATATGTCACGTGCACTGTGCTATTTTGTTCGAGAAATTTTTCGCCGAGCGCGCTTTTTCTTTTCTTCTTCACATAAACTGAACTCCTCCCTATTCACTCTGAACTTTTCTTTCAATGGAAGTTCTGGAGGGGAAATGGGAGGAAAGACGAACTCTGCTGGCTTACCCCAAACTCTTCTACTCAAGCGTGGAGCGTTTGGAAATATATTCAGCTGTACATTCCCATATCCCAATCCAATATCTTCACCTTTTCAAATTTTCCTTGTGCTTCTGAATCTCCTGGACAACCTGCTCCAGACTGTGCACCGTAGCCGTGGGCCGTAGATCCGGACTGGCAGCATCTTTCCATCCGCCGCCTTCACGATCAACCCAAATCGCCTGCATCCCCGTACTTCGCGCACCCACCACATCGAACGGATTCCCACTCACGAGCCATATGTTGTTCATCGTGGTAGGATCCCTACCCATCTTCCGGGCCAGATGCTGGTAGCAGGCTCGAGCGGGCTTGTACTGCTGTATCTCATCTACGGTGATCACATCTTGGAAGGTACTGGCGTGCGGCGACAGATCCTCAGACCGCAGCACCGAGTTTGAGACCATTGACTTGGTGCCGTTGGAGAATACCACTGCTTGGATGCTGAGGTCTGAGGCTATGCGGGTTAAGGTTGGTTTCACGTCGGCGAATGTCGAGAGATTGTCGTAGGCGCGCATCACCTGTTCCATGTCGTCGTCGCTGAGTCTGGTCTTGTAGTCGGCTAGAGTGTGTAAGAGCGAATTTTGTGTGATTGTCGAGAAATCTTCGTAGCGTTCTGTTGGCCGTCAGAGGTTGAATAGGGGTCAACCTTGGGAAAAATTGTGCGTACCCATGCTGTTCAATCTCCATGTATACTCCAGTTGATATCGTCGCCAGAGTGCGGAGATTGAATGCGCCTGGGCATGATCGAAATGTTTCTCCAATTGGTTGACGATGGATTCCGTAGACAACAGAGTGCCATATAGATCGAAAGCCACTATAGTTTCCATGTTTGAGATGATATCACAGAGAATTGAAAGAAAGAAAAGAGTCGAAGGCGGAACAATTGACGATGATGTCAGTGTTTCGTGTCGACTTCACCTTTTCAACACAATGGAAAACTACGAAATCTTCCGAGAATGTCTGTCCAACGCCCTAGTGACACGATCAGAAAAGCCCAAAAAGAAAGGCAAACGAAAAGAAGTAGTCGAACGAACAGACCCTGAAGAGCTGGCCGAGTTCGTGGATGTACATCTCTCCAATCCCATAACATATACACGCTAAAAAGACAAGCAGTTCCTCGCCTCAGAAACATTCACCACCTTCCCACCTCCCCTCCAAACACTCACCTACGCCACTCTCCAACACAACCCATCACTGTCCATCTACGTCCCAGACGACACCGGTCTCCCCCGCCACACCCTGGAAAGCATCTGCTCCCCGATCCCCGTCAGCGTCTCGGACACACTAGCAGTGTACGGGATTATTCCCGAGCCAGCGGATGTGGTGGATTTTCTCTCCCCGGTGCTGACGGAGTATACGACGAGTGTGACGACAGGACCGCCTGTGTGGGCGAGTACGCGGGCGGAGGCGTGTGAGATCTGCGAGCGGGACTGGATCCCGTTGTCGTATCACCATTTGATTCCGCGGGGGGTACATGCGAAGGTACTCAAGAGGGGGTGGCATGATGAATGGACGTTGAATAGTGTTGCGTGGTTGTGTCGGGCGTGTCATAGTTTTGTGCATCGGATGGCGAGTAATGAGGAGTTGGCGCGGGAGTGGTTTACCATTGAAAGGATCTGTGAGAGGGAGGATGTGATGGATTGGGCGAAGTGGGTTGGCAGGGTGCGGTGGAAGGCGAAGTAGCTGTACAGTAAATAGTAACTCTGGTATAGATGATAATGCTCTCGTGGATTTATTTACAAGGTCATGACAGAGTGGATTTTCTTCATGTACATGTGCTGCAACATCGCCATTACATAGATTCAGATGCAATAACGCCCTGAATGCAGATCTCTCAGAGAAAATATGATACAAGTGTTGGGTCAATAGACCCGCAAATAATACAGGTGATCGTCAAGTCAATCACAGATATCGCTTCTCGAAGATCTCGTCGTAGCACTGGATGCGGTCACCAACAGCAAAGTCGGCCCAGTCTTCGAATCCGATACCGCACTCCGTGTCTTTACGCATTTCGGTAACGTCCTTCTTGACGTTTTTGAGGGAGGTGATAGTACCTGGGAGAGTTAGCAACGTTCAAAGCGAATCGATGTGCATGCTTACCATCGTATAATGTTTCCTCCCCACGAAGCACCCGGACCTTACGGGCTTTGTTGATCATACCGTTGCGCACACGGGATCCCGCAATAGACACCTTCTCGCGTCCTTTGACGGTGATTTCGAAGATCTCACGGATCTCGGCTTCTCCGGTGACGCGAGTGGTGACAGTTGGGGGCAAGAGGTCGCTCAGAACCCGTTTCACATCATCTGTCAGTTTGTAGATGATATTGTGGTCCATGATTTCGACTCCCTCAGTCTCGGCCATGCGCATCATTTGAGGATCGATAGGTTGGTTGAATGAGATAATTCGGCCCTTGGCGGTGGCAGCGTGTTCAATGTCGAATTCACTGATGGGTCCAACGCCTGAACGAAGAACGTTGGCGTACACCTCGTTGTTTCCAACTGCGGCGACTGAGTTCATGACAGCCTCGGCAGATCCACCCACGTCGGCCTTGAGGATGAAGTTAACTGCCTTGGGCCCCGTGGGCTCTTCGCGCTTGCGAGCAGCCTCCTCTTCTTCGCTTTCATTCTCCAGTCTGCGCTTTTCGGCAATCTCACGACGGGCATCGTTGATAGCAGCCATATCAATTCCCATCTTCTGGGTATCAGATCTCTCCATCCGGTACTCAATCACATCCTTGGCTTTCTGTTCGGTTGGTGCCTGGAGAATCTCAGTGCCAGCACCTGGCTGTTCTCTCCAGCCATCAATCTCGACGGGCATTCCAGGTGTGGCTTCATCGATGGCTACACCAGCTTCGTTGCGGAGCGTGCGGACACGAGCCCACGCCGTACCGGCGACAATGATATCACCTGGTCGAAGGGTTCCACGTCTGATCAGAGCAGATGCCACACGACCGTAGCTCTTTGTGGAAGCCTCGATGACCCAGCCCTCCACATTGCAGGTGGTGTCTGCGCGGTGATCAAGCATCTCAGAGAGCGCAATGATGGCATCTTCCAACTCCAGCATTCCGACTCCGGTCTTGCCACTCACTCCGATCGCTTGCACGTCACCGCCAAAGTCTTCAACATGAACACCATGGGCGGACAGATCACTCTTGACTTTGTCGGGGTTCTTGCCTTCTTTGTCGATCTTGCTGATAGCGACAATGACAGGGACATTGGCTGAGTTGGCATGCTTGATAGCTTCAATCGTCTGCGGCTTGACACTGTCATCCGCAGCCACAACTAGCACCACAATATCAGTCACATCCGCACCTCGGCGGCGCATTTCCAAAAAGGCAGAGTGACCAGGGGTATCCAAGAAAGTGATGGCCTTGCCCCCAGGCATATTCACAGAGAATGCACCAATGTGCTGGGTGATACCACCATGCTCAGAGGCCGCCACAGAGGACTTGCGCAGCCAGTCCAAAATGGTAGTTTTTCCATGATCAACATGACCCATGATAGTCACCACGGGAGGCCGTGAAGGTAGATTGGAGGTATCCTCCGGTACGGGAGCAGCTTCCAGGTCATTTCCGCCATCATCAAAGATAGCTTCATAATTATACTCAGCTGCGACCAGCCCGGCAGTCTCTGCATCCAGAATGTCTTTGTATGTAATCTCCTCAAAGCCCATCTCCTCCATACGGCTCACAAACTGCGCTGGCTTGACACCAATCACATCAGCCAAGTTGCTGACACTGATGAACTCAGGGAGATAGAGAGGGGCGGGTTCTGCCTTTTTCGAAGCCTTTCGCGCTGCCTTGGCTTTCTGCTGTTGCTTGCGTTCGTTACGGAGACGATCTCGCGCCTCCGCGTCAAAGTCGCCCTTTTCAAAGTCGGATTCGCGTCCCTTGCGTCCATCAGCACGTTTCGACTTTTTCCCCGGCTGCGTTTGTTCCGTGGCTTCAAAGTCTAGACTTTCAAGCTTATCCAGTGCGGAGATATCCCAGGGTACAGTTGGCTTTTGAGGGGTGTCATCTGCCTCGGTGGCATTGGCGTTTCTGGCGCCTCCGCGGTTGTTTCTGTGGTCGAGATCCACGTCCTCGTCGAATTCGGATAGCACAGATCTACCCAACTCCTGCAGTTTGCTTTCATTTGGTTGATTCCGTTGGCCAAATTCTGCTGGCCGTTCTGTTTTGCAGAATGGGCACTTAACCTTGTATGATAGAACTGGGGCCATGCATGAAGGGCAACTCCACTCATCGGCGTTTCTTGGGCGGTGACCCACAGATTTCGCGCCATTTCTACCTAAGGACCTCAAATCTGGCTCGGGTTGGGTAGATGGTTCCGGCGCCAGGAAGGGATTCTCTTCAAAAACATCGTTCTGCCGGAACGAATTGCGGTTTTGGAATGGATTGCGGTCTTGGAAAGAGTTGCGGTCTTGTGGATTGCGATCCCGATAATTGTTGCGCTCTCGGTAAGAGCCACGCTGCTGGAAAGGATTCTGCTCTTGATCTCCATAAGCATCCGAGTGTTTGGAAGGAGGTGGATCCTTGAAGGGATTTGGCTCGTAGAGCTCTTTTCTGTTCGGTGTGCGCGCCCTTCCTGACATTGGTGGTCTTTCCCGTTGATTCCCGTAACCACCACGACCCGGTCCTCTCTCCTGGTTCGACTGTCCCCATTGGCGGGCCTGGGGAGGGGGAGGTTGACTGCTCGCGACGATTTTGTCGCGCATTGCTTGTTCCGCCGCACTTAATCCGGGTACTTTCTGGGCTGTTCGCTGGGGGCCTGGCTTTGCCCATCTGCTTTGCGGAGTGGGAGGAGGTGGCGGAGATGCGGCGACCATTGAATCTCGCATGGCTTGTTCTGCGGCGCTCAAGGCTGGTTTCTGGGTTGTGGCTTTGGGGGCCCATCGACTGCCGAACTTCGGCTTTGCCGGGGTTGTGTCGGATGGAGGGACATCGTTGTTTCCTGATTCGGAGGAGTTTAGGCGGATTGTAGAGGTTCGTAGGGTCCGTCGTATTGTCAGCGCTGTTGACGAGGGAACTAGACAGGCTGAACTAGGCCACTCAGCCCGTCGCGACACCTGTCCATGGTATTAGAGACACTCTGGTTGAAATCAGTATTCCACTTACTTTGCAGACTGAACGGCGAAGCATCATTCACTGGTTGTTCAGGAACAGTGAGCATCGAGACTTAGATGCTTGACCGGGATATTGTTAGTCCGGACATCTGGCAAAATCTCCGATTTCTCCGTATACTTCGACTTGAATGCTCTCAATACTTACGAGGATTATGCAAAGACTGATCGAATTATCTCCTAGCATATTTCTATGTGTGCTGGTATTTCAATATACTAATCACAATATACTAATTATACCTACAACGTTAGAAAATCCCAATATCACTCAATCACCAACTATCAAATGTCTGTAAATGTCACTACAAATGTACCGTGAAATATCTTCTAATAAGTAGGTAACTTGAGTCTACCAAATTCGAAGAGTGCCATAACTAAGTAGTAACTACTAGTAGTAACTGTCCCAACGACGTAATGAAATCGACGAGGCCCTATTGTGGGTAAAAGGGCATAAGTGGGCTTATGACGCAAAGAGGGCACGGCGACAGATTTTGGTGTTTTACTTAAGTAAAACTAGTACGAGATCGGAGAGATTTCTACAGAAATACTATTCATTGTGATCTTTGCTGTTTAATTCCCTTTTGTTTTCTCTAATTTGTGTATACTCCTGCGAGCCTATACATTTGCGAGTCAAGTTGGACCCGCACCGTCATTGGCTAAAATTTTACTGCCGTCACACACCCCTCGTTTTCGAGATCTCTCTTGACTCTCTCTTTCTTCAACAACGGCATTTTGCCCTTTGGATTCTGTGTATTAGCGTCTTTCTGTGAACGCGCACCCTGAACAGGCGCATTCGTTCTCTTTTTTTTTGGACACACGCGACACCTCCAACCGCCACCATGCCTCCCAAGAAGCAGCAAAATGAGCCGAAGAAGAAGAAGGCCACCGTTGAGGATAAGACTGTGAGTGATGCTCTGCGAGACAATTTTTAGTCAATCGCCCCGATCGTCCAGAACTTTTTGACCACCGAGAAAAAAGAACACTGGGCTCGTGGCGTCAGGGTTCGCGAACAGGGCTGACTGGTTCCTTTAGTTCGGTCTGAAAAATAAGAAGGGAGGTGCGGCCAAGAAGCAGATTCAACAGATGAACGCGCAGGCAGCAAGCAACAAGAACGACAGCGAAAAGAAGAAGGAAGCGGATAAGCAGAGACGAGAGGCCGAGAAGAAAGCCCAGGAGCAGGCCAAGAAGGATCAGCTCGAACTCTTCAAACCAGTGCAAGTCCAGAAGGTCGCCTTTGGTGTCGACCCGAAGACAGTGCTGTGTATCTTCTACAAGCAAGGCCACTGTGAGAAGGGCCGCAAGTGCAAATTCTCCCACGACCCCAATGTCGAGCGCAAGGCCGCCAAGAAGGATCTGTACACCGATTCGCGTGATGAGAAGGCCGAGGAAGAGGAAAAGAAACAGAAGGATACTATGGACGACTGGGACGAGGAGAAGCTGCGCAGCGTCGTCCTCAGCAAACATGGAAACCCCCGCACAACCACCGAGAAGGTCTGCAAATTCTTCGTCGAGGCTGTGGAGAACCAGAAATACGGTTGGTTCTGGACCTGTCCGAACGGTGGAAACAAGTGCATGTACAAGCACAGCTTGCCACCTGGGTATGTGTTCCCTTTACCTACAACATTTACTTCAAAACTAACGCACGCGACAGATTCGTTCTGAAGACCAAGGAGCAGCGAGCCGCGGAGAAGGCCCTCAAGGACAAATCGCCATTGAACACCCTCACCCTGGAAGACTGGCTCGACTCAGAGCGTCACAAGCTCACTGGTACCCTCACACCGGTCAACCCGGAGACATTCGCCGCGTGGAAGAAGAGTCGTCTGGACAAGAAGGCTGCCGAGTATCAAGCACAGCAGGCCAAGGACGCCACTGGTCGTACATTGTTCGAGAGTGGCAACTGGGACGAGGAGGACAGCGAGCCCGAGGATGGAGAGGACGAGAGTGGCACATGGAACCTGTCGGTCATGCGCAGGGAAACCGAGAGGCTGCGTGAGCAGAAGGAAGAAGAACGCCTTCTCAAGCTTAACGGAGGAGAGCTTCCCCCAACCATTCCCGAAGCTGTGGGTTGAATACCTGCACATCTTCATGATATTAGAGTCGTGGGCCCTCGAGATCCATCCCTGGCCACTTCGAACTCCCATGTTCAGGTTGCCAGTTCGGATCGCGATGTCGAGTGATCGCTGCAATGGCCCAACCTGCTCTTGCATGCAACCTCGCTCATCGAGGGCTCGGCTGGCCGCCTCGTTGCAGCTTCATACGCCACAAATGTCCGGCGTAGAGCCAAGCAACAAGGCTGGCTGGCCACGGGGGCGTAAAGACAAGTCTTGCGTCCCATGTGACGGAAGAATCAACGGCCGAGATACCTTTTGATAGCACCTTATTTTTTTGTCGGTAGCAAAAAGTTCGTTCGTTCAATGAACATGATGCATTTATTCCTCTTTCCGAAATGCCCTTTAACTTTGGATATCAAGTATACTCTACACTGACATTTCTTCGCTTCTCTACGAAATACACCTGGGCATTATTGGCGCAACCATGATCTATAGCGATGCCTTCGCCCGTAATAGGTTATTCTCAAGCATCAACGCCGTGATATCTTCAGCAACCCCACGAGAAAGCTCGAACCCACGACCTCCAGCACCATACCCATGCACAATGTATCGCTCATCAGCAAGTTTCTCGACCTCGAGTCGCATTCCACCCTCGCGAGCAGGTCGCCGACCAACAATATCCCGAATCACATCGAATTTCCCACCACTCTCCGGCGAGAAAGGGAACCATTTCGTAGCGTTAGCTAGCAATCGCTCTCTGGTCTCCACAGATGGGTTTGGATCCCAATTATGCGGTTCCTTCGTTCCCCCAATGATGGTCCCCCCATCCAAAGGTCGCGGGATACAGAAGGACCATGAACCATCTTGATTCTGTCGCGTAATCGTTTGCGACACAGGGTTACGCACGAGACAAGTTTGCCCTGCATAAATCATCAGCAACCAGTTTCAGCAACACAGGTACACCATACCTCTGATAATGAAAGCCCGGGGATCCTCAATCCCCATCCCAGAACAATTAACCACCGTCTTCACATCCCCCATCGTAAAAGCCTCCTTCAAATTCGCCAACGTATACCGTCTCGTCTCACCACCCTTCAGCACAAACCTCCGCAGTAAATACGCACAGTATACAGGCGAATTCACCACATACGTCCCATACTCAGCTCCCCACACCACACCCTCAGGAACCTCATCCTTACCCAAAGCCCGAAACCCATCTAGATGCGAATATACATTACGCACGCTCTGCGCATCCAGGTACTCCGCCGGTGGTGTCTCGAGGTGCTCGATGCCCTGGATGAATTCGACGCCTGCGCCTGGCTCAACGGTCCGCTTGAGATAGTCGTATGTGCGCTGCGCTTGGTTGGCTTCTTTTAGGGCTTGGGGAGAGGAGCCTGGGACGGGTCTGTAGTGTGCGCCGGCCCAGGGGGAGGCATAGTTCACTGAGGTGTCTGTTGGGAAATCGCGGGCTACGAGGAGGATGGATTGTGCGGGGTTCTGTTGTTGGATGCAGAGGGCGGTGGTTAGACCGATTACTCCGGCGCTGTCTGGTCAGCTGGATCTTTTTGTTGTTTGTGTTGGACTCACCCGACTACCACGATGGACATTGTATACTATAGATCATATAGTTAAGTATAATACTTAGTAGTATAGGCGGGTGTGAGTCAGTCCGGGGTAAGCCGATAAGCCCCGCGATCAGATGATATGCCATTGCTGCGGGTTGAGTTTAGTTCTTTTTGTTGGTTTAAGTAGTTACAATTAAGTACTCGAGTAGTTGCTTTGGCCGAGTTATATAAATAGGCATAAGTGTCTCTGTACCTCCATTAGCTCCAGGGTTCAGGGCTCAGGGCTCAGGGCTATCAAGTACGGAGTCAAGTCTACTCCGTAACTACTGAAGTATATGCACTGTAGGTTCTCTTTCATGCCGACTCGTATTTCGGAGGTCCAGTACGACCTCAATCCCCGACTTTTCTTTCGCCCCCAAGCTCGATTGGAAACTGTGCCTGTCAAAACTATCACAGAGGCCCAAGCTTCGGAACGTTCGACGGCGTGCAGGCACCGACTTAGTAGGTATGACTGCATGCAGTTGTCACATCACATAATGTCTCCAATTATGAGGTATTCTAAAGTTATAAAGCTATAGATTCGGTGGGTATAGAGGGAAAGTCCACGGGTGTTCCAAGGTTAGTATACAGAGTGCTTGACGAGGACAGAAAGATAAGCTGATCCCGCAAACCCTAAACACTTGCACCTTTCCAACGGTCGCCAGTTTCAGACAACAAGCCTGCATTCTCAGAACAATTTAGCGTGGAATTCTCGAATACTCTCAGTCCAGACATTGGTGGAGAGGTGTAGGCGCCGAGAGATCAGCAGTGATTGGTGATTGGGTGGGCCGAAGTGATGAAGCTGCAGACAACTGCACGGATCCCCATCACACTGTCTCCGGTCACATTGAACTTCCAAATTCAACGGTTCCTTGCAGTTGGAAGTTATGGTTATATTGTCCACGTAGAATAGTTGAGAGAGAATGACTTCGTTATCTAGTTGTCTGATCAGTTGGTCACTTAAGTATACCAAGTGAACTATACCATGCCAAATCCTCCGACGGATCGACATGCACGCTAAAGATAGCGGCTACGCTGCAAAACCATGACGAGGGGACTCTGTGATTCGGGAGCTGCCTGCATTGATCTAAACTGGCTAACTTTCGCTGTCTCGGTTCTGCATGCTCGTTGGTGCAGTCTCGCGGGACAACCCAGCCACCAAAAAGGCTCGATCTCACCGTCTCCGCTAATAATATGTGGAATTGGATAGACTCATTCCTGGATAATGTCCCTCTGGAACTCGAAACCGAACTGTATGGTCCGCCAGGAAATGAAGCGCCCTGCTGCTCCTCCCCAGCGCCAACCATTGCACTTGGATCGACTCTTCTCCTGGATTTAATCTTTTTTTCCTTCTCATTATTTGAAATATTGGAACATTTCAATATTTCCCTCTGTCCTACCGGAGCATGCGCCTTCCTGGATCCACGGGCAGGTCTCCTTATATGTACTTCGTATATCGCTTATAGATAGCCCTGCAACTTTGACCCTGGTCTGACTTCTCTCTCCGTCACAAACTTAGGTCTGTCGGTCACGCTACTATACTGGATGTGATGAACGTGCAAGCGAGTCATCTCACTCCCTAACAGGCTGATTTTAAGTGTTACACTGGGAATTTTGTCTTTGGTCTTTCCGCTGCCCCAACGGCTAACACCTTTTTGGTTCCCGTGCATGTCTCCGGGGGTTTTTTTTATTATTATTTTTGCCTGTCATTTTCAATCCCACTCTCTTCATTAAAAAGGTCCAGATTGTCGACACAGCTGTCTGACTTTCTTCTGGCTGCCTTCCAGCTTCGGTGCTCACCTCACACTTCGCATTTGATCCAAATGTGCCTTCACCCACCCTAAAGGCCTGTCTTTCTTCATATTGGAAAATAGGCTTGAGGCCAAATCCATACATCTATGGTCCAACCTGCGTAGGTAGGTGATTCAATTACCCTGAGCCTTTCCTCTGCGACTTGTCATTTGCGGAGTATAAGCGGGACTTAGGCGCGATTGCGCCCAACGACAGAAGTAGCACCAATCCCCACCTATGGCAATTCTGAAAAGAGAAAATGAAGGCCAGGATATTCAACTGACGTGGCATAGCAATCAAGAACCAAGCGACCAAGTACCGAAGTAATGGCCCCGCCGCCAGTGGCGCAACCGCGCTTCGAGCCCTGCGCTTCGACAGCATCGCTATTTCTGTTCGCTCAAGGATCAACAATTTTATGCCTGCACCATGACACATTGGCCATCGAGCGGAGGTTCCAAAGTCACCAGGAGGACATTGAGTTTATTTCGGTGGATAATGTTAGCGAGCGAGGTGCGGGCAGATTGGTGGTCAGCTACGATGTAGGGCAAACCGCAATTGTCTGGGATATCTTCACCGGAACTGAGATTGCTCGATTTGCCTCCTTTGAACACCTACGGGTAGCTTCGTGGATGCACAATGGCAATGTCGCATTTGGTATGGCTCGGAGCATTCAGACAGGGAACTATTGACTGATTTGATATTTAGGAAATGGAAAGGGCGAGGTGATTCTGTTTGAACCGCCGACATCAGAGCATATCTCTGCGCGCACAATTTTCGATCCCATTACAGCTCTGGCTCCTGCGGCGGATTGTCGAACCTATGCAATTGGGTATGTTTAAGAAGGGGTTGAGTGGCTTTGAAGCTAATACATTGTCAGATACCAAAATGGATCTATTTTGATCGCTACTCTACTGCCTCAATTCACCATTCTTCACACGCTGACGACCTCCCGTGGGCCATCACCGATTATTTCTCTGGCATGGCATGCATCTTCATCCAAGCAAAAGTCCGATATGCTGGCAACTCAATCATCAAATGGAGACCTGCGAGTGTGGAGTGTAGCTAAACCCCCCGGCAAAGAATCACCCCGGGTGATCAGAGTATTAAAACGATCGGATTCGAACTCTTCGGACCCTAAATGGATGGGATGGTCCAAAAATGGCAGACTAGTGCAATATCTCGAAGGGTATGAAGATACATTCTGAAGCACAGCTCTTATACTGACCACCATAGGGAAACTTGGTCTTGGGATGTCCGAACGAAGCATGTTACTTATGATCCAATTCCAACAATAGATGGGGTTCGAGGAATCGCCAACTACGGCCCTACAGCAACACTATTCACAATCGGTCCTCAAAATTCGGTGCAGCAATATGACCTGGAAAACCCTACCCTCGTTGCTAATGTGCAACATCTCCCTCTACTCCCCCGACCAAATACCGCAGAGGGTAGCCGGTCCCAAATGTCTCTCAGACGTCTACAAGATCCACCTGATATTCGCGAATCAAACGGGAAACGCACCCCATTTGACTCTAACGCCATTGATAATCTCCGACAGCGGGCAGATTTAACCAGCCCTGCTTCATCGCGAAGCCGAACGGAATCAGTCAGCTCAAAGGCCTCGTCTGGCAAGTATAATACTCGGCCTTTTTCGCCACCGAGTCGGTCTGGTCAAAGTGCAACTACATTCTCATTAACATCAGGTGGCCATGATACCCCGCAGGCCTCTGCTTCCTTCGCATACCCATCTTCGGTCTCAATGTCATCAGTCAGGAGCTCAAGGGCGGCATCGAGGCTGCGTAATGAGGTTCATCTCAGTCCAGCTGAAAAAAGCATCGTGGATCTTTTCCCCTTCACTAGGGCTCGTTTGAACGATGTGCCTTACAAACAGCAGCCACCTATTGATGAATCACATCTGACTTCTGACGATCTGCGACACCAAATGATGAGTGTGGTATTTGGGTGGGATGGGGATATTCAGGATTTGATCTTGGATGAATGTGGGTGTTTCGTATCCTGGTTCTGCTATAAACATTCTATGTTAACCATTTTTAGTGAGCCGCCATGCCGTGGGCAGCCAAAGTGCAATTCTACTAGCTCAGTGGCTTGGTGAGACCGACACAAATGAGATGGCCTCCATGATCAGCCCCGGGCAGGTAACGACTTCAGACTGGATGCTTCTGGCCTTGAGTCAGATGAGTGGTCAGGCCCAAGCGAACAAAGTTGGCCAGGCATTCGTACAGAAGCTACTGGAAATCGGAGATATACATACTTCTGCAGCAATCCTGCTTGGTCTCGGCGACAGTAACGATGCAGTTGAGGTTTATGTTTCTCGGCACCACTACATGGAAGCTATCCTCATGACATGTCTGTTGTTCCCATCCGACTGGCAACGGCAGTCGTACCTTGTTCGACGATGGGGAGAGCATGTCGTCACTCATTCCCAGCAGCAGCAGCTTGCAATTCGCTGTTTCATGTGCACAGGAGCCGAGCCTTCTGAGCCATGGGCATCACCATCCGCTCAACAAGCTGCATCTTTTGCCGAGATGATGGGAGAAAAGTTCCCTCCGGTGTCTCCTGAGATTTCTCAGACTAATAGTGCAAACCTGATGCCTCCGCCTATTCGGCCAAGGTCTGCGTCTAACCAAAAGGTCGCAGCCAAGACACCAGCTTTGAAACTGATTACATCCTTTGATGCTCAATCGAATGGACGATTCCGCTTCCCTGGATTGAAATCTGACGATCGGACGCCGACAAATGCACCAGGAATCACACCAATTGCAGAATCAGCAGTCCCCGACTCGGCAATGTCTCCAGGTGGCTTTGGATCTTATAAATTGAATAATATCCAAAGTCTGAACCATGCGATGTCGAGAACCAATACCCCGTCTTTCAATCGCCGTCGTCTACCTTCAATAGGAGAAACACCCGTGAATTCGCAGCCTCCAACGTTCTCTCGATCGAATTCATACAGCCAAAACGAGTACAGCTCTACCTCGGAGAATGAGATGAGTGCACAAGATCATAGTCAAGATGAGAAAGAAAGCGACAGCGGTCTCCTAACGTTACCATCTGCAAAATACACACCAAGCATAGACTCACTCAGACCCAGTCCCCAAACGGCTCTTCAGGGAACAGACAAGTTTGCTACTATTAAAGGACTTCCATCACCAGCAGCAGGTGTCTTTGAAGCACTCACAAATGACGATCATCGAAATGGATCCCGCGATCGAAAGCCAGATGGGCTTCAGATTGAACTATTGGAAAGTGAGCAACAGCACCAAGACCGCTCGGAACTGCTTCCCAGTGCCAAAAGCACAGCTTCCACCGCCAACAGCTTTGCCTCTGCAAGAAGCCCGAGCGTCAGTGGGCGGAGCATCGATCAATACATCAGCAGTCTAGATGAAGCGAATTACCATGCACGCAAGTTCCGCCCTCACACACCTGGTCGGGGACGACGCAATCCGGAAGACACAGCCAGCCAGAGTTCACGCATGCAACAATCACGAGATGCATCTCAGGATGCTCGAGGTAGGAATGATCGTCGCTACATTCAGCCTGCGAAGAGGTCGCCTTCTTCGCCGGTGCCTATGTCTCCTGAGGAATTGGCCCGCTATGGGACTGCGGAGCTGCAGGCACCACTCGAGCCGCGCAAGTCCAAGTCTCGGACTCGAAGCTCAAGCAAGATGAGAAGGCCAGGCTCGCGGAGCCGTCAGCGTTCTTCTAGTCGGCACACAGCAAGCCGTGTTGCCATGGATAAGAAGGAAGCCTCAATCCGAGGCCGCAGCAATGATAGACAAGCGTCGAGCAATCGATCCCCGTCGTCGCCTCTGCCCATGGCATTCCCCACAGATGATCCGTCTCAAGATGCAAACAATCCTCTGAGACTTGTTGAAGGCAACCAAAAGAGGCTGCGGTCCCGTCACCGGAGTGCCAGTCGACGTCGTGCAGAGAGGGGAACAAGTGCAAAGAGAGAGGCCTCTCCAGAATCCAGGCATAAAACATCACAAAGCCTTTCTGTGATTCAACCTGGGCCTTCATCGAGCTCTTGGGCACAGCAGTCTGAGCCAGAACAGTTGACTAGCAAAGTATTTGGCCAAGAAGACAGCTTTGATTCATTCACCAATGGGCAACCCAGCTCGACTGCCAATGATTTCCAGGACATCGTCTCTCCCACCACCCCATTCATCACGCTGGCAGAGAAACGCCGAAGAGATATTGCGGCTGCTGAATTGGAAGCGAGAAGACTTTCTCTTGCACGCAACCCATCGGCACCCAATATTCCTTTCCCTGGCGAAGCACAAGGCATGAGGAGCCCCATCGAAAGCCCTCCGCCATTCTCCAGTGGAAGTGCATACTTCCCACGGGCTCCATCTCGCAACAAAGTCTCCCGGAGCAAACCATCGCCAGATTACCCCAGTAGCTCTGATTCGAACTCTTCGCGCTCTGCCATGCCCGTCGGGCTACCAGCAACACCTCGAGCCATGCGCCATCCCAAGTACGGAGGCACAGGACAAGACGAAGAGCAGCCCTCAATCCCCAGCATTCCCACCGACACCAACCTCTTTCTAAGCAACGCCCGCTATCAAAGCGACGACCGAATCGGTCGTTCCATGTCCGTCCCCCCAGAAACGCACAACCCCACGATACCCAACGACGTCCCCATGCATCCACGCTTCAACCCATCCCTACCACGCAGTCGATCCAGCAGCCGCAGCCGCATAGCCCATCGTCGAACTAGCTCAGGCGGCTACGTATCCGGCACCTCACCAAACGTCCAAGTAAGCATCGAAGAGACAATCGAGAACGCAGAAAGATACTCAGCAGAGTACGAGACAATCCCACCACCTCCACCTCCCTTCCTCCCAGAACTACAACACCTCAACACTCCACCCCCTCCACCCCCATTCCCCATCTCCGGAATCCCAGTCTCGCCCCGCGAATCATCTGCAACAATCGATATCGCCATCGACAATGAAGACTTCGGCCGTCTCCTCCCCCGTGCTATGACTGCTGCCCCAGCCCTGAATGTCAACAGCCACAGTACAGATCCACGTCAATCAGGGAGTCGACGCATGTCATTTGATCATCGACGGAATCGTAGCTCGAACGAGAGCTTCACGAACAAGTTGCGCAATTTGACCCGCATGCGAAACAACAGTCGCAGTGTCGAGCCTTGGACGCAGGCTGATGAAATGGCTCCTTATGAGAGTCTACAGCCGCATGTTGCTGGTTCAAATTCCAACTACATCTTGCCGAGTCAGAGCTATGTTTCGCCAGGTCAAAACTTCGTTTAGGTTGGATAATGACTCTTTGATTTATTTTTTTTATTTTTTGTTCTATTCCTTTGGGTGTTTTTTATGAAATTGCAATGTCCGGACTCAACTGCCTCACGCCTCATGTTTATTGTCTTGTTCTCTTCCCCTATTTTGGGGCTCATACCCTCTCGTTCTGCATTTATGTTTGTTCCTTTCGAGTTATATGCCAATTACCGTATATCCTTTCCTCATATGTCCCCGGTCATCACTTTCACTGGCTCTGAACACACGATGTGCTAGTTTTTGGTTCTGATAATATTTCTTTCTGCTCGAAATCGCAGGTCACCTTTTCTTTTCATATTGGCTTTTCTTTTCAAGAGTCTTAATTCTTGCTCCCTGTATCTAAACATATATGTCTGCAAAGGCTAATAAGAAGCGTCTACTTTTCTGCTCAAGTGATCAAGTGAATTGCAAAGATTTCAACGAGTGTCAATTGCTTCCAAGGCTAGAGATCAATAGAATTCAAATGTTGAACTATGTTACACATCGGGTATGGTAATTTGGCTGAAATGCTTCCACAGAACTTTAGAAGATGCATGGAAATAATATATATTCAAGATCCCCACCCACGATTCCGGAACTTGTCACTGCCAACATTCCGCTCCGCATCAATCATCCGATCAAACTCAGCCTGCGCCTTGTCCTTCTCACTCAATTGTCCATGGCTATCCTGCTCGGAATGGCTATTTTCATAAGAGTAAGGATGAAGGGTCGACTGAGGCAGTTGCTGACGCGAGCCTGCCGCACCATTCTGGCGTCGAATGCGGTCCCAGGCACTTCCACTCGAGCCATCGATATTGGTGTTCCGGTATTCAGCAGCAGTGGGACTTGCATCGTCGTCATCGAAGAAATCAGTTCCGGACGTTTGTTCAGCTGGTTGACCCCTGCCACGGGCCCAGACTGGGCCGGTTGAGTTGCTCGGCTCGGGGGTAGAAGTGTATGTTGACTGGGTGGAGGTTGAGTTGGAGCCCTCGTACTCTGAGTACGAGTTTGGAGGCGTGGAGTAATCGTTGGGGTCTTGTTCGTAGCTGCTGGTGTATCCAGGCTGGGTCATTGCTTGATTGAATTCTGAGCCGATAGTCTTTTCACCACTGCGCATGGAACGGACCCGCTCCGATGCAGCCTGGAGCTTACGCTTGCGGACATCTTCTGGTTTCTGGCTTCGCATTTCTTCGACGAAGCCCTTGAGACGGGGATCCGTCAGCATGGATGTGGCATCATTGTAGACGGCGTAAATGTTAGAAAGTGCGCTGACAAAACATGTAGTGAAGAGCATTCTCCAAGCAGCAGCAGCAGCGAATGATTTCAAAGAGACACCCGAAGAAGAAAGTCGCATTGCCTCGAGAATCGCCTGCGGCGTCGGGTTTTTGCGAGGGAAGCCCGGTGATGAGCGTAGTCGGGCATAAACCCATGCGCCTCCAATGATCGAGCCAACGGGCATTCCAATACGGTTTTGATAAAGCGATCGCGTGCCGTGCTCGACAATAGCATCCAGCTCGCTCTGTGTTGGTGATCGTGCTGTCAACACATAGTGGTTCTCGACTCGGTCTGTGACTGCAGTGGCCACTTTGCGCCTCCAGTTGCCTGAACCGAGGAATCCGAAGTAGAGTGTGAAGAGGTCTGGCCTCACGACTGCCTCCTGTCGGAGTTGTAGTTGGTTGTACCTCGCGAGCGCGGGGTTGTGGCCGGGAAGAGTCCGGGACTCGGTTGACTGATCATTGTTGCTGTAATTTACCGCCTGTGGTGAGGCATTATCGGAGCTCATGGTGAAATAGGGTGAATCGAGGGAGCTCACGAATTGCGGATTGAAGCTCATCACTCCACCGAGGTGCGCTGACGTCGTTGATGATTAAGCATTGATGCCTTGAGAGTTAGGCAGAAATGGTGTTGGGAGCCGAGGTCAACTGGCGATTAACTGAGCGTTGAACTAAGTAATATGCAAGTGATTAATATCCAATGGAACTAACTGACATTCCTACTGGGCCTGGTCGGTGCAAAGTTAAGCAATTGCTTTGTACAATCTGCACTATGGTTGAGTACTTAGGATTGTTACCTACGCTAAGTCCTCCATAACTTAGAAGGTTATAGCTTACCAGCTCAGGACAAGCAGAAAATTGCAAGCAGGTAATAATCGCATTATGATATAGCTGAAAAGGCCGAGGCCTAGGTCAAGCCCTGTATGGCTTAAATCCCTACCACTTCTCGATGTAAGGTCTCAGATCGAGCTCAAAAGCAAAGGTAGTCCGTGGTTGGGTATGCAGATACCAATATGAATCCGCGATCTGAATACCATCAGTAAAGTTACACCAATTGCCAGGAGAAGGACATACTGCATCCGGGTTCAACTTGGCATCCTCATGCTCTAACACCCAAGCTTTGGTTCGAGGGATATCAATAATGCCATCGATGATCGTGTGCGAAACGTGAAGACCCTGAGGCCCGAATTCCCGAGCAAGCGACTGCGCTAGTGCACGTAATGCGAACTTGCCCGAAGCAAAAGCTGCAAAGTTGGCTGAGCCCTTAAGACTGGCGGTGGCGCCGGTGAAGATGAGAGTGGGTGGATGTTCCGAGGCTCCCCGTGCTTCTAGAAGCAGTGGAATAGAACGCTGGGCAAAATTAAAAGCTCCTTGTCTATTTCAAAGCATTTCAGGTCAGTGGTTGTGAATTAAATGTAGTAGTGAATGATGTGTACCCTTGAGAGGCAAGTGCAGTTGAATAGTCTGCTTCTGTCAACTCAAGGAACGGCTTGCGAACAAAGCCACCCCCAGGATTGAACACAGCGGCTGCCACCTTATGAGAAGGGTATTGCTCTGCAATCTTGTCAAAGGCAGCGTTGACACTGTTCGAGCTGGAGACATCGGTGCTAATGCCGATGGCTTGGCCACCGCTGGAATTAATTTCCTGGACAACAGGATCATAGTTGTCCGGGTTTCGGGCCAAGACTACAACCGAGTAGGCCTTTGCAAATTTCCTGGCAATTGATGCGCCCTGTGTCTTGGGTCAGCTTGCTTGTATAGTTACACACTGCAAACAAGACATAAGTAGAATCTTACCGTGCCAGGGCCAACGCCTGCAATAATTGCGAGTGCTTTAGATGCCATTATAGATGTATTGAAAGATATGGCTTTCACTTTGGGGGAATGGGACTTATATACTGCATCCGGGGGTAGGAATCTCCCCAAAGCTTAGAAATGCAGCGGGGATTGATCATCGTACCGGCGAATGATATCATCTGCAAAGAATCGGACTGGTGGTTCCCCGCCTGAGGAAAATAGCCCATCCAAGAGGAAGATGAGACAATTGAGATGAATAATCGAATAATTAGACTGCTCGGCCTTGTGCTATGGAGTTGGGAATGTGGATCTGCTTCGGGGAAATCTGCCTCAGGCCGTTATCGATAAGATAATATTTTTCCCTTTTGAATCTCGGTCTCTGCAACTTGCTCTCACAAACTCATTCAGAATGACGGAGGAGACTTTACTGACGGATCTATGTGCGATATGGTATGGCAGATCTCATATGAAAGTTGAACCCATGCTAACATCCGTGTGCAGCCATATCATTCCTCCCAAATACAAATGCCCGCGCTGCTCAATACGCACTTGTTCTCTGCCATGCACGCGGCGCCATAAGCTCTGGTCAGAATGCTCTGGTGTTCGCGACCCGGCGGCATATCTGAAGCGCAGTGAGCTGAGTACCGAGTCCGCATTCGACCGCGATTTCAACTTCATCACTGGCATCGAACGAACCCTCGAGCGAGCAGACAGAGAAGTCGATAACCGCGGTATTGACCTTGCGCGAGGTGCGCAGATCGACGAGCATGGGGCTGATGGTACCTCGGAGGCAGCGACAGGTCTCAAGAGAAAACACCCCAGCCAAGGCCTGGCCAAGGGCGAAGCTGGGTTCCTGCGTGGGGCTGAGGCGGGTGGTGTGACAGTCATCCGAGCTCCCAAGGGGATGTCGAGGAGTAAACAGAATGGATCGCGGATGCATCCTAAGTGAGTGTTAATAGTGCATTTTGATGATTCTCACTAACCCATTTCAATCAGGCACAAATGTCTTTCCTGGACCGTGGAGTGGATCACTGCTGATGGTGGGAAGACCATTCGGAATTCCGTCGTGGACACATGCTCTGTAGCAGAGGCCTATGACCGATGCTGTCCGCGTCCGAAGGAGCCACAGCCAGCTTCTGTGACCACGAAAGACGAAAGAGACAAAGATCTGCCGAGTGTCCCCACTGAGAACACAGACAATGGCAAAGGCCATGACTCCCAAGGTCCAACTGCAGCATCTGCAGAGACCACCACAGAACCAAAATCAGAGCAGCCTCTGATCTCCGACGCACCAGAGACGTCGACGGAAACACCAGCCCAAACCGAAAACCAAGAGGTCGAGGCAGTACCAGACCAGAGTATCTCCCCTCACCGAGGCCTCTTCTTCTACCTTCACCGTCCACGCACCACAACCAAAAAACCTGTGCTGGCTCCCCTCTTGCAGTCAGCGAGCTTAAACACTATTCTTCGGAATCGGACCGTGCTCGAGTTCCCTACCATATACGCCCTTCCGGATCGGGCAGAGAAGCTACTCGCAGAACAAGAAAGCTCGCCATTCATTTTGGAGGAAGAGTATCTTAAAACCGTTGGACTGGAAGAAGCACAATTGTCCACCGAAAGCGATGAAGATGACTCGACAGGGGATGACAATCTGCCCGGATCTTCAGTGGATCTTCAAAATATCGATGAGAAAAAAGTGCTGGAGGTATTGAAACAGGATCTATTCGAACCAGTGCTGGACACTGGTTCTATGTAATAACATTCAATGAGAGTTGTATGACGGTCACATTATAATCTGGAAAGAACCTTCATTGCGACTTCCCATTCATTCCCTCGAAGTCTTTCAGATCGATTAAGGCCTGTTAATTTCTGTACAGCGAGTCAACCATCATGAAAATACGTGCCTTATATACTGGGGTTGCCGGGATCGTCGGGGTCTATCTCAGCGTTGTCTCCACGGCGTTGGACACCAAAGCACCGCACACCCCATACAAACAGATCCCACGAGGGTGCGATTGCTACACCGTGTCTGGTCCCGAACCCGGTTACTTTCAGCACTACAAACTCTGGGACTTTCGGACAGTGGATTTGAAAAAGCACGCTCATCTCAATCTATCCGAGCCTATCGTAGATGGCGACGGCGAGTGGGAGGAATGGGAGGATTTTGACGACAATTACGATGAACCTGAGAGCATCGACACTCCTGAACTCAACGATACATCCCCGTCCGATCCCACTTCATTAGTATTCTTCAAAACCTCGTTCGAAAGAGACTGGAGTAGTCAGGCGTGGGAGCGCCCCGGCACACCCAAAAGCCCAGTTCTCATGATCAACTCGAAGAACAATATCTTCTTCACCCGCGACCATGAGCAAGTTGATCCCCACGCAACGTACCTTGTTCTACGCACCACCCGCCATGACGGCTACACCTCCACGGCAGAAATCGAGACTCGGCTGCGTAACATCTACCGTTGCTCACTTCGTGTCCGACTACGATTCCTGCCCAGGGACTTTGTCATGGCCCAACCACCCCAGCCGGGCGAAACGCCGCCTGTAATCGCTAGTTTGAACGACAAGTCTACTGGCCCCAATCAAAGAAAGCCAGTCCATGAGGGCCTACCTGCACCTGGAGCTTGTGCTGGTATCTTCACCTACCATGACCGCAACACCGAATCAGACATCGAGATCCTCACTCGAGACCCGCCTCACGTTGTCCACTATGCCAACCAGCCAGACTATGATTTTGAAGCCGATCGAGAGATCCCAGGTGCAAGCACCATTGCCACCTTACCAGTGCCATGGACAACATGGGCCACTCATCGGTTGGATTGGTTCCCTAGCATTTCCCGGTGGCTCGTGAACGGTGAGATCCAAGATGCCCGAACGTATCGGGTTCCCGACTTGCAGAGCATGGTTGTCCTCAACCTGTGGAGTGATGGTGGACTTTGGACAGGTGATATGAGACTCGGCGACAGCATCTATATGGGGATCGAGTACATCGAGCTGATCTACAATCGAACCACGGATGCCTCTAATCCTCTGCATGCGACTCCGCAAAATCCACTGCAGAATGCCATGCATATGGATTATGGCCATCCGGCCTCTGATTCGAAGCATTTTATCTGCAAACCTGGTCGAGAGGGTCGTGAATGTCGGAGACAGAAGTTCCTGAACAGACCTCGAGCGGAATCTTGCCACAACCCTTGCAATATCGATGCGCTTTGAAGGGAATTGTCTTATTGTATTATTATCAGCTGTTCTTTCTTTTTTGTCCTAATTACGCAGATGTGCTGAATCGTGATCTTGCACATAGAGAATGAAGTCTACCTGAGGCCTCAAGTGCCAAGTACTCCTACACTGGTACCTTTTATTTCTACATTCATAATACTTTCAATACTTTCTATCAAATTTCAATGTACGAGTACATACATAGCGAAGGAAGTTTTTGTATAAAAAAAGAAGTGGAGACCTGCGTCTTGGCTTCCTAAACAGGCTTAGGGTATTTAGATGTATGAGGCAAGACTTCACACTTTCTTCCAATCTCACCTTACGATGGCAGACAAAGCTACAATCTCCTGCTGGACATGCCGTCGTCGACGAGTGAAGTGTGATCGACTCCTCCCTGCATGCCAGAAGTGCTTAGACTCGCAGCAGACCTGCCAAGGCTACACTGAGAAGCCCTTAAGATGGACCAATAGTGTAGCCAGTCGGGGCAAATTGATGGGGAAGAGCGTGCCAGATATTCCGAAAACATCCATAGCCAGAGTCCTCATTGACCCTGTGTTTCAGGACCTTTCCCCTGCCAAGAGGGGCTACATCATCTACTGTATGTGCATCGACACGCATCACGCATCAAGCATTTACTAATGTGCTTAGTTGATCAACATTGTTCTGCAGAGAGTACATTGTTTCAATCCATGCCCACGAATCCATTCAAGGAATTCATGCGCTTGATCCCATCCAGTGCCGGCCTTCTTCATACCATCATCTCAGTGGCAGCATTACACAAAGCCCAACGACATGGATCCCTGGATCTCGAAACGCCAGTCATCTCAGACCTGATTTCAACCTCAGCACCAGAATTCTGCGACGCATTACTAAACAAACAACAAGCCTTATATCACCTCCGAAAGGAATTCCAAGATCCAAACGTCACAAACCATGATGGCGCAATAGCCTCAATCCTAATGTTCGTCTGGCTCGAACTAATGGACTCAGGAAGAGATTCCTGGAAATACCACCTAACAGCCCTCCGACGAATCGTCCAAGCAACCCTTGTTCCAACAATAGACAAAGGCAATTTCACATCCACCTTCTGGAGCAGCTGTGAATATTTCGAAATGATATTCGCCACGTATGGTCTTCCATCCTCTCAACACAATACATATACATCCTAACATTTAAATTTCAGTTACGAAATCCTAGGCTCAACATTCGTCAAACCCTCCCAACCATACCAACCCCTCTTCACCACAATGTCAACAATGGAAATCCTCCGACTCTGCGAATCCCAAACATGGGTTGGATGTCCCGCCGAACTACTACACCTAATATCCCTCGTGAACACAGTCCCCGAAACAGCCACAGAAAGCAATGCTTTAAAGTCTCATATCGCAGAACAACTACAATCATTCTCGACACACAGATGGTCCATCTCGAACACAAAAGTCAGCAGGATGATAGAGCGGTACCATTTCGCCTGTGTATACCGAGAAGCCATAGCAATCTATGTATCGCAAGTGACAGCACGATGGAGTGGGCCATTATTTACGGAGATGTATATGATGGATTCCGTGGACTCGACGATTGGGCATATGAGTTCTATTAGTACTGAGGATCCGTTTTTCAAGGCGCTTGTTTGGCCTGCTTTTGTGATTGGGGCTGAGGCTAGGAGTGAGGGGCAGAGGAAGGCTGTTTTGGAAGTTACGGGGCATTTGTGGACGGCGTGGAGGGCTGGGAATGTGAGGAATGCGGTGCATGTTTTGAAACAGATTTGGGGGAGGGGGGACTTGGAGGGTTGGGCTACGCCGTGGATTGAATATCTTTATGAGTGGGGGGAGGATTGGATGTTTGTTTGAGGCTTTACTTTAAGTATACTTATTAACGAGTCTATGATGAACGACTTCAGGACCTTGCCTTTTTGGAGTATCGGGGTGTATTATTTGCTTCGGCATCCATGAACTGGCAGAGGATTAAAATGAAATTCTCTGTGTATATTGACCAGATGAATAGACAGGATGAAAACATAGTACAAAAGTACGGGTTAAAAATACATTGGTCTCATGAACGTAGAGAAAGCCAGCGCAATTAGAATGAGAAACGCCTCGGAAATGCTAAACGCCAGAAAAAGAGCTGTGCCGGTCTTTGTATCAAGAATGACATGACAGGAACAGTGGGGTATCATTCAAACTCATTGGAAAACATCATGTAAACAGAGCACGAGGCCAAGTATCGCCATGCTTTCTTACTGTGTTTGGTTTGCGCACCGAAGATAGCTTCGCATGGTAATAAACGCAGTGATCGAAACGGAGGGATGTTTGAGGTAGGCGAGGGACTTGGATGTGGTATTAGGCGTGCAGTGGCGTTGCGAGGTACATTTGCGAGAGTATAGGATGGGGACCATACCCATGCAGAGGTGGGAAGAGGGGAATGAACAAGGAGGTCTTGCACATGTTGGATCAAAGCAATAAAGTGCCTGTCGTGTCTTGTGGAATGAATTCGCCATGAAGGCCACCATTCATGATCTCGGCGACAATTTTCTTGCGGAGTAAAGAGGTATGACTTGGCCCAAAAGCAGTAGGCTCAATACCAAGGGCAATTGCCTTGGCATTTATCAGAAGAAAGACACCACAATCACTCATGTTATCTTGTCGCGAAGAGACAGATGCAAGAACAGTCCACTCTTCCTCCTTGAATTTCGATCCAAGCTCCCCACGGAGCCATGATTTGACCAACTTCACTTGATGAGAACCAACAGAGCCAAGCGAGTCATAATACTCGATTGTACGATCCACTGGCCGCACAACCATAAGGGTCCAATGATTGACCTCATGTACAGGTATGAAGACTGTATCGACATCTAGCAAACTCTCACCACCGATTTTCGCTCGTCTCGCCCATCTCGCGACGCTCTGGTACCCCTTGTCCCGGAGATTGGAGTAGAAAAAGGTATTGAAGGAGTGGAATCGCGGCCGATCATTCGGACCGAGGTTTCCGTTGAATTGACGAAGATAGTGCACAATGAACGCGAGGTAGGAATTGATGATCTCATCATTGAGCCAGGCCATCGGGCGAACACACGTTATAATATCCTTTTGGCATATCTCATCTCCAGCCAATGACTTGGCGATTACCTGGCTTTGCGCGCACTGCACAGCATTTTGAACTTTGGTAAGCCATTTCGGCGAAAGCGATCGCACAGGCTGACCACACGGTATCACCCTAGAGGGGCGTTTGCCTTCAAGCTCTCGGGCAAGTCTTTCTTTCTCGAGTTTTTCGAAATCGCGCGCGTACCATGATTGAATGCGATTAGGTGGGATTGGCTTCGGGTTGGCCTTGAAAAGTTGCACAGCAGATACAGGTCCATGTCGGATTTTGGCATATTCTTGAGCGTGCGATTGCCATGGGTCATCAATCTCCATGTGATCATCGGGAACGCGCCTGGGTTTCGGCGGGCTAGGCGGCGGGGTCCGCTTTGGTGTCGGCGGGCGAGAACGATCTGGGTGCCATCGCGGATGAAGGTGTGGCCCGAGGTCTGTGACTAGGGGTGGATGTGTGCGAACATCTATATCCATAGACTCCCACTCCTGGGGTGGCGTCCCTGCTTCCTCGATCGTTTCGACATGAGGATCGATGGGCTTGAGGCTTGGGGATTCGGGTGGCGTCAACGGGAAAGCTCCTGGAAGAGATATATCGGGCACATTGGTGTCTAGAAAGAGAGTAAGTACGCGCGACCTTTCCTTGGGGAGGGTCTTTGTCCGTACCCGCGTCGCTAATGGGAGATTTTGGAGCAAGGGAGTTTTGCGTTTGCCAAGTCTTCGAGCGTTTCGACGGAGGTGTGCGTCGTCTGAAGATAGACCAGTTGAAGAGCCCCATGATGACTTGAGCAGAGGATCTGAAAGTTGGAGGAAGATGAGCTACTCGTCCGATGTTCCGATGACGCGCTTCACGTAGAAATTGGCAGATGCAGGTTGAGGGAAGATTGACGAGACAAGAAAAGCTTATCCATAATTCATGACCGAAGAGTAAGGAAATCCAGATCGAATGGCCAGAATTAAGTCAAAGAAGTAGAGGTGCAAAGGGTTTAGAGGGCGCAGAGGGCAAGATCAATGGGACGCGATTTTATTACGTCAGCACCCTTGCCTCGGCAGTATACTGCACGTCTACTCTATAGCACAATAGAACAATAGGTGAAATAGTCAATAGGTTGTGCTCTCGTTTTCTTTTTCTTTCCAGTCATTGTGGTCTCACTGTTCAATTGAGTAGAATAGAGAGCCCACATTCATTTTCAATGCTTATGTACATGGATAACGTGAATAGTATCGGACATCTTGCAGAGCGCCCGCTGGGAAGGAGGTCGAGTTCGTGAAAGAGATGCAAGGCAGGGCGAACTTCAAGCTCCAGGGACTCCAAGACCAACGAGGTCAAACAATAGGGGTGCGACTTCAATCACAATCCACGGAATGCCTGCATAGACAACCAACTTGGTCACAACTTCGACATCATACCTCACACGGGGCTTTTTGATCTGCGAGAAGACCTCTTTTTCATCCCACTTGCCGGCATCGGAGTCGGATTCGAGTGCAGGGAATGGTGTCAAATGCTCGTTCGGGCTCACATCGACGGCGGATGAGCTGGGACTCCCTCGTCCCATCATGCCTTCGTAATCACCGAGTGTGGTGGTCTTTCGAGACAACACAGGTGTCCCGTTTGGCTTGTGCTCGCCCTCCGCCACTGGCGAAGAGCGATTTCCCCCAGATTGACTCTCACGTCGGCGTTTTTCTCGATATGCTAGAGTCTCATATGCATCTGCTTCCGACTGCGGGCCGACGGAAATGGCTCGACGACGAGGATGGCGCATTGTAGCCATAATGTTAGGAATGTCAGAAAAGTTAGGGAGGACGTCGTGGTCCTTCAAGTTAGACGGAACAGTGGTGTACTCCCTATCGTGAGTTAGAAGAGGCCTTAATCAGGGCCAGAAAGCCCAGACTTACGAAGCAGTGGTGAAGAAACGGCGGGGGGGAAGAAGACCAAGCTTCTCCAATGTCCGGAAGATGGGCGGGAGGATGCGCAGGAGAGCGGGTTTCATCACGGTTCTCCAGGCAAAGATACACAAAACGCCCAGAACCAGGCGGGTGGCAGTCTTCACCCATCCGATCGCCTCCAGATCGTAGGGGATAGAACCGGCAGGGTACCCTTCCCAAATCTCGGCGAAATGCCACGAAGAGACATCAACTCCGAGCATGACACCGGCAAAGGCAACGCTGTCATCGAAGCATGGACAATCATCCGCCGGCTCGGGGTGTACGCGCACGAGGGATATGATCAAGATTGCCAGCAAGGAGATATCCTTGAGGGAAGCAGAAACGATAAACTCCTCAAAGGCGGGTCCGTAATGGAACTGGACGAGACCAATGGCCGCGCCCATGGCGCAGCCAACCGTACAATCCAACATGCCGTGCATTCCGCAGTACAGTCGCCCGAGAACGATCGACACCACATAGATGTAGGTGACAGTCTGGAGAAGAAGGGTGACTTGCGCGCTGAGGGTCGATTCAGGCGAGCCGAGCAAACCCAGGGCGTACACTGCTACCGAGACCGCATTTGTGGAGTGTGTTGACGGGAAGCCATACTCCAACGCCGCCGATCCGGACATGGTGATGCGCTGCAGGGGCGGAGACAGTGGGCGAGGCAGACACAGCAGGTCCTTCAAGAAACCACTCCAGAAGACGCCCGACGCCAAGATGTGAACCAATCTACACAAAGTCCAGTCAGCCCTCCGTTTCGCGCTTCCATTCGCGAGACATACCCACGGCCCATGCTGGGCGAGCCGCACCAGAACAGGAACGGCAAGAAGACCATGAAGAAGGTATGGGTGCCGAGGTTGGCGGTGAATGCGAAGTAGGAATCGAGGGCCGGGGTGCGGACTTTCTCCTGCACCCAGGCGAGGTAGGGTGTTTCATATCGAATCAATGGGATGAGCTGTTGTCGCGGCCAGTAGCGCCAGAGCGGCAGTCGGGACGAGTCTGGGGCACAAACGCGCGGAGGTTAGCGGGCGTTTGCGCAGAGAATGGGAGAGCCGCATACAATGGTTCCAACTCCTCAGGCCAGCATCGGGCTGGTCTGTTGTGCTCTTGCCCATGTTATCGGAGGGGTAGTTCCATATAGATAGACCAGCCAACCGTCAGATCAAAGGAGCGAATGGAAGTTGGATTGGAGGAATACGAGTGGTTCTGTCGCAAACTTCCCCTGATGCCCCAGGCCGCTGGTCACGTGCAGCCTCAGGATCTATATCTTCATTTTTGTCGTTATTTCCAATTCCCAGGTTCTAGTCAATTCTAAAGTTCTACTTACAATTGTACTCCGTAACTGGTCATACACTGAAGTAAAGAGGCCTACCTGTTTCCAAGGTTCTATTCCCATGTCCTGTGTCCAGACTTCCTCAGTCAACATTGGCCCAAACCAGAGCGATCTATAGATTGGGCACTTGAGTATAGCTTAGTATACTCGTGCTTAAGTAGATATCAGCCCTGGACTATGGGAGTAGAGGAATTAGGGTTTCCACTTGAGCACGAGATATCGGCCTTCTCCGGCACGATTAGGCCACTCGAGCCGAGAAAAGATGGGGCAGCTGAGGTCGATGGCCTGCGTTAGGGCGTTTGGGATATACTTGAGTACTTCCCAACATCCCAACGTGTCTATGATTATTCTTGAAAATATTCCTATATGTACTCCGTACTTAAGTAATTAGGTACCTAATTGAGTAGTGACAGGTCATAGTTAAGTAGTAAACAAAGAGAAACTATGAAGTACGGACTTCAGGAGTACTCCAGGCAGTATAGAAACAGGGATCTCCGGGGCAATCCAAGCTGAACAGTGGAGTCCATTAGCGCCTTTGAAGACCAAGAAAAGAAACAGGATCGGGATAGCCGCACTGACTAGTTTGTTCGTACAAATGACAGACGAGCCTTGATCGTGGGAAAGCGGAGTCCTGGCGTCATATTGGCCCCGTCCCGCTGTTGCTATGACAGCGGAGTAAACACACTGGCGAGACCTTCAATGATCAAGATCTTCAACTTGAGATCTCACTTTTCTTCTTCCATCCTCTTTGACCTGTTCCATTATTGCATTGGATCTATTCATTTTACCGTTGAAAAAGTCGTTAACCGTTATCACATAATCAAGGGGCCGGACATTCCAATATGAGCATGTACGACGACCAATACTATGCTTCACGCCGCTCACTTGCAACCCCTCCACCATCTTTGACACCCCATCACAATCGAGCTCGCAGTGATAGTTTCCGCGTCAGTCACGGCACCGCCAGCACCAATACCAGTGTCTCCAGTGGACGGATGTCGGAGGCCACCAATATCACCCAGCCGCCCTCCTTTTCAAAAAAGTTTGTCGTGGTGGGCGATGGCGGCTGTGGAAAGACCTGTTTATTGATCAGTTATTCCCAAGGATACTTCCCAGAGGTAAGGTTCCAACCAGAAACTCTTCCAGGCCACGAACTAATCGGACTAGAAATACGTCCCCACCGTGTTCGAGAACTACATCACCCAGACGACACATCGGGCCACAGGCAAAACAGTCGAATTAGCTCTCTGGGATACAGCCGGACAGGAAGAATACGATCGTCTGCGTCCACTGTCATACCCAGAGACCGATCTACTGTTCGTCTGCTTCGCGATTGATTGCCCCGCTTCATTGGAAAATGTCGTGGACAAGGTAAAATACACATTCCCCTGTACCCCCGTCCTGAGAGACTAACATTCCCCAGTGGTATCCTGAAGTCCTCCACTTCTGCCCCACAACACCCATTATCCTCGTTGGCCTCAAATCCGACCTCCGCTCCAAGCGGACCTGCATCGAACTCCTCAAGACCCAAGGTCTAACACCCATCACACCGGAGCAAGGCGAGAATGTAGCCCAACGCATGGGCGCCACCTACACCGAGTGCAGCAGCAAAGAGATGCGAGGCGTAGACGAAGTGTTCTCAAAAGCCGTGGACCAAGTCATCTCCATTGAAGAGGGCTACTCAGCCCAACAAACGAGCCGCAATCGAAACAGTCGCAATAATAAGACTCCTACGACTTCAGGACCCCGTCCAGGAAAGAAGATCAAGAAACGCACTTGCAAGATCCTCTAGATTGATTCTATGGACTCTTTTTTTTCTTTTCTCACCTTGGCCGGACCACAAGCCTGGTTGCTGTGTCGGCTTGCTTGCTGCGTGCCTGTGTATGACATTGTCGCCGCAAGATGAACAAAGCTGGACACTCAAAAAGACCCTTTCATGTATCGATACGCTGCGCGACGTTTACCATGATTTGCGATTTGCGATTTTTTTTCCTTTTCTTTTGGAGGCTGTTTCCTTTATTTCATGTCTTTTTTTTTTGGTTTGGCCCTGACTCTTTCGGGGCTTTTGCATGGGGCTGGTGTTATGTTTATGTCTGATATGTCCCGTTGAAAGCGTATGTGTTACTGAATAACTTGAACTATGTGAAATGTCCTCAAACGTAGAATTCGTAAATGGCACCTAAGACTAAAAAAAGACTCCCAAACAGACGCAGTCCAGACTGGACTTGCATTCTTAAATCACTGCATCTCCGCCGAGTCACCCTGCTCTGTCTTAATAACCTCGTCTTTCTGTTTCTCATCCTCTCGACCCATAAAGTTCTCAAACTGAGACCACAGAGCCTCAACAGAACTAAACTCGTTGCCCACCTATCCTGAATTAGCACAGCAGAGAGAGAGAGAGAGAGAGAGAGAGAGAGAGAGCATACTGCAATGACACTTTCCAGATTCCGATTCAGCCGGTTCATATTTTGAAGTACCTCTTCCATGCCCTGCTGGGATTAGCCATTGTTTTCCCGTCTGAGTGGTCCACTCACGACTGCGATTTCGCGTACGAGCTCCTCGCGCTGCTGCTCGAAGACAGTTGGGGACGCGGTGTCCTGGTTTGATGGGGGCCAGGCCATTGTGTACGTGTGTACGTGGAGAGTAGAAGGGACTTGGAAATGGAACTGGCTTTGTCGCGGGTAGTGGGGTGGAGTTTGCCAGTTGGCTTGCCGACTTGCTCTACCCGAAGTTTGAACTGTGGCTTGAGATGGGATACTTCTACCTATATCTATTCTATACTAAATACCTAAGTAGATCTAAATCAGTCTATGGTTCCAACATCCACATCTGTTATGACCTGGACACCAATATAGAGATGTTACTCAACCATTGGCCCCTGAGCAATAACCTTATTCTCCTTAAGAGAAGTCTTCCAAGCCCTCTCACCCCTCAAGAACAAATCATCAATCTGCTCAAGAGTCAGTCTCGCCGTCTCGGGTACAAACAAATAAGTCAAAATCAACACAACAATAGTAACCCCAAAATAAAAGTATCCCACATTAGCCCCCATATCCCCATAATCCGGATGAAGCATATAGGGCGTCCAAAACGCCGCGCCAAAACTACCAATCTCATAAAGACAAGTCGTATTAGCCTGGCCGTACGTGCGCAGTCTCACACTATGCATCTCAGCAGAAGATAACCAAGCACCAGAACCGATAAAGCCGCCAAAAACAAATGACCATAGACAGAGGAAGACGACGACGACGTTCTTGGCGACTGGATGGCTGGGTCCGAGCCCCGTGCTCACAGATGCTAAAATAAGCATACAGGCTGCCATAAGGGTGTATCCGAGTAAGAGGGAGAATCGACGACCGCCGTATTCAAGGGCGTGAGGACCGATTAATGATCCGGCGAAGATGCATAGGCCGACAATGACGGTGATCAAGTAGGGGTTCTTGATACCCACGCCGCTGAGGAATAAAGCGGCATACTGCGATATGAACTGGATTCCAGTGAGAGACAGTCCAACCAGTATCATAGCAGAGATGGCTGTTCTGCGTAGATCACGGCCTCGATAAATCTCAGTCCAGGAAGCAGTAGCCGAAAGACTTTGTTCAAGATCTAGATGTCGTTGCACATCGTCCAATTGAGCAGTGACCTCAACAGAACCTGGATTCAAAGATCTGAAAGCCGCGAACGAGAACCGTGCCTCTTCTTTCTTTTTCCTGAGCAATAACCACCTCGGCGACTCTGGGAACATCATCGTTCCAAAACCCAGAATCAACGCAAGTGGGATTTGGCATACGATTGGCGTTTTCCACTGCCACTCATTATCCGGACTCAAAGTCGAGGACCCAGCACAGACAGCGGCAGCAAGTACATTTCCCAATGCGAGTCCGACATTGAATACACCCAGTAACAGGCCGCGCTTGCTGGCAACCACACATTCAGAACCATAGACCATACTTGACGCCAGGAGCTGTCCAATGCCCACACCACTGATACATTTGCACACCATGTAATGGAGGAAACTGCCCTCAGTGCCGAGCATTCCAGCAGCACCGACCGCGCACAACACACATGCTATTTGGATAGTCGTCTTGCGACCGAGTTTATAACCCAGCAAGCCAGTTGTTGCGCTCCCGAGAGCCTGGAATAAAACCGTGATGCTGATGAGCGACTGTTGCAGAGTGGTGAGAGTGCATGGGGAATCTGGACGACAGGTTCCGAAGGATGTTTGGAAAGAAGGCATGATCAGCACGATGCCAGCATAGCCTTGATCAAAGGATGCGATGAAGACTGCGAATGAGACCCATATTGCGAGCACGATCATGCGCCATGTTGCTTTCTCTGGAGGACTGAGCATCGTAGCCTCTGTATTGGAGACTCGGCAGTTGGAGGCTTTTCCCTGTCGATGGAATGGGGTTTGCCGAGATATGTCTGGAAAGGGGTTGCTGCAAGGGCGGCAACCTTGCTTTTTTTTTCCCGTTGGGTATGCACCATCTCCATATGGAGTACGGGACGGAGTGTACCGTAGTTCATATGTAGTTCACCCGCTTGAAAAGCGCATAGTGGGTACTATGTGGATGTGATTCTGGTCATTGACGTGTCGAGGTCGATGGGTGACATCTATGAATCATAACTTCAACTGGGGAGACCAAAGATCTGTGTTGAATGGCCATTGCTGTTTCTCCAGTTTCAACTCTGAGTAATGTCCATTCCAATCTCATACCGAGATGAATTCAAACAATGCCCAAGGCGGCCACACCTCAAAATCTCCAGACACAGCAGAGCCAAGACATCCTCTCGCATGCAGTGTACCTGAAAGCACAGCGAATGCGATAAAAGAGGGGATGTACCTGTAGACACAGGGAACACGAAAAAATCTCCAATCGGGCCGATTCAACCCGCGTCCAGCACGTATTGAAGTAGTGCCTGGAGCTATGAGAAGCTCTTGGATCTTTCGAGCTTTCGCATCAGTCTAGGGCCGAAGGTCGGAATGGTCCGGCGCAGGGACGAAGACTCACGAATCAAGAGCTGTGTCGTTCAATGGCCCTGGTAAGTAGCACGATGCGCAATTTCCGAAACCTCGCACAAGTGTTCCGTATGTACCCCTCACTGTTCAGGGTCCAGGCCGCAACGGATAGTCATCTGAGACATGTACAGACTGTTGAACTGGCAATTTAGTGCCCAAGTGCTCCTGATTTCGTGACTACCGAAGTCGAGAGAGGAGAAGAGGAGAGAAGGAAAAAAGTAGAAAAGTAGAAATGGTTGATTTTGCCCTATGGGCTTCTGTACATGTAACCATATTCACTCCCAAACCCCAGGCTAAATGAAAACATTCAATCATATTCCCAGGCCGAACGGCCCCCGAACACATCGCTCATTTCAATTCGTAAAGTCGTTTTTGTTTTTTTGTTTTGTTTTGTTTTGTTTTGTTCGGCAACTAAGAGTTGCGACGGGGTTGGACGAGGATATTGCTGAGACGTTTCCAGCGAGGCGTCGGGGACGTTGAGTTCTCACGCGACACGGACTTGTCCATTGGTTTGGAGAGGGTGGAAGAGCGGGGACGACTGCTGATTGCTTCATGGTCGGCGAGGACATCCTCGAGCCGGACGTCTGAGTCGGAGAAGTGGGAGTCCTTGGGATCGAGGATCTCGATGAATTTGGAGGGTGTGTCGCGCATTTTGTATGAATAGTATGGTGGTATAGTGGTATGAGTGAACTTTAGGTGTAGAAAGACCAGATATAGTTGAATAGTCGAAGTTCAGAAGTCGAAGTAGAAGAAGTAGAAGTGGGGTCGGAGGATGTATATAGCGCCTAATGAGACACTGCAGGTCTGGACTGGGTGTTTCACGTAGGAAAGTGACTTCCAGGGGAGACTGGCAGTTTTAAAGCGAAAAACCCCCCAGTGCGAATGGAAATCTTCCGAGATGAAGGTGGTGGAGCCTGAAGATCAGAAATACTCGTAATTCGGTAGTCTGATTATAAGATTCAGGGACTGGAAGGGTTGATCAGCGTCAATCTCTTTTTTAGATCTGAGTACGGAGTATACTGAAGTACTTGAGTACATACCAGGAATCAATGCAGAGTATAGGATTGCAAGAGAATATTAAAAGGGGAAGAACTTTAGAAATTAAAGATCAGCAGAGGCGATTTGATATATACTGAATTACTGATGAAAGTAGAGTGGACAGGAAACCATCTCCTTTGAGTAAGGATATGTAGGCTTAAGGTGGGTTCTTTTTAATTAGGGAAGATCAGCAATAGGGTTGTCCGCTGACCATTGACCGTTGATCGTGAAGAACCGGGAGTTCGTCTCAGATCTTTTCTTTTTTTCTTTTCTTACGAATATTCTGGGGTCCATGCGATGGTCAACTGAGCATTTCTCGGACCTCATTCTCTTCTTATACTCTTAACTATTCACTCTTACCTATTAACTCTACTATACTCTCTCTATTATATCCCACTCTGGACACACTCGGTTTCATGAGTACATATCTCTCGCATTCAAAGGAAACCCTGAAACCCGCTATAGTCCACTACTTCGTACTACGAGTAGCTGCCCCCTCTTCCTTAAAGCGCCATGACGTCGGAGGCAGAGTTTTCCACTTTTGATATTCGCCGTTCACTAATGGTAACTATTCACTATTCACTGAGTTCGTAAGCACGCACTCGTGTGTAGTAGGATTGTTTCTATAAAAAGTAACCGCCACTTAGGTACAGCTCACATTATAACACTGTACTCCTCGCACAAAATATGATTATCAAAACACCCGAATCAGAGAGCCCCAAGGACCCCACAAAGTCGTAAGCCACTATCATGACCCGTCAAGCCCAAAAATGCGAGGGATACAGAGTACGTAGTCAATTTCGCCCCTCCGCACTGCCCTGTACATATCTCCAGACTCCACCTGTAGGAGATTCCTTATTTGATATCAACACTTACGAATACACTGTAAGTACCTCATATTTACTCTGTGGCGCCGATATCATGATGATCCCACATTGGTCCTTACATACGGTAAGTAGCCGAATTGCAGGTAATTGCCTGCTATGTACTGGTACGATTCCGCCACTTGATAATGGCACACGCTTATCGCATCCTTATTACCTTGCTACCTACGGGCGCAGCAAATGTCAGCCTTGGCCCAAATGCCTCAAAACACAAAAGCCTCAAGGCAACAATGTCATGCAAAAAGTAATTGATTCAATTTCGGCCAAAGGGGGACCCATGCACCAAAACCACTTTGAAGCCACAAAACAAGAAAAAAAACGCCTGACAATTTCAATGACTCGCTTCGGCCCCGAAGCCCTCGGTATCATCACTTTCTCGGTCCGCGCAGTTCGCAGTTCGTCATACTGGCCCTGTCAGGTCAGAGCCATACGACCAATGTACCTTGTAGCGACCCGAAACCAAAAGGGCTATCTCACAACCTCATTCCATATTATTTTAATTCCAGATCTGTCATCTCCACGCTATCGGCTGAGCCCATCCAGAGGATGTTGTTGCACCTGTTCCGTATTAGCAATGCTTGAGCTGGGAGGGGAGTGCAAATACCTGATCAGAACAAGACCCAGTGCACCGGTGTGCTTGCCATCGATGAATTCCTCTGTGTCGCGCAGCAGCACGTTCATGTATGAATCGATGCTCTCGAGGGTTCCCTTGTATTCGGTTTGGCCCCACTTCAGGCGGATGAGGACTTCAGTGCTGACGCTGGGAGGGGTTAGCTATCTGGTATAGCGGGGAGTTCTCGGGGTCGCATACCGGGCCTGGAGGAATGGGCGGGGGTTGAGCGGTTGGAACTATTGAGCTTGGTTAGCGATTGGGTGGGGATGGGGTGGGGGATTTGGGGGTTGGATGGGGGGGACGAACACTCATTGTGAATTGTGTGAGTTATGGGGGAGGTTGGAATGGAGAGATGAAGGCGTTGAGATCCTTCGAATAGAGCGCGTTTGAGGATCTCGGAGTTGGCGACATCGCGAAAATGTGAGCTGGACGGGCGGTGGTCTGTGGCCAATCAGCGGTGGTGTTGGCTCACCGCTTTTGCAGCTCAAGTTGGATTTCTACTGGACTTTTATAGAAGAAATGAACAGTCGGATATTGAGATGACCAGTTAGAGAAATACGATATTCAATGAGATATTTGTTTCAGCTTCACATCATTTCGCGAGAACACCATACTCCCCGCAAATATGAATCTGCAAACACAAGTAGTAATACAGCCCTTCAACCTTGGAACTGATCAGCAGTGACTGATTCTGCTGTACCTTTCAAACACAGCTCTCATTCTGTAGCTTACTTCGCTCAGACTCCAGCTCTAGAGACACATGGTCTGAGGTCTGAAGAGGTCATCGAAAGCACTTAACGACCAACAGTCCAGGTAATCTCCTTGATGCTGACTTCCTCACCCTTCTTCTCATCATAATCATACCACTCGCCTTCAATCAGGTCAATACCCGTGAAAGTAGTGGTCGAGTCAACACCCTTGGCCTCCCATTCACCCTAGCCACAGTCAGTAAAGAACCAAGCTCCCAGAAAAAATCCTCTCACATCAGGCTTGAACTCAATAAACTCCAGACCACGACAGTCCATCTCAAGGATCTTCTGACTACCCTGTTTCTCCTGGGCCTCATAGGCCTTGGGTCCACTAGTGATCGAGGCAGTGTGGGTTTTCTACATAATCAGTTCAGCACATCTCAGACGATATAACTCGCACAGAACTTACCGTGCACAGACGACACTTCCACACAAAGTTGGCCTCCCCGCGACTGCCGGGGATTTCGTGAACATCCTGACCCGTTAGAGATGAGGTTGGGCATGGAGGAGCCGCAGAACTTACAAAGCGGTTGAAGCTGACCCAGTTAGGGTGTGTCTCGTGGCAGGAGGTACATTGCACACGGAAAGTGTAGAAGTAAGGGTTCTCCTCGGTATCAGTGGGCTGGAGAGCAGTGACGCTTTTCGATGTTAGCGTCATGTCTGTGGAAAGTGAAATTTTCATGGTCATTTCTGGTGCTAGGAGTCAACTTACCCCTCCAGCTCGGCTTGGACGGTGAGAGTGAGCATGGTGCAGACTTGACGTTCAGAGGTGTAAAAGGTGCGGGGTGCAAAATGTTGATTCTAAAGTTGACCCACCAATTGGCGGGCACTTACAGCTCAGATCAATACTAACAATATTAGCATATTAGCATATATGACACAAAATCCAACATAATATAGTTCTGAAAATATTGTAATACTCTTGGTTTGCATTCTGAAAGCAAAGTACTCGGATATATGGTTTTGGACTACTCAGAAGATCAGCGACAGGCAGATCTTGTCTGGGCAGCTACATTGGCATTATGCAGGAATAGTTGAATAATGTAGAATAAATTCTATTCAAGGGTTCAAAACAAACGCCAATCATGCCCAAGCTATATACAACGTTCAAAGTAAATTACAGACTCATAAACATTTCAAAAATCCTCGTTTACAGACGGCTCTGTTGAGAGTCCTGACCCAGAGGCTTAGTGGAGAACGAGTTGAAGAACTCGTTGAGAGCATCAACAGTGCCACTGCCCTCGACAAGCTGCACAGTGCAAGCAACGTGGCTATCGGGACGAGTGACGACAACACCACCCTGCTCGGGGTCAAAGCCAAGCTTCTCGTGGGCAGCGAACTTGGCCTGGGGAACGCGCACATCGGGGATGTCGTCGGCGTAGAGGTGGTGGTGGTAGTCGCGCAGGACCTGGGGGATGGAGTCGACATCGATGGTGTTCTTGGAGCCAGCGTAGATCACGGAGAGAGTGAAGAGCTTGGAGTGGGGGTTGTGGCGCTCAAAGAATGAAACGTCGGCGATGTCAGATCGGCGGTAGGCGGACAGGAAAGAACGCTCCTTCTCCAGGTTGGCGGCAAAGTCGGTAATGGCCTTCTTGGTCTTGGCCTGGTTACCGGCGAAGACGAAGATGCGGAAGGATCCGTTCACAGGGACCTCCTGCTCCAGCTCGACGAAGTTGGAGTCGGCAAGTCGAGTGACGGTGGTGGGAGTGAAGGCACGGCCGGGGGTCAGGTGAACACCGGGAATCTGGAACAGAGGGGACTTGGCGGCATGGCTGGGATCCCAGGTGAAGATGTTGGGCTGGTAGGCCACTCCGTATCCACTGGTGAACTCGCAAGAGGACTTGAAGGTCTTGACGAACTCGTCCTCCTCGCCGACATTACCAACGGTAGCATGGCTGGCAGAGCCAACTTCGCCAGCGGATGGGCGACGCTTGGAGAACAGGGCAGCGTACTTGGAGTCAAAGTTGAGCAGAGTCTCGGCAATATCCTTGCGCTCGCTCTCATAGGTGCTGAGGATGGAACGGTCGGCGAAGCCACTCTCCACGGCGTGGAGCTTCCAAGCCATGTTGAGGGCGTCGTGGAAGGCAGTGTTCATACCTTGGCCAGCCTTGGGCTTTGAGGTCGTTAGCTAAATTACATATCGTGGGGATGGGATAAACTGACGCTGTGGGTGTGGCAAGCATCACCGCCCATGAAGACCCGCTCGTCGAGGGTGTACTTCTCGGAAATACCCTGTCCAATAGGGTAGACGGAGTACCACTCGACCCGGTCCCACTCAACCCAGTAGGGCTTCAAGATGTTCTTTGCGGTCTGTTGGACCTCCTCGGCGGTGGCGGTCTTGCGGGGGTTCCAGTCGGCGTCGGTGGAGGAGGCGATCTGAACGTAGAGGCGGACCATGTTGTCCTCACGGGGGATGACCATGATGGAGCCAGCGTCAGAGTGAATAGTGCACTTAGTCTGTAAAATCAATTCGTTAGATCGCATATTGCAGTTTCGGTTATTTTTGGGAATCTTACCTCGATGTCGGGGAAGTTGGTGCGCACAACACCGTCCATGACACCCCACACGTAGGCGATGGGGTCCTTGTGGTGGATCTTGATACCAAGCTGCTCGCGCACAAAGCTGCGGGCACCCTCGCCAGAGAACAGATACTTGGAGCGCACGTTTTCAATAACGTTGGTGTCCAGACACTTCAGGTTGACCTCGACGGGGTATTCAGCATTGGCACCATCGTTGTTGAAACCAACGATGGTCCATGGGCGCTCGACAGTGGTGCCCGCCTTCTGGATCTCCTCCAAAAAGACGCGCTCGATCTTACCCTGGTGCACGAGGGTGGTGAATGGGTAACGGGTATCAATGAATCGGGGGCAGCTGGGCCAGCTGCCGGTTCGGCCGATGCCTGAACCATCCGCCTTGGGGTCCCAGAAAGCGACATCGTACACCTTGGCGGGCTCGTACGCCATGATCGAGCGCTTCAAACCAAGGTTGCGCAGAATTTCGGTGGAACGCGGCTGGATACCGTCGGCGCGACCAGTTGCGGTCGGCACCGGTCGGTTGTCAATGTGCTTCACCTTGTAGCCCCATCGTGACATACACAGGGACAACAGCAGACCGACGGGGCCGGCGCCGACAATGACGATGTCATAGTTCTCTTGAACCATGACGGGCAGATTCAAATGGTGTATGTGATGGTATATGATGTAATGGTATGTGCCAAACAATATTCAAAGAACCAAGTCAGAATTCAAGGGTATCACAGTGTCATTCCTATGAGAAGGAAAGAAAAAGAATGAGAGGGCCATGAACATCCCTATATACTGTTTGACAAACCGGGGGTAAGCGAGCAAATTGGGCGTAGCACTGAAGCACCGGAGAGCATCCACGGCATTGAGAGTCGGGTAGATCGTGGGGGAGCATCGGTTCAAGGGCTGGGGTGGCCAATCACAGGGAGCCAAATGGGAGTTATGCACGATTAGTCAGGTTCACCAGCGACAAGCGCCGTGTGGGGACGCCGAGATGCTTGTCCATGTCATTACTGCCGTCGTTGATCCCCGGTGTGTAGTGGAGGCAGTGGAGAGGAAGAAATCAAGGGAGCAGATGAATGCGGGCGGTGACTGGCGGTGACTGGCGGTTGGTGTTCATCGCCACTCCACCCGGAAACAACTTCGGTAGCTGCAGTGGAGTCCACGTGACCCCATCCTCGGCAGCCCTGCCCGGGATTTCTCTCTGTTCTTTTCCACTTCACTGTTCCTCCCCGATTTATCCGCCATCATTGTTGGTTCCGGTTGCCGTTCTGCCGCCCTACAGGTAGTTTCACCTGGGACTTGCAGGGCCGGAAAACCCGACTTCGCGTGCCATGTTTGAGCCCCCGTCGCTGGGGGACCTGGTGGACAAGATGACGCTAGTTCCTCGGTCACGACAATGGCAATTCGATCGGCTTCCTTGACGGGCAATATGGCTATTCGGGTTTCGTTCTGGGCATTTGCAATTGCAATTGATACGTTCGATTCCTAGGCGATTCAATTCCCGCGCATGACTCCCATGATCTCATCACTCAAGACGCTAAGGTTGGACCTGGAATAGGCATGTTGTTGCATAGTGGACATGGATCACATGTGCCTTCGAGATGAAAGAAAGATCAGATGCCACGGGATGGATCATACCTAGGTAGGGGCGTTCGATGACTTACCACAGGGCCGCCTAAAGTCCTCCGTAGTGTGGGAATACAACGCCAGGCCAGGCGACGGAGTATGAACCTTGGAGCTTTCGGGTAGGTTTTCAGCAAACAAGCTACATAGGAGTATTTTAAGTACTAAACACATCAATATTGTCATAGAATCACTGTGAACGGAAATAATTCAATCTGTTATACTTTTGCCAACATTAGATCTCTCTATACCAAGTCTCAGTATAACTATAACAGGTTGCACGTGGGGCGACGTCATGAGGATCGGTCACCGCTCTCTTCCAACATTTTGACATCTCAACATCTCAACATTTCTACATTCCTACATTTCTGCTTTTGCTACTCTATATGGGGAGCTGCAGTCATGCATCTCGCGTAGTGTCCGACACTAAGATCTGAGTGGAGATCGTTCGAACCCTCTTGCAATGACGGGCCCGATCCACACCTACGGTCCAAGCTGCGTGCTCGTAGATGAGCCCGAGCGGACCGACTGCCAGTCCTCGTCACCACCAGATATCCAAACGCAGTTTTTTTACATCTCAGCATTGCCCATCGATGATCCCCTGGCTCCCCTGCCACCCCCGGCAAACCAGGCAACAGGCACTGAGAGGCTGCCTCCGAAGCCATTTTCGGCCAGGGATAATATCGCGTTGGAAAATGCGTGGCGGGACCTACGGAAAAGAAAAAAGAACGAGCCAGAGAGCTCAAAGCCCAGATCCCAGGTGTCAAGTCGACCTTTCGGGATAGCCGTGCCTGGTCGCGAGGTGGAGTCAAATGTCCGACCGCGTCGCAAAACAGCCAGTCGACATGATCCATCCCTAGTGGAGAGCCGAGGGAGCACGTTAAGCAACCCTTCTTCGCTCCTGGATGAGCTGCATTCTCGCAGTCACAAAAGTAACGTTGCGTTTGCTTCAAGCCCTACTGCGACGCGAGCACAGGAAGTCAGCATTGAAGACCATGAAGACTTTTCATCGGACGATTGGGCAAAGCATGAAATTCCGGCCAATCCAGGAATTGATCGGAAAAGAGCGCGCTCTTCGCCGGTCAATGAGTCTAGTGCTGCCAAGCGAAGAAGTAGTTCTCTACTGGAGGTCGAAAATATCGATGAAGGTGAAGAGCTCGAAAGTCCACGAGACAATCGTTCTCACAATGCAAGCATAAGTGGATCTCCGTTTATACGAGCACCCATATCTCAGTCTCAAACACCTTTAGGGCGCTCCTTTGAGTCAACTTCCTCCAAGGAAGGCGGCCAAGAATGGCAAGCGGAAATACGGACTAGTGCTCCAAGGAGTGCCCCGAAGCCATCGGGCCTTAGAACTACTTTCAGCCTGGATCAATTGACGCAGGACTCCCAAGAGGACAGGTTGGAAGAGCAAGACACGCAATCAAAAATCCCGGTCGGGGTCTCCCGGCTTCATTTAGTCGAATTGCCAAATTTGAAGGCAAGTAGAATGACATCCTGCCCAACGTCCGTTTTAATAACCCCTCTTCAGATGAAACCTATTTATTGGAGTCCTCTTCAGGATATCTCAAACGTAGTCCGAGCCACTTGGTTTTACAAGAATACGATGTTCCCTGTCGAGACAGAAATCGCGAACAAGTTGGAAGAAGGATACGTTGAGCTGAAGCCATGGACCGATACCTGGCAAGACGAGTTGAACAGCTGCGTGGATAATGGTGCCGATGCTGAAATGAAGATCGTTCACCCGCTGTGGGCGAAAACTCCTACTCCGGTTGGTCAAGCTGCGAACACACAGGATGGCCCAGGTGGAGATACACCGCTAGACGACCCGGCCGAATCTACGAACTTCGATAAGAATCAGGCTGCTGGTGGAGTTTCCGCTCAAACCGAAAGCATCAAGCCATACCTTACATCCAGCGCCATTTATGTCAATGCAACAGACGCCCAGGTGCTGCGGCCTAGCCTACTGCCTTCAGCATCAAGGGGACGACGGCCTCTCGGCGCCATCAGAAAGGGTCGACAGATAGGCATCCCCGTGGTCCGGGGCTTCAATCGCCAGCTTTGGGAGCAAATCCATCCCTCAAAGACCAATCCTATTGACGTGCGCCACTATATCCGCAAGACTCAATCAAGGGACCCTGCTATACCAGGTGAACAGGTCTGCTATGCCTGCAAGATGGAAGAGTCGAGACCACCTCCAACTGACCTGGTCTTGGTTATTCACGGTATTGGGCAAAAACTCTCAGAAAGAATGGAAAGCTTCCACTTCACTCATGCCATTAATGCGTTCAGGCGGGAGGTCAACATGGAGCTCAATAACGAGCCTGTATGGCCTCACGTACGCCAAGATCACGGAGGTATTATGGTTCTTCCTGTCAATTGGCGCACCAAGCTATCGCTAGATGACCCCGATGTCGAATCCGGCGTTGAAGATCCAGCCAGCAACAACTTCTCTCTCGACGATATCACGCCGCAAACTCTCCCGGCTATCCGATCTTTGATCAGCGATGTCATGCTGGACATTCCCTACTACCTCTCACACCACAAGCCAAAGATGGTTAAAGCGGTAATACGAGAAGCGAATCGTGTGTATCGGCTTTGGTGCAAGAATAATCCAGGTTTCCAAGAGAACGGCCGTGTCCATCTCATCGCCCATTCCCTTGGCAGCGTCATGGCCGTTGATATACTCAGCCAGCAACCAACCCACGTCCCCCGTTTTGAATTTTCCAACACCCCTTTGCATAGCGATATCTTCGAGTTCGATACTAGACATTTGTTCCTCTGCGGAAGCCCAGCTGGATTTTTCCTTCTTCTCAACAAGGGTATGATCACAACGAAACACCGCAATAACCAAGATCTAACATCCCCATAGCTAGCCTCCTCCCCCGAAAAGGTCGAAACAAACCAGGCAGTGAAGGCGACGATCTCCTCCGAGGCGTCGCAGGAGAAGCAGGACAATACGGCTGTCTTGCCGTAGACAATCTGTACAACATCATGCATACAACCGACCGTAAGTGAACCATGAACCAAACAAACCATAGACCTTGCCTACTAAACACAAAACAGCAATCGCCTACCGAGTAAATGCAGCAGTCGACTCCGAACTCTCCAACACTCTCAAAATGGGAGCAATCCCAAGCTCAACCTCGACCTTCTGGCAATCCTTCGGCAGTGTCTTCCGATGGAGCTCCACGCCCTCCACATTCATGTCGACACCAACCCGGCCAGCAGCGGTCTCTAAACTCCCTTCCAACGTCGAGTTAGAAACTCACGACTTCACCCGTGAGGAAATCGCAGAGAAACGCATGCTCTTGCTCAATGATAATGGCCAGATTGACTACTACCTTTCAGGCGGTGGTGGTCCGCTTAATATTCAGTACCTTAACATGCTGAGTGCGCACAGCAGTTACTGGACTCTGGGTGACTTTGTGCGGTTCCTTGTTGTGGAGATTGCGAGGAAGCAGGGTAGGGAAGGGACTTTGGTTGCTTTTCGGGCGGAGAAGAAGAAGGGGTGGAAATATTCTAAGGGGTGAATGGTTTATGGTTGGCGTTGGTGGTTGTAACGTTTGGAATATCTAGAGTAGCGTCCCATACTCGATTTGTAATATTTGAATGAGACATTCTTAATTTTCTGAGTTGTCATACTTCGTTCAACTACTGCGTCTTCAGGGTTGTACTTAAGTAGGGCATACATCTATATATAGATATACCTTGGACAATTGCATTGTGTACATTCAGATCACCTTGAAATTAAATTCAACAAGAAGTAAATATAGCTAGGAAACATAAAAGAATCAGATATTAACTCTCTTTCTCCATCAAACAAGTCTAGTCCGAACCATGCACATTCCCCATCATCAAAGCCTCGAAAACCGCCCCCTTAGCAGCAAGTCCATTCCCAGGCCGCAGAACCACCAATGCATTCGCCTTAGCGAGACTGTCTACCTTAGAGGACCTCTGCCCAGCACCCTCCACCCCCGTACTAGTAGCATACAACCGACCATCAGACCGCGACGCAGTCACCACAGCACGATGGTATTCAGTGCGCTTCGCATCGAGAGGGAAGACATGACTCAAAACCACAGAAACAAGCGGAAGGCCCAAGTGAGGCGCAAGCCAAGGCTTCGAAGCCAGTGCTTGCGAACTATGGCCCAGGCCTGTGAGTTTATGCAGTGAAGGAAGAACGAATAAGTTCAGGGTAACCAGTGCCGAAGCCGGGTTACCAGGGAGAGAGAAGATGAGTTTCGATTGACGTTGCTGGGTATTGTTGCCTGATTCCTTGAATGGAATTGTTGCAAAAGTAGTGGGTTTGCCTGGTTTCATGGAGACACGGCCGAAATGAATTGTTCCACCTAGTGTTCGTTCGATGGTTGGTTTGAGGAGGTCTAATTCGCCCATTGAGACGCCTCCTGTTGTTATGATTACGTCGACGCTGGTTGAGGCGCGGCCGATGCCGCGGAGGGAGTCGCGGAGGGCAAGCTCGAGTTCGCTGGCTGGTGTGTCGCGGGCAATACCTAGGTCGATGGTTTCGTAGCCCCAGGATTTCAAGCAGGAGATCAGGGATGGGCGGTTTGAGTCGCGGATTTGGCCGCCTGTTAGAGTTCTGGGGTCGTTGTGCTCGACCAGCTCGTCTCCTGTGCTTAGAACACCTACGCGTGGTTTGCGGAACACTTTGATGGTCTTGGTGCCTGTTGAGGCTAGGAGTCCGATTTCTCCACCGACTGGGGTGATTAAGTCACCGCGAGTAAGGATCTTGGAGCCTAGTGCGACGTCGCTGCCGGGTTCGCGGACGTTCTCGCCAGGTTCGATTTCGTCAGTGAGAATTTCGATCGTGGCTTCCTCTTTCCCGTCGGGTGTGCATGAAGCCAGGGTTGTGTCTTCAACCATGACTACGGCATTCGCGTTCGGGGGGAGAGGGGCGCCGGTGGTGATTCTGGCAATGGTGCCCGGCTGCAGGGGCTCCAGGTTTCCGCCAACATTGGCGTGGGTGATTGACGCTACGGGGAATATCCCCTTGATGGACTGGGCTGTGGTTTTAGAGTCTGGTGCAATGACTGCGTAGCCATCGACGATGCTAGCGCGATATGCTGGGACGGATTCCGCAGCGTAAACATCCTCTGCAACGACCGAACCAATCAAAGAGGTAGTTACAGGAACTTCAATCACTTCAGGCTCAGGAGTCTGCTCATTGATCCGCTGGAGTGCCTCGTCAACAGAGAGCATCGGATAAGGCGAGGAACGGTAGCGCCGGTTAGGTCCAGCGCTAGGATCATTGGACTGAGGCCTGTCCGATGGCGCTGTGTGCGCTTTAGGGACTTTGTGACCGTGTCCATGATCGTGATGGTGGTGATGGTGATGATGCGAGTGCTGACTACTATCGACGCCAGCCTCCGATTCAAGCTTCTCCACGCCTCCGGCATGGAGATTCCGTGAATTGGCACCAGCAGCCTGTAGACAGGCATGGGGCAGAAGCTTTACAACAGCTTCCAGGTTCTCAGTGGCTCCTTTTGGTGATCCAGGCAAGGTTATGATCAAACTCTTATCACGAACACCAGCAACTGGTCTTGCCATCATCGCAACTATAGGAATTAGTCAGGTTCATAGTAGCTACTTTTGCAGTGCCTTTGAGACGCCAATGCTACTCACAAGGGGTCACCTTCAAGGAGGCAGCAATCATGCCGTGTCTTGAAATTCTAGTCAGTCCATTATTGTTGATACAGGAGGATATCAGCTCACATCAATCCCGGCGCATGGCGATGTATCAGGGGGGATACAGCCTAGTGATGTCATGAGCATTGGCACTGGAGGGATGGTAATAGATTGACAGACTTCCGGAGTATTGTCCTTGACTGCGAAACCTGTTCCTCCACTGAGTAGAACGAGGTTCTGCCAATTGGGGCCATCGGTCCAATCGCATAGGGCATGTTGGATCTGGAGGACATTGTCGGGGACGATCTTGAATGTGGGGGGTTCCCACTTCCCCTCAGCAGCCAAGATGGGGGTTAATGCATCTATGACTCTGTCGGATGCAGGGTCCTTAGAGGCTGTGTCGGACACGATCAGAATTGCGACCTTGAGTTTGTCCATGATGGAGGGAAGGTGGGAGGTTCACAAGTTGAAAAGGGAAAAACATCGGAGTCTCGCCAACCTCCGACTATCTACGCGGATTTAGATTTGTCACTGTCATTATTATCATCTTCTTTTGCCGATTGCAGATCTATAGCACTTTGTACTGAAATTTCAATTCAAAGTCATATATGAGTACGTAGCGGATACAGTTCATAAATTTCTACATTGAATCCTCTTAATATAACACGCAAAAGCTCAAGACTGTAGCCTTTAATTCAATACATATGATCGCCAAGATCATGAATGCAATTCAGCAAAACCAAGCGGTTCTACGTGGTCGATTCCGGACGCCCCAATGCGGTTATAAGAAAACATGAACAGGGAGGAAAGTGGAGGAAAGTGACGGGTCATTTTCACGAGGTATGCCGAGGGTGCAATAGCGGCTGGCCGTGCAGATCTGGATAGGGCTGAACTTCAAGCTGCCTCCAATGTCGCCGCCTTCTGCGCCACAAGAAGACCAACAATCAGACCGAAAAGACCGAGAACGGAGCTGAAAATCTCAACCACGAGAATCTTGACGAACCTGTAGAGTAGGGTTAGCAAAGGGTTTGCGCTGGATGTACAACACACGTCTGGAAACATACAGACTGGGATCGGCGGCATCAGCCAGAGCAGCTCCACTGCCGTTCACGCCGACAGAGATACCACAGATAAGATTGCACATGCCCACTGTGATTCCTCCCCAGAATACCGCGTATCCGGTGTAATAGTTGCTGGAGGTGTGGATAGCACCTTCGGGTACCGGGCTGAGCTTGGAGGAGAAAACAATAGCCATGATCACACCATAGATAGCCACGACTTCACAGAAAATAATGGAGATCAAGTTCTTAGTTCGGATTCGGGGCGCGCGGACACCACCACCAACAATTGATGAACCGGTGAGGAAGATACCCCTAAACGATAGGTGATTAGTATTGTGACACAGATTCAGATAGCCTAGATTCAGCTTACCATGCTGCGCCAACAACCGAGCAACCGATACAGACAGCGATTCCGATATTCGCCCAGGCGTAAGGAGAAACCTCCTCAAGGAAACGGCCAAACTACCACATCGCAGGTTAGCCAGTGGTTATGTCAGAGATCACATATGGTATGCATACGTTGAATGCTTCACCCTCGCCGTGGAAGAGCATATCTAGAATCCCAACTCATTAGCTGCCAGATCGCACCCTTGGCTGCGAGAACATACACAATCCCACCACGATGAGAGCGGTGGTTGAAACACCGACCGGGTAGAGGTAAGCCATGACCTCAGAGAGCTTGAAAGAATGAAAAGGCCAGGATCAAAAAGCACGATAAGACGAAGCTCTCTAGGTTGGAGGTGATGGGGGGACTCGGTGGTCGGACCGGATTAACTGCTCCGCTTGGGCGGTGACAACGCGCTGTGCTTCCCCGGACACCATCTGTTCCCCCTACTGGACTGTTATTTAGAAAAAGGCCCTTGTCCAACTTCTGAACCTGGCCTGATCACATTTGAACACTGTTCTCTTTCAACACGAACCTGGTTTTGACCGACATTACTACTACCCCCTGACCTTCACCGAACCAACACCTCCGTCACAATGGCCGCCTCCGGGGTTGGGTCGTATTCAAACCCCTTGAAGAAGTTCAAGTGAGTCCACAGTGTGCGCATATTGCATACAGCATTGGTTTGCTAATGCACAAATCTAGGCTGGTATTTCTGGGCGAGCAGAGTGGTAAGCACTCCATATTCAGACCTGAGCTAGATGCGCTTGGGTCAATGGGGATACAGTGAAATGCCAGGATCTAACTTGGAACTTCAGTCGGTAAAACATCATTGATCACCCGTTTTATGTACGACTCCTTCGACAACACATATCAGGCCACTATTGGTATCGACTTCTTGTCCAAGGTACGCCACCTCATACCCCGCATAGAGATCTCGGTCAATTTGGCTCTGTCATAGGGTGTGCTCTATGCTGCTATAACAGGCAGCTGACAATTGTTATCAGACTATGTATCTCGAGGACCGAACCGTTCGTCTGCAGCTCTGGGATACCGCTGGCCAGGAGCGCTTCCGCTCCCTGATCCCTTCCTACATCCGAGACTCAAGCGTTGCCGTGGTGGTGTACGATATTTCGAATGCCAAGTCCTTCCAAAACACCCGAAAATGGATTGATGATGTGCGCGGGGAGCGTGGCAGCGATGTAATCATTGTCCTGGTGGGCAACAAGACCGATTTGAACGATAAGCGCGAAGTCACCACAGCGCAGGGTGAAGAGGAGGCCAAGAAGAACGGATTGATGTTCATCGAGACCAGTGCAAAGGTCGGGCATAACGTCAAGCAGCTGTTCCGCAGAATTGCCCAAGCTCTGCCTGGGATGGAAGGCGAAGCCAAGCAGGGAGAGAGCACGAGTACGTCATTCCTTCAAATTACATTTCAATCCGTATACTCACCACGTTACTCTAGTGATTGATGTGAATATTAATCCCAAGGAGACCACCAACAACGACGGCTGCGCCTGTTGATTCCACCTCGTCCTTATGTGCCCTGGCTCGATCATGAAAATCGAACTTGTCCATGAAATTCTACCATCTTCGAATATGTACATGTCTTCTCTTTCTTTGCTTGCTCTCGAGTCGATAGCGCGTGTTTAGATTTTTCCAGTGCCGACTGCGTGTCAGATGTCTTTGCTGATTCCTTGGCAGGAGGCAAGGTGTTTTGAGCTTCGTTTACCCAGCATCATATCTCTTTATTATTGCAGTTGGCTTTCCTTTGCTTCATTTCCTTGGGGTCTTCTATTTACAACAGGCCACCATGCTAACATGTTTGATATGCTTAACGATGAAGCTGTACAGTACGATACTGCCCTCCTGGCTTACGCACGGCACAGCCGGTGCCAACAAATACGGAGCATACTTATCAGTGTCAGACTTGCCTTGATTGCATGGTATAAATCTTTGTAGGCACACAGGAGTTTCAGTAGAAAGTGAGGCTCGACTAAATGTCTGTGTGTGTGGCTAGGTGTAGCTCTGCACGTTTAGAACAACATCAAGCGCCACGATCTCAGAAAAAGAAACCTCGGACGTCCGTCTCATACTCCAGATTCCATGCTCTCTTGATCAATGAGTCGACCTTGCTCGCATCGGTGATACCACCATATCTGGCCAGTGCATGGGTCTTTACTTCGATTTCGGATCTAGAATAAAATGAGCACTTCAAACACTACTTGGTTTCCATGAAAAACCCGAGAAACATACCTTGTCAAAGAAAACTCTGGATCCCCCTTTGCAAACTCGACCGATTCCGTAAAACTGTTGCCAGACTTGCAAGTAACAACGACAGTTCCCTGCCACTTCTCTGGGAACTGAGCGTCTATTCGCTCATCGAGTTCCATTTTCACTCTCTTCTGGAAGGCACGCAACGAAGTATCTTTCAAATCCTCCTCTGTAAAGTCAGTAATCATAGCTTGACCCTTCTTTGCCGCAATGGCAAGCACAAAGCCCATTGAAAATTTGCTCTGGTGGACAGTATCACCCTCTCCACTCAATCCAAGTACATCAATTGCAGCTTGATATGTAGGTACCCTGATAGAATCAATATCATCGAAACCGACACCGTGCTTCGTCATCAGATGAAGCAATGCATCCACGCTAGGGTGTGTATGTCGACAAGAGGCATGCCACTTGAAGCTCGAGCGAACAACAGCATAATCCAAACCAAGATTCCGATCAATTGCTTCTGGATTGGTTTCCCCTGGAACAAGGGCTGCACCCATTGCGCGCGGGCCTTCTAAAATATCTCGCGGCCCTAAGAGTCCATCGCGGGCACTGTAGGCCGCAAATATGCCGTCGAAACAGGCCTTGGCGGTATGCACTTGTTTTGAATGAGTTGCGTCTATCAGGAATTGCCATAGCCCTGCTGCTTGTGTGCCGGCTGTTCCTACGGCTGAAAGTGTTTGGCTTGCATCGAGTTTCAGTAGGTGAGATACCGCAGCTGCGACTCCGATTACTCCACCTGTGGCAGTGCTGTGGAATTTCTGGCTGAATGTTAGCCAGTGATGGATGGGAGGAGCAGAGATTTAACGCTGGTGAAAGCATGTGTATACTGATACAGATTCATACCTCATAGTGACTCTTTCCCAAATATTCACCAACGCGACAACCAACTTCATACCCAACAACACAGGCTGCAATAAACTCTTTTCCACTAGCACCCAGATCCTGAGCCACTGCCAAAGCAGCAGGGAAAATGACAGTTGCCTACTAACGGATAAGCAGCAGGCTCATGGATAAAAGTGCAGAGATGTGTGCAGCTCCAACTTACTGGATGCATAATACTTCTGTTGTGAAGGTCGTCTTGCTCCACCACATGAGATGCAGCAGCATTAATTAGACTGGCAAATGCTGGGCTGGTCGTGAGATTTTGGGAGCTATCGATTAGCTCACTCTTTCCACTTGACGGTCCCATTTGCGCTGCAAATCGCACCATTGCAGAGACGGCGGGGTGATCTCGGCCTGCTATTGCGCAGCCGAGAGTGTCTAGGAAGAAGTCTTTGGTGCGTTGAATGACATGGTCGGGGATTTCGCTATATTTCAGAGCTACTGCCCATTTGATCAGTCGGTCTGTTCTCGTTTGCTCGTCTGCGGTGGTCATGATAGAGGCTTTTCCAAGGATAGAGGGGTGTTGTGTGTAGCAGTTACTTGATTGCTGTGAAATAATCTAGTTTAGCATTTGTGTTAGGGGAGTAAAGTTCTTTACTAAAGTACTTAAGTAGATTCTTTATAGTTCGGCCTTGGGGTATGCGGGGATGCGGGCAGGGCCCCGAGGTTACTTATTTCCGAGCTTGTTGCCGAGGGTCGGCACCTAGATAAGTAGGCTCCGGGCTATCAATACTTAAGTATTTAAGGGGTCCAAATGTTGACATGAAGCATGAGAAGAAATATTCAGATTTTGGTCTGAGTATTTGCCATGCAACCTTGGCATTAGTGCAACTGGACTTTAGAGAGACAGTGGCAGTTATACTTAAGTATGTAGTATATGTTACCGAGAGCATATAGCCGATATAAATGATATTTCACCGCATATACACCTTTAGCTTTCATACCATTGAAGCTTTGCATCTAGGGCTATTTTATATCTATAGATGTAGTTATGTTCGATGCCTCATTTCTAGGGCAGCAATGAGGATAGGAAGTAAGGGGCACTTCGAGATCTGTCCCGATCATGGGGGATATCTGGCCGAGTCTAAAGTACTGATCTTTAACCTGTTCTTTGTGCCTACTCGTAGTACACCTTAGTGACTTTGTCTGGAGTAACCCCAGAGTCTTCAGGCACTACATCATACAGGGAATACGAATACGAAAGCGGAATCGGAAATTGATCTGCAGGCGGATCACCCGGAAACTGGTGCCCCCTGTGGCTCCAGCCTCTTTTCAACTTCTTCCCTTTTTCTATATTCAAGTTCCTCATCATCACGCATTCTTGACCATGGGATTTTCCTCCCGATTTCTCCGCATTCCGCGGCCAGAGGTGAGTTTTCTGTCTCCGTCGCCCGAACGAGCTAACCCAGACAGTCTTTTCTTTATGTGATGAGCCTAGAGACCGGTGCCTCCCTCATCACCCTGTCCCTATTGTTGAATAAAATTAGTGGCTTCTATGGACTCCTCGCCCTGTTCACTGGCTACCATCTATCGCCTGTGCAACTGTCCATGTACCTGTGGTCTTTGATTGCCCTAGGACTCGCCGTCGCTCTCTTCCCTCACATCCGCAAGCAAACGCCGCTCCAGTGTCTCGCTCTCGCCTACCTGTATGTGTTCGATAGTTTGATCAACGCGGCATACACCGCCGCCTTCGGAGTGACCTGGTTCTTGGTGGTGTCGCAACATTACGACAGTGGCAAGGCAGTCGGTCCAGGAGGCGACACCATCGCGCAGACCGCCGGATTCACCAGTCCCAAGTACGATGCCGCCTATGTCGAAATCCAGAACACGAAAGAAGGCAACAATTTTATCGCGCATCCCCCACGCTCCGATGACCTCAGTAATGTTGTGCTTCAACCCGAAAGTCTGCAAAGCATCATTTTCATCTCTCTCCTGTGGGCGATCCGGGTGTACTTTGTGCTCGTGATGCTGGCGTTCGCACGCCAGGCCCTCCGCCTCTGGGTCGCCATTCCCCGACACACTCAACTCCCCACTCACAGCCGCAACGTCTCAGTCGCCAGTGTCGCCGATATCGACCGGGAGCCCTTCTCTCCATACAGCCCCGACGGACAAGGATGGGAAGGCAAAGTGGGCCGAATCATGATTGGCATTGGACACAGCTACTGGCTGGGTGAAGAAGAAAATGGCAACTGGCTCAGCGGCATCAACCACAAGTTCCGCAACCGCTCTAACAACACCGAGCTCCCCGGTGCGCTGGAGCGCGAGAGGAGACGTCGATCTGGCACTGGCCCTCCCCAACCCTCGCCTTCTCTCGTTCGGCCTACCGTTCTCCACCAGCCGATTCCCGAACATGGCACAAATGTCAAGATGCAGGATTGGACTGCCCCTCGATAAATGATTTTCTTTCGTTCTGCACAAAACCGCTCGCATGATTGTATAGCGCTCCGCGTCATCAATCCCCCCACTCCCCTGGCTACGCGCACCAGCCGCGGACCAACTCGCCGCTCAGCCGGGTGACACAATCCGCATGGCTCTTGTGTCTGTCCTATCGTTTCATGAGACCGAATCACATGCGATACCCTGGTTTCCGTTGAGACCCCAAAAAAGCTCGAGCGCACTGCTCGACTATGACACTCTCAGCATAAATGAACTCGGAACGGGTCCAGAAATTTGTCCATCGCATTTCGGCACGACATCTGGTCCCCTCGTTGGGTCTGGCATTTTGAAATTTCATCCCGGAGTTTGGACATTTGACGGATGGGGCGTTTCACTGAAGTGTGTTGATATCCATCTTTTATCTAGATTTGGCGTCTGGACATGTATGGATCATGTATATTGCTGTGAAGTGGGGGATGGCTTTTCCCTCAGGTTTATGTTTTGTCTTATTGTACACAATTGCTGTTGGATGCACTCACATATTCATAATTTATCTCGACACTGTACATTTGTACTAAGTATATTTCCACACATTTGAAGGGCTCTGAAGACGTAGTACTCCGTCAGTAAAAATACACTCTCGGCCGAGGTGGAGCTGATTGTAGTGGGACAGATCTCGGCATTTGACCGGTAATATATACTTAAGTACTAATGGGGGAGCTCCTAAGTCGGAGGGATTTTTTATCTCAGAGAGGGGAGACTTAGTGGCATCGGTAATTGGGGTGGTGCTATTGGTAGCACACTAAGAAAGGTTAAGCCAAGGCAATTTTTCTTCTTTTTTTCTGAAAAACGAGATATACGAATAATTGACCGGGGGTTTGGCGATGGCGTAAGTGTAAAGCAAATCCCTCCCGGGATTCTCAGGCAGTTTCCCCTCACGCAAGAACCTCTCAGATGGAAGAACAACCCCGGAACAGTCGCCGACGAGGGATGCAGGTACAGACAAACAGAGACAAACAGGTGCAAACAGGTGCAAACAGCAGCAAATCCCGACGCTGACGTGCTCGAGTAGATCACGGGATCCCCCGCACTGGGCCCAAAGCGGTAAGTTTGCATCTGTTGCAGCAGCTGTTTGCACTGATGTCGTGATCGTACACCAATCAGCGGACTGCTGATCTAACCCCGACGACGGAGAATTGAGTCGATGCTGTGGAAAAAAAACCAGGGCAATCTTCTTTTTCTCTTGTTGACTCAGAGAGAGAGCTTATATCCTCTCCCAATTGTACATCCTTTGATTTGGTGTGCGCTGTGCGACTGGGATAGCGCTGCATACTGATAAGCAGATCGCCCACTATAACCATCCCACCTGTGCTGTGCCTCCATACAGCCGACACTTACAATGGCCTCTATCTCGTCCGCGGCCGAGGCGGGTAAGTCAGACTACAATCCGGGGCAACCAGAAGGAAAGGTCAGAAAAAAACTGACCATCGTGCAATCATATTACAGTGGCGAGAATCGCCTACCTCACCAGTGATGTCGTCCTATCTGTGCAGCCCTCATTGCAGAACGACTCTCTGTTCTCCAAGTCCTTGAAGGCCTTCAAGGCCAATAAGACAACCAACTTGTCATCAAAAAGCACCGAAGTGAGTGTGGATCAACGAGCCATGAAACCAGGCACTAACGAGGTCAGGTCCAATCCGTGCGTTATAACGAAGACCCTCTACTTTCTGCCTTCACACCCATTAAAAATGGCGAGACTATCTCTGTGGTGACAAGCTCCTCGGTTCTGATCACTGCTGTCCCTCACCTCTACCGTCTTGCCAACAGCCCCGTGGTCGTCCACGTTGCTTTGGAATCCTCTGATTACTCCGCCATTAGCTCGATCCGCCAATCCGGCTTCACTTTCCTGCACTCAGAGACCGTGCAGGAAGCCCAAGATATTGCCATCACAGCCCACGCACTTGCTCGCAAGTCTGGAAAGGGTGTGATCCACTTCTTCGACCCCGCCAACTCCGCCAAGGACCCCTCCATCGCCACGGAGGATGTTGAGGTCGTGAAGAAGGTTCTTCACATTGGTGGGAACGTTGCCACCTCCGCTGGTATTCAGGGTTTGTATGCCGACTCCGGTGTGACATCTACCATCACTGAAGAAACCGAGGGCTCCGCACCCTCCGGACAAAATGGGTCAAATGACCTGAATGCGGCTTCTCAGCCCCAGACTCCCTTTAATGCTAGCGTGGAAAATTCCTCCGTCGGCTCTTCCCGCCGGGAGAGCAGTGCCGGAAGCGAGACCCCTAGCTCAAACGCCACAACCGTTGAGGGTTCCAGCAGCCGCCCTGTGAACGCGGCCGATATCTTCGAATGGACCGCTCAGATCTGGAACGTCCTGTTCCAGGAGGTTGGCCGCCGATACAACGCCATTGAGTACACCGGTACCGCCGAGGCGAAGTCTGCCATCTTCGTCTTTGGCTCCACCGGAGTCTTCGTGGATGCTCTCGCCAACGGCGATAACACAGAATTGGAGAACATTGGTCTCATCACTGCACGCCTGTACCGCCCTTGGGTTGGTGGCCAGATTTCCAACGCTATTCCCAGTTCGGTGGAGAAGATTGCTGTTCTTGAGCAGGTCCGCAAGACCACCAAGTGGGGTCCCTCTTTCATGGATCTTCTCTCTAGCTTGACCCCGGCTGGTCCTCAGGGCAAGGGTCCTCAGATCGTTGGATACCGTCTCGGATTTGTCGAGCCCTCCACCGCTGTCCAGGCCCTTCGTGGTGTTCTGCAGAACCTGACCTCCGCCTCCCCCATCCAGAATCTCGAGATTGGAAGCTCTCAGGTTCCCACTACCCAGAACGCCCTGGAGCAGCCTCGTATCGAGAATGCCTACCTGAAGATCCTTCACCAGCTCTTCGGTGAGCGTCTCCACATCGCCAACCAGCTTGGTGCTAAGAATGCCGGCATCTCCAGCACCATCGCTGCCAGCCCTGAATTCGGTTTCGGTTCCCTCTTGGCTCGCCAGGAGCACCGTGTGCGCTTCATTCGGGAGGTCGAGGAAGCCTCCAAGTCCACTACCTTTGCCACTGATGTGCCCAAGACTTGGTTGTCCCGCTGGGCCCTTAACGTCAAGGAGGCTGCCAAGGCTAACAAGCTGGCCCCTGAAGTCATCTCTCGTCTTTCCAACGACGGCTCTGCCCTCTCTCGCGAGCTTCTTAAGTCCAAGAAGCTCTTCTACGAAGAGTCTGAGTGGCTCATCGGCTCCGATGCCTGGGCCTACGATCTGGGCAACTCCGGTGTCCACCACGTTCTCGCTTCCGGTGCTAACGTCAACATGCTGATCATCGATTCTCAGCCTTTCTCTGAGCGTGCTGCTGCCGACGCTACCCGCCGCAAGAAGGACATTGGTCTTTACGCCATGAACAGAGGTAACGCCTATGTCGCCTCTGTGGCTGTTTACAGCTCGTACACCCAGGTCCTCCAGGCCATGTCCGAGGCCCAGCAGTTCAAGGGTCCCTCCGTTGTCGTTGCCTACTTGCCCTACAACCAGGAGAACGACTCTGCCCTCACCGTTCTCCAAGAGACCAAGAAGGCCATCGATCTCGGCTACTGGCCTTTGTACCGCTGGAACCCCGAGAACGAGGCGAAGGGTGAGCCCAAGTTCGTCCTCGACTCCGAGCGCGTCAAGCGTGATCTCGAGCAGTTCCTCCGCCGCGACAACCAGCTCACCCAGCTGATGAACCGTTCCCCCAAGTACGCTCCTGTCCTCTCCGAGTCTTACGGCACTGAGGTTCGTGCTGTTCAGAAGCGCGCCGCCAAGGACTCCTACGAGAAGCTTCTCGATGGTCTGTTTGGTGCCCCTCTGACCATTCTTTTCGCCTCCGACGGTGGTAACGCCCAGAACCTGGCCAAGCGTCTCGGCAACCGTGGTCGCGCCCGAGGCCTGAAGACTATGGTCTTCGCTATGGACGAGTTCCCTCTCGAGGACATCTCCACTGAGGAGAACGTTGTATTCATCACCAGTACCGCTGGTCAGGGTGAGTTCCCTGTCAACGGTCGTGCCCTGTGGGAGCACGTCAAGTCCACCGGTGATCTCGATCTGTCCACCATCAACTACTCCGTCTTCGGTCTTGGTGACACCCACTACTGGCCCCGTAAGGAAGACAAGATCTACTATAACAAGCCTGCCAAGGACCTTGATGACCGTGTCGCCTTCCTGGGTGGTCGCAAGTTGACCGACATCGGTCTTGGTGATGACCAGGACCCCGATTCCTACCAGACTGGTTACTCTGAGTGGGAGCCTCGTCTCTGGAAGGCCCTCGGTGTTGACAAGGTTGAGGGTCTCCCCGAGGAGCCCGCTCCCATCACCAACGAGGACATCAAGATTGGTTCCAACTTCCTTCGTGGAACCATTGCTGAGGCTCTGCTCGATGAGAGCACTGGTGCTATCCCCGCCACTGATCAGCAGCTCACCAAGTTCCACGGTACCTACATGCAGGACGACCGTGATCTGCGTGATGAGCGTAAGGCTCAAGGTCTCGAGCCTGCCTACAGCTTCATGATTCGTTGCCGTCTTCCCGGTGGTGTTGCCACCCCCAAGCAGTGGTTGCAGATGGATGCCATCAGCAGCTCTCACGGTAACGAGACTATGAAGCTCACCACCCGTCAGACCTTCCAATTCCACGGTGTTATCAAGCGCAACCTTAAGGGCGCTATGCGCGCCATTAATGCCTCTATGATGGATACCCTCGCTGCCTGCGGTGACGTTAACCGTAACGTCATGTGTAGTTCCCTCCCCGAGCTCTCTTCCTTCCACCGTGAGACCTGGGCTCTCTCCACCAAGATCAGTGAACACCTTTTGCCCTCGACTAATGCCTACCACGAGATCTGGCTGAAGGATGACGACGACAAGAAGGTCCAGGTTGCTGGAGACGCTGTCGTTGACCACGAGCCTCTCTACGGCGAGACCTACCTCCCCCGCAAGTTCAAGATTACTATTGCCATTCCTCCTCACAACGACACTGATGTCTACGCCCACGACATTGGTCTCATTGCCATTAAGGGTGAGGACGGCCACCTTGTTGGTTTCAACGTCCTGGCCGGTGGTGGTATGGGTTCCACTCACAACAACACCAAGACCTACCCCCAGACTGGTCGTATGTTCGGATACATCCCCGCCGACCAGATCCACATTGCCTGCGAGAAGATTATGCTTGTGCAACGTGACAACGGTGACCGCAAGAACCGCAAGCACGCCCGTATGAAGTACACCATTGACGACATGGGCGTTGAGGCCTTCCGCGCTGAGGTCGAGAAGCGCATGCCCGAGGGCCTGAAGTTTGGCGAGCCCCGTCCCTTCGAGTTCAAGGCCAACGTCGATACCTACGGCTGGCAGAAGGATGAGACAGGTCTCAACCACTTCACCATGTTCATTGAGAACGGTCGTATCGAAGATACCGCCGACTTCAAGATGCGCACTGGTCTCCGTGAGCTTGCCGAGTTCGGCAAGGGTGAGTTCCGTCTCACCGGTAACCAGCACTTGATGATCTCTCGTATCACCGACGACGACCTTCCTCTCGTCAAGGACCACTTGGCCAAGTACAACCTCGACAACACCAACTTCTCTGGCCTGCGTCTCTCATCTTCTGCCTGTGTTGCTTTCCCCACTTGTGGCCTCGCCATGGCTGAGTCTGAGCGCTACCTCCCCGTCCTCATCTCCAAGCTGGAGAATACCCTTGAGGAGTGTGGCCTTGCCCAGGACAGCATTGTCATGCGTATGACTGGTTGCCCCAACGGCTGTGCTCGTCCCTGGCTCGCCGAGGTCGCCTTCGTTGGAAAGGCTTTCGGTGCCTACAACATGTACCTGGGTGGTGGATACCACGGTCAGCGCCTGAACAAGCGCTACCGTTCTTCCATCAAGGAGGATGAAATCCTCGAGATTATGAACGACCTTCTCAAGCGCTACTCTCGCGAGCGTGACACTGACGGCGAGGAACCCGAGCGCTTCGGTGATTGGTGTATCCGCGCCGGTATCGTCAAGGCCACCACTGATGGAACGAACTTCCACGATGGCGTAAGTGATCTCTTCTGACTCTTCTACTCATTGATACTAACTTTCTTTTCCAGGTTGCCGAGGATGAGGAAGAGGAATGAATGCTATGTGACCATAATCTCTGATCTGTTACGACTCACGGGAATTTCGATTTGTTTTCTGTACATCGCAATGCGTTGTTTTGGCCTCATGATTCCACCTCTGCAAAAAATTTAGATATACATTGATTTTCATTTCATTTTCACCTTGATATTCCATCCTTTGCGTATTCGACCGTTCAGTTGGTGGCTGTGTAGGCAAAGTTGATGTAGGGCTGACATCACACCCTAACTACAAAATGGAAGTCTCCCCATGTTCTTCACTTGAGCAACAATGGCATCCATGTTATCCACAACATTTGCGCCACTACTCTATCTTCGCCGTCGCTATCGTCAAGATTCCGACTGGACGTATCGACAGGCACTTCTGGTCACCTGGATGAAGCTCTTCCTACGCTTGTTCGTAGCAGTCCGGACCAAACCACCTTTATCCCTCAAGCCAGGACTAGAGGGAGACCGCTTTGTGCAGATCGCACCAGCCCAGACAGAGCTCTATACGGGGATCACCCTGGACGACGAAATCCAACCAACCCCAATAGGTGGCACTTGGTTCCCGACGCTATACCAATACAACACGACAACCAGCCAAGACAAGCATGTCGTCCTCCACTTCCACGGCGGCTCCTACATCCTCGGCGACGGCCGCATAGCATCGTGCAAATACCTCGCCGACAGCCTCCTCAACCACACCCCCTCCAGCCACGTCTTCAGCCTCCAATACCGTCTCGCCTGTAATCCCCACTGTCGCTTCCCCGCCCAGCTGCAAGATGCCATCACCGCCTACTCCTACCTCCTCCACACCCTTCACATTCCCGCAACCCGCATCGTCATCAGCGGCGACAGCGCAGGCGGCCACCTCGCCCTCGCTTTACTCCGTTACATCTCCGACTATAACGACGATGCCGTCCTACCCCCACCCACATGTAGCTGGCTCTTCTCGCCCTGGTGCGATATCCCCGGTGCTCTCAATCCACGTCTGTGGGACAATATCCCCAACGCAAAGACGGATGATATCCCACCTTCGTTCGCGGCATGGGGAGCCAAGCACACCATTGGTGGTGTAGAGATTACTCGTGAGATGGAGCCGTATCTTGCGCCGATTTGGCATCCTTTCGTACTTCCTTCTTCGGTCTTGGTCGTTTCTGGTGGTAGGGAGGTTATGTGTCAGGAGCATGATCGACTGGTGAGGCATTTGGCGAAGTTGCCGCAGAATGAGCACCGGGTGGAGTTTTTTGTGCAGGATATCATCCCGCATGATATTCTGATGGTTGCTTGGATTCTGGATTTTAAAAAAGATGCTGATCAGTGTGCTGTCAAGGCTGGGACTTTCTTGACTCAGGTTCTTGGGGCTTCGGATGATAGTGAGGTTCCTTGTGTGCCTTTTGAGGATCATTGATTATAATTTGATATTTCTCTTTATTACCTGGATGTATCACTTCAATTCCACTACGTCTACAGAGTACTGCAGATATATCTCAAACTCCTTCCAAATCGGGTTGTTATAGATTGGCTTGTTTGTCTTTTCTTCTTTAAATCCTTCCATCTCTCTCTTCATTCATCTCTTTATCTTATTTTCATCTTTTAGAAGCCATCTTCTTTCACTCTCACTTACTTCTTTCACTCTGACCCACATCTCATCTCCAGACTCATTGACGCGTCCAACCTCGAGTCCACAATCAGATCTACCAGACATATCATAAACCAGAACAATGGCACCTACACTCGAGAAAACCTGGGCCTCAAACCCCCTCCGAAACCCGTACGTCCCAACCCCCCACTCCAAGCCAAAACTAACAGCCACAGCACGATCCTAACCAACCTCGAGCCTCAAAAGTGGTTCCTGCCAATCATCACCAGTCTAATCCTGGTATATCTGGCAATATGCCTCATGAAGGCAGTATCCAGGAGTATCAACAGCATCAAGGCAGGGTATGTCGATAAATGATCCTTCAGATGAGGGTATTGACCATGCAGAAACCCCGCTAGGACATACAATACTGAAGACTCGTACCCGGACGTGAAAGAGGGTAAGTGGGGGATCCTGAAGACCTTGTGACATGAGACTTATTTTTGGCTGCAGAGGGCTCGACTTGGTTCGTTTACCTATGCTATGCTGTCCTTGCGCTGTGACCTATCGGGCTGCAGAGTCTTATTTGGGTTGGTTTGTACACTGATTCTGGAGTTTGGCGTTGGATTTGGGTAATAGTTAATGGCGTGGGACTGGATGCATATTGTTTTCTTGTCAATGTTATGGGTTGGCATGGTTTACTTGAGTCTTTTTCTTGACTCTTGTTCCCCAGGGGAAGGAGTCTGGAGTAGTGTGATTTTGATCGATATTACCGCTGGGGCCACTTGGCATGCAGACGAAATTGATGTGTCTCGAAGAAATAAGCAAAAATCCAACCTTGTAAGGCTGTGTCCTCGAAGACAGAAAATACGCAGTACGTAGTACGGTTACCAGAAGCAATTGACTAAACAACTCTTATATTGGCAGGCAGAACTCATTTAAGAGGTCTGAGAGAAGTCTAGCTAGGCCAAATGCTCGAATTCGACATCGACAAAATCCATCATTCAAAACAACACCACACTCAACCAGACACGACACTGGACCATTCATCCCTTCAAGCCCAATTTCGCAATGTTCGCTTGGAACATACCGCTGTGAATAGCGGATTTTTTGTCCTTGGTAGTGGCCCGCATGCAGGTCCTTCTACCGTAATTTCGGATAAGACAACTGCCTTTCCGTGGTCGTCTAACCAAAATTCCTGTGACTTCGTGTCACTTGGAGACGTATGGATGCCTTACTTTGAGGCTCCTGTCTCCGTTGTCGATGGGCCCGATCCCAGCACCCTACTGGTCGTTGGCCGCGTGTGTCGTCGCTGTGTCAATTGACTACAGTTTGTAGGTCACGAGTGTCTTTCTCGATTCCTGTGTCGTGTTGCAACTCATACCGTTACAAAGGTCCGTCGGGAGACGAAGGTTCGAATCCCTGTTTGTCTGTCTGCAACATTTGTTACAGAGAGGGCAGGACAACAGTGCTCAGTGGTGTCTGGTTGGAGGGATGGTGTGGTTTCAATAGAAAGAAAAGAAGAATTCGAGCGGCATCTCTCATGCTAGGAAGGCTAACGGAGGTAGGACCTCGACGTCAGGGTTGATTGTGCCTTGAGGGAGGGGGGAAGGTAGCATGTCGCTCTCTAAGCATAACTCAGAGGTCCCCAGTGAAAGGAAAAAAAAAAAAGTACAGGAGGGATTGCGACGGTCTTATAAGTACCCGTGATGGCGCCCCTTGCGTATATGACTAATCAGGTATCAAGCCCCACCCGTGAAGATCAAAAAAAAGTTGACTTGTCGACTGCAATCGAATTTACTTGACTCACTGGTCATATACGCTGACCGCTTCGCATCATGTCTGATACCGAAGATGACCCCGTCGTGGCCTCCTACGACGTCTTTCTCACGGACTCGGATGTCTCGCGCTATGTCTTCCAATACCTCGATCGACATGTCGACCTCCCCTACAATGACCGCAATAACCAGTGTCCGATTTCACTTAAGATGAAACAAAATACAGGACTTGTCGAGGTAGAGGTTCCCATCAGCACGCGCTCAAACTACGACGTGAACAAAGGCATGCGCTACGGCGAAGCAGTAAAGAAGAGCCGCTCTGCGCGGGACGGCGGTTCCTATGGAATGTCAGGTGGTTTCACCGCTGGCAGTGGAGCAGTGGGCACAGGAGGAAGAATGAAGACCGAAACCAACGGCGACGTGGAAGTTCTGGACAATAAGAGGGTGGTGGATTCGAATGCCCTGATGCGCACACAGGCACTTGCCGGTCGAGTAAAGCCTGCTGAAGAAGGAGACCCAATTTACATGCTGGGTACATTCAAAGATAGTATGTTCACCTTGCAGATTCATTTCCACTTTGGACAGAATGTGCTAACCACTTCTAGAAAACTTGCACCTCTCCCCCATTTCCTCGGTCATCCAATTCCACCCCCAGCTTCACCATTTGGATGCGCTAGACGAGATGCCCAAGGCGAAGGGTACCCGCGGCAAAAAGGACGACGACGAGCGCCCTGCCCCAGAAACCGAGGCACGCGCCATCGATATGAAAGTCAAAGCTGCGGAGGATGGCGAAACTCAACACAATGCGGGTAATTTGGAGATTCTGAAGCAGATGCAAGAAGAAAAATGGAGAACATATGGCTGGATTGATGCCGAGGTATGTTTGCCTAGTATATGGGTTTGGACTTATGGTTTACTAACTTTGGCTACAGACGGAGGACGCATGGTACACATACGAGAGCTTTATGCTGCACCCAGAAGATGGGGAGCCCCAGGCCTTGGAATCTAATCTGGATTCGGAAGAGTATCTGGATAAGATGAGTGCTCCCAGGATTGATCCTGCGCGCCCTGATCTGACTGGCTGGGCTATGAAAGAGAATCGACGGAGGCAAAGAGAAGCTCAAGCAGGAAGTGGAAACCAATGATGATACCTTATGAATTCAAATGATATTCTTACGAAGCTCTGCTTTACTTAAGTGTTAATTGCATCTTAAGATGTGGTAGTAGTACTTGAAGTACGGAGTAGATCTATAGATAACCTTGGAATATACGTAGAGCGTGTCACTCAGAGATACTTTAAACCAATAGAACTGGTATTTATAAAGCTATTCTATACTTAAGTTCGAATAGATCGAATAGATCGAATAGATCAGATACTTCGCCACATAGAGCTGATCCGCCAATCACGATAAGAGTGCTCACGTGACCCATTCGGTTTTTCTCCCGATCTCCGCCTCGAACAGGTCGCCAATCCCCTTTCTCTCCTTCGACGCTGTGCTTTTCGTTTCTCTTTTTTTTTTTCTTTTTCTTGCTTTGGTCGAGGGTTGCAGGATAGGTGAACCCGGTAATCTCTTATCGCCAGCGACAATATCCCGTTGATATCATCTGGATCATCGCGGTGTTTTTATTTTCTACATCTGTTGCGCTCTCCTAGCAAGTCTGGACTTGTTCATCCTATAATTTCAACTATCATCTATACCGACAATTGGATCGCTCCCGCTCCTCCCTCTCACCCTCTTCGATCCTCGGAATCGAAGTACACACCCATGCACCATGCTGTCGCGTGTGGCTCGCCAAAAAAATGCATTCCTTCTCCCGCGGAGAGCTCAGGCTCTTCGGGCATCGGTCTCTTTACCAATGACCTCCCTTCACTCATACTCCAGTAATCGCAGCCCTCTGGTGAACTCATCGAGCCAGTCTCTGCTCGACCGTGCCCGCAAGCCAACCTTGCAGTCAGAACGCCATCTCGCAACCGCCGCGGACCCATTATCCATCGACGCCCAGCCCGTGGACTCTTACGACCAATTCATGCAATCGCCCTTCCAGGGTCGCGACATTTCGTCTCTGGTCATCATTGACTCAACACCACAATCACACTCCAAGGTCTTCCGCCGCAGACACGGTCTCGGCGGCGACGAGACAGAGATGATGGCAAATTTGGATGTGTCATTGAAAATCGGGCAATACGATAGAGCGTCTGCACTGATTGCACGTCTTGGTCATTATCACCCACCTGGCTCACCGGAGTATCTGGCTTTGAACAACCGTTTCTTGAACACAATGGTGAGGCACATGATCCTTACACGCGACCAATCAATGGTACTTCCCGTGCAGAAATGGTTCGAGGTTGACATGCGTTTTTGCGATCTCACACCTGATGCCACAACATTTGCTTGCATGCTTTCTATGGCGCTGCGAATGCTCCATGGGCCTAAGCGAGAACGAACTGTGCGCCGTTATTGGGAGCTTGCTCAAAATGCTGGCCTGGAGGAAGAGGTGGTTGGTCTGGAGGTTCTTGATGACTCGGATGTTGGTGAACTGTCTAAGGTGGGTTTGTGCCCTTGCTTTAGGTACTGGATACATGCTAACTCGGAATTCCCAGATCTGCTCTTCTGACATGTTAGATCTCATTTCTAATTACCTGGAAATCACGGAAGGCGACATAGATATCACCACCAGCGACATTATCGATGATGATGTTCCTCAGGTTCAGGCCGCCGATCTGAAGGGACTGGGACTGTCAACTCTCAGGCAGTCTTTGTCTTCTTTCGGCAAGAAAGTCACATTGCCTGCCGATTTCAACGGCACTGAGGCGGAAGGCAAGGCGCTCCTCGCGGAAACGAGGCAGCGTCAGCTTGAAGCCGACAGTCTCAAGTCCGCCATCGAGAGGTGGCGTAAAGATCAAGAAAATCGAGCATCGCTAGGGCTCGAGGCCAGCGGCCAGGGGAAGAAGCTCGATAATTTGATCAGTCAATGGCACACAGCCCTCGTGCCAAGGATTAAGGAAGAGATCAAGTTGTACGAAGAGGGCTTGAAAGTCCCAATTACAAGTGTTGAACAAAGGGACCGTTGCGAATACGGTACCTATTTGAAAGGACTTGATTCGGATCGACTTGCTGCACTCGCCATCATGAGCGTGTTGGGCTTTTTCAGTCGCCAAGGATTCGCCAAAGGGCTCAAAGTTTCTAGCATTGCTGCTTGGGTTGGTAGAGAGCTGCAAGAAGAACTGATCGCCACTCACTGCCTTGCCAAAAACAAAGGCGCCAGCCCAAGACGCCTCAAGGCTGTGAAAAACATTCTCGCAAACCGCAAAGACAAGGATGGTCGCGCTCGATGGACCGCCCTCGTTGAGAAGATGGCCGCAGCAGACGAATCCATCTTGTGGGGCTCCCGTGTTACTATCAGGGTCGGCAGCGTTCTAATGGGGTTGTTATTGGAGGAAGCCAAGGTCTCTATTCCTACGGTAGACCCAACCACTCAGCAGAGGAAGTTGGTCACGCAACCGGCCTTTACTCACGCCTACACGATGCACTATGGAAAGCGTACTGGGCTTATCCATATGAACACCACAGTGGTTGAAATGGTTGCCAAGGAGCCGCTTCCCGAGTTGGTGGCCCGACACTTGCCCATGGTGTCCAAACCCAGACCGTGGATAGGAAACAGGACTGGAGGCTACCTTGTCTACGAAAACAATCTCGTTCGCTCGACTCCTGGCGAACTTCTTCAGCCAACCTATCTCAAAGCCGCTCTCAAAAATGACGGAATGGCAGAGATTCGTTCCGGGCTTGACGTTCTGAGCTCTACCGGCTGGAAGATCAACCGATCCGTCTTCGACGTAATGTTAGAGGCCTGGAATAGCGGAGAACCTATTGGAAAGCTTGCACCCATGGAGCCAGTTCTGAACATTCCTGAAGCACCTGCTAAATATTCCCGATATGCCGAGCAGGTGCAATATTCCCGGAAGATGCGAGAAATTGAGAACATTCGCGCCGGGTATCACTCCGTGAGATGTTTCCAAAACTTCCAGATGGAAGTCGCAAGGGCCTTCCGGAACGAGACATTTTACTTGCCTCACAACATGGATTTCCGTGGACGCGCTTACCCACTTCCTCCCTATCTCAACCAGATGGGCGCTGATAACGCCAGAGGTCTCCTTCTGTTCAATGATGGAAAACCTCTTGGCACAGCGGGTTTGCGTTGGTTGAAGATCCACCTTGCCAACTTGTACGGTTTCGACAAGGCAAGCATGAATGAACGTGAACAATTCACTATGGATCACCTTGAGGCTATTCTGGATTCTGCAAACAACGGTTTACAGGGGCAGCGATGGTTCCTTCAAGCCGAAGACCCATGGCAGCTTCTAGCAGCATGTCTCGAACTTCGCAATGCCCTGCTTTTGCCTGACCCCACTCAATACGTTTCCCACCTTCCAATCCACCAGGACGGCTCGTGTAACGGTCTTCAGCACTACGCAGCCCTCGGTGGTGACAAGACTGGTGCCCAGCAGGTCAATCTCGAGCCTTCTGATCGTCCCTCGGACGTTTATACCGGTGTTTCTGACTTCGTCAGGGAGTCCATTGCGACAGATGCAGCCGATGGCCTTCAGCTGGCCAAAATGTTGGACGGCAGAGTCACCAGAAAGATTGTCAAGCAGACAGTCATGACCAACGTTTACGGCGTGACTTTCTTGGGAGCGACCCGCCAAGTCAAACGTCAGCTCATGGACTATCTTCCTGAGTTGAATGCGACACAAAGAACACAAGCTGGTGTTTACATCGCCCGAAAGATCTTTGGTGCTCTCGGATCTATGTTCAACGGAGCTCACGAGATTCAATATTGGCTTGGTGATTGCGCTTACCGCATCACGACATCCCTCACGCCACAGCAGATTGACGAGCTCACCCAGAAGGCAATGTCACCGAAAGACAAGTCGGACGCTCCCGAGACCCTCAAGTCCTCCGACCCAGAGAAGTCCTTTAGGTCAACTGTGATCTGGACTACTCCACTGGGTCTCCCGGTGGTCCAACCATATCGTACTCGCAAATCACGCCGTGTTGAAACTAGCATACAGGACATCAGTATCCTCGACGCCGGTGCTGATGATGTGGTTCAAAAGCGCAAGCAACTTCAAGCTTTCCCACCCAACTTTATCCACTCTCTCGATGCCACACACATGATCTTGTCTGCCAACGCGTGTCACCAAGCGGGTCTGACCTTCTCTGCCGTCCACGATTCTTTCTGGACTCACGCTGCCGACGTTGATAAGATGAACTCTATTCTTCGAGATGCATTCGTCCGTATGCACACTGATAACGTTATTGGGCGCCTGGCCGCCGAATTCAAGGTGCGATATGGCAACAACATCTTCCTTGGCCGTGTTCCCCGCATGTCCAAGCTTGGTAAAGCAATCACTGCATACCGTGCCAGTCACAAACAATCCAAGCTTCAGGAATTGATCCAAGAGAAACAACGTCAAACCCTCCTCCAATCTGAGGACCCGGAGGATCGGGAGCAAGGCCGATCCATGGTCACTGCCGCCAGCATTTTCGAAGAACTGGATGGCAGAGACGATGATCTGACCATCCAAAAGACCTTGGGCCAGAACAACATCGGACACATCCCTGAGGATGTCACCGATAATAATAACACGGTTCGACCCTCTGACCTGGACTTAAGCGACCCGGCAATTCATTCCCTTGTCGGTGACATCGACGTCTTTGAAGGAGTCGCCACTGATAGAGACGAAGCTCACCTCGAATCCGGCGAGGTGCCTGACGCCGACGGAAACATGGAAGCCGGCGAAACCCCAAAGCCCAAACGCAGACCCCGCGAAGTATCCACCTGGCTTTGGCTACCTCTTACCTTCCGCGATGTCCCCAAGAAGGGAGATTGGGATGTGTCCCGTATTCGCGAGAGTGAATATTTCTTCTCTTGAACACGTCCCAATTTCCTGGGAACTTTCACTGCATTTCGCTGGCGTTACTGCATACTACATTTGTTTTTGACTTGGCTGTGTCTGGGCCGTTTGGACGAGCCTGGTACATTTTAGCTGACTTGTAATTCCCCCCTTGTATATTTTTTTCTGCATTGTACATTAGACATGTTTTTTTATGGCGAGTTTCTTGGGAAACCAAAAAAAGAATAATTATGCATATAGCGAGAAACGAATCTGAAGACTTAGTCTCTTTACTCTATTACACTATTACTGGACTGTTACCCGTTCATCTTGCCTAGTAAAAGTACTCTACACGTCCCTACAATGTCACTCACACGGAGCACTTAACTAAGTAGACACCAAAGCAGTCAGCCTTGCAATGTTGTATGAGAACTTTAACCAAATAACCGGGCCAGGGTCTAATGCATTTAGGCAGAATGCAGCAAATACAGCAAATATAGCCGTTGTGAACCAGCTCCACCAAATGAGTTCTGTTACTGAAGATCTTTTTGCTACGACGTTTCCGTAGAGTAAAGCATAGTATATCACTCGGTCTAAGGGAAGTGTACATACTTAAGTAGTCCGTAATATCGACAGGCTTAGGGCAAAAAAGCCAAGTACTAGTCACACGTGCCGCTCCCCGCCTTGCCAACTTCCCCAGATCTTCACCCGATCTTCAACTTGCATCGCATTTTTTGTTTTGCTTTTTGTGGCTGCCATGTCACTCTGACTTGTTTCTTGTCCTTTGCACCCTTTTACCGAGCTGGATTTTCACATGTCACTGCCTCTCGGTCAATGACCTCTCTCCGTTCCTTCGAATCGTCCTCCTGTTCGCCTCAATCCAAACGAATGACACAATCTCAAACCCCCGGGTTGGATACTCTGGCAGAGGGGTCGCAGTATGCGTTGGAACAGCTTCAGTTAGCACGGGAGGCCGGTGCATCTGCTAACGCCCCGACCGACCCCGGATCCTCTCTGACCGACTCTAAGCCGTCGCGACATACCCAGCATCTATTGTATAGCGACCAGCACAATCCCTCCTCCAGTTTGAAAGATCTACACCCACGCGACTCACTGGCGGAGGCGCGGTCTGCCATTCGCAAGAACTCGGCTGCAACGCCAGTTCGCCGGAGAATTAGCCGGGCCTGCGACCAGTGCAACCAGCTGCGCACCAAATGTGACGGGCAGAATCCATGCGCGCATTGTGTTGGTATGATTTTTCCGGTCCGAATTTCTCCCATGGTTGCATATAAATTAATTCCTCTCAGAATTCGGTCTCAGTTGCGAGTACGCCCGCGAGCGCAAGAAGCGCGGCAAAGCGTCGAAAAAGGATCTAGCCGCTGTGGGCAATAATGAGAGCGATGGTGGTCTCAACGAGAATTTGCCACGAGCAATAGGACCGAATTCGACTGGGTCGGCTTTGCACGAATCCAATGAAAACTATGACCCTGCTTTCGATGCTGCGCGCACTTTGGCAGAGGGGGCCCAGGCCCGATCGCACGAGGTGGGTGGGCTATCTGCAATGCGGCCAAATCAGACATCTGCCCAAGCCCCTCAGCAGCAGCTGGGATCTAGTAACATGGTGGGTTTGCCATTCAATAATTATGGATCCGTCCAGGACCCCTCTCGACCCCCTATGCCTGTGCCAGACATACGCTCTATTCAAATGATGCAAAACCCAAATGGAAATCCTCGATCGCCTGGCTCGATGCTCCAGTCTCAAGGTTTTTCTTCGGGTTATCATGAAAACTCATATCCTTTGATGAATGCGCAGGACGCAAATTCAAACCCTATGAGTCATTTCCGCATTGGAAATTCCACCGAGAATCCATCAGCTTCGTTTATGGGCTTCTCTCCTCCAGCTCAGTCACCAAGCTGGCTTCCACTGCCGTCGCCATCTCCTGCCAACTTCCCCTCTTACAGCATGCCCCCATTCTCCAGTTCATTGAGATACCCCGTCTTGCAACCAGTTCTCCCGCATATTGTGTCTATAATTCCCCAATCTCTCGCCTGTGATCTTCTTGACGTCTATTTCACTAGCTCTTCCTCCTCCCGTCTTTCTCCATCCTCGCCCTACGTGGTTGGATATGTTTTCCGCAAACAGTCATTCCTCCACCCCACAAAACCTCGATCATGCAGCCCTGGGCTTTTGGCCAGTATGCTGTGGGTCGCAGCTCAAACAAGCGAAGCCGCTTTCCTGACATCGCCTCCCTCGGCCCGTGGCCGGGTCTGCCAAAAGTTGTTGGAGTTGACGATTGGTTTACTACGACCACTCATTCACGGGCCTGCGACTGGAGAGGCGTCGCCCAATTATCCAGCTAACATGGTTATCAACGGTGTCGCGCTTGGCGGCTTCGGTGTTTCGATGGATCAATTGGGCGCACAGAGCAGTGCGACTGGTGCGGTGGATGACGTCGCTACATACGTTCATCTAGCAACTGTTGTCTCCGCCAGTGAGTACAAAGCGGCCAGTATGCGCTGGTGGACAGCTGCATGGTCCCTTGCTAGGGAGCTCAAATTGGGCCGCGAGTTGCCACCTAATGCGACAACTCGACAAGACGGCGAAATGGATGGCGAAGGAGATATCGACGTCAATGGAAACAAGAGACCACCTCCATCGCTGATGGGTCATGGTCCAGGTAACTCGGCGATTAGCCTCACAGAGGAAGAGCGCGAGGAGCGCCGTCGGATCTGGTGGTTGCTATATGCAACAGACCGCCACCTGGCACTCTGCTACAATCGCCCGTTGACTCTTCTAGACAAAGAGTGTGAAGGCCTACTCCAACCTATCAACGATGACATCTGGCAAGCTGGCGATTTTTCCTCCATGGGTTACCGCCGGGCTGGCCCGTCCTTCGAGTGCACAGGGCACAGCATGTTCGGCTACTTCCTCCCTTTGATGTCCATTCTGGGTGAAATTGTGGATCTTCAACATGCCCGAAACCACCCCCGCTTCGGTCTTCACTTCCGTAGCAGTGGCGAATGGGAAAGCCAAGCAATGGAAATCAGTCGACAACTGGACGTATACGCGCAGAGCTTGAAAGAGTTTGAAGCTAGATATACCAGCTCATTGGCCCTTGGGACGGCCGAGCCCGACACAGCCATGGAAGGTTCCAATATTAACCACATGAGCCCGTCTGGCCGGTCAAGTAGCACCGTTGGATCCCATGTGAGCGAGTCCATCGTTCACACGAAAATGGTCGTTGCCTACGGTACACACATCATGCACGTCCTTCACATTTTGCTCGCTGGCAAATGGGACCCAATCAATCTGCTTGATGATAACGATCTCTGGATCTCATCCGAGTCCTTTATCTCTGCGATGGGCCACGCTGTCAGTGCCGCCGAGGCTGCCTCGGATATCCTCGAATACGACCCCGATCTGAGCTTCATGCCGTTCTTCTTCGGGATATACCTTCTCCAGGGTAGTTTCTTGCTACTCTTAACTGCTGATAAGTTACAAGGAGACGCAAGCCCTAGTGTTGTTCGGGCCTGCGAAACCATAGTGCGCGCACACGAGGCTTGCGTCGTGACACTGAACACTGAATACCAGGTATGGATCTTCTATTCTCGTCGCCCCAGAAATGTCAATACTAATACCTTCTTCTAGCGAACTTTCCGAAAGGTGATGCGCTCGGCTCTGGCTCAAGTGCGTGGCCGCGTCCCGGAAGACTTTGGCGAGCAGCAGCAACGTAGACGTGAAGTGCTGGCTCTTTATCGTTGGAGTGGTGACGGTAGTGGCCTTGCACTTTAGGTTCGGATCTTTGGAAGCTCGCCTGTTGTTTATGAGCTCTTTTCTTTTCTTTCTTTTCTTTTGAATTTGGTCAATCTGTATACTACTTTTGGATTTTGGACATACCCCGAGGAGCACAGAGGCGCGCAATATCTGTCTATATTATTACTCGGCACTACTTGGCACATATCATACTCAATTTTATATCAATTCGATGAGTACAGCAATTGGACTTGGAGCAAGTGTTTTGATAGTCATGTGATGATGCTTATTTCGGCCCCACGCAAGCTCCGATCTCTATCTCTCACCATCTCTCCAAGTACTCTCAAGAGATGAAGCCCTACATTGGAATCCCACTCGTTTCAGGTCTCGTATACCGAGCCTGGTCCCGCAAGTCCCTCACTCCACTCGGTATCGTCGTCGCGGCATTCTCAGCCTCCGCACACGCGCTCCATCCATGGTCTGCCCCGGTCGCCCTACTAGCGGTCTTCTACTTTGGTGGCACAAAAGTCACAAAGGTATATTGCTTTCTCAAACTCGTGCTTGTTATTCAAGGAACTGATAGTTCAATCACCACAGGTCAAGCATGATATCAAGTCCCGCTTGACGCTCTCCGCAGCCGGTGCGGAGGGCGGCGAAGGCCCCCGCAATCACATCCAAGTTTTGGCCAACTCCGTCGTCGCAACGGTGCTGTCAATAGCGCATACAATTGTGCTTTCAAGAACAGGCTCAGAGTCATGTTTCTCGTTCGGTCAAAATACAGCAGATATCCTGGTCGTCGGAATTGTCGCGTACGTTGCTATTGCTCCTGCATTCGCTATTTGGTTCACTGCTGACAAGATTTTGGCACTTTATAGGAATTATGCTGCTGTTGCCGCAGACACGTTCTCCTCCGAGCTCGGCATTCTTTCGAAATCCAAACCACGTCTCATCACCTCGCTCACCCTGCGTGAGGTCCCACCAGGCACGAATGGCGGTGTCACGGCTACTGGTCTTGGGGCTGGTCTTCTTGGCTCGTTTATCGTCTCTGCCACCTCTGCTGCCGTTCTTCCATTCTGTGCTGGCGCGGGTATCAAGGAGCGTGCTTTGTGGACTGTCGCTATGACGGCGTGGGGCACGTTGGGCAGTGTGCTTGATAGTGTTCTGGGTGGGATCTTGCAGGCTAGCGTGGTTGACAAGAGGAGTGGGAAAGTTGTTGAGGGAAGTGGTGGTCGGAAGGTAAGTTATGTTCTCTGTGGGTAGCTGGATATCGCTAATATGTAAATACAGGTTCTCGTCCATCCTTCCGGTAAGGTGGTTGCTATTGACTCTGCCGAGGCTTCAAGTATTGACAAGTCTCAGGCTGCCACTTTACGTAGTGGCAGCTCTAGCACGCTGGCGCGAGATGAAAGTCTTGAGAGCCGACGCGTTGAGACTGGTCATGACTGGCTGGATAACAATGGAGTCAACTTGCTCATGGCTGCCACGATGAGTGTTGGGGCCATGGGAATCTCACAGTGGGTCTGGGGACTGGATATTGCTGATCTGCTGTAAATTTTGGATCATACTCCCTTTTACCATAGTCTAAGATTGGAAATACTCCCACCCTGATAGGGCCTTGGACGTTGGAACCCTCTCATTCTAGAATTACTACGGAGTACACGGGTTTTCGGCACTGAAGAAGCTCAGTCATGTACGATCCATCACAATCACAAGGGCTAACGGGTCCAGTCCGTTCTGGGTTGGAATGCGCCCCAGTTAAAAGAAACCAGCCCTGTGTCCATGCTTAGGCAACCCTCTATCCTGGTCGCCAACCAAAACGGACCATTAGGCGCTGCGCCATTCTCTAGGGCATCACACGCTGAAGACATGGTTTCGTTGCACAGAGTCAGCGCTCTAGTCAATCTTGACATAAGTCCCACTCTCAAGGTTGGACAAGGATATAAATATCTCAATCCTCCTTGTATGCATGGTTCAAATACCTACCATCAACGACCAAGTCATTGTCGTGATACAATTCTTTCCAACCCAAAGCCACACCATCGAATATGGGCCTCGTCAAGCTCCTTCTCAAAGCAATTATCATTCCTATCGTTCTCCTCATCGTCATCTCCGTTGCCGTGGTCTGGGCTATCAAGATACGTCGAGATCGCAAGAAGAAAGACCGGGAACTCGAACAATCCTTCCAACCACCCCCGATTCAGCAATGGGTGCCTTATACTCCAGTCCAACAGCCTGCCCCGGTATATGCCAAAACACCAGGGACACTGGAGCAGGGTATTGGCCAGGGCCATACTTGAAGTCCTTCGGTGAGTAGTCTGATCGTGGCTTCAATGTTCATGGCTAATTCAGATACCAGTTATTTGTCCTGTCAATGATTTACCTGCGACCTGTTTGGGATTTGGAATCGCTTGCGGAGTACTGGGTATCAATACTAGTGTGTACAAAAGGCTTTTCATGGTCCAGTGTATGGACTACGATCTTTGGCCCTGAGACTGGGCGCTGGCCCTGTGCATTGTTACTTGGATCCATCTCTGAAACTGATACCTACTCGTATTAGAGATGATCATCTCTACTCCTTTTGCCTGATAAAGCGTGGCTTATGTTGACCAGGGGCTCCAGACTAGATGTTAAACAGTCAATAAAACAGAATTCTCATGTCCCTTTGATCTAGGGCTGATCCCAGAATAGTTCTCAAGTTTCAGAATGAACAGTACGGGTAACATTGCTGCCTGCAATTGCCCGGACTGTTAAGCTTTGGATCGACCGTTGAGTGATGAGCCTGCATATGCGCCATTTCTGTGAACCTTTGATGCTAGAGGATCTATAGATGTTGAGTCAACACGATTTTCGTAAACTACCTCTACAAGCTAAAGACTGCACATTCAACATACTTAAGTACCTCCAGGGCTAGGTAAAACCTCACTAGAATACGGTAATTACTCGAGTGGGACTGAACGTACGCCACCTTGCGTCCCTAGTGTGGTCGTCTGGTCGCATTTAGCGCCAAGTCTCAGCCCTACGAGGCCCACCCCTGATGGCGCTGATCCCTGCATCCTTGCTTGGTCCGACGGAGAAGTCTTTGCGTTCTGCTATTGATTCAGGTTGTAACATCTTGTTCTGGGAAACCAGTCTGTGTATGCCAATGTATTCGAATATACTCCTTATCGAACCCCTAAGTACTCCGTATCATCTGGTGCTATGTGTAATTTAAACAAGAGGAACACTAGCTGCATCCGGGTGCACGTAGAATGCAATGGCGATAATAAGGTATCTGAGAGCAGCGGTTAGACTTTGGAACACCGTCAAGCACGGGAGTTACTCACGTTCCAACCAGTAAAATCCCTTCGTAGTAGTTCGATCGACCTCCACGAATCAAGCAGTCCATCACAATCACCGACAAGAAAAAGACCACTGTCTCAAAGGGACTGTAGCGAAGAGACATCGGTTGTCCAATCACCAGGCCACACATCACAAGGAAAGGGCTGACGAATAAAGCAATCTGCAACGTGCTACCCACAACCACCCCAATTGCAAGGTTCATGTTTCCCTTGAGAGAAGAATTGATCACTGTGTTGAACTCCCCCGCGTTTCCAACGATGGGAACCACAATGAGACCAATAAATGCCCGGCTCACATGCCATTTGTCCACGAAGCCATCCACGCTCTCCACCAGTCCATCGGAGCAGACGGTGACACCCAATGTGGCGAGGATCAGGATAATGCTTGCGGGCCATGGTCCAAGGACCTGGGGCTCTTCCTCGTCGGACTCATCGTCCACGAAAAGCTCTGCGTGGCTCTTCAGTTGGAAGTACAGGTAGACCAGGTAGAAGCCCAGTAGAACCACAGAGGCGGCACGGGAGAGATTTAACACGCTAGCTTCGACGTCATGAGACTTTGCGGATATAGTCGAATAAAGTACGGATGGAATAATCAGTGTCGCCGAGGATATGACCATCAAGGAAGATAGAATACCACTGACATCGACATTGAACTCCACGGCATCTTTGGAAAAGCCGCCGCAAAACAATGAAACCCCGAGAATCTAGATAAGGGGTAAGCAAGACCAACAATATTGCGACCAGAACCCTTACCAATAGATTGCCCGACAGAATACTTCCAACCATACTAGATTGGACAATATTAATTTCCCCCTGCCGGACGGCCGTGATCCCCACCTGCGCAAAGACCATTAGTTTCCCCACAAAGACCCAAAGTCCAGACACTTACGATCATTTCAACCGCATTTCCAAACGTCGCATTAATCAGCCCACCAAGCGTCTGTCCAACGCTTTTGGCCAATTCCTCCGTCGCGAACGAAAGCAACGCCGCCAAAGGAAGAATAGTCAGGAAGTTGAACACGAAAACAATCGAGTCGTCCCACCCTTGACTCCCCGCCGTCATTCCCAAAAACACAAACGGGAGAAGCAGGTTAGCGTAGCTGCATCCCAGAGCCGTCCTGATGACACGCCATACAGAGCTGCCTAAAGATTCACCGAGGCCGCTTGAATGCGAATCCATTCCCGATGTTCGTTCTCCATGCGTCTGTCCGAGATGCTCGGCCATATCCTCGCTGGGATGAGGCTTTCGTAGTCGGGGGTGAGAAGTTTCCATGATTCTGAGAGATGAGAGAAGAAGATTGGTATTGAATGGGATATTGTATTTCTCCACTGCCAATGCAATACCGTACATACGGAGCAAACTAAGGATTTTGCCCGACGCCCCGGGTATAATACGTGTTTTGGGGTGGTACTTGTATTACATGTATCACGTAACCATGGAACAGACCCGAGCCTCATTCCACCCGAAACCTTGGAGCACATGGGGTTCGTCCACTTTTGTTTTCTCACGGCTTCATCCCACATACCTGGCAGTTTTGGTTATGTCGCAGCTTCAACAATGTCGTCTCGGCGCCTCACTCTTGATACCCCTCATCGGTATGGTGACGGGGGCTTTGGGGTGGAACAGTGCCGCAACTTTCATGTTTAACACGGCTGCTCTGGTTCCACTGGGGTCGTGGATCAATCGATCAGTCGATTCTCTATCTGTGGATGGGATCAAGGTGGTAAATGAGCTTTTGAAGTCGACTTTGGGTAACTCGGTGGAATTGATGGTGAGCAGCGAGTTTCTAAGCGGGAACGAGCTCATGTTGATTCAATATTGTTACTAGGTTGGAATCAATGCCGTCGTGCAGCGACGGCCACATATATCCCAATCTGTGATCCTGGGTGGTGTTCTCAGCAATCTACTCCTGGTGCGTTTTGTCATGATAAACACCTGGGCAGCCAATCGTCCATTACAATGTACTGATATCAGAACTATACAGGTACTCGGGGGCACTCTGTTCTATTCCGGATATGACCAGAAGCGACTACGGTTCGATAAACACCTTACGACAGTCCTCTCCTCCTTGATGATGGTCGTTTTCATCCTCCTCGCCATTCCAACCATCATGGACGTCTTCCCCTCGCCCGAGACCACAAATGACGAGATACTTTACACGCAGCGGATAATATCCGTGGTATTGATCACCCTTCTTCTCACATTTCTCTTCTTCCGTCTCAAAACCCACGCAAGAATGTTCGCCAGTACCCCATTCAGTCAACAACCCCGCAGCCGCCACCAACACCGCCAGAGTCAAATCATCGACGCACAAATACCACGACCATACATCGCAAAAGGACCGGCAGCTCTCATCCTACTTGCTGCATCTGCATCTGCATTCATATGCACCCGCCACATAGTCGGTAACTTGAGTGATCTGGCCGCGATGACAGGAACAAACCAATCTTTCCTGGCTGTTACGCTTATCCCATTACTTGGAAACTCGGCCAAGTATTCCTCCATCATCACTGGGTCTAGGGTATATGGCCAGGTTGAACTTGGCATCAGGGCAGTGATCAACACCGTCTTGCGGGTGACTATGCTTATTGCGCCACTTTTGGTTCTTGTCGGATGGGTATTTGATCGACCACTGGTTATGAGACTCGATGGGTTCGAGGCTACGACACTTTTGTTGAGTGTTGTTGTTATGACCTATCTTATTTCAGATGGGCGGGGTAATTACTTTGAGGGGCTGATGCTTATTGGAACGTGAGTTTTCCTTGCTGCATTGATTGGGTTCTTATATTGACATGTTTCTCAGGTACTGCATTATTATGGTTTCGTTCTTTGTTCGGCCAGAGGTACCGGCTAATGTAATCTTTTTAGGATCTTAGATTCATAACTGCGTTATTATCACTTTGGATACTCTGCTACTTCTGTAGCTTATCTTGTTACGGCAAATTGTAATCAAAATGCACCAGTACACAAGTGACAAGATCAAATGAGAGCGAAGGCAAAAAAGTAGAAAGACATCGAGGGATTGACATAGAAGTAAAAGCCTAGCGAGTGTAGAATGCAGCAATCAGGCCGGAATACCTAGCGAGCGTTAGTATTTAAAAGTCTCTGGGAGAACTGGAGTACAGCAACACTTACAGAGCAAGAAGCATGGCACCATGAATGTAAGCATATTGACCATCTCTGAGAAGATGATTCACAACCAGGATAGACAAAAACATAGCAACAGTCTGCAATGAGTCAAAGAATAGCGTCATTGGCTCTCCAATGCACCATCCAACAATAACCAAGAATGGAATGGCAAATAAGCCAATCTGCAAGAGACTGTCAATGATCACCCGGATTGCCGAGTCGGTATCTCCTGACTTGGATGAGGCAGCCACTGTCACTCCCTCGGTACTGTTACTCGCAATTGGAATAAAGACAATCGCAATGAATACCTCTGATACACCGAGTGTCTGCGCCATGTCTTCTGTGCTTTCGATGAGGAGTTCAGTGCAGAATACTGTAGCCGCAACAGCCGTGGTAAGCCGAATTATTGATGATGCAAGGCTGGCTGGTGTTCTGGGCTCGGGCTTGGTGTCGTCTTCATCATCACTGGCCTCGCTATCACTTGTGACAAAGAGATGCTTGTGAGTACCGAGATAGAAGTAAAGATACCCTCCATATAGAGCGAGTAGCACTATTGCTGTTCCCCGGGAGAATGATAGCACTCTGTCGTCAATTTCAGATACTGGGAAAGTTGAGTAGAGTGCCGTTGGGAGGAGGATTGCCACGGCTGTGATCATCATCAACGAAGACAGGGTCTTTGCCAGGGCGCCGTTGAAATGAAGCACATCTTTATTGTAGGAGGCTGTGATCAAACACACACCGAAAACCTATGTGCGTGTAAGTTTTGTACAAAGATATTGGATCGAGACTTACAAGCAGAATGTCCGACAAAATACTACCAACCATGACAGACTGCGCGAATCGGATCTCGCCATGGACCAAAGCCAGAATGCCCGCCTGGTCCCAGTTAGCACCAAGTCACTTCGAACTCTAAACATAGAGCCAAAAGGGTAATCTCACCGTTAGCTCGACTGTATTTCCAAAAGTAGCACTCAGAAGTGCACCTTGCAACTCCCCCAGGTGTTCAGCGAGTTCGTCGCTCGAGACTGAGATACTCTCTGAGAGGAATATGATGGCAACGATATTGACTACTAGAACTATAGCCGCGTTCCAGTGAAAGAGCTTCGCCGCTCCCGCCAGTGGAAGTAGCATCATCACTGGTAGACCAGGACTGAAGTTGAGTCCTTGCGCGGGCTTATTGAACCATTCTTGGATTCGAGTCCCGACGTCTGGATTGTGTCGGGGTTCTCGGCAGTGTATGCGTCTCTGTGAGGCCATATTGAATTGAAGCTTGGGAGCTTCCAAGGGGACCAAGGTACAGCGAGGCTTAAGATGGATGCGACCGGGAAACAATTTCAGTACGTACTTTACACGATTCCGTGTTTACTTTGGATTACTCTGGATTACGGTATTCAGCCCTATTACTGGTATGGTACAGCCCTATTACTAGCGTGAACATGTCACCCCCACTCGGATAGGGCTGACCCATTTACCCGCAAGGCAACCACATTTCCCACAGGGCTGACGACTGGAGCTATAATTATCGGGAATGAGGATCGTCGTGTTATATTTTGGACTGGACTGTTATTTATTTTACCATTTTACGAGTACATTACCCCTCGCTGTTCTATCGTCATCGCGTCTTCCAGTTTGCCCCTTTCCCCCCACCTTGGCAATGTACGAGTTACTCTCACAATTACTGTTCTCTTAATATCTTAATATCCATCCCAAAGAGCCGCAAATTGAGAACCATCTTGTTCCATCTCCTCAAGCCCGAGGATTAACCGGAAACAGATAAGACATTACAACTCCCCTTATCAGATCGACACTGTAAGCATCGCAAGTTCGGATGGTCGCTGTCCCCCATTGCCTGGTATCTATGGACAACCTCCCTACCTCCCTCGAGTCGCTTCAGAGGAGAGTCACCGAGCTCACAACGACATACCATGCCCGAGGCTGGACAACCGAAGCCACAAACCTAGAGACAGCCATCGAAACAGCCAGCAAACGTACCCTAGCCGACACCCCTGACCCATCAACAATACTCGACGCGCTCAGCGCCTGCGTCAGAAAATGGCTAACAGCCAAATCATGGATCGTGGCTGAAGACCTCGGTCTGCTGGTATTGGCAGCATGCGAAAGCTTAAAAGGGGAACGAGACCCCATGACAATGACAGCCATGAACAATCTTGCATCCGCGCATTGGGGTCGCGGCCAACTAGACCAGGCAGTGGTGCTGAATACACGCGTCTTGAATCTGAGGCGGAAACACCTTGGCGAGACGCATGCCCAGACCCTGGTTTCCATGGCGAATCTTGCTTCCACGTATCGCGGCCTGGGGCGCTGGGAGGAAGCGCTGAAGCTGGATGCTCGTATTGTCGAGCTGAAGATTGTTGCTCATGGTCCTTGGCATGATTCTACCATCACTTCCATGTCCAATCTTGCTATCTCGTATACCCATCTTGGTCGGTATGAGGAGGCGGCTGCGATTGCGCGTCAGCTGGTCGATCATGGGGAGAAGAATGGGTTGCCCAAGACGCATCCGTCGCTTTTGAACTGGAAACTCAGTCTTGCGTCGACATATCGGGATCAGGGACAGTTGGATCCCGCCGAGAAGCTGGAGCGGGAACTGGTTGCCGTTAGTCTGGACAAGTTTGGGAATTTTGATCCCTTCACATTGACCTGCATGGCCAATCTGGCTTCCACATACCGGGAACAAGGGCGCTTGGCGGATGCAGAGCGTCTGGAGAAAGAAGTTGTTACCAACAGCGAGAAAATTCTGGGTGAAACTCACCCGCAGACTCTGATGTCGATCAGCAATCTTGCCTCGACATACCGCAGCCAGGGTCGACTTGAAGAGGCCACGAAACTGGGAGAAAAGGCCATAGAAGTATTGAAGGAGGTTCAGGGTGAAAGTCATCCGAATACGCTGGTCGCAATGGTGAATCTCGCCATGACCTATCAATTGAATCACCAAACACCCGACGCCGAGGAGTTGGCGGACCGCTCTGTGCGCTTGATGAAAGAGACAATAGGCGAAGACCACCCCTTCACACTGAGTGCGATGGCCAATCTAGGCTACATATACCAATCCCAAAGTAAATGGGACGTTGCCGGTGGAATGGCAGAGACGGTGTATGCACGTCGAGAGAAGACGATCGGGAAAGATCATCCTGATACCCTGGCTGCATTGGAGGATCTGAAGAGGGTAGCATGGGTAGAGGCAGCGGATCAGAATGCACAGAGTACGTTGAATTAGACTCTCCCCAGATCTTCTGGGGAATGTGGGGAGGCATCAACCATCTTCGCCGTTAGTCATGTCTAACCGTTAGCCTATTCCTTTTTTAATGAGATCAATGACCAATCGACAATCTTTCTTGCTCAAGTGTCAATGCGCCTCTATTGGGCTCGAACCCCAGGCTCAAGATACCAGGCAGCCCTGGGGATAGGCACTGGACCTTTGGTCATCCATGGATGCACAGCCTCCCTGCCAAGTCTCTCACTACTATGTCTAGGTGAATATGCGATGTTTGGGGATGGGCTTGCTTTTGACGAGGCATGATATACTCTGTCCTCCAGCACAGCCCTATGATCAATTAAGCTGCCTATCGTACAGTGGGCTTAGTGTTTGAGTTACATCATTGCACATGCAGGTCGTATTCAAGGGGTCTGAGCTGCACATCACAGAAGGCACATAAACCAGCGGTATTTACTTAAAGTAGCTGTAACTAAACCAACCTCCATACGGAGTGGATACTAGGGAATATCCGGAGAATATACGTGCACTACTCGGTCAATAATTATCCAAAGCCAATATATTGCGGGGCAACGGAAAGGCTGAAAAGTGTCCATGGTTCTACTCGTACACACGGTGTTTCCCCAAAACAAAAATAACCAATCTCTCGAGCCCCACCGGACACGCAATTGTTACAATACCGATACTTTACCGTCTTACTGTCTTGGTATTTTCACCTCCGTCCAAATTGGTTCAGAGTAAATTTCCCCAATGACCTAAAATGACAATCCCAGGGTCTGGAGGACCTAAATTCTGGTCTCGCATAGTGAGTACACAGAAGGATCAGGAGGCCCCCAACTGACCATAGCAGAGAACACCCCGATCCAAACCCACCGAGCAATCCAGCTCCAACTCATCGGCTTTCGCCCTAGACCCAGACACGCTAGGCGAGTTTGTCCAGTCCAAAAATCTCCGAGAGATCCAGGCTCTCGGGGTGAGGGGGCTGGAAGATGCCCTGCAGACCGATGTCCACTCTGGCCTGAGTCTCGACGAAGCCCATCTGGATTCGGTGGTGGTGTCAACAAGTGCAGAGTCCACCGAAAAAGTCACAACCCCTGAGAACCCTCTGTCGGCTGAATTCCACCATGATGCCTTCGTCGACAGGAGGAAGTACTTCGGAGACAATCGATTACCCAGCAAACCGCCACCGAGCTTCCTGTCGTTGATGTGGGCAGCCTACAACGACCACGTTCTATTCCTTTTGACAGGTGCCGCGATCATCTCGCTCGCCCTGGGTCTGTATCAGACATTCGGTACCAAGCATTCTGCCGACAATCCCCCAGTCGAATGGGTGGAGGGTGTATCGATTCTCGTCGCCATCGTTGTGATCACTCTCGCGGGCGCAGCCAATGATTATCAGAAGGAGTTCAAGTTTCGGAAACTCAACAAGAAGCAGCAAGATCGCAATGTGTGGGTACTTCGATCTGGAAGAACTCAAGAGGTCGCGATCGCAGATGTCGTGGTCGGAGATATTGTCCACATCAACCCCGGCGATATTGTACCTGCGGATGGAATCCTGATCAGTGGTCACCAGGTCAAAGTGGACGAGTCGGCAGCAACTGGCGAATCTGATCCCGTCGATAAATATTCTATCGAAATTGTCCACGATGGCTCTGAGCACAACCCTTTCATCCTCTCGCATACCAAAGTCGTGGAAGGTGTCGGTGTTTACCTTGTTTTGGCTACAGGCACTAGATCCACTTATGGAAGAGTCCTCTTGTCCCTTGACACAGAGCCGGGCTTTACACCTCTTCAGGTGAGACTCAGCTCGTTGGCTAAGAACATTGCTCGGTTCGGTGCACTTGCGGCACTTGTGCTGTTTGTGATATTGTTTATTAAATTCTGCGTTAGCCTTCGCAACAGTACCGAGTCTGCTTCGGAGAAGGGTCAATCGTTCTTGAATGTGTTCATTCTCGCTTTGACAGTCGTTGTGATCGCTGTTCCGGAGGGGCTGCCGCTGGCAGTCACTCTGGCTTTGTCATTTGCGACCACACGCATGATGCGTGATAACAATTTAGTGCGACAGCTCCGTGCGTGTGAGACTATGGGACAGGCCACAGATATCTGTTCAGACAAGACTGGCACTCTGACACAGAATGAGATGACCGTTGTATCTTGTTTCTTCGGTGTCGAGTCGATCACTGGTCGGACAGATCCCAACACTCCGGATATGGAGCATTCTTCTCATTCTCGTGTGGCTGCTGAGGTTGGTTGTCTTACTGCCCAGTCTATCTCAGACCTTAGGCAATCCATTGCCATCAACTCAAATGCCATTGAGAGTCAGGAGGGTGACGGTCGACAATTTTTGGGCTCTCAGACAGAAGCTGGGCTTTTGAGATTTGCACAGGATCATCTTGGACTTGGTCAGTTGGACTATGAGCGATCCAATGTGGAGGTCGTGGATCTGCTTCCATTTGACGCATCTCGCAAATACATGATCACCATCATCAAATTGCCCAGTGGGTCATATCGGTCTTACATAAAAGGTGCTCCGGAAAACCTTCTCCAAAAATGTACCGTTATGCCAGCCCGGCAAGGGGAGGAGACTCGGCACACTTCAGCCACCACTCATGCTATCGAAGCACTTCACGCGAAGATTTCAGAATACGGCTCGCGATCCCTGCGTGCAATCGCCATTTGCCTCCGTGATTTAGAAGTGTTGCCCTTGAAAGAGGATGGTGAAAGTGTTGACTTTGAGCAAGTCATGCAAAATTTGACATTCCAAGGCATCCTTGGTCTACAAGATCCTCTTCGCAGTGATGCGTGGAGTGCTGTCGACACGAGTCACAAAGCGGGACTTACCGTTCGAATGGTAACCGGAGACAATCATCTGACTGCCCGGGCGATTGCCGAGGAATGTGGGATTATCAGTAACTCCGATGACATAGTGATGGAAGGAGACGAATTCCGTGCACTGGATGAAACACAGCAGAAAGAGATCGTGTTACGCCTCAAGGTTCTGGCTCGATCCCGCCCAGATGACAAGCGTGTTTTAGTTCAGCGACTCAAAGATCTCGGCAGGGTTGTCGCTGTCACGGGTGATGGAACGAACGATGCCCCTGCCCTCGCAGCTGCGGATATCGGGTTCTCGATGGGAATCTCTGGCACTGAGATTGCGCGCGAGGCTTCTTCGATTGTCTTGATGGACGATACATTCTCTTCTATCGTCAAAGCGATCATGTGGGGCAGAGCTGTCAGTGACGCCGTGAAGAAGTTCTTGCAGTTCCAAATCACCATCACATTCACTTCTGTTGGGCTGGCATTTGTTTCAGCAGTAGCAGACTCGTCGCAGGAATCGGTTCTTACCCCCGTGCAGCTGATGTGGGTCAACTTGTTCCAGGATACTCTTGCTGCCCTGGCTTTGGCTACCGACCCCCCTCCTCGACGCATTCTTGACCGGAAACCTGAGCCAAAGTCTACGCCTTTGATCACTCCAACTATGTGGAAGATGATAATAGGCCAATCTATCTATCAGATGGTTGTGACGCTCGTGCTTTACTTTGCCGGTTCTTCGATATTTTCCTACCACAGTGCTCACCAGGAATCCCAATTGCAGACCGCAGTGTTCAACACTTATGTGTGGATGCAAATCTTCAACATGTATAAGTATGTACAAATCCTACTCAGCCGCTCTTCTCTTACTAACTATAATCAGCAACCGACAGATCGAGAGATCCTTCAACCTCATTGAAGGACTACATCGCAACTGGCTGTTCATCGCAATCACCTCCATTATGATGGGTGCTCAGATTCTAATCATGTTTGTTGGCGGGCGCGCATTTTCAATTACTACATTGACCGGCGATCAGTGGGCTTATTCACTGGTCCTTGGCGCAATTTCCATTCCCGTGGGCTTCATCCTACAGGCCGTCCCTGATGTCATTGTTGAAAAACCAATGGTGGCAATGGGCGCACTTTGGAACAAATTGCGTCGCCGATCATAACTACCTCCTCGCTTTAGTTTTGAATTGTAGATCTCTTTTTCATCTTGTGAGCATAATCGAATATTGCAATGCCATTCAGGTGCATTTGGGAACAAGGCGATCACTCGGCGCTTCGAATATTCAGTATATCTATAGATCGGAAGTCGGGATCGGAAAAGGTGGTATAGTCGATGTCGACTTCAGCACTTAAGACTGATAAGCTATTTGTCAAAATTAGCCCTTGGAAGCTTCTCAAGTGAGAAGCCGGGGTCCAAGTTGCTGTCACTTCCCGTGCCCTAGTTCCTGAGATCCAGTAATGATTTTCGGTCACAAAGCTTGTCGAAAAACTTATTTGGTACTCAGATAGCGTTGGACGATTCTTGCTACGAGTAATTTATCCCGGTCCGCGGGCGATTTGTGTAAATTCTTCGCTCGGTTGAAAGGGTGCTCGCTATACTCTCAGTCACTGTGTGGATGCGGTGCGAGGGCTCGTGGTTACTGCAGTGCGCGAGGGAGTGAAAATGAGGTCGATACGCTGGAAAACTGCTTTTGGTCTATTGATCTAGAATCAGTGCATTATCTCATCATAATTTGAGTATTGATGCAGTTGTTATTATACATACTCTCTATGCTGAAGGTGGTATTCACAGTATATCTCTGGTAGGGGGCTGATGCTTCCATGTGATAGGTCAGTCTATGCAGTATTCATCCCAATACGATGAAACTCTCTGCACAATAGCCTAGAGCTCCATGCTGATTGATGATGGAGAGTTGTTCGGTATTCCATGGAATGGCCGAAAAGATGTGTGGCCTTTCTTCGGCGGACAAAGGGCCACGCAAGGTCGAGGATGTGCAGGATGCCATCTTCGGCAAAGTTTCAGGAAAGGTTTCAAGTCAGAAGATTCTGTGGCACGTTACAGTGTCATGCATTTGAACGTACAATTCACCACGTGGGAATCAAGAGTGGGCCATGTACGGTGCTCGGATCGGCTCACCTAGTGTGCTCACTGTCCAAGTATGTCCAAAATAGAATGATCCGGTAAAAAAAGCTATACGGACAGCGGGTGTCATTTCAATCTTTTGATATGTTTCCGTGGTCAAATTGACAAGAGCATTTGCCACGTGCTCAAAGCCTGGTTCGACCGATCAGAAAGGATCTTTCGATTTGGATCAGCTGGGGCTGAACCGAGCTCTGTATTTATTCCGATTCGGTGCAACATAGAATGTGTGGCAAGCCCCATGCGAGCATTAGTGTCAGCCAGCAGTCAACAGAAAATTATTTTAGCCTATCATATGTGCTCGTTGGGAAATCCCCGAGCGATGAATGTTTAATATGGTCAAGGACCCTTAAAATCCGCCCCGGGGCCAATTGCACCCGGCTCAATGCGATTGGCTCCCTAGCGGGTGCGAACCAGGTGGCGTTGACAGTACGGAGTACGAGTAACGGGGAATGCAACTCGGAACAGACATTAGCGCGGAATTCCAAACTAGGAAGTAGGCCTGGGGTTTCGGAATTGATCAATACGGGGATGATATTCAAACAGATGAGCTAATTTGGTATTTCTGTAAACGTACAAATGGAAGATCTATCTAATAGAAGCTCTTGTAAGCTTTTTCGAAATGATCTTTCACGAAATCTAGCAAACAGTGGTTCAGTCCGGCTAAAGAGGAAGCAGATTCAATGACACGTGCTCCCCTGAGGCGAGCGACGAAGATACCTGGATGACATTCTAGAAACAAGTCGAGGTAGGCAACGCAGGCGAACAGCCATGCGCGAAATGTGGAAGAACGTCGTCAGTCCGAACCTCTTATACACCCACGTGTGGACTGCGTGGCCGCTCATAGGCCACGAGGTGGGCCGTGCCCCACCCCCGCCAAGAGCCTCACCCAGATGCTCACGTTGCTGCAGCCAATCACCGTCCATTCTCAACTACGGACACCCCGTCTGATATCGCCCTCCGGTGTCGAGCCCGCTGCGGCCCTGTTTGCCAAGGCCTTGTCCAATTTGCTTGAGACCCTAAGCTTGCGGAAAACGAGCTTTTTTATCTTGGCACCCGGTCTCATTGCGTGACACCAAACGCCCCCAAACCTATGGTCACGGAGATTGGGTTTACTCTGCCTTTTTGCCAAGAACACCATGGCAGAGGTCCTCTCGTTGCGAGTCTGCACCGCACGTGTGCGCAGTATGTCCCAATGCGGAAGGCCTGGGCAAGGCTTACCAGGCGCATGGTGCATCGGAGTCCATATCGCTTGTGGTAGTAGATGGAACGCGTTAGTCGAGACATTTGAAGTCAATCATACATAAAGACCAGCCGCCGTGTCTTGACTTCTCTTCTTCCGTGCAACCAAAAGCCCTAATACTCAGCCTTGACTTGAGATTGACTTGAATTCATCAAGCCATCAAGCCTTCAAGCCTTCAAGATGTATCTCCACCAATACGATTACATCTTTGCCATCGGCACATTGTTTGCTATGCTTGATGCATACAACAATGGTGCAAGTGAGTACTCTCGTCTCTCATGTATGAGATTGTCTGCTAACCCCTGGAAGACGATGTTGCCAACTCCTGGGCTACTAGTGTTTCCTCTCGTTCCATCTCCTATCGTCAGGCTATGGTTCTCGGTACAATCTTCGAGTTCCTCGGAGCAGTCACCGTCGGCGCCCGTACCGCCGATACTATCAAGAACGGCATCATTCCCAACAGCGCCTTCAGGGATAATGCCGGTGTTCAGATGCTCGCTTTCACCTGTGCCCTCGCCGCTGCCTCGTCTTGGGTCATGTGGTGCACAAAGCACTCCGCTCACGTCTCCTCTACCTACTCCCTTATCTCTGCCGTTGCTGGTGTCGGTGTTGCAACCGTCGGTGCATCCCAAGTCCAGTGGGGCTGGAACGATGGAAAGGGTCTTGGTGCCATCTTCGCGGGTCTGGGCATGGCTCCCGTCATCTCCGGTGCCTTCGGTGCTATCATCTTCATGCTGATCAAGGTCGTTGTGCACATGCGGAGAAACCCTATCCCATGGGCCGTTTGGAGTGCCCCCTTCTTCTTCCTTGTCGCTGCTACCATTTGCACACTTTCCATTGTCTACAAGGGTTCCCCTAACCTTGGTCTGAGCAAGAAGCCCGTCTCTTACATTGTTGCCGTTACTATGGGTACCGGTGGTGGTGTTTGCTTGCTCTCTGCTCTATTCTTCGTCCCTTGGTTGCACTCTCGTGTCATCAAGAGAGACCCTTCCATCAGATGGTACCACGTTGTCCTCGGTCCTCTTCTCTTCAGCCGGGCTGTGCCCACCGAAGGCGAGGTTGCTAAGGTCCCCAACTACGCTGTTATGCAAGATGAGCCTGAGGAGGAGGCTCACATCCCCGTTGACGACAAGGAGGTCAAGACTGGAGTTACCTCCATCCCTGGCTCCACCGACGGCCGGTCCGTCGAGAAGCTCGAAGCCAACCAGCTTTCCTACCGCGAGATCATGGCCCAATCCGAGGCCCGCCACAACGCCAAGCTCCTCAACAGCCGCGGTCCTCTGGGCTGGGGTATGCGTCTCCTGCGTGACAACCCCATGGGTGCCGGCGAGATCTACGAGCTGCGCAACATGAAGCGCATGCTCAAGCGCATTCCTGCCATTATCACTGTTGGTCTTCTTTACGGTTTCCACTACGACATCCACACTGCCCAAAGTGGTATCCACGGCACCCCTGAGGGTGATCGTATGAAGCGAGTCTACGCCGCTGCTGAGAAGTACCCCAACGAAGTGGAGCACACCTACTCTTTCATTCAGATCATCACTGCCTGTACTGCTTCTTTCGCTCACGGTGCCAACGATATTGGTAACTCTGTTGGTCCCTGGGCTGCTATCTACTCTGCCTGGTCCACCGGTACCCCTGCTGCCTCCAAGTCCCCCGTGCCTGTGTGGCAGCTTGCTGTATTGGCTCTCTGCATTTCCATCGGTCTCTGCACTTACGGTTACAACATCATGAAGGGTATGTTTTTATCCCGTCTCTTGTCACTGCACACATTTACTAACTCCTCATAGTCATGGGTAACAAGATCACCTACCACTCACCTTCTCGTGGATCCTCTATGGAGATGGGCGCCGCCATCACCGTCTTGGTCTTCTCCCAATACTCCCTGCCCGTTTCCACTTCGATGTGTATCACCGGTGCTACCGTCGGTGTTGGGTTGTGCAACGGCAGCCTTAAGGCTGTGAACTTCCAGCGTGTTGGTCTCTTGCTGCTTGCTTGGATCATGACTATCCCCATTGCCGGTACCATTGGTGGTTGTCTCATGGGTCTGGTTCTTAACGCCCCTCATTTCGGTGCTTAGACATCGGTTCTTTTGGCATTTACATTTATTTAAAACATTAATATTCTCGCGCAAATACCATTTCATAGACTTTGCAATACCATTCATACTGTCATCACCTGTTTCTAGTTTATGAGAGCAACTCGAAGATTCATAAGACTAAAATTAAATGATTAAAATTTTTGGGTCTTTCTGTGCAGCAGAATTTTCAGGGAGATATCAACAGAATTCCTCAAAGTACCCTCAAAGTGTAAGGGTATGTAGGGACCAGGCGCGCGAGGTCTACCGGTTCGGCCAAAAGACCTAATATGACAAGACGCTAGTGGCTTAGATCGCTATATGCCTGGGTATAGTGGTTCTCATATTATGACAAGACCTCAGGGTCCATTAGTCGTGTGTGCCACCACTTATTCTAGTTCTTCTGACCAAAATCGAAATGGAATCCTGTTTAGCACCCAATTTTCGAACAACTTCCACGTCAACGGGTTCTTCGCGCTGTCTTCTAGCGAATCTTTGTAGTTCATCCAGCGGCTCAGGACTTCTGACGATAGTACTTCGTACATTGACAACACCTTCCTGTCATCCCTGTTCTCGAAGTAATCTGGATAGCCGTCCCAATGTACCCTTTGGAAGAGGTACCATGTTTCCCACTCGCCGATGCTCTTGCCGGTCAACTCGAAGTGCGACCAGCGCTCCGGGAAGGGGGACCGCTTTGGCTCCCTCCGTGGTTTCGCGTCGTGGTTGGCTTTTAGTCTCTTATTCGGCGCAATCTCGCCGCCCCGTAAATCTCTCCCGCTCTTTTGTGACGGGTTATTCACCCCTCTGTGGCCCGGGGGGCCCCTGCCGGGCAGGGTAGGTGGGTCAGCCTTCTGGCTCCACACCTCGCTTTGCGATGCTCGTCGCTTCAATCCTCCCAGCATACCGCTGTCGTGGAGGTGAGCCTGTTGCCGGTTCATCTCTCTCTGTCGGGACACCTCCCTCAGAGCTTCCTGTAATTCTCTCTCCAAGCGCAGCCCTCAGCTTCGCGCCTGGCGGCCATAATCCTCTCTCGCAGATATCTGTTTCTCCTCTCATGGTCCTCAAGGGTCCCGAGAGAACCGAGGGGCTGGTAATTTGAATCCATTCTGCCGACGATGAGGGTAGAACTGCAGAAGAATGCAAGAAGATCCCACCTTCTTATTCGAGAAGGAATTTGAGGGCGTCTGTCAGGACCCCTGACCATGTTCAGGCATCCAGGCACCACTTTCATGCCTGAGGATGCTAGGGCCCGCCCAGGGCTGCGGGCTCGGCTGTGGGCTCGCGTACGCCCTTACTTAGGCGAGCCGGGCATCCATGGATTAAATGATGCACCGATGGAAAATCGATACTTATGGCTTTGCATAGCCCTAGGTCTCGGTCAGTTATCAAAACACAATTAGAGGGGATATTTAACCAGTCTTTGAATAAGGTTTGTAAAGCCCATTGAGATGTATCAGTATCCTCTTTATGCATCAAGACCTGGGCAAATAAAAGCTCTAACCTGTAAAAGAGGCATATCGTAATTTTTTGTACGATATGTGCAACTTTAGAATTAAGGATAAATACCCTATTTTATACATTAGCAAGTTCCATTAATAGAGCTAGAGGGTGGGATTTAGCTAACAATCCAATGCAATTATCAGATGAGAGCTTCCAATTATAGTAATATTGCTACATAATTCTGCGAAGAGTGCATAATTTGCTCAACCTGGGGTTGGTTCCCATTGATTTTCTTCCGAATTCAATTAACCTCATTCTTCAGATCGTTCGCCAGAATATGAAACACCCTCTGTTTCATCAAAATCTGTCTAAGATGTATTTGAGGTAGGTTAATAAGCTTAGTTATTTTATCATCGGGAGATCCTAGCACTAGCAGGTAGCGATTAGCACACATAGAGTCATCTTGCCCTTGTCATTCTTATTCCAGTATATCCATCGCCAGGGACTGCTAGAAGGCACCTTACACAAAGTCGACCAAAAATGTAAAAAACAGAGGTACCGAAAAGTACAAAAAAATTAGTTTCGCTGGGAATCGAACCCAGAACCTTTCCGGAACACTCGCCTGTGAGGCATTTGTTAACGGAAAATCATAACCGCTAGACCACGAAACTGTTCTATGGAAAGTTACGCACTCTTTGACATTATGAGGCAGGCATAAATCTTCGTCTTTCCAACAATTCAGGTTGGGAAGATTGGGCTTGGTGTCCCACTACTGGAAGACGTAATTGTCGCAAACATGTTATTTTTCATTGATTCCACTGATTTGACTAGACTTATTGTACAACTCCTGAAGGTAATCACTTTCATATTTCTTGCATTCGTCTCCCCAGTGCTGAGCTCCTCGATTTCGGGTTGTTTGTTGTTGGTGTCGGATGTATATTTCGGCACCGAAGGTCGCTAGTGCATCCACAAACCACACCTAACATTTGAATCACTTTTCAGATGCGAGCCCTCTGAAGATGAATAGATTTCCATCACCAGTGGAGCCACTGGACTCCCCTGAGGTCGGATCCGCAGAGTCTTTGCTTGATTCCGTCGCACCAGCGGGCTTACGTGCGAATCCAGCCCTCAGACCAGTGAAATTGACCGTAATATCTGCGATTTTTCCATCAAAGTCTTCAGACTCGTACCCAAGCTCGCTGGTAATGGTCTTTGAAAAGACGGTACCAAGGGTATACGTGCTCGAGCGTGGCTTAGGCACTGGTTTCCGGGGCTTGAGAATTTTACGTGGTCGAGCGACGGTGGGTTGTACGGTAGTGGGCAGGAGACCATTGGAACCCTTCGCCTGTGTCGATTCTTCCGGGCCACAAAGTAGATCCACACTCTTCGGGGTGTATGGTGCTTTGGAATCGGGATGGGCGAGCTGGATCCAAGCTTTTTCTCTAGCTTCCCGGCTTTCCTGGCTCAAATCAGGTCGGGTGAGATCGAGCAACGAACCAAGCTGGCGTTTCTCATATGAATAGCATGCATTATCCCCGACACATGGGTATGCGGAGATGGCGTGCGCATGAGCGAGTGCTATTTCACCACGCCTGTAGGCCAGGATACCCAGCCAGAGATACAATCGGGCTGTAGAAATATCGTTGTTGAGTCTCAATGCGACTCTCAGTGCGGCTCTGATCAATCTATCGGTTTTTCTATCGTAGCCGGTGCTGACAAGCTGGTAGATTTGTTCGAGTAGGCATTCGAAGGCGAATTCGTGGAAAGCTTTATCCAGTTTCATGAGACACGTCTGGACATGACCGAAGGGAGCTTCGCATAGCGAATTCAGTCGCATGTGGTCAAGGAGCTCAAGTTTGATATCACTTTGCGTAGTGGGTGGATTGTCGCGTGGTGATATGGGGGCCGCATCGAAGTTGATAAAAAAGTATTCGAGGAGTTCCTTCTGTAAATTGGGGTGGGGAAGAAGTGAGTTTGTCCTGTGAAATTCCGAGGGATTGGCATCTGCGTTGTGGCTCTGGCCTGGGCTGGTGTACATAACCAAATGAGAATGATTCAAACGCCTATGAAGGGGCTTTTTGCACTCGGGCAAATCCTCGTCGTATGATGATGGATATTGCGGCATCGTGTTTGTTTTCAAGTGTCAAAGTAAGAGAGGACGCGTCAGAAGAAGAGATGACAAGAGATGACAGGAGAGATGACAAGAGATGATTCCAATATGCTTGGCAGTAGATTGTAGGAGCTCTTGTACAGTGACCTGGAGAGTGAGAAGCTGGGTTGGAAGGGAGTAAAGTACTAGAATCGTAGGATGTGGTGAGGTTTGAGATGCTTTGTACTCTCAGTTTCCAAGGCTCCTTACTCTTTAACCTGATATCTGAGACATGTATACAGCTTTCCCTCTTTCCATTGAGCCTATTGTTTTCCAAGGTTGAAGACCTCCCCAACTTGGTAGATCTTTTGTTATCTACGTCAGGAGAAGACTTTCGATGAAACTACAGCTCGTCTATTTCGTTGATAGAGGCAGTAGCCATACAGTACTTCTTTTTACACCCCCATTGTCTCTGGGTGTTGTTTCATTTTGTGACATTGACCAGTAGAACATCAGGTATCATCGTAGTGACTGTTTAACGCCCAGGTGCTAAATGCTCATGGATTCGTGGATCCATACGGCAAGAGACACACCCAAAGAAATACAGCAAAGGAAATAAGAGTTAACACGGACAGGGAGCCTGGCGAGAATTGAGAGGGGATACAGTGAGACAAACACAATCCCTGGACCAAGCACAGCTGAGCGTATATCGATTACTGTTGAGATGGCCCATGTCTGGGGATTAGACCCGCCATGTAGACTCTCCGTTTCGCTGTATAGCAGTAACCGGGCAAAACTTTGGAAGCGGTACTTGGGAATCCATTTGAGATAGTCTGCTGCTGCACAGACTCAATGCACCGTAGCGCCTTCTCAGTCCAGTGTTGCAGATCTTCAACATCCATTTGAACGAGTAGGCCCACCGGGCCCAGATAAAGATCTCGGCCCCCCTCTTCTTCTCATTGCCGTCCCTCTCCTGAAAAACGCTAATGCGGCCATGCCTGTATTGACCTGCCCCTCGATTTCAGGAGCTGAGAGCGCAGCACTTCTAATGCTTGCACCAACTGCCTTTGCTGAGACCCAATGACTATTGCTTCTTGGGGTCTCCTGCGCAGGTCGGGGTCGTACGTGATGTCGAGTTGTCAAAGCACTGTACACCAACCGACCACTCTGTACGGAGTACTCGCCGAGTTGATGCGTCTGTTGGATGAAAGGCGCGATCAGACAATGCTATGTATGGGTTGTGCAGCCCCTGCCGCCGATCCCGGGGTGTTCCCGCCCCAGGTCAGACAGTGCAAACCCTGCAAACAGTGTAAACACGGGACAAACGCGGCAAACAGCGCCATGACCTCACCACATCCAAGCTCTCCCCACATCTACATCAGCTTCATTGGTAAGATGGGCATCGATGCAAACATAAAGTGGAAATACTCGACGTCAGACGGCAGCCTTTGAGTGACTAACCTTTGATTATTGATGTCTCGGAATTCTAAAATTCCCGCAAAAGCCGCTGGTTCGATCAGGCCATGAATCTAGACTTGCGGGGGTACCTGATGCAAACACTTCTATAAGCAAGAATCGTCGGAAAACCGGGTTTGAGGCCAGTCAAGGACTGAGCTCACATGTATAAAGCCTGCAACTAGAGCTCCGCACCGGCGCTAAAGTTATTGTTTTGCATCTGCTCCGATCTACTCCTCTTCCGTTTTCCTAAGCCCGTCATTCGTTACATCGGACCGCGGCTGCCTCGTTCCCTAATAATTTGTCATAGAGGCTGTTTAGATCCAAGGTTAGCTCGTTCCTTAAGAATCCCGTTTAAACCCTGTCGTGCCCTGAATAATCATCTCATTTATGCTCCATCTCAGTCCTGACCTTTCCTGTCACAAACATGTCTCCTACCGCACTACGTAATGTCGACTCGGTCGAAATCGTGGACATTCATCAAGATGACATGGCATTTTCCTTGGTGGATGATATCTACAAGAATCTAGACCCGCCCCCCGGCACGCAGCGCACATTCCCGACCCTTTTACTCTACGACGCGAAAGGATTGAAGCTGTTCGAGAAGATTACCTATCTGGAAGAATATTATCCCACAAACACAGAGATTCAACTGTTGAAAACTCATGCGAAGCGCATAGTTGAACGCATCCCGGAGAATGCGCAGTTGGTGGAGCTTGGCAGTGGGTCTGTTACCCTAACATCCCCCCGGATCCGTGCCCGCTGCGACGCTATGCATATGACCCCACGCTGACATTTTTTTTTTGAATAGAAACCTCCGGAAAATCGAGATACTACTGCGAGAATGTGAGCGAACGGAGAAAAAGGTCGATTACTATGCACTAGACCTCTCGTTGGCCGAATTGCAGCGAACATTTGCTGAGATCTCCCCGGAAAGCTTTGCATATGTGGGATTCCATGGACTGCATGGAACATATGATGATGCAGTGGGCTGGCTGAAAAGTCCCGAAAACCGCAACCGGCCGACAGTGGTTATGTCCATGGGCTCGTCTATTGGAAATTTCGACCGCGGCAGCGCTGCAGAATTCCTTGGTGGCTTTTCTAAGCTATTGGCGCCTTCGGACTTTATGCTCATTGGCTTGGATGGCTGTAAAGACCAAGAGAAGGTCTTCAGGGCCTACAACGACTCTGAGGGTATCACTCGTCAGTTTTATGAGAATGGCCTTATACATGCCAACACTGTTCTTGGCTTTGAGGCTTTCAAGGCCAGTGAATGGGAGATCTTGACTGGATATGATGACCGCGAAGGTCGCCACCAAGCCTGTTACGCGCCCAAGATTGACGTTACCATTAATGGAATAACTATTCCGAAGGGAGAGAAATTATTATTCGAAGAGGCCTGGAAGTATGGTCGCGAAGAACGAGATCAGCTATGGAGGAACTCAAATTTAATTCCGCAAGTTGAGTTTGAAAATTTCACCGATGATTACCGTGAGCATACTATTCTACTGGGCCTGATAATTCACATATACGTTTGCTTACCTACCAAACAGACATCCACCTCTTGTCGCCAACCACTTTGGATGTACCGATGCATCCCGCAAAGTACGCAGGCCAACCAATTCCCAGTCTTAACGATTTCCAATCTCTTTGGACCGCCTGGGACATTGTTACAAAGACTATGATTCCTCGCGAAGACCTTTCATCAAAGCCTATCAACTTACGCAATGAGTTGATCTTCTATCTTGGTCATATTCCTACGTTCTTCGGTATGGTCTCTTCTGGTTCATGGATGATCGTTGACTAATAACCTCGTCATACAGATATTCATTTAACGCGGGCATTACAAGATCAGCCCACCGAACCTGCCGACTATCAAAAGATTTTCGAGCGTGGTATCGACCCAGATGTTGAAAATCCAGAGCAATGTCACAGCCACAGTGAGATACCAGATGAGTGGCCGGCCTTGGGAGACATCCTGGACTACCAGGAGAGAGTCCGCAACCGCGCACGAGCAATTCTCCAAGAGGGATATGCAGACCAAGACCGGACTCTTGGAGAAGCACTCTGGATCGGATTTGAGCATGAAGCGATGCATCTTGAAACCTTCTTATACATGCTCCTCCAAAGTGACAAGACGATGCCCCCTACTGGAACCGAGCGCCCCGATTTCGAGCACATGAGTCGCCAAGCTAAGTTGAACGAGAAGCCTAATAAATGGTTTAGCATTCCACAGCAGACATTCAAGATTGGATTGGATGATGGCCGTGAGTCTAGCTTGCCAGAAAACTCATTCGGGTGGGACAACGAGAAGCCCGAAAGAGAGGTGACTGTGGGTGCTTTTGAATCACAGGCACGCCCGATTACCAATGGGGAATACGCAAAATACTTGCAAGAAAAGGGTGTTCATAATTACCCAGCGTCCTGGGTAGTCACCCGTGAACAGAAAGACACTATCGTGAGGGGCATTGGTTCCACAGGAGCACAGGCAGGCTCTAGTGCCGCCCCGGCAAGATTGCCTTTGGAAAATATCTCAGTTCGAACTGTGTATGGTCCGGTTTCTTTGGAACTAGCACAGGACTGGCCATTGAGTGCTTCATATGATGAGGTGTCGAGCTATGCAAAGTGGATGAACTGCAGGATCCCCACCATGGAAGAGACCAGGAGTATTTACCACTACTCCGATAAGCTCAAAGGTCACCCAGTTACAAACGGCCATAGGTACGTGTATAATCTCTAGTATTGAGAAGAGACAATCTAATGAAAGCAACAGCTCCGAGGTGAATGGGTCGAGCAAGTCTGGCTCTGGCAAGGGATCAACCTTCCGCGATCTCAATGGTTGCAATGTCGGATTCAAAAACTGGCATCCCACTCCAGTTACCCCAGATGGTGACAGGCTGGCGGGTCAGAGTGACATGGGAGGTCTCTGGGAATGGACTAGCACGCCTTTGATGCCACATGAGGGCTTCAAGTCTATGGATATCTACCCCGGATACACCTGTGAGTTAATCCCAGAGCTTGGTATAAAACCTTAGTTAACTCTTTCCTACAGCTGATTTCTTTGATGGAAAACACCACATTGTCCTTGGAGGTTCGTGGGCTACTTTCCCCCGAATTGCCGGCCGCACCAGCTTGTGAGTAAACACGAAGACACTGAATATTTGAACCTTGCTAACAAGACTCAGTGTCAATTGGTACCAGCACAACTACCTCTATGCTTGGGTAGGTGCCCGCCTTGTGCGAGATCTGTAGATATCTGTACATGTACATATATGAAAGAGTCAACTGGTCAGGGCTATTGCTTATGACATCATCGCGATAAGAGATAAGCGTAACGTGACTGCCCCTCATCTCTCTCCAATTACTTCCCTCTCTTGCTGCTCTTGTTTGTATTTGCTTTGCTTCAATTATCTTCAAAATGTCGCTGGAAACTATTACCACCATTTCCCCCGCCACCAATGAGCCCGTTGTCACCCGCACCGGTGTTTCATCTGAGGAATTGAGACAGATTCCCGAGAACGCCCAGGTGGCTTTCCACTCATTCTCGCAGTCCACAACCTTGGAACAAAGACAAAAGATTGTGGAGCGTACCCTTGATATTTTGGAGAAAAAGCAAGATGAATTAGCACGCGAGGTCACAGAGCAGATGGGTCGACCCATCGCTTACAGCGGCGTCGAAGTCGCGACCGCTATCAAGCGTAGTCGCTACCTGACCCGCATCAGTACTTCTGTGCTAGGTGAGGAAGGAATCGTACCCGGAGAGGAAGAGAAAGGGTTCCGTCGATACATTAAACGTTCGCCCGTCGGTGTGGTGTTGGTCATCTTCCCTTGGAACGTGAGTCGAGACATGGCAACTACGGTGACAGCTTGCTAATGCTGAAAATGATATAGTATCCCTACCTTACTCTCGTCAACAGCTTGATCCCGGCAATCCTCGCTGGAAACGCAGTCATCCTCAAGCCCTCCCCTCAAACCCCCACAATCGTCGAGCACTTTGCCTCTGCTTTTGCCGAAGCCGGCCTTCCTGAGAACGTGCTCCAATTCTTCCACTGCGGATCCTTTACTCTGCTTGAGACTTTGGTGCGCTCACCTCTAGTGAACCATATCTGTTTCACCGGCTCCGAAGCCGGAGGCCTGGCCGTTCAAAAGGCGGCCGCAGACCGTATCGTTAATGTTGGACTGGAGTTGGGAGGCAAAGACCCAGCTTATGTCCGAGAGGATGTGGATCTTACCTGGGCTGCCGAGGAAGTCGTTGACGGGGCTATCTTCAACAGTGGACAGAGCTGCTGCGCTATCGAGCGAGTCTATGTCCACGAGAAGGTCTATGATGGCTTCATCACTGAGGTCAAGAGGGTCCTTAGTAACTATCGTGTTGGCGAACCCTCCGATCCCAAGACCCAGATTGGTCCCGTGGTCTCCAAGCAGTCAAAGCAAGCTATCCTGGCCCAAATTGAGGCCGCTGTCAAGGACGGCGCAAAGAATGATACCCCTGCCAACGCGACTTTTGAGAATTTCCCTGCCAACGGAAACTACGTTAAGCCCACTCTGCTCACTGGTGTGACCCATGAGATGGCCGTTATGAAGGATGAAACTTTCGGTCCCGTCATCCCTGTCATGAAGGTCTCGGGCGATGACGAAGCCATCCGCCTCATGAATGATAGCACATTTGGCCTCACTGCCAGTGTTTGGAGTAAGGATGTTGCGGCTGCTGAGAAGCTGGTTGATCGAGTTGAAGCTGGCACCGTGTTTGTCAACCGCTCCGATTACCCCAGCCCCGTAAGTTTATATACCCCTTTCCGTGCTCATTTTTCCTTGCTAATCATCCCATCTCCACAGGATCTTGCTTGGACCGGCTGGAAAAACTCCGGCCGTGGTGTCACTCTCAGCAGATTTGGCTTTGAGCAATTCGTCAAACTCAAGAGCCACCACATCAAGGATTACCCCAAATAAGAGTACATTGTGTGATAAATGCGCTATTTTGGCTTGTATTTAACAAGATAAATAGATACTCCTGGGCAATACTGCCCTCGGCTTGTGCTAAATCTACAGCCTACAGTCCATGATCTGAATTGAATACTCATATCTTTACATGAATACAACATGGAATTGTGAATTGCTCCTCGCTAACAAGTACCAACAGAGATAACTACAGTCTTGCTCCAAATTGGAATACACTTCAAAGGCGGGAAAGATTGGAGAATTCAGCCGGGGCGTGGTAAGTGGGCACCTTCATGTCGAGATCGGATCCAGAGTATCCAAGGTCCTCTGCAACCAGCATTGCACACTTTTCGCCGATAAGCAGAGCAGTCTATCAAGTGGACAGGTTAGCATTGAAAAACATACATCCACAGCAGAGTAGCAGAAACTTACGCTGAAAGTGTTGCAGCCCACATTGTCAGGGCAAATCGACAAATCGCAAACCTTGAGGCCCTTGACACCGTGCACATTGAGGCGTTCGTCCACAACACCTCCGTGGGGCGCAATGGAGTTACCCTCCCGTGGGGCCATGCTGCATGTACCAAGGCAGTGCCAGGTGGTCTCAACGTGACGAGAAACTGCAGTCCAATTGTTAGATATTGACAAGCAAAGGGCGTGAGTACGTGTTCCTTACTCCACTTCTCAATGTGCTTGATATCATCATCACTGTACTCCAAGGAAGGACGAGCTTCGTGTCTGTTGGAGTTCAGAATTTGAGGTCCGGGTTGCTTTCCAGGCTCCAATGGAGTCGTCCAAGAGCCTGGGGGTATAATTAGCAGGTGTACCCTTTTTTTGGTGACTGGGGAGCATACCGTGCTGAATGCCAGCAGAAATGTGGTTCGTGCCTGCATATGCCTTGGTCGTCGCCAAGTCCATGTCTTGCGAACGAGCAGGTGAGTTGAATGCAAATTGAGGATGCATCGCAGTGACTTCTCCGGCATACGAGCTCATGCGCCGGGCAGTTTCACGGGATTTGATATATCCCCAGACCATAGGAGCCATGTCACGCTTGTCATTCATGAAGCCAGCGTCAAAATCAGGGACTTCATACGGGTCTGCCGACTGGATGTGGGTGAATCCACGAGAGAAGGGGTATTCCTAGTTTAAGGTCAGTATTGATATGGTTACCATGTTGGGTTGATGCTATACCAAGAAATGGAACATGGTGAAGAACTTGCCAGGAGGCATATGCATGTGGTCTCCGAACCAGCTGTATAATGTGAGCTCATGATATCACAACAAGGAGAGGAACTTACCCAGAGATGATCGAGTAGTGCATAACGGGCTTGTCAGGCTTGTTCCTGAAGTACGACTCATACCCCTCTGTGAAGTCCGGGGTTGGCCACTTCTTCATCTCCGTGAGCTCCTGCTCCGTAGGCCGAATCTTGACTCCAGCATCAATACCGTTAGTAGCCAATGGTCCAGTGCCCTTTTTATCCCACTCTTCGAACACCTTCTTCTGCACCTTGGGATCTCCACGGATGAAGTCATCAAAAGACTCGACGTCAGGCTTGGCTCGGTACACCGAGAAGGTCAAATAGTGGTCCTGGAAGTTGCGGCCAACACCGGGGAGGTTGACCAAAGGCTTTACACCAGCCCGACGCAGCTTCTCGGGGTCACCAAAGCCAGAACGCTGGAGAATCAGTGGGGAACTCATGGTGCCTGCGCTGATGATGATCTGCTTTCGGGCTTTGAAGATCCGGCGGACTGGCTCGCCTCCGTTGAGGGGCTTGGTTGGCACTGTTACCACACCGACAGCCCGGCCATTCTCAACAATCACTTTCTCCACCTTGGTGTTGCACTGGAGGTGGAGGTTGGTGTGCTTAGCTCGGGTGCTGTGGACATAGGCGTGGGCGGCATCACTTCGGCGTCCTAATAAAATTTGTTAGCAAGATAACCAAATAGGCTAGTTGTTGGGTATTCATTCTTACCGGTATCACGGTTGATCCATTTCAACCAATGCTCCGCACCATGGCTATAATAACGATAGATCAGCAATGTACAATAGGAGCGGGCTTTGGAGCTCATACCCGGTCTTCAAATCCTGCAGATCATCCGTGAATGGAATGCCTTGGGTTTCAACAGCGCGAAGGAAATCATTCTTGATCGGGTACGTATAGTTGCCGAATGAGACCTTAATAGGTCCATCTTGACCATGCAGCTCGGGATTGTTGCTAGCACGTTGGTAGGTTTCGTGCTTTCTCATCAAGGGAAGAAGCTCCTTAGTCGTCCAACCTTTTGCCTGGAAATCGTCGTAATCAGACGCCGAGGCTCTGGTGTACATCTTCCAGTGGTTTAGTCCAAGGTCCTTGTTTTATGGGTATCAGAGACAGAACCTACCATAAAGTTGATAGAGCTACCACCTCCGAGAATGTTTGCACAAGGAACGATTGCCTGGCGACCATCCAGATGCTCAGACGGTCTCGATTTATAAAACGAGGCGGTCTTCGAGTCGAGCTTCATGTTGTTGGGGTAGATACCCGGGCGGTAAACCCTAGATTTGAGGTTAAAGTGCATTCATAGATGGAAATGGTGATAATATTCTCACCATTGATTGTTCAGGTTATCTTCGCCTGCCTCGATCAATAAAACTGATAGTTTGGGATCGAGGTTCGCGAGACGGCCTGCAGGGACACATCCCGAGCTACCGCCACCGCAAATGATGATATCAACCTCCTCTGGGATAGCCATGGTTGATTGTGTTGGTAAAGGAGAATCGAAGGAGGATCGACAACGAATTGGTTGAGGGAAGAACAAATTCTTCGAGTGAGCCTTTGGAGGGGGCTTTATATAGCTGTGCTTTTGTGCTAGTGGAACCAACAACAAGACCAATCGCCCAGGTTAGATCATATCTCAAGGCGATACCCCATACAATGACCCCGCGTGCGGAGACAGAGTTCGAAGCCTCCAATGCCCAAAGTCCAAGACTTGATATCTGTATAAGAATGTATCCTCAACGCACCCTGCGAACATGTTCACCCATGGCAGCCCAATCAAATCCCGAATTTCAGCATTGGACAATTTCTAAATGTTCCATATTGAGACTTTATAGGACGAAAGTCTGCTTTGTAGGCTATCTGTTTGAAGCTCATGTTCAGGATCCCTGTCGTATTCCCAAAAGCCCAGAGCCAAGACCTTCTTTGATGGCGCTTTTCCTTGGACAGCTCCCCGCATTTCATCTACGGCTATGATCAACTCAGTCAATTGCCTAGAACAAGCTCTTACAGCTCTTATGCAGGTAAGATGCCGCAGAAAGTACTTGTCATTCCTTTGGCGCCCTGGGCTATGCATCGACATGGGAGACATGCGTGGGGGTCACTCCGATCTTCCTGGTATTTTGAGCTAATGGGTGCAAGCCTAGTCTATGAAACAAAAAAACCTGGTACATACTTGTTTATCTAAACCGTAGCACTATATGCGATGCAAACAAAAATACAATGCTTCAATTCCGTCAGAGCAAAACCGACTTCTAAAGTTTCACTTTTCCTTGAATCCGAGCCCTCGAAGTACATGAAAACAAAGCTCAACCCAAATATTTTCGACAATTCTAGACTGTCAGAACGGCTTATTGTATTGATATTGATCAAGTAATGTGAGTTTTGAATCAGTGGATTCGGATCGGCCGGGAACCATGATTCAACGTGCCAATGATGTGGCGTTCTATAAAGGCCTTAGTGCGCTGCGTAAACGGTCACTATCCCCGCACAACCACCGCTCTAAATAGTAATTTTGCGGGGTAGACTTATTGGCGCGAGGCAAAATAACTTAGTTATGCAGTAGAGATTAGGCATACATTACTGTTTCAAAGTCCAATTGGAGGGAAATTTGACACATCACTCGGCCGCGCATCTAGAACAGATAATCATGTTTAATAGCTATTGGCCTGAATTGCTACATGGATCTTTTTGTTCGGGGTTTGTACGAGTGGGTATCCATGAATTCCATATTCTGGTAGGACTTCAGGCGTTTTCATAACATTGTCTTCCCTGGTGTGAAAAAGATGCGCTTTCGTCCGTGGATGATCTCTTGAACGGTTCAAACTAGACCAGAGACACATAATCTAGATAACAACCTTATGAATTTGTACAAGATGAGAATGGACTTCCCTTCAAAATTAAGTTCCGGATATATCAGGCTCAGGTGCCGAGAACAGACCACTTCGTCCTAGTTTCATGAAGCAGGGTAAGTGGCTAAATGCCTCAAGTCTGCATCGTTGAAATCACTGATAATTTTTCCGGAAACAGGTGGCGTATTCAAAAGAGGAGATCTGCCGGTCATGCCCAATGAGAAAGCGGCTTCTCATGTAGCATGTCGTATGCTATTCATCTCTCCCCACATGTCGATTGACTCCAGATTTCAAGTTAAAACATTATCACCAACTGGCTGGAATTAATCGATTTTGAGACTATCATAGCTAACAGATCTGCTGTCAGTCCGGTGAGCTTTTACTGTATGCGGAGCAGGCCTATGGCTTTTTTATGGTATCTTTCGAGGGCCAGTCCGTCTTTGAAAAAGGAAAGGGGATGAATGAAAGAAATTCAACGAGAATCTTGAACTAATCGGATGAAAATATCTGACATGGTAAGACTATATGGGAACAACTGAACCCTCAACACACAAAATCTCACACCTGTGCAGTAAAAAAAAGGAAAAGTCCCAAATGTCTGTGTATCCATGACAGAGTGCATGGAATCCAAATCCTTTTGTTGTGCTCAATAAAAAGGATCCCAAAAGCTCGCTCAGTGCTGTAGCGCCGGATTTCCATTAACTACGGAGAAACTCTGTGGAAGATAGAGAGAAGGAGAGAGATCCAGGCATAGGTAGGATGTATCTCTTTCCTGACCAAGCAAACATGCCCACACAAGAAAAGCCGCCGATTGCAAAATTGGCGCATTTAACGACATAGTCTATTGCTATGCGTCCAGGTGACGAATCAAAGGCAAGCGGCGTTTACTGAATTATCAATGGCTTTAGGTATTGTAGCAGGTTGAACTGACTTTGAGTCCTATAGAGCTGTATGACGGACGTGACTGGAGGTAGCGCAAAGAGCAGCATGGGTTTTAATAATAAAGGCGGGGACACTTCATTATTTACTGCTTACCACGAAGCTGCCATAAACAATTTTCTGGCAGGCTTTTTGGAGAGATCAGAGATCAGAGTGAGGGTTGTGTTTATTATAGCGGGGTAAGATCTGTTGACGAATTAGAGTGTCAAAGTACTACTCCGGGAACCGCCATTCGCTCATAGCGCTGCCCCCCATTCCCTATGTGAAATCATGGCGCTTGCGGTCCGCTCGTCCTCTCTCCTCACTCTCATCCTCGACCGTACACATACTCTGTCCAATCATCCTGCTTTGGCTGCTTCTGTCAATACATGGTAACACAACCGGCATGTCGTTCCCTATCAGTGCTGGCCTCTTCCAGACACACCAACTCATCGAGAACGATAAAATCTTGATCCGAGATGAGATATATGGAGAGGAAATCGTCCATGAGCCAGTTCTCGTAGAGCTCCTTCAAAGCCTGGAGGTGCAGCGACTGCAAGGCATCTGCCAGCATGGAGTCAGTGGATTCTTAGGCCTGACACCGCGAGTGACACGGCTCGAACATTCGGTCGGCGCATTTCTACTCGTGCGAAGGGTTGGAGCCACGATTGAAGAACAAGTCGCTGCTCTCCTCCATGACATCTCTCATACCAACCTCAGTCACGTCATCGATTTCGCCCTCTCCAAGCCTGGGGAAGGAAGTTATCACGAGGTACACAAGACACGATATCTTAAGACGACGCAACTACCGGATATTCTTGCCAAACATGGTATCGACCAGAAGGTCTTCGAAGAAGAACTCTTTCCACTAGTGGAGATGCCATCGCCTCATTTGTGTGCCGATCGCCTAGACTATGCTTTACGCGACTCTGTCAGTTACGACAAGCTTTCTATAGAGGACGCCAGAAGAGTTGTCGGTTCACTGAAGGCGTTTCCCAGTGCTACAGCGACCCACCGTCTGCTGGTTCTGGACGATCCCCATCTAGCGTTGATCCTGTCTCGCGCGTACATCGCTGCCGACGAGGCTGTCTGGGCAAATCCAGCCCACGTTGACATGTGTGAGCGGACAGGCCGGGTGATACGGGAACTGGTGGAGGCAGGATGTATAGATGATAAGGTGTTGTGGCAAGTTTCCGACACAGAATTTTGGGCTCTACTCCGTCAAACAGCGGATCCTGAACAACTTCGTGCCATTGAGAGGCTAGAAGAGGAAGGGGCTCCAGAAGATAGTGGACTCCGACTGCCACCTGGCTCGAAAATTCGCACCATTGATCCAGACATTTGGCAAGGAGAAAAACAACCCGCGCCGTTGTCGACGGTATTGCCAACGTGGGAATTAGAGCGAAAGCAGTACATTCTCAGTCGCAGTCATTGTTGATGATGACTATTGTATCGTAGACGGCTCTCTTCTCCCCTTCATTTCGGTTCTCTTCGTTAACAGGTTCTACAAACAACTTTAGAATGATACTATGAGTCTTGGTTAGTTTTCACTTAATGATTTCACGTTACGGTCTACAACCTGTAGACACAACCCCGAATGCCTAATTGATCCAACACAATTCACCACATCCTGAAAAAGTACTGAATCTAATTGTTTATCGCAAAAATATCAGATGAAGAACAAAAAAATAGTTTCGCTGGGAATCGAACCCAGAACCTTTCCGGAACACTCGCCTGTAAGGCAATTGTTAACGGAAAATCATAACCGCTAGACCACGAAACTGTTCTATGAAAGTTCCGCGATCTTTGACATTATGAGCCAGGCGCTTTCTGTAAGAGCGATCAAGGTTTGCCAAGAAATTCACTGTTTGTCGCCCTGGTGTGATCGTTGAGTTCTCTAAAAAAAAATTCTCGCTTTCTCTGACTTGTAACCTGTGATTCAGAGATAGCGGTGTTTTCATTGGGAGTTATTTAAGATTCGAAGACGTTTAGAGCACTGCAACCTTCTAAGGTTTTTTTTGATACTGTCTCACGACAGACAACAGGCCTTGCTTTGCTGTTGATTATTACCTTGGAACGGTTTTTATCCCTTGCTTCAAACACCTCGAAGTTTCACATCACGCCTGATCGGATGTCCATCATTAGCTCTAAGGCTGGCATGCGGCAGGGTATCGAAAATGCATAAATTGTCCACGGGTGTCAAAATTAAGGATATCCCATGTTCCCGGTTGGCGGGTCGCGATATATATAGATGATGACTTTGAACCTTTAGATGAACCAAACTTTTAAACATTCGCTAGCAAACCTGGATCCATGTATTATCCAAAGTTTATGATCTCAAACAGGCGATCCCGACTCATCAACATCACCCCTATCCACATAAAAGCGGTATGCCCGGCCATTCACTTCTTGGGCCGCCTTGCTTGGTCGAAGTGGCTGGTCTCTTGATGTTGGTCCACCAAGCGTTACTTCGGAGACTCCACAAACGGTCGAGGTATTCGTCGATTGTCTAGACCGCTTGGAAATGCTGACATCGGGTTTTTCGAAGCCCCCACGTTCGCTCTCGGGTTTCGCAGGGGCCAGGTTAACCCCACCCCTACCTCGTGTGTTTGTTTGAGTGGGGATGTTGGATATGCTGATCTTCGATTGACCCCCCAATTGGTAGGTTACTCTGGACGACACAAATTGGTAGTTTGGCCCCGAAGAGATACTTGAAAATATAGTTGAGCCACTCATATCACTGGAAATGGTGCGATTGGAAATTCCACCCTGCTGGGATTAGTCGGGTTCCGTCAAAAGCTTCTCATGTTATAAGATGTCCACGGGTACTTCTTACCAGTGAGGTATCAAGTGGAGGAAGCTGGGGTCTTTTTCGCGCGGATCCAGTCGAAGACTTGGTACTCTGATCCAATGTGGAGCAACTGGACATGATATTTGGCAAACTTTTCGTCCTCGCCAATGACAGACAAACAACTCAAAAGCCGATGGATGAGCCAGTAAGACAAGAGAGGTGGAAATTTGGCCAAAGCCCTAGGATGGCCCAGAATAGAGATCTGCCAAAGAGCCTGCACCCGGGCAAGAAAAGGAACAAAACTTCAATCTCTTGACTCAGAAAGATCATGAAATAATTGAAATTTATTGGCTTAGGGACTTTAGTTATATTCTGGGAAGTGATTGTGCCCTCTCAGGGCTGAATCTGCTTTTTCCTGAAACGGTATCGTTTCTGATCAAAAATTTCTGATATCTTGAAGATCACCTCCCTTACATGCTCACAAGAAGGTGACTGTTGAACAATCTGATTGGTAGCGCACTCTGCACATGCCTTCCCAGGTGGACATATTTCCCACAGATGCAAGGTGCTAAAGCGCTCTGACATTTATCTAGATAAACCTATTGATCGGTATACTGAAGATGCTCGCGGAGAATGTGAGAATACCGGAAGTCAATACGATCAGGAGCAGTAGTTCTAAAGCCCAATCGCACCATATGTAGACACACCTCTAGAGATTAGTGTTTAAGAGTAAATACAAACTCCCATGTACATATGTACATAAAGTACAATGCTGGCTCAATTGGCCAATCGGAGGAGTGTACATTCTTCTCGATTCAGCCAGGACATGTTGCGATCGATCTGTGGCGAATTCCATGAATGTGGTATGGACTGCATCCACCAAAGCCTAAAGCTGTATGTATAACCCTTAATTCATCCAAAAAATGTCTTTTGAAATCATCTTAATTATGTGATAAGCACAGATCCCAGGATTCTATCAAGAAGGTGTAGGATAAGAATGAACCACAACCTCGGAATCTTTCTAAGGGAGTACTTACGCAAATGATACTAAACAGCTGTGTCTGTGTGACGCAGTACTATGATATAGATACAAAATGTCACCCAAAAGGCATGGAAATTCAATTTGAAGGGAAGGAAGTGGATGTAAATGGAATTGTGGTATGCTCCGTATACCGTGATCAATCTCCATTTCTTCTTAAGGATCATAGTGGCAAAAATCTGGCCGCCATCCATGAATAGCCCGGGTGGTCTAGTGGTATGATTCGCGCTTAGGGTTCACCCAAAGCACAATTGCGCGAGGTCCCCGGTTCAATCCCGGGCTCGGGCCTAGTTCATTTTTTTGCCTTTCGATTAGGCGTATGTATTCATTTTTGGTATGGAGTAAATACAGCTTGTATTTTTATGTCACCCTGGGGTGGAAGGGGTTGGTGTTGGCTAGCATTACCTTAAAATGCTGTGTGACGATCCTATCAAGATGATGCTACGGACAAGAGAATTGAAAGGAATTAGGATAAGAGAAGAACAGAGAGATCTATCACGTCTCTTAGTACCTAGGTAGGCGAATGAACTTTAGAAACCTTGGAATAATCTGCTGACGGATAGACAGATAAGATAGCCAAGCAAAAATTACCTGAAATCCAACCATCTAGCATTCCTCCTTCATAAAGAAGCAAAAACAAACAATACAAAAAATATTCCATGGTAGGAGAGGAAAAACCAGCAAAAAAGGAATATAATAGGCCCGAGCCCGGGATTGAACCGGGGACCTCGCGCAAGTGTGCTTTGGGTGAACCCTAAGCGCGAATCATACCACTAGACCACCCGGGCTATTAATAGTAGCTTGATGAGCTGGTGGTTATAGAACCCAGAAACACAGATTGACGGAAGTAAGGATAAGATCTAGGTATGTACTCTGTACAAGTACCGGAAGACATGCTCCTGGCTCCATTGGCCCAATTTCCCTACCAAATTTCCACCGAGCAGAACTTAACAAGATCTACATCTGACAATGCTCTATCTAAGGGGGAATTCAGAATGAAGCGATAAAACCATGGGAATAGTTCGAGGAACTTATAAAACACAAATGCGAGCTCCTATAGACAAACTTTTCCAGGACTGGTTAGCAACCATCCACTCCTATAATAATGCAATTGCAGGCCAAACGTAGCTTAAGTAACTTATACCGGCTGGTGATATAGTATCCATGGAGATCTGAAAAATACTGCTTCAGCTATCGCTGGGAGTTAAGCATCCGGTTAAAGATAGAAGAGGCAGCCAGAGTCCACTTCTGTGATTTAATAGATCTATCGACCATAGCCAATCGAGTGAACAACATCTCTAGCCGGGACGGGAAGAGGTATAGAGATCCAAAATTCTACCTACCTAATCCGTTACCCAAGTCCCAAAAGAAACTATATCAGCAATGCTCGATTCATCCCAGACAGGACCCGAACCCCGGACTGTCAATGATCCAAGGCACAAAGATCGAGGTACGACGGAGTCCTCACTCAATCTAACCAACATATCAAAAACACCCCAATTGAGCAGCGGAGGCACATAAATATTAACTAAGAGCCCCCCAAAGGGCAGTAGTAAGCGTAGAATCCACTTCCTGCGCTTCCGGTGACAACACACCCCCCAAACTTAGCCAGCACTGATTTTAGCTTCTTTCCGAATCTCTTCTAGTGCCATTGAGTAAGAAATTGACAAAAAAAAAGGAATATAGGCCCGAGCCCGGGATTGAACCGGGGACCTCGCGCAATTGTGCTTTGGGTGAACCCTAAGCGCGAATCATACCACTAGACCACCCGGGCTATATAGAAAGTAAACTTGACCAATATGGCTTCATGAACCAGACATGGCATTCATTAGTATTTAGATAGTCGGTAGCCATGGATCCATATACATGTATCCTTGGATGTGGATTTAGTAGCCCATCTATTTTTACGGACGACTTAAGCGATTTATACCAAGTAAATGAGGATTTTGTTTAGGTGGAAGGAACTATGCCGAATTGGGATGATGCCGAGGATCAAGCATTCGGTGGCTTGTCGAGACTCTCATCCAATCTTATTAATGATCACTGGAAAGTACCGGGCCATTCCAAGGATCAACAAGGGGTATCTTTCTCCGGACCCCAACGGTCAATACTACAATACTCCAAATCTCGGCAAATCGGCCACGATGATTGGGCAATTCGCCTACGGCAAGGGCCGCTATCCGAGAGAGGGGAAGATAAGACTTGACGTGCTCCTCATCAACAATGATGAATCCGACAGAATTTGAACCTCTGCATTTTGAGCTCTTCAATTTAACAAGATGAAGAACTTTGGCCTCCTCACTCTGGCTGTGCCTTCATTGGCCCTCAACATCCCTACCCAGCAGCTTCTCTCCAACGACCTATGGGCTGGCTTCTCCAATCCGCTCAAGCAGGTTGCAAGAGAGACATGTCCCCAACCGGCACAGGTCAGCACGCCTGAAGATGGATTCCACTCGTCGCAGACTTTCCTCTCTGATGAGGCTTTCCGTGCCCGTCAAGCACACCGACTTTCTCGCGCGGTGCAGGTTCCAACCACCGTGGGTGATTTTGCTAAAGACCCATATGACCCGGCTTTTGAGCCTGTGGTGAAGTTTCAAGAGCTTTTGGTGGAACTTTTCCCTCTTGTGTAAGAGTCCCTCGTAGGATCTTTTTTTGCCCATGAACAAAATGTACTAATTTGGCTGTAGACACAAGCATGCCAAGGTTGAACATATCAACCGCCTTGGTCTGGTTTTCACCTTTGAAGGAGTGGAGAGCTCCCGCAAGCCACTGCTATTTATGGCGCATCAGGATGTCGTTCCTATCGACGACCCTTCAGATTGGACGCACCCTCCTTTCGCGGGTGTTTTTGACGGTGAATGGATCTGGGGTCGTGGCGCAAGTGACTGCAAGAATGTGCTCATTGGCTTGATGTCCGTGGTCGAAGATCTACTCTCCCAAAACTGGAAGCCACAGCGTACAGTTCTATTTGCCTTTGGATTCGACGAGGAATCGCACGGGTTCCTCGGTGCCGGGGCTATCTCAGAAGCCCTGGAGAAGAAGTACGGCAAAGATTCCTTCGAGTTCATTCTGGACGAGGGTGGAATGGGTCTGCAGAGCCTGGGCGGAGAGTCCGATTCGAGCAGCGAAGTCTTGTATGCTCTCCCAGCTGTCGGCGAGAAGGGTAGTCTCGATCTGATCATCGATATTGCTGTACCCGGAGGCCACAGCTCTATCCCCCCAGCACACACCGGAATCGGTATCATGGGCGAGATTCTATACCAGCTTGAGCGCAAGGAACTCTTCCCCGCCTGGTTGGATACCAACCACCCAGCACACGGGATGCTCGAATGCCAGGCCCGGTATTCCTCCGAACACGTCGAGACCTGGCTATCCGAGAAGCTGGCAGCCGATGACCCCGCGGCTCTCGGCGAGGCAGTAGCCAGCTCCCGTGGTCCAGCAGTCCGCTACACCATGCAAACCTCACAGGCTGCAGACCTGATCCACGGCGGCGTCAAGACAAACGCACTCCCAGAGAAGATCTCAGCAGTCGTGAACTACCGCGTGGCTCTGCACCAAACACCCGATGAGCTGCGCGAGCGTGCATTGCGTATCATCAGCCCCATCGCGGAAGAACACAACCTCACTCTGCACGTTGCGTTCCCCGACGTGAAAGGAACCACAGGAGATACGAGCGACCGCACCCTTACTCTTTCTCCACTGAGCAAACCACTGGTCCCGGCGCCCATCTCGCCTACTGACCCACTCACCTCGAAGGTGTGGGCTCACTTTGCTGGCGTAGCACGCAGTGTATTCGAGTCTCACTCGAACCCTCTTTCCAAGTCTACATCCAAGCCGACCGTGGTTGTCACCGGCGATGTCATGACCGGTAACACCGACACCCGCTTCTACTGGTCTCTCTCTGAGAACATCTATCGCTGGAGTCCCTCGCGTGCTGGTGGATCGTTGAACATCCATACCGTGGATGAGCGGATTCGTTTGGATGTTCATTTGGAGGGAATGATGCTCTACTATGGTTTGTTTTGACCCCATATTCGCAATTTCGTGTGTAACAAAGCTAACTTACTCAGATTTGATTCGGTCCTTCGATAACTGGGACAATAAGTCTGGGTAGACATTCTTGGATTGAATGTTTCCAATGGGTGCATTATATGAGTGGTTTCTGAGGCCAACCCTTGTTTATAAGGCATATGATGAAATAGTAGGATGAGATTAGGAAAAGGTATCATGTGGTGGAATTGCTGTTTTTGGATGTAAATCTTCGGCCTAGCCAAATTCACCGGCGATAAAATCTCCAAGGTTAGACACCAACGTTTGAAGCACAAAAATCTTATCCTGCTAGTGGTCTCAACATTGATCAACCCCTTGGGCACCTCTTGAGCGACTGTTTCATAAAGGGACTCAGCTCGGTGCCTTATAAGCTTCCATCTAAGTTTTCATCGAAGAAGCGGTCTGCGAAGGTAACTAATAGTCATTGATTGGAAACTGCACCGTCGAATGATTCAGTTATGCTTGTCTCTGATCATCCTGCTTCCGTGTTTTGTGTCTGGAACCTTGTCCTTTCCATGATTGTTATTGAGATACACTAAATACCATGCGTCTTGAATATAGGCTCAGTCACTGAAGCTGAGAAGATGAGAGTCTCTGTTAAGTGTAAGCCATGAAGGGGAAGCAAAGTGAGTATGCATGTCCGTGAGTCCGTCAAAGTCCAATGACTTTGGAAGCCGGCAATTCAAATGATTTGACACAGCCCACACTCAAGACCTGCACTATGGATGGGTATACACAGAAATATGATCACTCATGAGTTCGGAACATGGGGGAAATCACGAGCGCACAAGTAGCGGCGCAAAAGATCCTCCCATGACAGGGCGAGCGACGAAAGTGTTTTGGGGGTAGCTATGATTATTAACAAAAGTTTCATAAGTGGGAGCTTGGTAAACTCACTTCCCTGACTCGGTGTCGTAGAGATCCGTGAGGGGGCGGTTAGTTGGTGTCTCGTTGATCCAAGTAGCAAGGTCCTTGAGGAACATGTTTCGGGTATCGACTGAAGCGATTGCGGCAGCAAAGCATTCCCAGTCACCTAATTGAGGGTCAATATAAGTAGATTATCAGTGGAATCGATCTGAATAACTCACTCTTAGTGTAGGCGTGACGGGTGTCTAAAGGCACACCGTACTTGTTCGCAACCGTTGGGTAGAAGTTACTTTGCATCTGATAGACAGACTGTGGGACTAGACCGAGGCCCAATTGAGCATCGGCAAACAGGTTGTATAATAGACCTATATTGCTGGTAAGCGGTGTTGTGTAAGAATTTCCTTAGCATTGAGCTTACCATGACTGTTAGTATCGCCGTATGAAAGCGTTGTGTGCGGTGGGTTGGCATCCTTGGCAATAGCCAGTTCCTGCCACTGGGTAATATAATCATGGGCAATGCCTGTGAAATTGGCAGCATCGTCAGGGTGACCAGTCTTATTGGCAATAACAGCCATTGCCTGAATGCCGATCATGCCCTTAAGCGCTAGGTTGGTTTGGTTGCTAATTGTCCTGGTTAGATTTGAGCTGTCAAACAAAAGAAATCACTTACGCGAGAGAGCCGGCGAAATCATCAGTCGAAATCTGATTAGCAGGGTACAGAGAGTCCGCAACCAGATAACTAGTCCACTTCTTCAGCAGGTTGTAGTGGAGCTTCAAATAGTCGGTGTCTCCTGATTTTTGCGAATAAGCCAGAGTCATAATGAGCATGTCTCCACACTCCTCCAGGGGCATTTTCTCGTCGCTGCCGTCGGAATGACCTGTGGCATTGGGGTACGAGGATCCCATGTCGTGCATGGAGTAGTCATTGGGGTACTTTCCAGCCTCTTGATTTTCAAATAGAGGGTCGAGGACCAATCTGAGGAGAGCTGGGTTGGAGTACAAGAAGATCGGGTAGGCTGGGAAGACAACATCGACGGTATTCATGTTCCCGTCGGAAGAGATCTCTTTCAGGAACAGGTACGTCTTCTCTTGAGTACCACATAGTTGGGTCGCACCAAATGCCTGTCGGGCTGACAGCGAGGTAATTGTGAGATAGTCCTGACCAGCAGTGGCTATGGAGTCTCTGGCGACTTTTTCGTCAAACTCAGTTGCGAAAATAGTGGATTCGCTGTAGTCATGGTGGAAGAAGGCGAGTGCTGCGAGTTCGGTATCGAAATAACTCTTCCACAGGGACGGAACAGGGCCATAGGATTGTGCGCCCTCGTACTGAGCTGCTTGATCCTGTGTCAGACCGAGGGAAAACAGTGTGCTAACAGGTGATGATCCGACGGAGTCCAAGTCGGACGAAAAACCGAAGACAGGCCAGTCATTCTGTATGGCGCGGAAGTTGGTATCGCCCTTGTTGGCGAGCTTGCCGTTGTTCGAGAACTGAGAGCGGACATCTCCGGCTGAGCCAGACTGGTGGGTCATGCCAGATGAAGCATCAGTCGCCCAGTACCAGTAGCCCCATTCACCCTGCTCATTCTTCTCAGAGAATGCCAATTGCGTCTGTCGGTATACCTTGTGGTACGCCACACCATCGGTGGTGCCATAGTCCCATTCTGCAACTGCGTTGCGGTCGCCGGACACCCATTCTGTTCGAAAATTAGCCACTGCATGCCAGGGCCGGGAAATTACATACCAGCAGAGATGTCTGCATAAACTTGTACATCATGGTCCTGGCCATCGAGCGAAGAAACCTCGACATTAAGGTACGAGAAAACCAGTGATTGGCGCTTGAAATCTTCTGGTGTGATAGGCGACAAGAAGGTGATGTTCATTTCCAGCTTATTATCCACGTGCACGGTGAAGATGCTCTTAGTCGATGTATACTCGTATGCGACCTGGTTGACGGTTTTGGTGTCGGGCAACCCCATCCATGTATAGACATTACCATCTACACGAATCATACCAGCCCAGCCAGTGACTTGATTTCTATCAATAAAATATCAGCACAACAGATTCATCTTGGATCAAATTTATGTAAACTCTAAGTACACTCACTCCCAAAACACAGGCCATTGGCCGGCCAGGTACCCACCATTGCCGCCATCACTTCCTGCATCGAGCCATGTGCTCAGATATGGCGATCGGACAGCGAGAGGAATCGCAGGGGGTCTGGCCGGCGAAAAGGTCGACTGGGCTCTAATGGAAGTCACCAAGGAGGCGACCAGCAGACCGAGAGACAGCTGCATCGTATTTTGCGAGGGGGAAAAAATTCCAAAAACGAGAATCCAAGACAGGGACACGCCCTAATTGATATTTATTCTCAGAAGCACGCTGGTCGGAGATCGGTGGTTCCGAACAAAGTCGAGATGCCTGAAGACCGGGATCAGCGTTATGTTTACAGGGCAGGAATGTCACGACATTTTAATAGTCGAGCTCAATTTCCCAAGAGAGGGGGTGGTCCAAATCTTCCAAGGACCCGCATGCCAGAATGTGATCTCTTTGGCACATTGAAGTTAGCGTAATGAAGGAACGTTGCAGAAGACCTGCATCTCACAGCAGAGTCAGAGTCCAAAGCGCTGTTCTTGTCCCCAGTCAGAATCCAGATCGAGTCAGAAAAAAGCATATTCAGAGTGTGTCAAATGATGCCAGGGGGAAGTAAGGGGCCCGCGTGGAAGGACAGGGGAAATGCGGAGATGGGATTCATCTGGGATTGGTTAAATTCAAAGAGAACCCTAGTAAATGAAGACATCGTAGTCTCGCAAATTTCGGGTAAAACGGGATACCGTCAGGTCGCATGGCAGACAAGCAGCGGTCTATGCGGATATCAGTGGCGCCAACGAAAAGCAGCAGCGATCTGACCTGGATGGTCGGTGAGCGCCTTGCAGATGACCAGCGGCGTGGCGCAAATAAGGGTGTGGAGAAATGGAGAAATACAAAATGGGCTCTTGTAGGAGAAAAAAGTCAGTTTTGCTGATACATTCGAGTTAAGCAAATATTAAGACAACCCAAAATAACCCTGTAGGTCCTTCGTGATAGCATCAGGTGGACCAAAAGAGCCGGCTAATGCAGAAGTAAATATTAAGCCCGAGATTGCGGGGAAAGGGAGATCAGCAGAGCATGGCAACAAGCACGGGAACCTTGAAAGCCCTAGAAAATTGTGGAAACCTAGAGAGTTTGAAGATGTCCGAGTGTAAATCATGTTTCACCTATGCTACAGGTCAACTTGCTTCTATTTTACAAGAGAGTCGGCATATTAACTCAGATATTGTTGGACTGATGTTCTTGAATTTTGGGATAGCTAGAAAAGGTTCGAGAATAGCTTGCTCCGCGATAGTTTCCTGGTCAGAATTGGTGGGTTTGGGCGGGCGGGTCTTTTTTTCTCTTTGCACTGCTGAATGCCGATTCCGAAGGCGGGGACCGGGGGGAGGGAAATCGCAGCTCATCGAGGCGTTCACTCAGCCCGTGCTTGAAAGCCCTCGTGGGTAGAGCTGAAATGTCCAGCTACGCCGAAAAAGAAAGAGTCGACCGATCAGCTAATGTCTGAATGTTGTTGACGCCCGCAACGAGGGTTTTAGAGCTCTGGGGAAACGCAAGCACGACCAACCCCAGGGTCCTCCTGGATCAAGACAGTCTGCCTGGCTTGGATATGAGCACTAGATCATGTGGCGCTATGGTCTGAAGGGCCAATCAACCAAATGAATAATTGGGGGGCAGCCAAGTTGGAAAAGAGAGAAAGGGGGTGAGAGAGAATAAGAGTAAGTGGGAGGAAGTGGGCAAGAGAGGGAGTGAAAGGAAGTAAAAGAGAAAGGGAAAGAGTGAAAAGGAATGAGAGAGAAGGAGATTAAAAGAGAGTTCATTATCTATCTACAATGAGATAGAAGTAAACTTCTACATATAACACACAACTATGTGAGAGTTACGAGAAAAGTGAGCCTAAAGAGAGCTAGCCCCGGAAGGCCTGAGCTAGAAAGCGCCTTTGAAACAGACAGTATACCATGAATCTTATGATAGCAATATATCAAATAAAACCTGCATTTTTTCAGGTATATCTCAAGTAGAATGTGGTACCTCCTTTTCCAAAACAACACGACCAGAAGAAGACCCAAGCACGACCCTCACTGACCTCCACGCTAACCGAAGTACATATAGACCCAAAGTAGCGAAATTCGCCCACAGAAGAACAACCAGATAAATCAAAGCCTTAGGCGGAATCATTTTGAAAAGGGTCACCAGATCAATACCAGCTTTTGCCTTGAACTCATCAATCTCCGCCAGCGCCGTGCTCTCCATATCGGAGTCACTAGGCTCCATCGTGTTGGTTTCTTCGAATGCATCATTGTAAATGGCAGCTGCGATGGTCCCACCAAACACAGTCACAAAGAGCATGAGAACAGCCTGGGATAGAAGCTCGTAGAGCCAGGAGCATGCAAAGAGTAAAGTCACCAGTGCTTCTTTGCGGGATCGAAGGTGGGAGGTTGTCAGGAAGTATGCGATAGAGTCATTGTGGAGATTCTTTGGGTGGGATAGCACCAGTAGACGGGCAGCCAGATATGTCAGAAGACTGATTGATGCGATTGTTCCGATGGCTGTCCGATTCTCATTGAGGACGTTGAGCGCGGTGAACCCCAGTGCGATGACCGCCCAGGAGGTTAGCAGGCCCCCGGAGATGAGGGTTGAGATTTGGGAACCCAGAGAGGGGGAGGTTGTCATTTTGCAGTGAAGTGAATTGGAAGCTAGAGAAACAAAGAGCAGATGGAGGCTTTAAAGACATTTTTCGATTTCGCCTCTTGCTATTCTCAACGGAAGCGACCGGCGATGCTGGCGCGAAGGCAGACGGCGCTAAGGGCTGCCTGGGTTTTGCGGTGGATTTGAGGCTGAAAATAGACGTATTCTAGGCCGCAAAGAGGGTGATACACAAGGTGTACTTTGCTTTAGAGGAATTCGGTACAAATTCGGTACATGGCATATACACCGTGTCTTCAAGTGGTTGCCAGGCTTGCCAAGACAGTTGAATTCATGAGGCTCAAACAGCGAAACCGTGGAACCATGGATGTTTGTTTGCTCTCCGGCGCAGCCACTCTATTGGTCAGTTTACGATAAAGTGGAGCCGTTTGAAGGGTCCAAATCCAGATTCCTTTGCAATGAACCGTGGAACAAGATTTTGAAGCCGAGGAAACATTGGGACTAGGAATAGTTTAATTAATACGCTTTATTTACACAAGTCTCCAAAGACTTCATGAACAGCAGAAACTCAAATTATTTGTAGAAACTGTCCTCAAAAAAGATACATCACAAGCAGCTGCACACGTAGCTCTTCCACATCTATAACCAACAAAACCAAAGCCCAGTCTATGACCGAGGAAAGTAATTCGAACTCGAAGGCAACTTCCTCAACAATCCCAAGATAGTACGCTGGTTCGTAACAACCAAAGGCCTGAGAGCAGGGTGATATTCATGAGTTTTCTCATCAATATTCCCACACCTCCCATCTTCCCAACAAAGTGCAAGACTCCGCACATTAGATTCCACTTGATTTCTGAGTCGAACTCTCTTCCCCGCAGTATCAATCGGCTCATTCGAGCCCACCAACTGCATTCCAGTCGCGAATTCACTTGGAATTGGAGCGCCAGGGAGAAATTGACGGATGTACTCTTGTTTGGCGATTTGCAGAAGATCTCCCATGAGGACGGTACTATTTCTAGCACCGCATATGATGCGAGCACCAAGTTCCCAGACGAAGCGTTGGTGGTTGGTGGTGGTGATATCATTATCTGCCATATCTGCAACCACCCACTGCGCGAGAGTATGGATTTCAGAGGGTCCGTAATCGGTTGTCCCGATGTGGTACGCGACAAAGGGCTGTTTGGGAAGGAATCTTGGTAGCTTGTAGGGCGCTGAGTAGTCGTCGTCTCGAAGCGTTATTGAGGTAAAACCGGCCGTATCTCTCTTTGCGATGTGATAGTAATGGCCCTGGCTATAAATAGACCAGTGACAGTGTTGGAGCGGTGCAGTCAGCAGACGGTTCCATCTGTTGGGTCGTGCAACGAGGTATACACCAGAGAGCTCTACACACTTGGAGCCTGAGTTTGAGGCTTCAGGACACTCGAAATCACGATGAACTTGACGATAGCCTTTTGCAAACAGAGGGAGATTCAGTGATATCACTCCATCTATGTCCATTTCATATAGATGTCGGGAAGTGGGGAAGTTAGATTCTTTCTCGCCCAAGATCTCGCAGTTCGTAGGACCTTGCATGGTTCTTTTAAAAGTCTTTTTGTGAAAGCGATTATTCAAAGATCGGGCCATATTGAAGGTTTGGAGGGCTTGGGGTGAATGTTCCAAGAGATAGTTGCTGGTTTTTCGAGTCAACACGGGTCCGCATTCTCTTTATATCTCCCTCACTTGAGCAGTGCCTCGTTCCATTTCGCAAAGCACACTTGGGGGAATTCAACCCGGGTCGTCCAAAGAGCGTCTAACAGGGAATGAACCAATCTGGTTTTCTCGACTCCGCCTGATATAGCTTTGCTGGTATCTGAAAACGAGTGTAAGCCAATGGTTGAGAGTGAGAGGGACCTACCTAACACAGCCAGAGCCTCAGATGTCTGCGCCTGGCAGATTTTACATGAACATGCTTTGCTGGAAGCGCCTTGGGCTAGAAATGCGGCGCATCGAGAGACAAAGGAGGGTATATGAGGGCATAATATAGACATTAATTCTGGCAACCAGAAACCAGGGCGGCAAATACGAGCACAGCATCCAAATCAGCCTTGGACAGCAACAAAACAACCTTGGACGATATCCCATCTATTTTGCTCGTTCATGGTCCACAAGTGCCAACTACGAACGTACACAAGAAGTCGTGGGGGCGAGACTAGTTCCCCCTTTCCCCAGCCACAATCTCACCATCTTATTTTTCAAAGCAAATTAATATCCAAAGCACTACTCCGTACATACTCCGTACAAAAATCCCAGTAAAAAACCATGTCGCTAGCCAAACACTTCACCCCAACAACCGGAGAAAAACCCCTCTCAGAACTCCTGCCAGCCTCATTCCGAGACGACAAACTCCTCTTCCACACCCCACTCAACAACATTTCCCAATTCCTGCACGCAGACCTCTCCGTGCACCGACTAAACGCCATCCAAAAATGGCTCTGGGTAGCAGGTCGCCCCATGCCCCCCAGACCCCTAAACTACCAAATCTCCGTCTCCCGCCAAATCATCGTCGACGAAAAAGTCGACATGCACCTCGTCTGGGGTCCCGCCCGTCGCATCCACATCAAACCCCTCCCAGCATACCTACTTGACTCACGCTTCTGGTCAGAGCATCTCCAAGAAAATGATCGGGAAACCTATGTTCCAAGCGAACTATCCAAATTCGCACTCGGGTTCCTAAGCTCGTATATTGCGCTGATCGAACATCCAAGCGATTTCACAATCGCAAAACAGCACAGCCTGCTTCCTGACTCGTTGACGTGGAGCCAGTGGTCTGGTCTTGTGCGGAATTTACTAGAAAGCGATGTACTGACGCTGGATTGGATTAATCACCGGTATAAATTTGGTGAATTGCGTCTCTCGAGATTGAATAAGATTTATTTCTTTCAGAGACGGAGTCTGCTGCGTGGGTATAGGCCTAAGTATCAGACGTTTGAGGAGTTGTTTTTGGCTTATTTGACGCCTATTACGGCTATGACGGTGTACTTTGCGCTTGTTTTGACGGCAATGCAGGTTGGGCTTGCGACAGATAAGTTGCAGCATAGTTGGGCTTTTCAAAATGCTTCGTATGGATTTACAGTGTTTTCGATATTGGGGCCGATATTGCTGGTTTTCACGGTGTTTTTGATTGCCATGGTGCATGTGGGTGCTAATGTTTTGGCTACGGTGGTGTTTCGGAGGGAGAGATCTAGGTTCTTTAGGAGAAGGAGAGCGTGAAGATGGAATCATGAACAGTGTTATAAGTATCTGAGACTCATAGACTAATCGTATACATCTAAAGCTATAACAAAATACACGGTTCGTAGATCAAACCCCAGCATCAACATCAAGATCATACATGTGCCTCATATACTCATGCACTGCGCGCCAGCTCAATACAGAACTCACCCCAATCCTGGCCACCGTTCAGAGCCAGGATCTCCTCTGCAATAGCCTCTTCCAACCGCTCATGATATCTCCGCCGATACTCTGTCTTGACCTGGGCCAGATGTCTGGGTTCCCAATGAAGTCTCACAAGACGAGAAATCAGTAACTCAGAGCGTTCACGACCACTCCGCGACTCCCGCAGAGCTTGATGGAGAAGAAGCGCATCTCGCATGGGTCGGTTAATTGCTCCATTCAGGATATGAGCGAGAGTTTCTCCCTAAACACACATCAGTAAGAGCGCAAAGATAAGTGAGAACGTTAGTGTATAGACATACCACCAAATTTTGCGATTTCTGAATCATAGCCTTAGCAAAATTATGCCGATACATGTCCTCGTAAGTGCGAAGCACTTCACGGAGATGCTCATCACTCCGCAACACAATAATTTCAATCATGGCAGTCTCACCACCACGAGTAAGCGAGTGATGCAAATCCCGAACATCATCCCGAATCAATCTCTTATCCAATGGTTCACGATCATCCTGACGATGACCCTCAAGGGCAAGCAGGATGGCAGTACGGAACTTATCAGCGCGCAGCTCAGCACGCATACAGCGCTCAAGACTATTCTCGTAGCGTGTATCGCGGAAAGAGTTCTTGATTTCACGGATTGCGGCATTCGAACGACCCATTAGGGATTCGATGAGAAGTTCGCGACGCGAGGTTCCGGCTTGGTAGTAGCAGTTTGCCCAGTATGCTTCTGATTCCCAGCGACCGAGGGCAGTGGCGTAGCAGACTTTGGCGAAGTTGGAAGAACCGAGTTTCAGACGCAGGTGTTTGGCGAGATTAATTCCTTTTCCTTGTAGGCGGACGCGGGCTTTGTATTCCTGGCGCAGGGTGAGGATTTCGTCACTGGTTAGACGGGGGAGGATCTGGATTATGGGTTTGCTATCGATGTTGCGGGCGTGATTGAGGGCTGATTGCATTGCTGCTGCGTCTGCGGCGGCATCGTAGAAGGAGACGCGTCTGCGGGATGGGGAGATGAGGACCATTGAGTCTGCGACGGAGGAGGAAGAGTCCAGACGGGTGTGGGTTGGTCTGCGTTTGTCGTCGCCAGAGCCTCGCTCTTTGTCCTTTTTGTCTTTGCTGCTGCGGTGGCGGTCTTTTTCGCCCACGGAGGAGTGAGACCGGTGTCTTCGGCGACGGCCTGAGTCGGAGGTTGAGGTTCCGCCATCGAGAGGTTCCAGGTCGGAGATGTCTTCATCGCGGATGCTAGGGGCTGCGATTGGAGATGGCATGGGCGAGATTGATTGATAGGTCCCGCGATACGGCTCTAGCAATGGACTAGCAGGGGGATGACCTGCATGGCTTACGCTAGGTCCCCCCACTGACAGATTGCTCGACGACCCAGCGCGACTGTGAGGACGAGCTCCAGATCGACTTCCCCCGGGCGCGATTTCCACAAACTGCGGCTCATACTTATATCTGTATGGTTCCTGCGGCTGTTGTGGCTGTGGTTGCGATTGCGGCTGCGGCGACGGTTGACGGTACTGAACCTGAGGCTGCACCTGGGCCTGGGGCTGAGGTTGAGCCTGAGAGTGTGCAGAAGGATGCGTTCTGGAGAACTGCTCATGCGCAGAAGCCGTATACGCCGGCTTAGACGCACCCTTCGAAGTATACTTCACATTTGGATCAACCTGAGCATACTGGAACACCCCCGGATTAGCATACCCAGATGCAGCAGGCGGGTAACCCGAATCAGCCGCCGACGCCGTCCGATAATGCGACGGCGTATACCCAGCACCCGAAGCATACGGCTGCGCACCCGTATACGGGGCCGAGACAGGGGGTTCAAAGCCTGCCGGTGGGAAAGCACCAGGCATAGAAGCCGTATCTGCCTGCGAAGAAGGTGGGACGAAGCCAGGCCGTTCACACTCGGGGACAGCAGCCCAGTCTGTGCCAGCGCCTGGATAAGGCTGCGCAGGACGCGAAGGCTGGGCGTGTGCAATATGCGGCTGGGCATAATCATACTTCACGGGTCTGGCGTAGCTTGGGTGCGCGCCTGGTGCATCACCGTATGCCAATTCATCGTCGACAGAGCTATCGGAGTCATCGCGACTTCCTCGATCGGATGAGCGTCTGCGAGGGCGTGTGGATGCGGACGATGAGGGGATGTATTCGCGGCGAGGGCGCTCGTCACCCGAGTGTTCGTAGCGGTCTTCGCGGGATCTGTCGTCCTTGCGACGCTTATCTTCGTCTGAGCCGGAGCGGTTCACGTATCGGGGATCGCGCGGGGCTCTGGAGATGGTTTGGGGCTCATTGCGACGGTCACTGATTGCCTTGTACTGGCGCTCAATCTCGGCTTCTTCGTCTGGACTGTATCTGCTTGGTACTGGCGCAGGTACAGCTGGAGAGCGAGAGCGGGGAGACGGGACTCGGCTGTCGCGCGACCGCGAGCGCGAGCGTTCGCGACCGGGGGACTTGGAGCGGGTACGCGACCGCGGGTCGTTTACTTGGAGCGACATCCCAAGAGGTTTTTGTTTTTGTTGTTTTTTTTTTTGTGCTCTCTCGATTTGACGTTCAAATCGGAGTAAAGTGTCGCACAAAAGGCCTTTGTAAATGCGAAAGTGAGAGCGGCTCGTATTGCTTAGAACTAGCGCACTAGCTACAGCGTCTTCTTCAGCCCCCAACGCGCTCAGCACGGTAATTGGCTGACGATGATAGTCGCTGAGCTTGAGATCGCCTCCAGTCAGTTCCCCTTTGGGTCAATGCGTAAGATTATCATTTCAACTGGGCGCTACCATGTCTTACCTGAACCTTAGAGATGTTGATACTACAGAGTACGACTTCAGGAAGTAGTGTATACTGGAAGTATACTAAAAGTATACTTAGGGAATTTCAGTCAAATTAGTGCGAACACAACATAAAAAAAAGCACAAGTTTCGACAACACATTCGAAAGCTGAGGTATGACATGAAGATAATAAAAAGAAGCCCGAAGGCCGCGAAGAATGGGGTATGAGCGGGAAGAGAAATGCGAAACAGAGCTAAGTTAGCGAGTGCGACGACCATCGCCAGGGCCCATGCGACCTCCATAGGTGGTCTGCTTCTGAGGCGCCGGTTGCCCATTGCGGTTGAGGCGGTTGGTTCGCCAGCGCTCGTACCAGATCACGCGGCTGGCCTCGCGCAGCTCGGTGCGCCAGTCGGAGAAGACGGAGTCCTTCAGGCGCACAAAGTCACAGTGGTCGGCGTTGTACGGGTCGGCGAATCCCCAGGGGAAATGGCGGCCGACGGGTTGGTCGCCTGCCGCGAGGGAGTGCGGATCCGGGGAGAGGATGGAGAAGGGAACGTGCTGGTTGGCAGCCTGGCTGCGGGTGCCTTCACTGAGCTGCGAGGGCGATCCAGGCACATTTGCCTCTGTGGCGGTCTCCTCATTGTCATCCTCGTCGGCACTCTCCGAAGAACTGTACTCCTCTTGATCCTCCAAAGTCAAAATCTCCAAGGGGTCAATGTTGGCTTGCTTCAAGCTGTTCCAAACCGCCTTCCGGAGATACTGCATATGAGCCGAGGTGATGGTATCCGCCTTGCTGATGACGGGTACAACCGTCGTCTTTCCCAACACCGTGCGCAAGACCTGCAGATCCAGATTTTGGTCGAGAATGCCACAGATGGGCGCGTCCGCCGCCTTGGGGGTTCCATTCGCCGCACGCTCCGCTGCCGCCATATTCTCATCCAGACGCACAGGGTCCAGCAGCAGGAAGGTACAGTGAATATGCGTATCACGGGCTCCGGGGGAACGAATGACCTTCATCTCCTCGGCCAGAGTTTCCTCAAACTTGCTCTCCAGGAAACCGGTGACGCCCCGCAGCTGTAGATCGGCGATGTTGCGCTCCAGACCCACCGAGTCCCACAGGGTCAGTCCAACGCGTTCTCCATCGAACTCGGTCTCGAGATACTGGGCCTTAAAGCCTTCCCAGGCCGAGGTCTGGCGTTCCAATTCCTGGATTTCCTCGGGGGTGCGGGACGGGTGCTTATGCGCGGGCATGGTCAGGGCCGAGCGAAGGAAGTTCAAGAACTCGGTCTTGCCCGAGTTCCGCGCTCCGATCACCAAGACACTAGAATGCGATTAGCCATGTGGGACACAGTTTCACGTGTAGACGTTCTTACTTGTAGGAGGTTGGATCCTTGCGACGACGTACGCGACGGGGGCTGTTGAGGGTGCTGTTGGTACTGGCGTAGCTGTACCGGCCACGATGGGTCATACTCTCTGTGCGGGCGTAGGGGTCCACGACATTGTTAATTGAACCGGTCATAGTGGGCGAAGTAGCGAGACCGGACTGAGGACGAGAGACGGGTGCTGAATCAATCTTCTTTTCTTCGCCGCCAAAAGTTTCGAGCTCGGGAGCGGGGGAGAAGTCAGGCAAGCGGGGAGGTACTTTAGGGGCGTAAGAATCCCGCTGACGGCGCAGTTCGTCATCCATCTTCTTTCGGCGACCAGAGGACTTGCGTTCGCCCAGGGGTTCGGTGGATTTGGAACGACGAAGGAATCCTAGGGAGGTGCGGCGGTCCGGTTCCGGCAGGCGCTCAGTTGGGGTCGCCATTTTTCTGTCCTCTTGTCAGCTCCTATTTCTCCTTTATGTTTCATGTTGATTGCTTTCTGTTTCTGGGCAATTCCTCTGGGCAATTCCTCTGGGGATCTCTTCTCTTGCTCTTCCTCCGACTTACTTGGTATCCAAATATCCCTGTTACAAACTGTATAAATCAGCGCAATTGGAAATCGCACTGGTACTTGTTACTCGATAGGAGCGTATGATAATATCCCAACCAGTGGGCGATCGAATTGAAATTGGGCAAAGTTTCCTTTTTTTTCGGTTTGTTTGTTTTCTTTTAGCGAAATTGCGAAATGGGCCTGCTCACAGCGTCCAGCAACAGCGGCGCTTGGAGAAATGAAAAGAGTGCAAAGAAAGAAAATGAAGGTTTACTAGGAAAAGATGGGGGTTTGTACTCGTAACGATCCTCATTGCGTTCATTGGATTCAGGGGTAAAAAACCCATCAAATCCGAGAGCCCAGAGCCCCGTTCGTCTCCACCGGGAGCTTGGTCAATGGGCAGCTAGAGCGAGACGGGAAGTGGTAGTTTAACATTATTATAACTAGACATAGACACAATTACTTAAGTATCTATGGTTCTGTAGTATATAGTTATAGAATATAGATATAGAATCTATAGATATAGTATATAGTATAGAATATGCAAAGCTGCACGTTGCTTTTCCTCCCTTGGTCGGGCACGTGCACGTCAACGGTTGCGTCTCCACTCAGCTTAATCTTGTACAGCTTCGATGTATCATGTCTACTACTATGTATACGAATAGTTAAGCCCCTAAGCTCCCTGAGATTGCCCTTGTTTCTAGGTAACTCGAAAATCAGCCATTATCATTACGTGTGGAATAGCCCCGAAGTAGCTCTAGACAGGTCGAATCCCCAATTAAGATTGCAAGGTCGATCCGAAGCCCTGGAGATAATCTCGGAATGCCGCAAATGAAACTCCGTCCACCTACTCCGTACCCTGACATTTGAACCCCAAACGAACTTGATCTCGTACTTGTACTGCGGCAGTTTTCTGGACCATCGCCTTACAACCCTGACCGCCTCGTGTTCTAGCTACTGCTGGTCCTCTCACCATATTGCTTTGAGGTGTTTATCTACGAGATATTGGCCAGACATTAGTCTACAATGTCATGATCTTACAATTTAATCAATTTCGATACTTAGAATGCGTTTGACCCAATGAAAACAACGAAGAATGTTTGTTGACATTTACATGCTTACTAATCATTGATGAAACCAACCATGGATCAACGATCAACTGATCCATGGATTCCCGCACGCGTCTAGATGCTATAATTCCCCTATTTCCAGGAACATTTTTAGGCCCCCTTCTATAGAAAGAAAATTGACAAAGTTGGCGAACAAAATATGGAGTGATCCTGTGGTGTAGAGGGGACCATGCAGCATAGGAAAAATATGAAACCATTGGACTCCCATAATTATTGATGTTCATTTGATGTTCAGCATTGAAGTAGTATGGGGTATGGCGCACTCCAGAAAACTCCCGTACTCAACCCCAATTCGCATTAGAGCCGTCTTAGCGTAACTCAGCACCATGGAACGGAACGGGTTGGAACGAACTATTGAATCTCCATCCGCTGTCCCGAACACTACAACCCCTTTGTGTGAAGTGACTACCCTGCATAGAGTACTCCGTATGGTGCATATCAACAGAACTTCTGCTGGTATGCTCTGTCTTGTAGACTGGCATCATGGGATCTCCCAAGATCTGGACTGATTGATTTAGCTGGGCTGAGGCATCTAACGCTGTTGCATTTTCACCGTGCTAGATAGTAAATTAAATAGTAACCTGCTGGAAATGTAGCCAAGGGCTGGATAATTATATGTCGAGCGGTAGGTGAAATACTTAAATCGGAGAAAGTGCTGCCGACGGAGGAATGCGCTGTGGATGAGAGAGATGTCTGCCTGAATATCAAGGCACCTACCCCAGAATATTTGGAAGCATCCAAGGCACTTAGGTATCATGTCATTCAATGGACTCAAATTGATACGGAAGTTGATCATGTCGAGGTTGCGCCGCGTCATGCTTGAGTGATGCCTTTGAAGGTTTCTAAAGTTGTTGTGAGACTGAGGTTCCTGAAGGTGTCTATCCTCGTCAATTTTCTCCAACTGCACTTTCGATATCACCCTTTACACTAGTCAGCAAGATTCACTATGATTTTCTATTCATACAGTCTTTGGAAATGAATAGATCTATCAGATAAAGCCTTGTCCGCATCTCGGCGTTAAAGTGCCAACAAACTTCGAAGCTTGATGATATGCAGCATCGTCTGGCCCCCTCAGAGTCAGCTCTGGTGCAGATAACCAGTCGCATTTCCCGGCTTAAGTACCGGCCCTTCCAACAAAGAATCCTGACTCGAAGCGCTGTTTCCAACCACCAATGAGCGTCCCAACTGAGCCTGCACGGCCCTGGAGTCGACGGGTAGTTGCCGATGTCTTTAATCTGGGGATTCAGGTAGCCAATCGGATAGGAACAGTCCACGGACTCCGAACCAAAATCCTGGACCGCACTCCCGATCTCCGCGTGTCGGGAACTTCCCCGACCAAGTTGATGGCAAAATTCAGAAAAAGGACCTGCTAAGGATCGAGGACTCGTCTGTACCAGTCCATAAACGTCAATGAAATGCGGGGCTACACAATATCCGTCATATCCCCAGCTTTTCCCCACACTCTGCGAGTGGTGCATATAAAGCAGGTTTGAGTACATTTCGAATGGGACAAGGAAGTGCATCCTGCAATCGTCTTGCTCTCATCAAGTCTGCGTCACCTATTGGGCAAAAGTCTCCTGCTATAACGTGTGATACGAAAGTACCGCACAATGAGTGAACAAATGAAACGCGTTGGAGAAACGGTTGCGGGTGTGAGTGACACCGTCTGATACATCTCAGGATTCGAAAGTGGCTAATTCTGACCATCATATAAGGCCCTGCCGTCTGACACAACTCCGTGGTGGAAGAAGCCACACCTGTTGAAATTGAACACAATCATATTGGGTCTGTTGTTATTTTCAGGCACAGTGGGCTACGATGGCTCGCTGATGAACGGGTTACAATCTCTTGCCCAGTGGCGAGAGTTCATGGATCAACCTGCCGGAGCATGGCTTGGATTCATCAATGCGATTCAGTTCGTAGGAGTGACGATTACATCTCCAATCCAGGCATGGGCCGCGAATCGCTTTGGACGCAAAACACCCATCTTCATCGGCTATGTCTTCCTCCTCGCTGGTGCCGGTATCCAAGCCGGTGCAAGAAATCAGACTATGTTTATCATTGCTCGGTTTCTGGTCGGCGTAGCAAGCGCCTGGTTCACGACGGCGGTTATTCTCATCGTGGAAATCTCATACCCAACCCATCGCTCCAAGCTTTCTGCCATGTATCAGTGCCAGTACTATCTTGGAAGCAGTCTCGCAGCATGGTTGTCGTTTGGCTGCCGCAATACTGGTTCCTCGTGGGCATGGCGAATCCCCTCGTTGATGCAGGTGGGGATTCCCCTCTGTGCATTGCCACTTGCTCTTCTTGCGCCTGAGTCCCCTCGATGGCTGATCAGCAAAGATCGCCACCAAGAAGCATTTCAAATGCTTGTCAAACACCACGCTGGGGGTGACCAAGACTCACCTCTCGTTGCTTCCGAGATGCAAGAGATTACCCAGTCAATTGCGCATGAGCGAGAAGCCCAAAACTCCACAAAATGGACTGACATGATAAAGACTCATGGGAATCGTCGTCGGTTGTTTATTAGCGCCACCCTGGGTATATTTGCTCAATGGAACGGAGTGTAAGTATAACCCTAGACAAAAAAAACATGAGACTATCATACTAACTCAAATATAGTGGAATTGTCTCTTACTATCTCGCCCTGATCCTCAACACCATTGGAATCACCTCCGTAACAGACCAGCTCATGATAAATGGATTCCTCCAAATCTGGAATCTACTACTAGCAATCGTGGGCGCGATGCTAGTCGATCGCTTCGGCCGCCGACCACTTTTCCTACTGTCCACGTGCGTCATGCTCATGAGCTACATCGTCATCACCGGTCTTTCTGGTGGTTTCGCCACAACAAATTCCAGTAGCGTGGGTATCAGCGTTATCCCATTCTTGTTTATCTACTACGGTGGATATGACATCGGTTTCACGCCTTTGCTCCTTGCTTATCCAGCGGAGATCTGGCAATATTCGCTCCGTGCAAAGGGTGTCGCGGTCACGGCGACCTGTACTTATGTCGCCCTTATTTTCAACGCCCTCGTCAATCCTATCGCGCTGGATGCTATACAGTGGAGATACTATATCGTGTATATTGCACTCTTGGTTTTCATTTTGGTGGTTGTGTACTTCACGTATCCTGAGACTCGGAGGCATTCATTGGAAGAGATTGCTTTGATTTTTGATGGAGATGAGGCTTTGGAGATAGCCGCTGCAACTATTGGCGAAGACAAGATTGATTCGGAAGTTGATCATGTCGAGGTTGCGCCGCGTCATGCTTGAGTGATGCCTTTGGAGGTATCTTTGATTAGACTCTGCAGGGGGCTGGGTTGGCCCCTGCTATCGAAGCCAAATCCAACTCATAGCTGATCACTGTCCTCAGAGCCCCATATCTTGACTCCTATTAAAGCTCAAATTCTGTTGAATACACTGTCTTATTATTCATAACCCTGATGAATGATTACTCTGTGGGAATTCTCTGTACGGTGCCTAGGTCATATGACCACGGAGGTGCTCTGCATATTCCCGTAGACCGCTAGTCCCTCAAACGAGGCAACTTCCAGTACTACGACTGCTATAGGGCCTCCTCTCTGGTAGATCTCACTGCCTCCTAACGAGTTCCTTGATTCGCAGACCGGTGCTTCTGATGGTCGCTCCAATGTGTATCTTTGACTCTAGGAAACATACCGTCCAAAGATCTTGGTTTAGGTCCTCAAGTACGGAGTCCCACTTAAGAAAGAGATTTTATGGGTTGCTACTTAAAAACCCACATGTGAATACATCCAAGAAGAGTAGCTCCAACGTACCAAGTTCAAAGTTTTTTTAAGTTTTATTTCACTTTAAGTTCTCTGTCCAGGTTAGCAGCCCCTTTCGCCGAAGCCAACTTCACTTTTTGATTTTCCGTTTAGAACTTGACTGAAATAATAAAAGCTCTAGACCATCTCTCTGGCATTGCTCACATCTCGGCGTATGAGTGCCAACAAAAGTACGAGGCGGTAAGCCCTAGTCCGCATGGGGCGATGCATTCAGCACTGTGCCCAGGTGTTCTGGACACTCTGGCTGAGGCTCATCATATCTCGAGTTTTGGGATAAATTTGTTTCTCAAACTCCATATTCGGAACGTCTCATGGCGGGCAATTCATCGACAGATCGTATTGTTGACTGGCTAGAACAGTCCAGTCTTCCACCCTCGGGCGTACCCCGCAGCGTTTCGATACACACACACTCTGAAGAGCAGTCTCAAGTCTCGGGCACACGACGAATATCAAGCCCAGTCAATAATAGCACGCTCGACGATGCACTGCCACATGAAATTGCTTTACCAGACTCTCATGTGTTTTCAAGTGATAGTGATCCCCGAACGGATTCAGATTCTTCCCGAGATTCACTGGATGATATTTTAAAAGGATCATATCGGACGAAGTCGCCTACTGCCTCCTTGCAAGACTCCAGTTTGTATCCCAGAAAAACACGAGAGCATAGACATCTACTATTTAAAGCGACATCGCGTCGGACACGAAGATCAAAGCCTCGGCAAAGATATCAGAGAACCCTTGACAATGCAGCGAGCATCTTGGATCATATCCAGAATGGAAACGTTTGCAAATCATCTCGCCATGACCAGATTCTCTTGATTCACCACGATTATTCCAGAAACTGTAGATTGCGTTCAAAAGAGATCCAGAATGCTCACGAGATCGGGAATTTGGGGAACCCACCCAGCGACGTATACCAACGAGTTGTCATCGTTAAAGATCTGTCCAAGCCGACCATCATTGCTCTTGGAGATACATTTGGCATAAACCCAGAGTTTTTCGAGGAGCATTTACTCAACTCTGGGTATGCGGGAGCTGACTATGATATGCTACCAGCCAAGATGTGGGTAACAACGACACTGGAGAAGTCCTATGTCTCCGCGAAGTGGATTCGACCTGTTTATCGACTTCCTATGTATTCCTGGAATTACAAAATGCAGGATCTTGCCAAGACTGGCGTGGAAAACACCGAGGGTTCTTCTGACACCGAGGATTCTTTTGCGGGTTACGGCGAGAAGCAAAGCCCGAAGCGCAAGAGTGACGTCGAGCATTTCACGCGATATGGAATCGTGAAAACTCGAGTCGCAACGAATATTTTCAGACCCGAAGCACGTCTGTGGACAAACCCTAATCAGGCAACGCGCACGCAGAGGGAATGTGCCCTGGAAGAAAGAATATCAATTTGGAAAGTGAAACTCCCAGAAGGCTGTGTGATTGGTGAGCTTTGGCATGACTATTTTTGCATGTTTTCGATGACAGGAACTAATTGACCATAGTGATTATACTCACTGATCCTCTACCGGCAGTGGAGGAGAAGCATCCATGTCTTGAAACAACCAAAGTTGACTGGAACAAATCTTGGGCACATGGTGGTATGGGGAAGAAAAAATCAGACATAAGTCTGGGGGAACTCGACATTGATGATGACTGGGCCGAAAGAGGCATGCCTCACACGACAGAAGAGGGACACTTGCTATTGAGAGCAACGGCAGAGCCCTTTCTCATAAAATGGGCCAGAAATTTAAAAAACATTGTGGAAAAAAGAAAAGCGAAGACTAGACCAAGTCCCTCCACAGGAGAACCAGAGCTGTCTTTGCAAAAAGTGATTGTCAAGCCAATCTCTCCCCGTCATACAGTCACTGTTGATCTGGACCAAGTCTTCGAATCGAAGGAATCGGCGCAGACTTTTGGGGGGAAGATGGGCTCCGCCTCGACATACGATGGAATCTGCAATGACATGAGGCAAAATGATGGACCAATGCTCTTAGGAAGCTCAATATTTCACATCATCAAACAGGATACTTTGACATTCCTTCGCCGATTGAGTTACTATGGGCTTGATGAAATGGAGACTGGGATTCTTGAAGAGACAAAAATGGAAGATCGATTATCAGATTGGATTCAAGCAATCAGCTATGCACAGAGAGAGATTTCTGAGATGCAGGTCTCTATGGAGCCATTCGTTCAGTTTTGCGTCTCCATGGATTCTCCCGCTATTGAATCCAACTCAAGCGAGTCTCACTCAACTACAGAGCCCAAAGTTCTCCGAGAGTTCCAGCAGCTATCAGAAGTGATGACCAAAATGTCTGATCGACTGCAGCGAACATCAACACTTCTCACTTCAAATTTGGGTCTATTAGAGAGTCGACGCTCTATAAACGAGGCCCAGGCTGTGAGCAGGTTGACCGAGCTGGCGTTTATATTCGTTCCCCTTTCATTTGCCTCCTCGATCTTCGGTATGCAAGTTCAACCACTTGCCGACCCAGTTCCCCTCCGAAGCTTCTTCATTATTGCAGCTGGAGCTACGCTATTTGCTTACTTCATGCGAATGACGATGCGGAGTCAATGGCTTGCTTACCTCAAAGTCGCATTGAGACGAGACGTTCGAAAATATGCCGAAAGCCATGGTCTTCCAGCTCCTACCCAGTCAATTTCAATCTTCCTCACGGTGCAATGGACTGGACATTGCCTGGGCGTTGGTATTCAAAAGCTTCTGAGATTGGCCGGCACATTTTGGGTCAAGATCTGGAAGGTCTTTGGCTTCATAATCCTCTTCATGTTGCTCAATGGATCAATCGCTAGCATCCCGATTGCTATCCTTTGGACACGAGAGCTCGACCCCGGGACCCAGTGCGCGGTCACCATTGCGATTCTGGTGATCGTCGTTGGGAGCGTAGGGCCATTCGTTTGGACCTGGTGCGAGCCAGAATTTCGTTCCGCGTTACCTCGTTTGATCGGCAATCTGATCAGGCACCGCTCATACCCGAGCTTGAATTTTGTTGTGTTTTCGGGGACAATCGCCTTGTCTATGGTAGTCTCATTGATATTGCTATGGACGCAACAACTCGCTTTGGGTATCAAAACGGGACTCACGGTGGGAATTCTGATTTTTGTGGCTCCATTGACTATCATTGGTTTGCTGAGTATCAATGTGGGACTCGGACTACTATAAACGGATCTGTTATGTGTGGGGTTCGTCCAACCCCCGTGTATAGATAGATCTTCTCTCCGCTTCCCTTTCCCCTTCCTTCTTCTCTCTCTCCAGTGAGTCAGTGGATCTGTCCATTCATCCCACTTCCCTCACTGCCTGTAGGCCCCAACAAGATTGGCCATGGGGACAATGTGGCGTGTGGCGTGGTCTGCTACACAGCACCTGGGCAGCTCAAAAAAGAAAAAGATACTTCTATGCAATTGAATCGCCGCAGATTGCACGAGGATCCCAGTTTCATTTATTTTCAAAAAAGAAACCTTGGAGCACTACCACTCATCCGTGACTTTGAGTATACGAATCTCGGGAGCAATATTTTGTAGACCAAGAATCATGTCATCGTTCAGCGCTCTCTGATTCGAAGGAGATTCCTGCTACCTGGTTCGATATCCCTACCCGACCTCTCAGATGCCGAGGAGCTTTTTCATCAATTCTGACAACGTACGGAGTAACTACCTACCGAAGAGAGGAGAGCGCGATGGCGGTCTGACATAGCGGACAGGCCGATAGGGTGTTACTAGCAGCACCTGAACATACAGCGGGCAAAATAAGTGGTCTCCACTGTGTAGACATACTTGAGTAGCGTTCTCGTGAGGAAAAAGATGGATGATATCCACTACTCAAGTACCCCGCAGCTGTATACCTCTAGAGCTGTATCTGGCAAGTCCCAATACTGAATATATTTGACATATTGACATGTTTACTCCCACGTCTGTACTTAGGTAGATGGTTCCGTTTCTTCTAACCTCTCCCCTCAACAAACCAATCCATCTAGCTTCTTTGAATCGATAGGCCCTTGAATAGAAGTATCCGATCCATATTGTAGGCTGTTCTCCCACTACATTACCTAATGTAGTGAGACAACCCCATCCATGAATACGGTATGCAGGTAGGTGGATCAGTTATCGGCATATTATGTAGCAGTCCTCATCCCTCATCGTAAAAGAAAGAACCACTGATCTGCCGTTTTGCACAATGTTTGCCAACTAGGGGCTGGTTGCATTGCCCACGCCCCCGCTTATGCTAGTAAGCCCATTTTTCCCTGTCGACTGTCTGTTATGTCAGACCGCCACCGCGCTCTTCTCTCTTCAATACTGATTAGTTCTGCCAATTTGTAGGGTACCTCTTCTCGCTATGTACTCCGTAAATGCCTAGTACTAGATAAATTTTACTCTAGAGTATCAACATACACGACACCATCAGCACACGATCTATGCCGCCAACATACGATGGCATCAGCTGGCAATGACATCAATACACATGAAGATATCCATAAGGCGGTGATCCAATCAACGTGAGTAAAGTGGTGAACTAATCGGTAAGCGGTAGGAACAAATGTCCGAGAGGTCAGGCAGGGAGGTTGAGTCAGACAGAAAGGGGGCCGGGGGTTTGCAGTACGGAGTACGGTGTACTCCATACCTATGAGTAGCAATTCCCTTTGAAAACTACCTAGCCAGACCCCTCATATTCCGAGTGTCTGCAAGAGCCTCACGTCGACCTTGGAATATTTCTTAAATGGCCAACTCTTCTATACATAGCGAAAGTTTTCGGCAATCCGTCAAACATGGTTTACCCAACCCCGCTGCGAGGTTTCGAAGGTTTAAAGAAAAAATAAAAGAACGACTGACATCGGGGACACCCGACTCCCACCATCTCTGGATGATCCTGCTGCTTTGTCCAATTATCATGCTATGTAAGCATTCTGACTTCTGACATTATCGGAATTTCTAATATAATTTCTTCTATAGCTGTGCTGCTTGCAGGGTGCACATCGAATGGTATGAGCGAAATCTACCTGATGTCACTGCGATACAACGATTATGACTACACTATCACCAAAGGCCCGGCACAAGTGAGCTCACATATAGCACAAGTTGTTCAGAATGTGACTCAGACAGGGAATGGTACAGTTTTTGAGGTACGCGCAGGATACATGGGGCTTTGTGTGGGACAGAGCAGCGAGGACCGCATCTGCTCCAGCAGTGCAAAGGCCCTGGCGAATATGATTGAAGCCAAGCGCAGAACAATCCAGGTTGGCAATAGCAGTATCGAGACAATCCCGGATCCGCTTAATTTGATCATGATCGCGGAGGAGTTCAGGCAGAAGATCGTGTTTAGCGGGTTGATGTAAGTCCGAGGTGAAATCCAGGGGAGCTTATCCCTCACACAAGAGATCGAAGAACTGAATCATATCGGAGGGACAGATATGTGGCAGTGGCCATGTGCTTTATGGCATTTATTGCTCTTTCGACATTTCCAGGATGGCTTGAAATGGACGATGATGAAAGCGGGGGGATGTTCAAAGCTTTTCCTTCGCGCTCTGTTTCACATTTCTCTTTGCTAGCTTCAATCCTCGGGTTTGGGTTTGGATTCATCTCCGTGTTGTGGCAACACATCAATAGCAGCTCTACCGCGACTATGGCAGAGGTTCTCACTTACGGGGCCGTCAAGGGCCATGTCGGGCGCGCTTCTATGGCATTGGGATGGATTTCAGTATTTGTTCTCTCATTGGTCTCTGTGGGAATTCTTGTCATGATTAAGTCGATTTCCTTGATTCGAAGATTGACAGAATGTTCAGAGTGAGGTGCCCAGGTGTCGACATACCTGTCGGCTACCCGATCTCCCTTGCTTTTTCGATAGACTATCATACAAAGAGGTTATGTGTGAAAAGACTTCTTGAAAAATGTTTGATGACCCAGGCTCAGACAGTGGCAAACGCCTTGTAGATAGATGATTCGGAAAGCCTCACCTTCTTGCTTCCTCCTTCTCTTCCTCAGTCATCTGGATAGGAATAAACCGAGTATTATTCCTTCCTTCTTTCTTTCGATAGGTTATGCAACCCATGATCCTCATCTAGCAAGACAAAGAGCATCATCATCACCATTTTATATCAAACCGAGGGCTCTGGACTTACCCTCACCAACTGAATCATCACCGGAGTGAGAAAGAAAGGTCTGAGAACCTTACTCTCACTACACTCATCATCGAGAAGCAGAAGATCCATAGAGATCTAGCATAATCATCAGAATGTCATCTTAGCAAGAGGATAAAGAAGAAATCCGCAGGATACGCGGACCAACCCCCAAGTGCGCCCCGCTTACCTTGACAGCCCATTTGTCGAGGCCACCCACGACGAAGAACAAAGGGACGACGTCAAAATCGTGGGTTCTGCGAGCACCTGGGTGAATCAAGGATCCAAACTTCCCAAATTGAAGGCTGATGGCTCCAATTCAATCAAATGGAAAGCGTCCATTCTGTCGAACGTGTCAATGCACCGTGCTGCCCAGGTGCTCCGCATAGATATCTTACGACCTCCAGGGATGAGTGTGATTACTGGAGAGCCTGGTCAGAACATGTGGCAGCCTTTATTCAAGCGAACATGGAAGAGGACACAATTCGGGCCATCAACAGGGGAAGGGATACCCCATTGGACCGGGCGGACGACATGCTGCGAGCCGTCAACGTGCACTTCCAGATCGAGAACAAAGCCGCCAACGTCATTCGAGACATGAGGAGATTCAACAGCATGAAGAGGTCTGACTTGGTTAATATGCAGGAGTATCTCAAGGCGCTCATGAAGAAGCTGGATCAGCTACACGTCTACAAAGTACGACCACATTCGTTTGCATGCTTCGTGAAGATGCTGAAAGATGTTCAGGAAGAGCTCCTAGGGATGCCATTCATCAAGCGAGAAGTGGAGGCACTGGATCACAGACTCCTATGGGCATGACGTGGAACAGTTCGTGTATTACTTCAACAAAGTGTTGACTGAGGCCAAGAGGATCAAAGTGGGTTCAGTCAATACCCCTTCTTGCTTTCGATAAAACATTAATAACACAGTCTCTTGAGATCCAGACTTAGCAGCCATCATCCAGTCCATATTCCTCGACTGCTTTCGGCCACCAGCCTCCATAATAGGCCCAGGGGCAAAACGAACCAGTCAAGAGCTCTCACACAAGTCACTTGATGAATATTGCGATCCACATACATGTACTCCCTGGAGCAATAAAACGTCGTATCACACCAATCACACGGGAGCAGCGGCCTTTCAAGCGAAGGGGTAAAATGGCACATTTGACAACCACCCTCCATATCAACATTTTCTTCCCCCTCTGAACTGTCCCAGTCGTCAAAAAGATACATAGCATGCGCAACATCCTTCTCCCATTTAACAAAGCACTCATTGGAAACCTGAATCTTCTTAGCATCAGAAATCTTAACCTCACACAGATCAGATCTGATGCCAATTTGCTTGCACCGAGCCGAAACAGCATGCGCAAGCTTTTCGTCACCGGTACACCAACTATGTGGCGCAATAGGATGACCGAAAGTATTTGCCATGGCAGCCATTCCATCGAATTCAGTCAGAAACGCTTCCAATAGCAATGGGACAATGACCTCGGCTTGGGCCTTGATTGAAAGATTGGAAATTGGGGTTCGGCCTTCGCCATGGTATTCTCTGGTGTATGGGTTTGAGATAAAGACGAGTTCACCTCTCTTATTGGGCAGTTGTCTGATGTCGAAATGCCAGTGGCTTGGATGACCGTGGTTGTTGGCTGGAGGACGGTCCAATTTGTTGAAATCCCGCACCTGCATGGCGGTGATGCTTGCCATCTTTGAGTTGTATAAAGTGGTTCAGTGGGAGGTGCTCTGTTCTGTAGTTTTGACTTTGCGCAAGATGTAGTTTTTTACGGTGTTTTGGAATCAAAATCTTTTCGCGGCTGAGGCTCCACGCTAATTAAACGCGATCTATTTTTTTTCGGTCCACTTGAGATGCTTCTTGAAATCCCTAATAGGAGAATTTGGTGTTAATTAACTGATAGATGAGTTTAAACCTCTTGGAAGATGTTTATTGCGCAATATTACAGTTGAAATATGCATAAGAAGACCTTTAGGATCCCGTTCACAAATGTTGATCACAGAGTTGATGCCTGGTTCTGCCTCATTCTGCCTGAATCAGGAACCGACAGCGAGGTGAAGTGTCAAGCCATCCAACAAGAATATTGTCTTCTCTATTCGAGCGCTGCAACAATTCGTTGCAGAGCCACAGTCAACAGCTCATGACCCTGCGTGACAACAATCCTAAACCAGCCCTTCTTTTCAGACCCGAAAAGGAACCCAGTTGCCAGAAAGACCTTTTTCTGAAGTAGACGCTGCATGACTTTCTCTTCAATATCCCCACCCTCCTCCTCCGGGTGGAGCTCAAGATATCTCTTGCCCAGGTTCATCCAAACGAAGAAAGCAGCATTGCATCCTGTTGCATATTCAATGCCGTGGGACTTGAGGTAACTTGTGGTATACCCGTGGGCTTCAGAAAGCTTTTTCTGATTTTGCTGGATATAGTGGTTGGTGTAATCATGATCCTCGAGCAAGAGAGACGTCAAATGGTCTGTTATTCCTGAGGCTTGGGAATAAAGAGCAGTTCCCTGTAGTGCGCTGTGTACGTTACGATTGGCTTGAGAAATGATGACTCCGAGTCTGATTCCGTTCGCGCCAAAATCCTTGCTCATGCCCCATAGGACGTGGACTAGACCCGGGTCGATGATGCCGGTTGGGTCGATTGAGAGGGCGGATTCAAATGGCACGGGTGCGGGATGATCATCGACTGTGTTCTCGAATATGGAAAGTGCATAGATTTCATCGCTGACCAGGTGGACTTGGTATTTTTGACAAAGCCGCATGATATCAATCAGTACTTCCCTGGGATAGCAGCGTCCAAGTGGATTGTGAGGGTGACAAAGCATCAGAGCTTTCACTCTCTTTCCGGTGCGCTGCTGGAATCCCAGAATGGCTTCCTCGTATTTATTCACAGCCCCAAGACTGAGAGGATCGTGCTCATCGAAACTAACAGGCACAACCGGGCTTCCGGATCGAAGGGAGATGTCGGGGATGAACATGCCGTAATACGGTCTTCCCAGCAATATGCCTTCGCCGGGATCTGCAAATGCCCATGCAACATGCTCGATTGCCGGCGAGACACCGTTGGTGGTCATCAGGTGGCTGGGCTCAAGGGGAGTGACTGGCTTGAGGTGGTGGTTCAAGAATGATGCAATGGCTTTCTTCAGTCTGGAAGATCCAGTTCCCCCTTCGTTGTATGTGAGGTATTTGGCGGGTAGTTCGAGCTTTTGGTTGAGGAACTTCAACAGCTCGTCATGCATCAAGGTGTTCTCAGCCACGCCAACATTGACGTATCCATTCGGATTTTTGGCGGGACACCACACATCACTCATCACATCCCACATGGGATTATCAGCTCCTGCATCTACCACGGCTTGGGCCCGGTTGGAGAGCACGGACTGAGTCATGGCGGTTTCAAGGTTTTTCACTGTTAGTCTCTACCGACCAGGTCAAGGTAATCCCAGTGCTGAAGACGTTGGATCAAGTCAATATGAATTCCGATGACGGAAACCCTTTGTGGATACTTGTAAAGACAACTCTCGGCCAGGTACGGAGTAGTTGAGTGAAGCACTGCAGGTATCAAATGTGGAGACTGATATCCGGTAGCTGACATAACATTGAAAAATGCGAAAAATGCAGTAATAGGAAGGCGATCATGTCTCTCGATGGAGATTGGAGAAATTGAATACAATTGCAATTTCATCTCAGAATCAAGCTCCTAGTGCGCGATTTAGTGAGGGTTAAGTGGAAACGTGAACATCGTCCAGGGCTCAACCCCGTATTCTTCACCCCGCACCCACAGCATCTATAGATGAGCCTTGCATTGCTATATTCCAAGGTTGCCATTGAATAGCCAGGCATCAAATGCCAGTGTCACTATTTATCTTAAACAATGCCAGTTCCTGTAGATACATGTACAACTAATTCTATGTGGTTCTTGATGGAGGCGAGTTTTGTCAAATTGCTCAACTACCCCCAACCAATTCTCAGCTGCAGACAAGGACAGCAGATCCAAATAAAAGCCAATCAAGTCCAGCCCAATCCTCCTCAATACCAGCAAAAAGCCGGCTGACCCACAGCTCCAATCCAATCCAATCCCAAGTCAGCCAACTAAGCATCACCGAAAGTAACCTTGACCCGATGCTTATAGACGATGACACGGGGCCACAGGGGATTCACATCAGAATCATTCACAGAAAAACGATCAAGCAGCATGGGGTGAGATCTCGCTTCGATTTCGACATGATGAGCTCGAACTCTCACAGGAACAACTTTCCGTCCAAGAGCCCCAGCGCAGATATCTGCCTTCTTGATAGCGTCATTGAGGGCCATGGACCGGACTTTGGAGACGGAGCTATCGTGGGTGTCTTTGCTGAGGTGCCAATCAATATTTTGGACTTGGATCACAGGGGTCGTAGTCAAGCCGCGGATGAATTCATGTAATGCCGTGAGATTGCGGAACTTGATTTCCACGAAGAATGAGGCTCGGTTAATAACCGGGGTATTCAGTGGATTTGGCTGTAGATTTCCATGGATGTTGGGTTGGTTGGTTTGCGGATTGCGGTAGATGTCTTGGAGCTTGATAGCTCGACTGACGATGGGGAGTACGGTTGATTCCGTGATTGGGGAGGCTGGACTTGGGTGATTATGCTCGTCCAGGATGGCAAGATTCTTGATAGTATCTTGGATACTCTCGAATGCGTCGTTGATCTCCCCGAAGACGGCCTCCTTGGCGCGGCCATCCGCTGCCGCATGGAGGGTAACCGAGGCTAGCTCTGGTATGCGAATGAGCGTGTGCTCACCGTTGACCACGATTTTGAGAGGAGTCATTATGGAGAAAATGGCTGGATGAAAGGTGGAGGGTGAAAGATGGTGGATGAAAGGTGGTAGATGGAAGTAAATAACAAGAAGGAAGATCGGGCCAATTGATTCTGAGGATGTTAACAAGAGATGGGATCGCTATGCTGTATAGCAAGCACAGACCGATCACTAGAGTGACCAAACACTGAGATGAGATAATACAACTCAATGTGTATGTTAGCCCACCCAAGCAATCTACAGAGCAAGACCATGAGTATATACCATAATCAATGATTCGAATCAATTCCTTTCACTCTAGCTCAACACCAGAAACCCTAACCAAACATAGGCTCCTGCTTAGCCCCCTCAACAGCAGCAAGGTAACTAGGACGATCCTTGACGTAGAACTCAACATCAATCTTTCCACGCAAATTAGCCTCACCCCCATCCAAGCCACCAGCCTTGACTACAGTGTTATCAGGCATGACTTCCAGCTCGGTATAAAGACTAGAACCACAGGTTGAGCAGAAGAAGTGCTTGTTGATCTTGCCACTGGCACCGGTTACGTCGTAGGTGGTAGGAGTTCCTGTTTGCATGAGATGGATTGGACTTTCTGGCTTTTTGATGGGCTTACCCTTTGTCACTTTGAAGCTGGTGCGGGGAACGACGGCGTTGGAGGTGAAGGCTCCGCCGGTCCACTGGTTTTGGTTAACTTTCTGATGTTTTTTTCTTTGGGGTATAGTAAGGGATATAGTAAGTAGGGCTGGATCAATTACCTTTTGGCAATCGGTGCAATGGCACAATGCGGCTAGGTAGCTGTCGGCTGGAAGTGGGTTAGCTTGGTAGATAGAGTAGTGGTTCGATACTTACCTTCAATGGCGTAAGTGATGCCACCACACATGCAGCTTCCGGTGATAGTCATTTTGTAGAGTTATGAGGGACCTTGGGGGAATCAGAATATGAGAACCTTTGGGGAATATGAGATAGCGGGGAAGTCATTCTTAAAGTCTTTCGGTCTTCGATTTCGGGGTTTCCCCACTTCAATCGCCGAGGTCGGGCATCCTAAGGTTCCATTGGCACGATGCGTTTCGTTGAAATTGAGATATTGATATACGATTGGCTAGTGAATAACAGAGGTGGAGGTTGGAGCAGAAAAAGATTGACATCATTCCTAGAAACAAGAACCTGCTTTATGTACATAGAATCAAAGCAGTAAAAAAGGAGAACGCCGGGTTTCTAGAACCAAATCAGAGCATTCACAGATAAGAAAAGGAGAAGACGTAAGGCAAGAGACTGGTATATCACTTCGGAATCCATGTGAAAAGGAGTTGAAGACAGAGACAGAAGGAAAAGGTGGAAAAGAATGGACAATAACCGGGGTATAGAGAGGATACAGACTGGAATCTTGATCGAACTAAAATGGGACGGCTCAAAGCTCACAGGGTGAAAGGAGTTAAAGGGTTAGGGTATTGACAAGAAGTGAGGATGTTCTGGACAGTCTCTGACCCAACAGGCCAGTGCTTTACATGGGCAGTGTGAGCCAACTCAGGCTTTGGGTCTTTTATTTGCACCTTCCCCGCCGGACCCTCCCTCCGGACTTTTTCGCTTCTTATCATGTTCATCTTCGCGGGAGAAGCTAGGACCGCTGGGCACTGCCGGAGTCGGGAAGGTGAGGGGACTGGGCAGCATGTTGGAGTCTGGTCCGGATCGGCCAAAGCCCCATTCGGGGAAGAAGCTGGACGGTGATGGAAGGAGAGCGTCGGATACAAAGCGACTCGGCAGAGCTGATATGGGTGTCTCAATGTTATTATTCGAAGTCCCATTCCCTGGATTGCCGCTATTGCTGCCGTAAGAATCATTTCGCGCGGTGGGAACAGGGGGCGGAGGTCGTGCGAATGGGTTAGGCGGCCCCTGGGCTCCCGCGCTCAGTATTGCACCGGCTGAGGGCGATGGAGGGGGTAAAACCACCCCCGAGCCACTATTCTCGGCACTGGTTTTCGCGGGTGTAGAGGATTGATTTCCGGCGGAATCGCGCGATGAATCGGCCGTCGCACTTCCACCACCATCGGACTGTTCACTGGGAATTTGCACCTTTAATTGGGGTCGTTTTGGTGGTAACGGTCCGCTATTTGTTCGAGATGCCTTAGACCCTGACTGTGGACGCGGGGCCTCCGTGGCAGCTCTGACGGGAATAGACTGTAAGCCCGGTGACCCTTGGGGCCTTGCTTCGACCTTGAGGGGGTGATTATTGTGTGGCATCTCATACGAGGACCCCCCTGCACCGAAATGGCGAGCAAGCACAGATCCCCGGTCATCGATAGGCGTGAAAATACTGCGAGATTTAGACAATGATTTTATCTGGGGTGGCGATTGGCTGTGGTCCGGTTTTAAGCCTGGCTCGTCTTGAGGGTGTTCTGACCCGGGTCGATCTTGGTGGCCGTCGGGCGCGAATCCTGGGGGAAGGGAACCTCTACCATGCTCCTGCATGTAATTTTGCGAGACTTGCTGCACTTGGGGAAGAGTCCCAGGCGGCATTCCTACAGGATGAGCGTGCTGCTGGAAATGCTGCTGAGTTTGGTGCTGGGCTTGGTGCTGGGGTGGCATCTGCTGGGGAGGCAGTCCATGGGCCATGGGAGGTGTTCCTTGATGATGTCCGGGGGGATGACCATAATGCGCGAATTGACCGGGTCGGGGCTGTTGATTCATTGCGTGAACGTTCGGATTGTACATAGACGGGTTTGGCATGTAGCCAAAATTTCCATTTTGGGGACCTGGAGGTGGCGGCGGAGGAGGTGTACCGTGTTGCTGGGGACCTAAATTAGAGCTGACTCGACGTATATGATTTCTCGAAGAAGGACGCGATGTGCCTTGGGATTGCGGTGTGCCATGTCGTGTGAGTGTCATGCCATGATGTATCGGTGGGGACGCAGAGGGTGCATGGTTTATATGCTGGAATGCGGGAGTATTCTGGAGATGAGCGGGTAGCGCGGGGTGGTTTTGAGTCTGAACTGCTTGGATTTCCTCCGGAGCTGGTGAAGCATCGTCGTCCTCGTCGTCATCCTCTCGCTTATTGGCAAAATCTTCGCGTCCTTTATGTTCGTGCGGCGGGCCAAACTAAACCATCAGAATTAGCATTGACTCGATGGGAAAGGAGGGCTCCCGAGCATCAGCTACGGAATAATAGTTGCTACTCACATATTGGTAGCGACCGAGCGCATCGTGCATGTCGCATGATGAGTACTCATATAGCTTTTTGTTCTGGCCAAAGATAATCACCGCAACGTCCACAGAGCAGAGAACAGCCAGCTCATGCGCCTTCTTGAACAAACCACCCTTGCGCTTCAAGAAAGTCCTGTAGAGCGTCAGTCATGGCCTTCCCAACGAACGGGAAGATCAACTTACACCGAGCGATTGCGGTCATCTTTGATGGCCTTGATCTCAATCTTTCTCCGTCCCATGATTTATGAGGAGCGCACGATCAGCGCTCTAAGGGACCGAATTGCGGGATCAGACTTAACAGCGGGTCACGCTGCAATTTACGGAGAGCCCAGCGCGGGTTTTTCCTTCGGTATTATCAAAGCGACGCGACTGGGATGGTCGACAATGAGTGCCGAGCACTGTTCGGACAGTGCGAGACTCTAGTTCACAAAGCGTGAAACCATTCAAGTCTTGATGAAACCTGGACTCGAGCGAGGGTTGGACAACGCGACAGCCAAGAGCCAAAGAAAACAACACCCCTCGGAGTTCAAAGTATAGTGAACCCGAGGAGAAAGGGAGTAATGAACAATACAAAGGTGAACCGTAGAACCGATGCAAAGGATGTTGCTAAATTTAGGATCGAAGGAGAGGATTTGCAGGGTGGCCGCTGGTTGCTGACTCATCCTGTTAAGCGCCTCGATTCTATTTTTAGCCCCGTGACTTATGCAGTGGCTGGTCACTGTCACCTCCAGCCACTCTTCTGGCTATGTTGAGAATATCCTACTTGACTTTTTCTACAATTGTGAGATTCTACTGGTCATACACTCTTTGATGGGCTAACTAAATATTGACAACTTTAGAAATATTGCTGTCAAATAAATATCTCTGTGCCCTCCACAGTACTTAAGTACTTGCTGGAATATGTTGAACATCGAGATAAGTAATTCGTCGAGCAGTGTAGCGTAACACACCTGGGCATTGTTGAGACGCTTTAGAAGTCCACCGAATGTTTCGTATTCCGTACGGGCACAGGATATGGCCATATGTTACTTTTGAACTTGGCAATTAAGGTAAAGCTGGATCTCACCAGTAGACGTACGGAATATGGTCTGACTGCCGATGTATGTACTCAAGTACTTAGTAGTCTAAGTTCCCGGGCTACGGAGTACGGGGTAGTTAGTACACAATTAGGGCCAGGCCCACTGAAGCTTACTTACACGGTCAAAACATCTAAGACATGCTTGTGAATATAGTCTGCTCTGGAGACATTTAGACTTCTCCCATGCACATCTCTCGTATCAAGTCCGGGACATGAACACGAACTCATTGTACCCGTGTAAGTACTCATATAAAAAGTACAGGGTTCTCCAGTTGGCTATACCACGACTATCACTTATAACACATAGCAAGGCAGCGACTTCAGGATGAGATGAGTGTGCACTTCATCTATAGATCCACCTGGGTATAGAGATTTGAGCCCTGGAGGTAGACGCTCTCCTTTGCCCTGCTTGCGGACATAGAACCCTAGAGTGCCATGTGATGTCCACGATATACACCGATCCTTTGATTTTTCCTGGGAACCTCTCTCAGTTTTTAGCTCTCAAGCTTCGAACCTTGGAAGATCCGCACATATTCTGTATCACTTAAGTACTACTTAGTACTTAAATACTACAAGTAGATATCCCGTCCCTACACGATCAGGCCCCACCTAAACGCGGGAGCATCGCGTTACCACATGATTACCAGGATACAACGTTTAGGCATTTTCCAGGCCCAACTTAGAAGGGTGCAATTCTGTAGTTATTCTCATTAAAGAGTGTGCGAAGTGATTCGGGAAATTCCCAAGGTTCTAGAAGGCTACTGTCACTAGTCCTCCAGTTGGATGTATATATCAGATTCGGGTTTTCACATCTATAGATTTGTCATGCTCTGTTTACCTATTTCGTTAAGTACGGAGTACGGCTCTGTACCCAAGCTGAATCTAGCGTCTTAGGCCCAATCTTTAATCTAAGAATTGACCCCTTACCAGCCCTACCTAAATTGTTCTAGAGTTGATCTAACTGGTCTTTACGGAGTCATACTTCTCAAGTTCATACTTAAGTACTCCTTCCAAGCACCCCGTACTCCAAACAGATATGCAGTCTGCGCTGCGTTTCAACCTCTAGCGCGGCACGGCCGTTAGACCAGTCGTGATCGTCGGAGGCCCTCTGAAGACTCTCATTCGACACGTTAAACGGGACTTGACACGTCGTGTCTGACAGGAGATAGTAAGGCAGCTAGGGCCGGGACATATAAACTAAGAACCAAAGATCGGAGATGATGATCGCCATCATCATCCATCTCGTAATTCTACTTAAGTACCGTCCTCTTGTTTCTCTTCAAAATTAGGGGAGCCTAAGGGTACTAACCTCTAAATCGAACCGGGTAAGTTTGGTTTCGTTTTACCCCTGAGCATATTCTTTTTTTTTCTTTCCTCACCATTCGTTTGTCTCTTTTTTCTTTTCTCTAGTGGCTTAGATTCTAGTGGAAAGCACAGAGCCATTCACCTTCAGCTCCTTTTTTGAATTATCATTTTGGGGCCACTCTTTTCCCCCCCTTCACTCTCTATCTTCCACAGATGAGAAGTTAGAGAAACCAAGACCACTGATCCTGTTGCCAGGTTGCAGGATAAGATATCCAGCCTGAGAGTCCAAATCCAGTCAGTGGACAACCAGCAATGGCCAAAACACCAGCTAATCGTCGACAGAAAAAAAAAAGCGGACCCCTCGATCTTCCCCCACAGCCCGATTTCTGACGCGCAAAGTCAAGTCGCGGTCGCATTTCCGTCAAAATGTCCTTCTTTTCACGAGTCTTCAGGGGCAAAGACTCCAACGTGAAGAAACACTCCCCCACCACCACCGTCGATACCGCACCCGCCAAACCCAAATGGACCGACGCATGGCAGAGGACAGAGGTCGCGCCAGAGGAAGTGCAAGACCTGGTACGAGGTTGTGTGCATGAACTCAAGGCCCGAGGTACGTGCTGCATTGATATCCAGACTGGAATGGCGCATCTGGTCCGGACCGCTGATCATTCGTCCAGCTCTTGACACCCCATTCCTCCTCCTACCATTCCGCCCCAGCTCAGATCCGAGCGCGGCTCGCACGTTCATTCGCAATTACTTCAATCAGTCGTTTGAGAAGGGGTCACCGGTCAACGGGGATGTCTTGGTACAGGAACTTAGGCTTACGGAGCCGATGGTGAGGAAGCTCGTTTCAAAATAATCAAGGGATCAAGAACTAACGGCCATTGCGTTGGATAGGTTCTCTGTGGGGTGATGAAATGGTGCTGGAGCAGACTTCCCGGTGGTGTAGTCACCTGGGAGGCATATGAGACTTTCAAAATGGGTGAACATGGTACGTGATGCGTGAGTTGGAATGCGGGGAGGAAACGCGCTGATGGAATATCAGATTCGGATATGGCCCGGGACGCCTTTTCAACCTTTATACCCATCGGTGGCGACTCTGAAGCCCGCACGAATATCATTATCGACTTCTTCGACCTTTTGGCTGCCATTGCAGCGCATGGAAAGTCCAATGGACTGGGTGGACGAAAGCTGTCCCGATATGCTGGATGGTGGGCCTTCGAGCACGTCGACACAGGCGGTGGCTTTGAAGCGGCCTACAAGAGCTGGGCTGCGTATGAGCACCAATTCCACCAAATGGAGACGAGATACTAACTATTCGTCTATAGTGCCGCCGACGCAACCAGCCATCTGTTCTTCGCCTACCTCCGTTCCTTGACCCCCGATGTCCCACGCGGCGTGAGCGGCATTTCCTCGCTGCCAATCTCCCTCCAAACCCTCGTCGAAGCAACTGAATATCCCCCTGAGACCCCAACCTTGCTACAAGTTACGACCACGAAGGTGGTCATGATTGTGGAGAATGTCTCGCCAACACCGTTCTCCCTCCTGCGACGCGCCAAGAACTTCGAATACCGCGACGACGACTGGCACCTGCAGGAATTCGCCAACTACGACGATCCTGTCAGCGCATTGACCGACGAATGTCTCCGCGTCCTCAAGTGCATTTCCTCCGCGAACGAGTCGAGCGTGTCGAGCACGAAGCAGTCCACCAGCTTGCGGGATGCATCCTGGTCTCGTTTCGAAGATATTGGATTCGGCGGCTCAATTGAGTCGGACGAGGAGGACAAGAAGGATACTTTGCCCCCACCTTCAAGGAAGAGTGGATCTGCCGGTGGATTGAGCAATGTGCCTAAATCGGGAACTGGGGATCTCGGTCGTCCCACTACTCCCTCATGGGCTGACTTTATGTCCTCTGGGTTTGCGGACGAGAATAACCTCAAGACCCATGTGAGCCCTTTGCTTTTGCCCCCTGATAAGGTCCTTCCTCCAATTGCAACGGCCCGTGGACAGAGCTCCCAGTCTCACAAGCGCTCGTTGGATGATGAGCCTCTTGAGCCGGCTGAGCTGGCCAGTATCAACACTCTGGACATGGATGATTCATTCTGGTGGGTGTGGATCAGCAGTTTGTCGGCCGATGAGCCCTCTGCTCGCAAGGCCGTCTTTGGTCGATGCGCTCTCCTGGAGACTGTTATCCGGGACACAAAGTGGTTGGTCCTTGAGGAGCAAATCAAGGGCGCTGCCCCTGAGCCTGATGCCGGTGCACAGATTGTCGAGAAGAAGAGATTCTTCAGCTTTGGTAGCCGCAAGGGCAAGCTTAACCGCCGCAAGTCCACAGCCAAGAAAGTCTCTCCCATGGAAGAGGCCTACAAGAGGCCCAACAACCCAGGATCGCAGAGTAAGACTAGCATTGGTCCTGATCAGCACAAGCGGATCCAGGCAGCTGCAGCTGCTCTTCAGAAGAAGCATCGCGAGCATGAAGCAGAGGCAAACCAGAACAAGGTTGATGCCAAGACCGAGCGTTATTCCAAGACTAACTCTGTGATGACGCTCCAGCCTGCCATAGTAAACGAAGCCTCCCAAGCTATGAAGTGGACTAAGAACTACGACAAGGGTGCTTTCCGGGCAGCCTACCTCAAGGATACCCGCGCTGGAACTGGTGCGGCTGATGAAGAGAACGACGACGTCGAGCAGCAAACCGAGGAAACCAAGGAAACACCCAGCACGCCTGCGGTGACCGATGCTGATGCTACAGCTGCTGCTCCCGCGCCCCCTCCCAAGGAAGCACCCGCCGCAGCTATTGCCGCCCCTCTTCCACCATCTCCGGAACCGGAGACCAAGAAGGCCGTCAAGGTGACCACCCCCGAAGAGGATAAGGCTGCCACCAAGCCCGACATTCTTGAGCAGGCTGCCGAGCGCCACGAGTCAGAGTCTGTCGATGAGGCGAAGAAGCTCAAAAAGAAGAATGGCAACTCCACCTTCAAGAGCATGTTCGGCACAAAGAAGAAGCCCGAACAGCAGCCACCCATGAAGAACATCGGAACCAAAGAGGTCTCAAGCGTAGCCGCTGCACGCGCAGCACTCGAAGCCAAGCACAAAGCAGCCCAAGAATCCACCCCTGTGAAAAAGAAGCCTCTCCGCAAAGACGCAGCCGTCGCAATCGAGCCAGTGACCAAACAAGAGAAGCCACCAACCCCCCAGCAAACGCAAGAGCAACCCCAGCCCGAGCAGCGCGAACCCACCGAGCCTCCAACCCCAACCAAGCCCTCCTCTTCGACAGTCGAGAACGGCGCGCCCCCTCGAACCAGACGCGCAGTAGAATGTGATGCCCTGTCCCGCATCGACACCCTCGAACGCGATGCTGCAGACCAAGAATTCTCCAAATTCGACCAGGGCCCCATGGTCGACCAGCCTGCTTTCGCCCCTGACTCTCCCGTCTCTTCTGTCCACGAACCAGAACCCACTGCCCTCCCGCAGACTCCTGTCAACGGCCATGGCAATGGTGTTCCCGAGACGCCGGAATCCGACCCACAACAAGATCGATGGAAGGCGATTCGCGAAGCCGCAGCTGAGCGTAGTCGCGCCAACGGACACGGCCAGCATGAGCCTGAGCAGGAAACCGAGCCGGAGACTGAGACTACCACTCGAACCAGCCAGTCTGAGCGCACTGACGAGGGTGAAACCAGTGGAGAAGAGAGTAAGTTTTTACATGAACAACCTTTGATCTTGAATCCCAATACTAACAATGCTTCCAGCTATCGAATCTCGTGTTGCTCGCATCAAAGCCCGCGTTGCTGAATTAACCGGCGCCACGGAAGATGGACAGAAACCCTAGCCTGTCTGATTTATTTTTTCTATTTGCTCATGATCTAAGTTTTTATTGTTAATCATATACCCTTCTTCCGACAGCCATGGTCGTGATCTAAAAGATCTGAATCTACGAGTTATGCCCTTGGTCTGTTTTTTTCCGACTATTTTGTTCATTCATATCCCTTTTGATGTCCCTGGATTTTTGGGTTCAAACTGTCACTTTGCTCTATTCCCCTTTTGCTAATATTGATTTCGCTCACGACCATCGTTTAAACAAAATACTCAGTATCCAAACATATCTCGTAATCCATTCAAACTATAGAACTATATAGGCATAGATCTACTCTTGCAACCATGAACTTAAAGTCCCAAAGCCTCCAAAATCGCCTTCCCAACCCCAGCAGCAGAAGCAGGGTTCTGACCAGTGATCAGCACAGAGCCCGTACCAGCAGCCTTGGCAACAACAACCTTCTCACCCCAGGCCTGCTCAGCCTTAACATACTTCCCGGAGATACGACCGAGCTCTGTCTCAAGCAAGAAAGGCATAGCAGAAGAAAGCTGGACTGCATCTTCCTCCTCGTTCGAGAATCCAGTGACCTCCGCGCCGGAAATCAGTGGCTCGCCGGAGGGAGCAGTGGCATTGAGGAGGACACAGGGACCATGGCAGACGGCTGCGACGGGCTTGTTTGCTGCTGCGAAGGTTTGGATTAGAGATAGAGAGGTGGGGTCGGTTGTTAGGTCGAACATGGCTTGGTTTTTGTTAGTTTTGGTTCTTGAAGTCTTTTAAAAGGTTTTTTTGAAGGGGCGCTTACGTCCGTGACCGCCGACGTAGAAAATGGCATCGAATTCAGCGGCGCGGGGTACAATGTCTGCCAGCTTGTGGGTGTTTGTCCACAGGGCTTTTTGCTCTTTCAGGAAGGTCTGGGATGTGGGGTCTGCTTCAAACATTTTGACGGAGGAGGGGTCCAGGGGGGCTTCGCCTCCCTTGGGGGAGGCGATGGTTAGAGAGACCTTGTTGTGGAGGACTTCATGGGGGTGGGCGAATTCAGGCTGGTATTGTTAATGAATGTCTGGAGGTGGGGGATGGAGGGGAACGGACCAGATACCAGCCGGTGGGGTGGCCGGTGTCTCCGAGCTTGTCGTGGGAGGTGAGGACGACGAGGACTTTGGGGGTCATTTTGATAGATTTATACTTGGAGTATAGTATAGAGTATAGAGTATAGAGTATAGGAAGAAGAATAAGAAGGCAGGGTCCGAGCACATACTTATATCCCCCGCATGCGGTGAGATCAGCTACGGTCTCATATATCATATTCTCGTCACCGAGGGACCTCGGGAGATTCAATTGGGCCAATGAGAAGAGCTGTAGAGGTCGAGTGTCTCGGTTTCCTTCTTCACTACGCAGATCCTACGGGATGATGTCATACCGAATGAAGAAAGTCTCCGATTATCATTAAAGCGCTTAATGTGAAAGGATTAAGTACTGCTGCTTTGTACATATGTACCGGGTATCGAAAGTAAAAGTGCATGGCTCATAGAACATATCGCAAGCGACGGGTAGCTTCGGCCGCAACGAGGGCACTAATGGCCCCAATGAAAAGACAAACGGCAATGGCATTGGGTCGATCCTTGTCGAGGTTCATCCATGGCGCGTCTTTATTTTTATCTGCTGGCTCGCCCGGTTCAAGGAGGCTGAAGACAATCCAGCTGATGAAGGTGCCCACGAATTGTGGGAGGGTCGTGTAAACATTCAGCACACCGAGATATATACCAGCCAACTCGCCCGTGGACGGAATGTTGGAGGAGGGATCTTCCTCGTCGGTGTCACTGTCGAAAGAGTCGTGGTGGTTGAGCCGGAGGACATCCAGTTCGGTGTCGGCGTTGTTGCGCAGACTCGCCGAGGTGATCATGGTGACGCCGGATCGGGAAGCGGGGACCACAGGCGAATAGCCGCCTGTGGTCAGCTTGTTGATTTCGACCCCCATGAAGGCGAATGGGGCCCAGCCACTGATGGCCCAGGGGATACCGCAGACGGCAACGAGGAAGGTTGCAAAGGCGCGGGAGTGGGCCAGGGGCGCGAAGATCATCGTGGCGGCAAACATGATCTGGGAAATGAACCAGGCGGTTTGGAGATCTGGGCGGATGGAGGTGACGGCTTTAAGAACAGCTGCCACGCCAGGGGGAGGACGTGGGGTGAACTTGGTCCGCTTGGAATCCGGCGGTTGGATACAAAATGGTAGGAGTACGGAGCTGAGGAAGGTGATGGAGGAGAATACGGTCAATGACAGACTTCCCACACGACCAACCTCGCCCAGCATGTCTGTCGCTTTGGCCATGTCGTCTTTGGGAACCTCATAGCGGAAGTAGGTCTCACCAACCCAGGTTGTACTGTAGAACAAGAAAGGGAACCAGCCTATAGTCATTAGCATTCAATTCTTGACCACAGGTCATGCTTTAGCATACCAATCCAGGCCCAAAATTGAGCCCAGCAAATAGCCTGGATTCGAGGTGGCAGCTCGAAAGTCGTTTTGAACAGCTGAGACAAGACTTGAATAGCACCAGCACCGCCATCGTCCCTTATATAGGTTAGCTCGGGCATCTATCTTCCATTCCAATACCCAACTCACCTCGCTGTGATGAGAACTCGCTCCTTCACGGAGTATGAGGTGATGGCCACCGCCAACACTAATGAGAAGGCAGCGATCACAGTCATCTGTTTGAACTGGGTGTCTCCAATGATAGTGCCAAAGATACTAACCGTATCAATGGCACCCACCACATAAGCAAAGAGCTGTCCGATGGCGCACATCCTTCCAGCTATCAACCAATTAGTATGTTTTAGACTGAGACATGGGGAAGAACCATACCCCATGCGGATCCGGCTTGCTGCGAGGGAATCGGTAGCGTATCCACAATCAAACTGCGACAGCATGCTTGCACTAGAAAATAGTCAGGGGAGGTATAGATCAAGAGGCAAGCGCCATCACCCACCGACATTGATCGAGAAATCCACTGCATAAATACTCAACACCGCGAGTGCAATCGTGCCATTCTTCGCCTAAACCCTGTTAGCATCTCCAGAATCCCAGAATCCCAAAGGCAATCTACCTTCTCCGGGTCTTTCACAAACCACCCAACAATCTCCGCCGTCCAACCAAGCACCAACAAACAAAAAGCCACAACAAAAGACCCAAAGATCATAAACGGCCGCCTCCTCCCCCATTTCGATCGCGACCGATCAGCAATCACCCCAATCAGCGGCTGAATAATCAGCCCAGACAAAGGCCCAGCAATCCACACCAGCGAAGTCTTCGATTTCGTCAATCCCAACTGCAGCAGATACGGCGTACAATCTAGCGATATTAGCACCGGTCCCTAGATCCCATTTCCACACTCCTTACAAGTCATCTCCGTGCCCCATGTGAACCTAACCGAGTCAGCGTGCGACGCGCCAAGAGAGAAAAAAAAGGTACGCACTGCAATCCGACCAAGCTGAGCGTCAACAGCGCCATGCGTGTCGATTCATTCCGTCCCTTGATGGAGGGCGTGCCCACCCACCTCGCTGCCGGCATCCTGTACCATGCGTCTGGAAATGAAGGGGGTTTCCGAGTATGCCGGGGTCTCGGCCCGTTCAGTTCGGGGAATTGTGTCGCGTGCTCGTTGGCCGTAAACGTTAGGAGTCGGGGGTTTGGTCTGGTCGGGCGTTAATCGTGTCTCGTTGAGTGTAGGATGTTGAATATAGGGTATGGTAATTGTGAATGTGTCTAGAGAAAATAAATACAAAGGAAAGATCCCGCCAAAGAGACAGGGACCCAGAAATCCCGGCCTGAGCGCCTCCATGCGGGCCCCCGGTTTTATCGACCCTTTTGATCTGACATGTAATTCTGTGACGGATCCCTTTTCCTAATGTCAATACTTTACTGCTTGCAGTGAAAGTACTCAGTACTACGAGTACACAAAATTACGCATTTGGAGGGATGACATAAGCATCCAAATATAGAACACGGCTGAGATCTACAGAATACCAAAGAAGTACTTAGTTAAGTACTTAGTGCAAGGGTCAAAATCATTGCTAATGGCAGAATAGATAACACAGTATCTTTCATTGCGCATAAGGTGACCTATACGCGACTCCGGGTCCAACAGAATTCCGGCAAAAAAGACATTTTAATTTCGTATCCCACTTCCCATAATCGTCGTAAACAGCTATACGCTGAGGGTTTACAGCCGGTTGGGGGCCGAGGTTGTGACGGGCCACTGGTAGCCAGCCGCATCACTGAACTTGTAGCCGTATGAGGCAGTGAAGTCATCGAGGACAGCGGGGCCGCGGGAGCCTGTTAACAGTTAGCAAGGGCACTGGAGGTATTAAGGAGAGTATGAAAGAAAGACTCACCGTAGGGGTATTCCATAGGGATGATCTCCTTGTTATCATCCAGGTAGTGAAGGAGGGGAGTGAAGATGCGCCAGCTGGCATCCAACTCGTCATCACGGACGAAGTTGGAGTGGTCACCCTTGAAGGCATCCAGGATCAGAGACTCGTAAGCCTCGGGGATCTTGAGGTCGGAGAAGCGGCGGCGGTAAGTCAAGTCCAGCTCGGTAACCACCGTCTGCATGGACAGACCGGGCAACTTGGAGTTCATCTTGATGTAGACGGACTCGTTGGGCTGGACACGGATGACAAGCTCGTTGCGGGGAATGTCCTTGAAGATACCGGAGGTGACGTCCTTGAACTGGATGCGAACCTCGGTCTTCTGCTCGTTCAGGGCCTTACCGGCCTTGAGAATGAAGGGCACGCCGTCCCAGCGCTCGTTCTTAATGTAGGCAACCAGCGCGCAGAAGGTGGGGCAACGAGACTCCTTGGGCACAGTGTCGTCCTCTAGGTAGCCGGGCTTGCTGCCGTCGAGGGAGCGGCCGTACTGGCCAATGATGACGTTCTTGGGCTCGATGGCACCCATGGCGCGGAGAACACGGACCTTTTCGTCGCGAATGTCCTCGGAGGAGAAGGAGATGGGGCGCTCCATGGCGAGCAATGTGAGAACCTGCAGAAGGTCTTCAAAATGTCAGTACGGAGGTTTTGAGATGGCGGTTGGATATACGTACGGTTTTGCATGACATCACGGATGATACCGAACTCATCGAAGTAACCACCACGGCCCTCAGTGCCGAAAGGCTCCTTGAATGTGATCTGCCGCACACATTAGAATATTTTTCCTGCTCTGAAGAAGGAAAGCCATACCTGAACGTTGTCGATGTGGTGGCGGTTCCATGTAGCGTTGAAGAACTCGTTGCCGAATCGCAGGATCAGAATGTTCTTAACCATCTCCTTGCCGAGGTAGTGATCGATACGGAAGATCTCCTCCTCCTTCCAGTTGGGGTCCAGAGCCTTCTGCAGGTCACGCGAGCTCTGAAGGTCCTTACCGAAGGGCTTCTCGACCTATTGCAGACATGCATATTAGCACCGGCTCATCTCCCGCCATCACTTCCACTCACAATAATACGGGCCAGACCGCTCTTGGGGTAGCAGTTGCGCTTCAGCTGCTCGGAGACGGTAATGAAGACACTGGGGGGCAGGGCCATGTAGAAGACACGGTTCTGCTCCTTTCCTTGGCGACCCTGCTCAATGCTCTCGAGGTGCTTGTTAAGGTTGATGAAGGAGTCATCCTCATCGTATTGACCGGAAACGTAGGTGCACATCTTGCAGAACTGGTCTAATTGCTCCTCGATTTCCTTTGTGGGGACCTTGATGTAAGAGCGAACGCGCTTCAGGTATTCCTCGTGGTCCATCTTTGTCCGCGCATATCCGACGATCTGAATGTCCTTGGGGAGGAACTTGTTACGGAACTGGAGAGTCTGGTCAGTCGAATGGAACGGGTTGTGTCCGTAGGAATTTCACATACGAGGCCGAATAGTGCAGGGAACTGCCGAGTTGTTAGTCCGAGTCATGGATCATTCAGGGAGGGGACGCACAGTCTTCTTCTTGGCCAGGTCGCCAGAAGCGCCTAGTACCACGATGATGGTATCATCCTTAAGTTCGATGGTGCTGAATGCGATATCCATTGTCAGTGCTTCGTTTTAACAGAATTTGCGTTTTGGCGCGGGCAATGGCGGGGCTGAGAGGGAGAGCTCTCTCTTTGTGTCCACTTAGGCTGCACAGGCTGGTACCAGAAGCTCGAAATAAAGACCAAGGGTAAATTGATAGAAAGAGCAATTGTGATCGAGGCAGGCAGAATTGGGACACGTTGAGGTGGGAGATCCGGCGGATAGCCGGAGGGGAAAGTGATGTCACTCCTTAAGGGGGGGGATATAACTTCAGAACTTCAGAAACTCACCCTGCGCTACCACGCTCATCGGTCTGGATCACGTTGGACATTTTGATGCTGTACAGAAAAGAAATTGAGGAAGGAAAGAAAGGTTGAACAGGATCCGCGGCGGAGTAAGTACTTTAACAGTCACAGCTCTCATGGTGGGGCTTATATGTATTTTATTTGGTCTTGAAGGTATCAATCGTGATGACGATACCTCGGTTTTATTCTTTCTCTCCTGTTTCTTACTGAACTAGTCATATGTACGGACTACAGACACCTTATATCCTTTCTTAACCCCGACTACCCTTTGCTTCTGTCATGATCAACCAGACTTGGTATGGAACAAGAATACCCCTCGATGTCGGACACGACCTCGGAGTATTGCCAGGGATGTTCAATGCTTATGCAAGTCTCAACCAGTTTAAATACGAGCTTCTTGTCCTTAATTTTGTCGAAAAATGCGTGTAGGTCATCTGATAAGACAGGCTCGTCTCACTCATAGGTGCGGACCACATTGCCCCAAACAGGCTGAATTGGACCGATGGTGGAGCCCTAGGATATGTACCAACTATACAAACCTCCGGGCTTTGCGGTCAGCTTGGACAAAGTACAGGTACGAGTACAGAATCCAACAGTATTTGAGTATTTGAGAGTGGAGCTACTGCACAGAGTCAAAAGGCTGCAAAGGTGCCATCTCCACTAAGTTTAACTACAAGGTTGTTCTTTAAGAAGCATCACATCGATGCCGAACCGAAGAAGTAAAAAATACCGATTCTATACTCCCTCCGTACGGGCATACAATCACGCAAGGTTGATAAGAGTCTCTCGGTGACCCAAATCGTGGGGAGTCCTAGGATCGGCAACTCTCATACCACCTGCTAGGTCCGGATTTTGTTTTCCCGAACGCGGAGGATATTAACCGTCGAGTACCACCTTAACTAACTACTACACCAACAATTTCGCAGATTCGGTCTCGTACGAGTCCGCTTGGGAATTTCTCCGAGCACTTCCAGGGCTAGTATTGAAGTCCTTACCAGTCTCAAGTGTAATCATGGGTGGGGCTGGACGAACTTCTAGATTTTCCCAATGAGTGGTCTCGGTCTACACTACACCGGAGATGAGCTATGTCATCGGCACTTTTATAGATAGACACACTGGGAGACGGAGTACGGAGTATGGTGGGCGCAATTGACTAACATAGAGCAACCTTTGAACTTTGGACTGGAGAGACTGCACCAAACTGGAAGTCTGGAAAAAAGAACAGGTCTAAAAAAAAGCCGACAACCAAAGGCCGATGAGAGCCATTGCACGTTGCTTTTTTTTTACCAGATGGACCCTTGTCGTCATCACCTCAACGTTTGTCAGCGCAGAAACCACATCGGAGGTCTGTGGCCCGGAAAGATCAAGATGGGATCTGGTCCCGTGATGGAAGGGTCCCATGAGTCACATGATAAGAGACGATAAGGGTCGACTGATAAAGGTCACATGATTTGGATGGGCCCTCCTGGATTATGTAATAATGTTGACTTACCTAATGGGGGCCAATCGTATCACGGGACTCTGATGGCCCTAATTCCGTTAGGGCCTGGCCGAATTCCCGAATTGTGCGTTCGCTAGACAGCCCTTCGGATTTCGACTCTACACGCCTAACGACCATCGACAATCGGGAACGGGACATCCTTCGACTTTCTTTCCTTGCCCGATCACAGAGAAACGCCGACACAATGCCTTCCGAACAAGGACACCGCCGTGAGTGAATCCCCCTGGACTTTGCCATCGATCGTCGATTGGGCGGTCTCGAATCCGTCAAAAGCGCATGAGAAACCATGTGTGCGATCTATACATGACATTCATGCTAACCATATTCTTCTTGTCTAGTCTACGTCAAGTAAGTTTCCATCGCACACCCATCTTCGCACTCGAGCCCCGGTTTCAAAATGGTGGAATAATTTGGAGGACCCGAACTCAACGCCACTCGCGCCCATGAGAAAACAGACAATTAATACGAACTTGACAGGGGACGTCACCTCAGCTACCAGCGTAGCAAGCACGCCCTTACCCCCAACACCAGGTATCTATACCCTGCGCACACTGAAAACTCGATGAAACGGAAATCTGATATGTGGAATACAGCTTGGTCAAGATTGAGGGTGTTGATGACACCAAGTCCGCCAACTTCTACCTTGGCAAGAAGGTCGCTTTCGTCTACCGTGCCAAGCGTGAGGTCCGCGGCTCCAACATCCGTGTGATCTGGGGCAAGGTCACCCGGCCACACGGTACGTGTTACGCCCAGGTTCCGAAGGATGCGAGACAAACGCAACCAGGAACCGCCCAGCCTGACTCTCAAACCGTCTACTAACACCTCCCAGGCAACTCCGGTGTTGTGCGCGCCAAGTTCCGCAACAACCTCCCCCCCAAGTCCCTCGGCGCTACCGTCCGCGTTATGCTCTACCCCTCCAACATCTAAACGGCTTCTCTGTGTTGTTTTTAGTGGGCGATTCCCTTCTTCGCGCAGACGGTCGGTCAGGCAAGGAAAAGTCGACGGAACGAGCCGATGTTATTTGACGTGATGGAGTTGGCGGGTTGATAACGTTCTATTCGTGGGAGAAGGAAGGGTCCCCGAGCCCTACGAATCAAAAATTTTACACTTTCATTGCTGTGTTGGCCCCGAGGCACCGGGAACGAGCCCCGTCTCGATATTTCTCCTTGTTCTACAATTCGCGAGCATGATGTGTCTGGTCGCGCAGCGTCACTTTCTCCCACTTCGTATCTGACGCTAATACGCACCAAATTCCATACCATTTCAAATTCACGGTCAATCGTTCCGCTTCTTCGTGTCAGCCTTCCATCTGTGAATAAGACAAAATTGCATTTGCTCTGGCTCCTCTTCACCACGGCATATTCGGCTTTCTACTGTTATTCCTCCATATTAGATATAAATATTGATAAGCTGCACTCTGTACTAAGGTAGCTGTGGCACCGCTAGGCTCCTAGGCAGCGACTCCGTAGATTCCCCAGGTTGTGAGGTGCGTGTGGGCCCGCTCCATTCGAAGCCCTACTGCCCCGAGGTTGGTGCTCAAGTGTCCACGGGTGCATCTCTTTCTTTCTATCCACCATCCACTTAAGTATAGATTGTGTCTGTAAGTAAGTAGCATGTATAAAAACCCATCCATTCAAACCCCAAGCCCTGGAAGCTCGAGATCTTCCCAAGGTCTAGAGCCAAAAAAAAAAAAAAACCTCACAAATATATATATTGCCCCGACTCCACTCTATCCGAACTATACATCTTCACTCATAAATCATCCCAAAAACAGACCTGGTATCCCCAAACTCCAACCCATAAGCCCAATCATAACCATCGAAATATTACAGCCCCGTCTCCTTATGCACAGACTGCCTGTGAGCTTTCATATTCTCCCTCCGACTCGAAGCATGCTCACAGGGCGGGTGAGGACATTTGAATGCCCGGGGGTACAGGTGTTGAGTCTGGATGTGTCGTTTCAAGACACCCTTGCGTGAGAAGAACCGGTCGTAGGTGCAGCCTTCGTACTCGCATCGGTACGTGCCATAGTCTTTGTTCTCACTGGTGACGATTAGTAACTTTGAACTTTCGGATGGTGGATCGGGAGCCGTGAAGTAGGACAACTACCAGGGCTGCCCGGCTGAGTACGTACCTCCTTTTGTCTTTGCCTTTGAAACGACGACGCTGGCATGGCTTTTTTGAATCGGTCGGTGATTCGCTTGCCTTGGTGTTATTTGGTTTTTCGGGTGTGGGCAGTGGCATGGCTTCGGCCCAGGGACTGGAGCTGGGGTCGCAGATACTTGCTGGCGTGAGGGCGGCGCCGGAGTCGTGATCAGAGAATGAGGTGTATTCTTCCTCGATGGGTCTCTTGATGGGGTGTGAGTTGGGGTGGGGGTTGAGGAAGGTTGAGGAAGGGACCGGTGAAGCCGTGTCAGTCCAAGGACTGGGACATCTTGGATCGCAGTGCGCAGGGAGTCCAGCCATACCGGCTGGTGTTGGACCCAGATGACCATGGTTGAGGTATCCTTTCCCAGGGCTTGAGTCTAGATAGCAGTTCGAAGAAGCAGGCGAAGGAGCCGGCGACAGCATCCGCTCGAAAGCGGGCGTTGGAGGAAGTGGCATCCCATAGTGGAACGAGGGGTTCCTTGCTACTCGCAAGGGCGTGGGGACAGATGAAACAGGCAGAGGATACATGGAAAGGGACTGAGTTGCTTCCCAGTATTTCAAATCGGCGTGAGACCACTGATATTCATGTTGTGGATTGTGTGGGTTTTGGTTTGGCAAGGCCATGGTGACCGCGACTCATGCGTTAGGATTGTATTGGATAGTTGGAGTACAAATTGATGGAAGTCAAAGCGATTCGAAGGGAAGGATCATGTAGGTCATGCAGAGAAATTAATATTCGGGCTAATCTAGGGTGCTCAGAGGTATTTATGGGCATTTTAAAAAAACAGATGGAAAATAATAACTCTTTTTTAAGAAAATAAAACCAAAGATATCGCAAAATGTACCAAGAAACGAATGTGTCGAAGCAGATGCCATGAGATGGCACCTTAGTCCTATTTTGGATTAAGTATACGCTATTAGTCCCTGTTCCCCACATCAATCAAGTCTCTCATTTTAGAAAAAAGTGCGAGGAGTGGACCTTCCACCTATCCAATAGGGATTGCGTACTCATAACTAGACCCCTGACTTGGATGAACTTGGCGCAGAAGTCTTCGTAATCCATGTCCCTTCCGTGCCCGGTCTACTCGAGTCAAAAGCGGAAGTTATCAGGAGTATCATGTCAGTTTATTACAAGTATTGACCAGTCCAGACCCCAAATACGGCATTGACATCTAAGGAATTGCCCTGGAGTGATCGACAAGATGTGAGCTCGTCACTGGAATCTCGACATCCCATTCAGTAACGGCTCATAGGCACGGAGCACGGAGCACTGTGTACTTCGTATTGGGATGCGTTAAATGAAATATGAAGTATTCCAGGGTAAGTTGTTGAAACAATCGAACTTTCCAAATTCCTCCTCCATGGTCCTGGGAAATTAGCCCCTGTCCTTTGTACCGATCGGTAGTTAATCGACATCGTGCGGATTCTGATAGATGTAGCTACTATAATCCAACATCGTCAAGTCCATGTAAACCAATCCCACCCTCGGACCCGAGTGTGGAAATTACTTCCCGCACAATGCCACGGATGTCTCCCGCCCCATAACTACAGATACATCGGATGAATCACGCACGCGTGGGGTCACTAGACTCATGCAGAACAAACCACCACTCACGGGCGCCCGTGGGCTGTCTATAGCGTGCTTCCCAGCCCCTTGACAAATATTTTTCCGTAGACTGGCCCCCTGTCTTTCCTGTCTGGGGTTTCTTGGGGTTTTTTTTCTCTTGTTAATTTCCCGGCTGCGCTATCTCGTAATTGAGCCAATGGGAATCGCTGCAAGATGGAAAAAGAAAGGAAAAGACACCTCAGCTGTGTTATAAAATTGCTTCTAGTCAGGGATCTGAGGGTTACATTGCATTGAGCATGCACACTCAACGCCCTGGGGGCCGACCCGACGGCTATGGATAGAACATTATTACAAGTATAGCACAACAAGTGACGATGAGATAAATTAATTTCCCTCGTAGTGAGAGTAATCCCAGCTCGTAAATGATCCAAAGATGATCATAAACTGCAATTAAAAGGTCGATCATCTCGTTCAGCCTCATCGGAGACACTAGCGACGCATGGCGAATATTTGCATTTACGAGTACAAAACGGGATGGAATGAAATGACCCTCCCGGTATTTTCTGGCCATAGCGGCTCTTAAAAGTACGTTGTACAACGGTTAGAGCAGGGTCGATCATGAATCGTGGATGTGACGTGTTGCGGGAAACCCGGGCGCAGCGCGTGTATGCAAGTCAAGATTAGGTTAGTTCAGCCGCAGATAGACCAAGAACTGTGGTCTGAGCCCTGATCCCTTTTTATGATTATTCAACACCCGCATTATAACACATGGCATTGTGACGAGTTGTGAGCGTGCACGATTTCCCCGTTATTTTTAGCGAATGTTTTCAACTGCTTGGCCTGGAATTATTTTTCCAAGGTTGTTAATTTGAGAAGATCGTCAATCCGGGGCTGAACTTTGGTCTCTTCCCATTGGCCCAGAGTTTGTGGAGTATCTGCCATCTGGAATGAGACATGCTAAGCCTATTCTTGTAGGCTTAGCAGTAGCAAAGCGGTTAAAACTTGCTATGGGGTATTGGGGGATCTTTAAGGTTCTGATGTCATACGAGATTTCGACCCTAGCAACAATCACCGTTCTTCGCTTTAAAACCAGGTGGCTGTGTATTCAACACTCTCTGAGAATATCTTGGAAGCGAGGGGTGGCAGCAGACGTGTATTGCACTCGTCGGTATGCGGTGTTTGCACAAAGTACCATACACACGAGTAGAACATGCATCCTGAGGGAAGTAAGGCACCTAAATTTGCCAGCTTTAGTACAAAATTAGGAAGGGAGAGGACTGAAGCTTTGCACCTGATCCAACTCGAAATGGAATAGCACAGATTCTCAAGCGCTTGATTGTCAACTTATAGGAGAAAAGGTGTATTCCAATAGGATTCAAGGAAATGAACTTCCGAAGAGGATAGTGGGGCCGACGCACTGTGTGGAGCCCGGCAGTCGAATCAGCGGGGGGATTGACCCAACCCAATCCATGGTCCCGAGAAACTGGGAACAACGGGAGTGCCATGGTGCTGGAACAACCTTGGAAACCTTCATATAGATCCATAGATCTATAGATGCTATCTTAACCTCACTTCAAAGGAGTCGGACGGCACTTCTATGCTTGTGAAGCCAGCTCGTTAGAGCAAATACGAGGTTCTCCTCATTCTCCACAGCGGTAAATGCAGGAAGTGCCCAGACCTCCAGTGCTCGCCCCGAAGTTTACATCACCTTTTGGCCAATCCATTGTAATTTAGAAAATAGATTAAAGCCCCTGGCTACTAGGCTACTACTCGATGGGGGTGCTTGCGCAGCACTAGACCGGGGAAGCAGACAGGTCTCCCGCAGCTAGGTTTGTAAATTTACAGCTCTCTACGCAAGTCCATAGCCACTGGCTGTCTGGAATTTCACGAAGATTTCTCGGCTGATACACAATACCTATCAAATATCACAAGTGTGGCATGCAGGGTGCAGATCTCAAGCGTAGTTCCCGTATGGAAGAATGAAGATCTCTCCCATTGGAAATGTTTGCAGGGCAATAACTAGGCAAAAATGGGGAAGGTAATTCCAAATCGTAAGTCCAACCGGTGAAGCACTTCTCCCGAAGATAGATTGGAAAAGAAAAAAAAAACGGAAAGCCCAGTCCTTGTTTCCCTCCGGGGGAAAGAGACTGAGCGGATTCTCCACCGGATTCTCCACCGGATAACATTCTCTCATCCTCTACGCACCATCAAAAACCAAAAGGCTTCGGATACAGACCATCCCAAACCCACACTGATGCAAATATCTTCGGCCAGCATGGATAGGAAACTCTGCCACCACCAAAACGCTGACATCTCTCATGCGGACATGAGCTTTCTCCAAGAGCCGCAGCATCGCACACATGGTCCTCCCCGAGGCCAAGACATCATCAACCAGTACTACCGAAGCCCTCTTGGGAATCGCGTTTCTTTCAAGCTCAATAATGGTTTCCTTTGAGTGAAGAGGATCTGAGATGTGGGAAGCCGTTTTGGAGACGGAGTATGTCGGTGGTGGTACTTTGCCACCAGCCCGAATCAAAGCCAATGGCTTTTTGACTCGCAAGGCCAAGGGTGAAGCAAAGACAAAGCCGCCTGCCTCACAGGATACCATGATATCGATTTGTTCCCAATCGTCAATACAAGATTCCAACAAAGACGTACAGAGGACTAGTCCCCCATATTGTTGAGCTATGCCGAGCACATGTCGAAAGTTGATTCCTGGACTGGGAAAGTCGGGCACTACCCGCACCATATTAGCTAGACGCTGAGTATCCCCATGGAGGAGAGGAGAGAGACGCTGGATTGCAAATTGTTCAGCTGCCTCGCTTCCCGTCGTCTCATTGTTGAAGACTAGATTTGGGCGCCAGCCTGAGTCAGTATGGCTTGAGCTCTCATAGTCGTGAGCAAATTCACTGTTATCGATGCCCTTTCGAGTTTGTCGTGCGGTGTCGCTGGCCTGAACACGAATTTCAAACAGTTTTCTGTCAGGAACTAGATGTGAGAGATTTGCGACTGGTGCCTTGTCTCGGATTCCAGTGATGAAAAGCACGTCGACATCAAGGTTTTCATTGACAAGATTAACGAATTGCTCCTCCAGCAATCGAGGTTGCTGCAACAGCTGGCTGTTGAAGAATGAAGATAGCGCTGGCCGATGCTGCTCTTTGTAGGCACGGTCATTGAGCAACCGAGTGATGTCTGCACCAGTAGCGACCGCATAGGCCATCTTGATTGCAGTACTTATGCTCACAACGCGGGTTTCAAAAGACATTTGCTTGCGCACGCGCAAGGTAGAAGCCCAGATAGCGGCACAATAGTCCTTACCAGCGCAGCTTTTGCCTGAAATGAGAAACACGAGCTTATGTCCCTTCTGGTTTTTCCACTTAGAGATTGGAAAAGTGTATGCTAGGATATCATGTGGATCTGCCCTGTTCCTGACCCCGGCTAGGCGTTCTAGATTTGGTCCAAAAGCGTTGGCTACCAGCACGGCATCGCGAGGATCTGGTCCGAGATCTGCATGGTATACTCCACAGCCCAGTTGCAGTAGATCTTCGGCCACCCTGTACACCCAATCGACGACCCTTCGAGCAACCGGTGTACTGTCGTCTTTTCGATGCCAGACCCCAGTGATCACGCAAGCAAAATCCCAGTCTCGACAACCGAAAGCAGTTTCTCTTGGTGCATGGTCACGAACAGCACCACCTCCCTGCAGCAGGTGGAAATAGCAGAGTTCTGTTGGGCGATTCTTCAAAGCGGATGTCAAAATGGAGCTAACATCAGTTTCCCCGAGATCCTTCAGGAACAAACACCTCTTGAAAGAAGAGGTCTTGCCAAAAACATGACCTCCATGCATATGTGCCATGTGAAACTCAGCGTCAAACAACTTGACACCATCCATGGTTTTGATTTCAGTTCCCTGCCCCAAAATTGGATCAAGATCCAGCAGGCTGGACATCAGTGTAGTCGAGGGGACTTCAACAGGATGAGATTCAAATTTTGTTACACCAATATTCAGCCGATCAAGATCCCAGTACAGATATGCGTCTATGGAGCAGTTGCGAGGTAATTTTTCTGCAACAAGTCCAATTTCATTCAGCTTGACACTGACTTCAACAGGATCAGACAGAGGGACAACCCAGTCTTGAACTGAGTAAGTGCGGGCTTGGTAGGTCTTGAAAACAACTTTGTAAACAATTCCAACACTTGGACCGGCCCCCTTAAGCGCCCATAATAATTCGACTGAGTTTTCTGGAAATACGCACTCGGGGGGCCAATGAGCACCCGAGACGAAGCCTAGGCACAAGATCTTACCAGAATTGACGTCAATAACAATGGCACCAATTATAGAGTCGCATGAAAGACCATGAAGCCGCGCTAGATGTCCAATACCTCCCTGCAGCCATAAGCCCGCGCCAACGCTGGGCCGAGACCCCAGCGGTACTGTCAGGCCCCTATCCATGGCCCTGTGGATTATATCACCCGTGGTGCAGCCGGCTGAAACAACGAGCAATGGTTCAGGAGTAAAGTCACCCTCAGAAGAAGCCATGTCGGAATTGTCTTCACTGTTAGTCTCAAAGGATATGGACCGAAAGTCTGACATGTCAATTGCAACGACATTGGGCCATAAGCAATGACCGCTGTGGCCCCCACCGATGACGGTCAGCTCGATCTTGTGCTTCAAAGCCCATAGGACGCACTTCTGAATTTGATCAAGATCTGTTGGTTGAGCGATGCAGGCTGGATGATGAAAACAAGCCTCTCGGTTTTTGACATGTAAATTCCCAAAAATAACTAGCACATCTTGGTCGAGCTCGAGCAATGCGGTGGCGGACTTTTGAAAAGCGACCATCATATCCGGCGAGCTAAACACGAGCTGGCCTGGGTGGGATAGGTCACGATGCCCTAAGTCACGGCATGTCTTTCGCCAATCAGTTCGAATGGCCTCATCGTTCGGCAAGGTAAAGCCTGCAACAAAGGCTGCAAATCGGTCCAACGACCTGTTGTCATCTGGCACGCAAACGGTCCCGACTGGGTAAGAAGCCGTTTTATGGGATGCCAATCCGTCAAGTCGCAGGGATCCTTCACGGTGAAACACCACAACCATGCCGCTCGCAGGTTTTTCAGCAAGAAACCCCAATGCTTTATCAATAACACTTCTCTTGGGATTGATGCCGTACAGGCTGTGACAGAAGAGGATGAGGTCGAATTTCTCATTGCTCTCGTACCCATCGGGACCTGTATCACTTGCATGGGGACTGTATGAGTCGAATGAATCTTGGTGTACGATGGCCGGGCTATCCAAACCTGGCAACGAGGATCCGGTTCCCGTAGAAGAACCGAGCCGTGCTTCAAGCTTTTTGGCGAACAATTTGTTGGGCTCAAACGCGGTGTATTTCGTGATTCGCTGTCTGAGATACTCAGGCAGATTGAAGAGTACGCTCTCTGGACCCGGTCCAATCTCCAATACTGAAACGTTGGCACGTAAATGAAAGAGTGAGGGAAGCAGATGACAAAGCTGAGGGATGATGAAGTCTTTGTACATCATGGACTCCCGACCTTTTGCAATGATGTTGAAGCCATCGCGGTACTGCTTGTCCGATAACCGCAGTCTCTGAGTAGGGGCTCCTTCACGGCTACTTTGCTTCAAGGCTAGCTTGAGGGAGTCGAGGGTGGCCATGCTGTTGAGATGGAAGTTAGTCCCAACCCTCGTTTGCTTTAGTAGATAAAACCCTCCTCCATAGGTTTTCTCACCTCTCCCTCTCTCTCTCTCTCTAGTCATTCAATTCAATCGGTTCCTCTTCCTTTCTCTCGCCGTGCTCTCTCAACACATGCTGATCTGAGGAGATAAAGAATGATGTGAGAGAATGATGCCAGTGGGGAAACTTTGCTGTTTTATAGCAAGTTGGAAAGCGGCATGGGATTTTTTTTGGATGATCAAACAGTTTGCTGCTTAGAGGGAAGATGTGAGGGAGGCAAGTGTGAGGGAGGCAAGTGTGAGGGAGGCAAGTGTGAGGGAGGCAAGTGTGAGGGAGGCAAGTGTGAGGGAGGCAAGCGTGAGGCGGCAAGCTTCAAGAAGAAGGTCCATTCAACGAAGAGAACTAAGATGAAGAAGCTATGGAGATCTGTGGGGAGAGCTGCTCTTATAGTACAGAGAGAGTATGCACATCATGCAAACGCGCAAACGCATAGAAAGCAAACCTGCTGATGGTAGCAAACCATCACAGCAAGGTTCAGAAGATGAAGGTCCAATTCGACGAAGAGAACTAAGATGAAGAAGACTATGTAGATCTCTGGGGAAAGCTGCTCTTATGGTACAGAGTATGCAAAGTATGCAAGCGCAAACGCATGGAAAGCAAGCCTGCTGATGGTAACCATCACAGAGGAGGGAATCCTTTGTTGAGGCTTTGTGAAACCGGGTAGAAGTTTGCATCTTCGCCCTGATGTTCTGGTATAAAGACTATGTTAAATTCTGTCTTTCCTTCTCCCTCTCCCCTGCCTCCAATCTCCTCTCTCCTCCTCCCCTATCCACTCCCACCATCGATCTTGTTGTCAAACCAGCTGGTTTTATCAGGCCCTGCAACTCGATATCCTCAAGAGGAGCGACTTTTGCGATCCCTGCTTTATACCCAGAATTATGGAGAGAGCGTCTTCGACGAGCGCAACTTTCAATGAGATGAAGCTGCAGAATGAGCCTAACTCGGACATTCAAAACCTCGCAACGTACCCCGCGACCCCCACGCAGCCTCGACGCAAGAAGGCCGCAGAGGAAATTACGTGGGTTTCGGGCCTGGAGACTCCCGAACCCATCTTCGACTCCACTGACAATTTGTCCAACGCTACCCAAGATGAAGAAAATCTCGAGTCCCACTCAAAGACTGCCAGCCTCCTCACTACTTCTTTTGACGTGGTTTCCGCCAACAACCACGGAATTACCAGCCGCTTAGGTGAGTTGAAGGATTTCACTTGCAACGAAACCTACTAAGTACCAGCGTCAGATGTCAAATCAGATCAGCCAGCAGAATCCAACCCAGAGAGGGAGAAAAGCCAAACACAGAGGCTCACCGCAGCCGTCCGTACAATTATAGAATGTATAGGCGAAGACCTGGACCGCGAAGGCCTCCGTGACACCCCAGAGCGCTATGCAAAAGCCATGCTCCATTTCACAAGCGGATACGAAGAGAACACCCAAGATCTTATCAATGGAGCTATATTCAAAGAGGATTGTGACGAGCTCGTCATTGTCCGGGACATACACGTGTCTTCACTATGTGAGCACCATTTGGTTCCATTTATTGGAAAGGTATGAATCCTCAGTACATCTTCCAGAGTGAGGCTGACCCCATGGTATAGATAGATATCGGTTAAATTCCAAACGGACGCGTGCTTGGGCTTTCCAAATTCGCCCGGTTAGCTGAAGTCTTCTCGAGGAGACTTCAGAATCAAGAGCGTTTGACAAAGCAAGTTGCTTCTTGTATATTCGAGTTGCTCAACCCCCAAGGGATTGCAGTTGTCATGGAAGCTTCTCATATGTGCATGGTCATGCGCAGGGTGGAGAAAGTTGGCAGCACGACGATCACTAGCTGCATGTTGGGATCCATGAGGTCGAATGGGAAGGCAAGAGAAGAGTTCTTAACTCTCCTACGCCGAGGGTAATTGCGTGAACCCGAGGATTCCTATTGTTGAGGTTACGGGGCAAGAGAAGATGCGGACAGAACCGATTGTATTCACTGCCTGGAGAGAGAGAGAGAAGAAGAAGGGAGAAGCGGGGAGCGGATCTATCTACAAACGGGGGTTGGGACGAGCTCCCTACACAACAACTATGAGTGGTGGGCGAAGTTTGCTTGAACTTTGAAGGGAAGAAAAGTACTTTCATATCTCTCGGATGTACTTACTGAAATGGGCGCCTTGATGCTTCGATTCCAAGGCTACCCTCGATGTTCACGCAAAGAAACGAGTATGCCAGACTTTCTCCTGATGAACCGACAAAAACTGGTTATCTAAAAAGAAATGTGATTCTCTTCAAATGACCTGATCTTGTCTAAAGCGAATAAAATCATGAAGCAAAAAGCAAGTAGATCGAGGAATCACCTGGGCAACCATGGCATCCGATGTGACACAAGTACTGACACGTCTGCCATATACCCTGCCTAATTGAGAGCCTACAGGATGTATAGATTTGATGGATAATACTTGCTATTATCCAACAATGAGAACAAAAAAAGCCTAAAACTGGCTTGGTTGGTAGGTATGCCCCAAAATCCTGTATTCAAATTCTCGACATCAACACCACTGAAGTAGCTTAATCGATCCGCAGCGAGTGTACTCTAGCCGAATGTTCGCTCATATTGTCCTTGCGCCCGAAGACCTTACCACAAGTAGGACAACTGAATGAACGCGGAGCAATGTGCTGTGTGTCGATGTGACGCATAAGTACTCCTTTACAGGAGAACGCCCTTTGGTAGGTACAGTCTTTCCAGTGACATTGATAAACATTCGAGCTACCTCTGAGTTAGAGAAAATCCATTAGTGCCCGAAATAAAGACAATAGTGCTGATATTGACACTTACGGTTTGGTTTGCTTCCGCTTTTTTGTACGATCTGGTAGCGGGCCATCGTCGACTCGACCGTTATCCAATGAATTCGGGATTGAAAAGCTCTGTGCTGAGGATAACAGACGTAAAGACGGTGAAAATGCAGTTCCATAGCTGGTATCACGCGGAATGACGACGCGCGGTTTGGCCGGAGAGTGGGAGAGATTCTCACCCCACCAAGATGTGTCGAGGGGATATGCGCCAAAAGGGAAGGCGAGGTTGTGATCAAAGAAGGTATGTGGATGCTGTGTGCCATTTTGCGGGAGACAATATCCAGATCCTGGGGCTGGCTCTGCTCGAGAGAAGGGATGCGGCGTTTGTTGAGAATGCAGTCCATAGAAATCGCCCAAGCCGCTATTGCTGCATGAGTGTTCATTTGTTGTACCGGTCATTGCATTGTGAGGCACGGGGCCTAGGGAGCCTGACATAATATATGGGATATAGTGACGAAAGGATATGTCGTACCCGTGGAAGATTTTCTTCGGACTTGCTCAAGTGAGTTGTAAGCTCAGTGTTGCGGTGAGGCCAGAGGACCTTTTATATCTACGCTTGAAGTAAGAGGCATAATTAATCACTGTAGTAACGAACATTACCTCACAAGTCTCCGATGTTTCTAATTATCTCCGAACTAGGGAGCCTCAATACTTTTGATTGATCTGTGAGACTGACAATTCGGACCACCGCCAATCAAATGCAGCGACTAGGAGATTAGATCGTATCATCATACCATAGATACACTTAGAGCCGTAATAAACGGAGCAGAGCGTACCACGACAGCAAATCTTAGGTGGCAAATCGATATCGGCCTTCCCCATGTTGCACAATGCGAACTCATGTGGCAATACAAGGTCTGATGACGAATACGTCACATCAATACTTGTGTATATCTAGCAGGAGACAGTTTCGTCACCAGCAGGACAGAATCAATAGGCAGGCCAATTTTGTTCAGAACCACTGAAGAGGAAGATCAATTTTATACTCGTAGACCCCGTATTCCAGACCCCTGAACTGGCGGTGGAGGCGCTACCTGCCGCGCTACATACATATGTATCTCTCTTGGCGTCGCTGGCGGACGCTTAAAATTGGCGCTGACCCGCGGACACTCCTCTTCGGACTCCTTAAGAAGCTCCATGACGCTGAATCCTGGCCATTGCTGACCCGTGGATCATTCCAGCCCAAAGTGGGTCTTCCTGCAGGGCAATTGCGCCACCGGCCAATGAGAATACACTTGGATAGGCGTCCAAATCCAACAGCTCTCAAATGACAACCTTGGAACCTTGCAACTATATAAGTAACCAACCCTTTATTGTTCTAAAGTTGGAGAGGAAACTGGGGCATCAGGTCTCAATATCTTATGACGACGCTCCTCCTTGTTCGCATCTCTCTCTTCCCTCTGACCTGAATCATTTAGCTTTGGGAAAACTCCTTCTTTAGTTCACCCAAGACATCAATCTGACTCAAACGCTACTAGTCCCATAAAATGGAGAACCATATCTGGGAAATGCATAAGTCCGAGATCGAGCAGCTTTATCTCCATGAAGGCAAAACACTGGAGCAGCTACGGCAGTTCATGGCAGAGAAGCGTGGATTCCGAAAGACGTAACGCCAACCTACCAAGTTGCCTGTCTCTTAGTCTCTTCTGACATCATACAGAAAAGACCAATATTCCCGAGTCTTCAAGCGATGGCAGTTCAAGAAGTATCGTGGAGGATCCGCAAAATGGAAAGCCATCGGGCGTCACCTTGTGAGGAGAGGTCGGGAGAGCGAGGTCTTCATTGACGGTGTCTTCACCCCAGAAGGAGTTGTGATATGCTCACCAGGACCAAGTTCATGGACGGTAGAGTGGCCCTCCAACCTTCCGTGGATAAGTTTCTGTCGCGTCATCTCGTCAATGAACCTTCAAGGTACAGCAAGTCTGCTTGAGAGGGTAGAGATGTGGGCTGACATACAAAAGGACTCACCTGGCCTACTTTCAGTACCGACAGGTCAATCTCAAAATCCACAAAGTCCTCAAACTTACCGTCAAAGAATGAGATTGGTCATGTCTTGGGCTCAGTGCTAGACTGGAAGACCACAAATCGACTTACAGAAGTCCAGAGCAAGTCTCGAACAGCTACAGTGCTCAGTGTTGTCATGCCAGAAGATATCGAAGGACGACACCTCGCGATATCCGAAAACCTTTGTGACACGACCAAGGAGCATCTTCAGGAATTTATTCAAGTCATATTGTTCCTGTTATCGAATAATTTCAAAGTTGGCGACGAAGACAGCGAGATATTCATAAGAGACACCGACTACGTCAGCTTCAAGGATAGACTTATCTTGAAAGTCCTGCATCTCTGTGGATTAGACAATGCCACAAGCATGAGACATCTCCTGGACCTGAACGAGCCTACGGCCGAAGCGATCGCCGAGAACCTATTTGCGAGTGCACTCCGATCGAATAGCACCAATTTAGTCGATATGATGTTGCACGCTGGTATCAAACCACATAGAATTGAGAGCAATGGGGATATCATCTCACCACCCCTGCAGTTTGCAGCGCACATTCGAAACCACAGCACAAGTGTTGAATTGGCAAGGCTGCTGTTGTCTCACTGCCCTGACATGAACCAAGATGATCATACACAATTTGTTTTTATGTCAGCCGCAAATAGAGGAAACGAGATATTGATGGATGTCCTCATCTTCAATGGAAGCGAGATACCACCGTGGTCTTTGGAGACGATGCTCCAGCAAAACCCACCTTCTGATACGATGTCTCGCCTTGAGCGTGTCTTGGATATGGGAGAGAGCCTGGAATCAAGAATACTGTGGGATGAGACATACATAACGATGATTGCCGTTGCCGTTTTGGAAAATAGAATGGCGCTAGCACACATGCTGATCTGTCGAGGAGCGGATGTCAATGCCATGCAGCCAGTCTTATTCGACGACCGTATCTATGAAACGACTGCGCTAGCGATCGCAGCTTCAATGGGCAACCATCCTATGATGCACTTTCTGATCGCAAACTTCGCGCATGTCAATCAAAGCGACAATTCAAAAAACTTGATACCACCTCTTCTGTGGGCAGTCATCAATGGCCAAAAATAGCCGTGGAGCTTCTTCTTCGTGCGGGAGCAGATGTCATCGCAGCAAACCAGTCCAGCACAAACTTTGATGACACAAAAAAGATACCAATGGCCAGAGCATTGGACACAAACGACATGAAATTATGTACGGCTTTGTATAACTCAGGGGTTTTCATGGATGCCAAAACTTCAGCAACATATAAGTCTCGTTTGATGTTCGAATATGTCAAAAGAAATGACACTGAGGCTGTTTCGTGCTTGCTTAGCGCAGGAGCCCAAGTCAATGAGATCCACGAGGAATTTCCAGACACAGCACTTGGAATGTTAGAGGCTGTTCTTCACGATAATGGAGACGTGATTCTTGCATCTGGAGTCTTTGCAAACGACAAGGATCTGGCCATCTTTGTGTTCAAGAATGGCGGTAAATGGGGTCGCTGTGCCTACGAAGAATTGCTCAAGACAAGAGTCGAAAAGGCAATAAAAAACAGGGATCTCGAAAGTCTTCAAAGAATGCATATGGCAGGGGTCAGACCTCGACCTGGAATGATCATGTCCATTGGCTCCCTCCAAACAGCAAGGTATTTAGATGAGGCCACCTTGCTGTCGGAAATTTTGATACAAAATGGCGATGAGATCCTGGTTTCTGCAATTCTCGCTGAAAATGAACCTTTGGTGGCATTCTTGCTCGAGAAAGAAGCCGATCAAAATGCATCGAATTATCTTGAATACGAAATCAAAGTTCGATCATGTCAAACTCCACTAGAAGCATCTTTGATTCAAATGAACCTGCAGCTGGCACAGGTTCTCATCAGTCGTGGAGCTCTCATCACCCAGAGAGAGATAATGGCAGCCGCATGGGAAGCACTAAGGCGAGGAGATGATAGCATCATGGGCCGCTTTTTGGACATGTTCCCACCCTCATTTTACGCGGCTCCTGGTGCAATTGGCCTTGCTATACAGCTGCGAAAATTCGACTTGACACATTTGATCTTGCGCTCGGGCATTGACCCAAGAGGAGAACTTTCTCTCTCCGAGCGATTAAGGTGTAAAGTGTCACATCACTTGAGCGAGTCGGGGTGGTGGTGTGTCGAAGACCAGACAGAACCCTCAGAGACCGCTCTCGATATAGCAGTCATTGCAGGGAATCGAGCTACTTTGCAAATGCTGCTCATGTCGGCAGTTTGGACAAAAGAAGCGAGAGGCCGTGCGTTCACTTTGAGTATGCAATGCAAAAGGATGGATCTTGTCCAAGACCTGTGGACTTCCGATACAGATGTGAACCAGGAACTCGGTGAGAGCTATGGCAGTAACTCAACTCCTCTTAAAATTTCCATTGAATGGGGTGATGTACCATTGATGAGTCGTCTGATTGCAGCGGGTGCCAACATCGACCAACTGGGCACACATGGTCGATACACCCCATTACAACAAGCAACGAGCGACGATAAACGAGAGATCGTTGAGAGCTTGATTGCAGCAGGTGCAAATGTCAACTCCCCACCAAATCCTCGAAAAGGAGCAACGGCTTTGCAGCTTGCCGTCAAACAAGGGAACGTGGAGCTCATGGAGCTCCTTCTTGAGAATGGGGCTGAAGTCAACCAAGCACCAGCATATCAAGCTGGAGCAACTGCATTGCAGTTTGCGGCTATTCAGGGATACATTGGAATCGTTCGTAAATTACTCGAGGCGGGTGCTGCCATCCATGCGCCCAGATCGCGCATTTACGGCAGAACTGCCACTGAGGGCGCTGCTGAGCATGGTCGTATCGACGTTTTGCAACTATTTCTCAACGAAGAAGTTTCGTTTGAAGGAGATTTCCGAACAGAGTATATCAGATCGGTGAAACTGGCTGAAAAGAATGGACATCGCGCCGCAGCAAATCTGATCAATTCAAAGATTTGTTGGACCATTTGGGATCGTGAGCAGTTGCAGGATGAGACTTTCGATTACGGAGAGACACAGGTTTTGCAGTTAAATATACTTTAATTGTGTCAGGGTTGTAGCCTTCAGAGCTTGGGATGCCAACGTAGAGAGTTTTCTTGTTTTTATTCCACGGTCTTTCCTGAATAGAGTCAGCGCGGTGCATGCCCTTGTCTCTGTCACAAGATTCTCATGATCTTCGTGGAAGAAAGGAACCAGACTCTCAGAGAGCAATGACACAAATTTTCTGGGCGTAACAATGTATGCAATCTGCTATCCATGGATGACTTGGGCAAAGCCTCTAGCTTACTTCGATAAATACTCATTGTCAATGATCCTCACTAATCTAGCTTTTTGTGAACCCTGGCCCGATGCTCTGTCATATTATCTTTCCGACTAAATGACTTGTCACACTCGCGACAATCAAAAGCCCGCGGATTAACATGTTGTGTCTCGATATGGCGCATGAGTACTCCCTTACAGGAGAAAATTCCCTGGTAGGTGCAACGTTTCCAATGACATTGGTAAGTCTTCGAACTGGCCCTGAAACATAAGAATGGTCATTAAAGTCCTAATCATGAACAAGAGCCCTTGGAATCTTGAGACTTACCGTCTAGCTGGCTTGCGCTTCCTTGTATCACTGGCCAAAATGTCACCACCAGCCTGACTGCTTTCAGGCAGCTTGGCCAGTGACGAGTTCTGAGCTATGGGTGTCAGATCCGAAGAGGCAGAGAATGCGGCCCCATAGCTGGTATCACGTGGAATGATGATGTTCGGTTTGGTGAAAGAGCAGGGCAAGTATTCATTCATCCATGATGAGCCGAGGGGGAATGCGTCAAAAGGTAAGACAAAGTTGTTGTTGAACATTGTATGTTGTTGTTGCGTGTCATTTTGCGAGAGATAACCTCCAGATGCTGGATTTGGTTCTGCTTGAGAGAAGGGAGGCAGCGGCGTTTGTTGAAAATGCAATTCAAAAGAATAGTCCAAGCTATCATTAATCCACGGGCTTTCATCACTCGCACCAGTCATTGTGTTGTGTGGCACGGAATTTAGTGAACCTGCCATACTATGTGAGATATAATAACAAGCAGATGTGCAAGACTTATATTGATGGAAGAGTTTGTTCAAATTGAGATATTATTTCAATACTTTGGTGGACTTCAGAGGACCTTCTATAAATCAGAGGACCTTATATGATACTGTCGTAGGTGACCTCACTTTAACCGGGATCACCGTGCCAAGAATACCGTATGACCTTACCAAAAATACCGTATGCGGGACACTCAAATAAATGATTTATTTTTTTAAGATTGGCTTTTTGCATCCGAACTCTGGAGCCTGAATACTTCTGATTGATCTATTGCCAATCAAATGTCGCCATGAAATATTACTCTAATACGGTACCGATCCTCTAGTGTGCGCCGTCACCATGGACATGGACAGGGGCAAGTGTACGTGTTTCGTTTCGTTTCGTTTTCCTTTTCGTTTCCTTGGATTTTTCTTTTCTTTCCTTTTCCGTTTCCATTTTTCTTTTTTTTGATTGGCTCTGCGTTATCGCGACACTATGGCCTGGCTTTGGTTGTGGTTATTGCTCTTGTCTATTGTTCCTTGCTTCTTCTCTCTGTGATTTTGTCCTGGGATCTCGCTATTGCTGCTTCTTACCGTCATTTGTTTACATTCTCCTCTATATGGGACCCAGGAAAGCGAAAATATAACTAGAATCGCATGTGACAAAGTATGAGATGGGGCATCGATAGAAGAGCTGTATGTAATTACCGATAAACAAGAACTTAGAAGACCCTAGCAAACTCTTCTAGCCCTAGATAGCCTAGACTACGTAGTAGTTATGATGTCTTTCGAACGTTCCAAATTTGTGATCTTTCATCCGAGTATAAACCGAGCTAGTTGACGCTAATCGTACATTTTGAATTGCCCACCTGGGCGCTCATCTGTCCAATCTATACTATTTTAAGTCTATAGGCTGATGCAATGGCCAGGCAAAATATGTACGCCCCGGCCAATGATAATGCATTTCGCTAGCGGGGTACGACGCGGTCGGAGGCCTGAGACAAACGCAAACATATAAATATTCTCAGAACGAATCCTTAAATGACGACAGATTTCTTCCCAGGTTGGCTTCAGAGATTCTACTTACAATCAAGACTCCAGGCCAGTCCGATGGAGCTTGAGAAATTGAGGGTCATGATTGGGACACGCATAAGGCCAAGATCGAGTAGCTTCATCTCCAAGGACAGAATATTGGAACTGGCACTCCAACTTGGAATCCATGACAGAAAAGCATTAGTTCTGGACAAAGTAAGTAACACCAACCGACAAATTTACTGTGCCTTAGTCTCTTGAAACACCGCACCAAATGTCGAAATCGCGAACTAGCTCCAAGCAGCTAAAAGAGGCCCCTAAGGATTATAAAGGTGCAACTAAGTTTGGATATTGAGAGATGGCGAGACTTTGAGAATGTTCGAAAAGTTTACAAGGCAGGGATTACCCGAGAAGATATCGACAAAATGATTGTGTCCATTAGGCCGCAGAAAGAAAGCTTGAAAGGATTTAGCCTAGACCTACTTTGCCGAGACCTTTCGAGACACAGTGGGTATGAGATTCTAGTTGCAGCAATTCTCGTCGAATATGAACCTCTGGTATCATTATTGCTGGAGAGAGAAGCTGATCAACGTGCCTTGATTTCTCGAATGCGACTTCAAAGGTCAGTCCTGTCAAAATCCGTTAGAAGAATCTTTGGTCCGAGTGAACTGACAGCTCGCACGAATTCTCATCAGCTGTGGAGCTCTCGTCACCAAAGCGAGAGAACTACGGCCGCATGGGAATTGTTAAAGTGAGGAGATGATAGCATCATGGGTCGCTTTCTGGGAATTTTCCCGCCCTTGTTTTATGATGCCGCTAGCGCAATTGGCTTTACTCTACAACTCGGAAGACTTATGCTGCTATATCCAATTTTGTACTCGAGAGTTGACCCAAGATGAAATCCTATTCCAAGGTTATTCCCCAGCAGTTGAAACACTAAGTCCCATATCATTAAAAGGAGCAGGGGTGGTGGTATACCGAAACACAGCGGTGAATTCCTCTCGGAATAGAGTCAGTCTCGTCTCCTGAAGTCTCAGTGTGTTGTCACAAAGAAATCATGATCTACAAAGGTTTGTGATGGAAAATAATAGACTACTAATGGGCATTGACATAAAATGTAGGAATGTGATCTGCTATGACCTACACAAAATCTACTAGGTCAACAAATCGTTAATTCCGATAGCCTGCACTAACCTCGCTTTTTATGAACCCTGCCCCGATGCTCTGTCATATTATCTTTCCGACTAAATGTTTTGTCACACTCACGACAATCAAAAGCCCGCGGATTAACATGTTGAGTCTCAATATGCCGCATCAACACTCCCTTGCGAGAGAATACCCCCGAATAATTGCAACCTCTCCAAAGACATTGAAGATGGCCGTGTGGGTGCCTTCAAATGAATTATAGTATCAGTGTATCTGGCAATACCCCAACTCGAGAATACTTACCTCGTACTTGAAGGCGACGACCGGTAATCCGCCCGAATGAAATCATCCTGACAGAAGTCACTGCTCGGGTCAATCAAGCCGTGAGTCTCTGGTGTCCAGAAATTGAAAGCAGGAGAGGAGGAAGTGTCAGGTGCACTTTGAATCTCGAGGGATGCCATGCCTGGGGAATCAGTGGTGTAGTGTCTTTCAAGCGAGGCGGCATACATGTCATTCCGGGCTTGGAAGCTCCAATCGAGGCCTCTGGAGACGGGAATGAAATTTGAGTACAAGGGCATGGATTGCGTTTGCGATATATGGTCTCTTTGGTTGTTGTGTGCTGAGATGACAGAGGTAGGGTACCTGACTGCAGGGCGATCTCCTTGGAAATTGCCCAGGTCTATACCTCTCCAGTCTTCTTCAGTGAAAACCTTGATATCGTTTGGGGAAAGACTATACGGAGAGTCTGTCATTGTGTCACATTCAGAGAGAAAGATATTATGTATAAGGGAATAATGAAGAGCCTGGGGCTCAGTTTCGGACCCCATCGAAAGCTCGAAGGAAAGAAAGATTTATATTTGAAAATTTTCACTTGCGGCTGCATCATGATGCAGAAGAGAGATCCATGCATGAACCGGTGCACGAACGGTGAGTAAGACGTGCAAACAGGCACCAATGTATCGTAAGCCGTGAAACCACGAAGTGTTTCCTGAACCTCCAATGTGCGACACAGGCAGAATGATTCTAGAAGGAGATTGCAGAAGAAAGATGAAACAGAGGCACGTGCAGAAAAAGCAAATCAGAACCCGCAAAAAAGTCGGAATGGTTCGTTTCGCGATGCAGCAGGGTAACCAGACAGGGGATAGTCAAGCGCGATTAATTCCGTGGCCTTTCTAGTAGGTCACACGGAGCCCTTAACCTCATCTGCTGCAGCATAGCGAGACCATTTCCGAATGACAGGGCCATAGCAATAAAAGACATATGGCACCGGAACCATGATTGCGCTGATACACCCCAGGATTGTCAGGGTCCAATGGACACCCATGTTCTTATAGAACGGGATCCCAACGACGGTCATACCCCCCGCTGCAAAGTACCGGGACACAGTCATAAATCCCAGGGCAGATGCGGCATAAATGCCATAGGAGTCGATAATGTACATGTAAGAGCTGATGAAAATGCAGATACAGCCGAAGCCGAATAAGCTTGATGCCACAATGGGTGACCATATGGAGACTGATGCCTGTCAAGGGTTAGAATATGATGGGTTGCCTAAAATCTTGATTGAACTTACAAAGTCGGTCCAGCCCATCCAGAAAAGACTGATAGGGATCATGGGCGCCCCAAACATGGCAAACCAGAGTCGGATCTCTGGCTGCGTGTGGACGCTGTCCAGGGCATGGCGGTCCAATGCGGGGTCTGTGCCATTGCTTGCTACTGCAGCCGCGGTGAAGTCTGTTTTGGTCCAACGGTAGATGGGAAGAACCAGAAGTCCAGCAAGAGCTATTCCAACATACATTGCCACCCAGACAATATTGGTAAGGCCTTGAGACAGACCATGCACATCAGTGAAGATGTCAGTGTAGCCGTCGAAGAATGTGAACAGAACAATATACAGAACAGTCATGTATAGAGAGATCAGCAAGATGATGGGCTCGTGGAAGGTGATGAGGAACTGCCGCTTTAAAGCGCCACCGATCCGGCTGAAGATCGATACCTTGTCCATATCCATGGCAGAACGGAAACGAGTGTCACCCGTTTTCTGGCGCAAGTGCTTTCCCTTCCATTTCAACAGTAACGGAGAGTATGTTTCAGGCTGAAAGAGAAGCACAAGAACGAAAATGGCACCAGAGGCAATGAGAATGATCCAAGCTGTCCACTCCCATGCCAAAACACCTGTCTGTCCAATGAATGAAGCAATCACCGGTGCCAGCACAGGTCCACCAAAAGACAAAATGGCGTACATGGGGAACGTGATAGTCTTTTCGAGAGGATTCCACAAGTCCGCGATAGTACCGCCCGCGCATGTCAGAGGTGGACAGCCAAAGATGCCTGCCAGAAAGCGGAAAGCAAGCTGTGCACCAAGGTTCGGAGCCAGGGCGGATCCCATGATGAAGATCATGAAGAGTGTAAGAGAACCAGCGTATACAGCGTTGCGACCGAGGATCTCTGAAAGGGGTCCACTGACTAGCGATCCGGCTGCAAACCCGAGGAGATAGACACCTGGTCGAAAGGTTAGATCTGACACACATTTGGAATGGACTGATACGATTTTACCAGTCACCAATGATCCCACAACATCACTGACACCATATGCCTCGGTGATTTGAGGTAGAACTCCTGACTCTATAGCCGATGCAGCACCGACAATGAATGCAAGCGCGGTCACGAGCAAGGTTGCCACCATTCGGCGGGTGTAGCTGAAATTATAAGGATTGAGAGGGTCATTCTCACCCTCCCACCCAACAACGAAGACATGAGAGTTCGGAGATGAAGCATCGGGTTGCTTTTGAACATCGATGCCGGGGATGAACTGAGCCAAGGGGCTCACGTCTGATTCAGCGAGGCCGTCGCTGGCATGTTTAGGTGCCAAAGTTGGTGAACCGCCTGGAGTTTCCTTCATGGAAGTAGTTGCGCCATGTTCCGGAGCATTCTCGAGCTGTTTGTGGACATTCTGCCCCAATCGTCGGAATTGCAGATAAGACTGCATTTTCAATCCAAGATTAGACTGAAATTTTGGCTTCCTTGGATTGTGTTCTCACCGGTTAAATTATTGTGCCTCCAATATGCAAGTCTGCGCGATAACCAGATCCGCGTGTGTCGAGAGTGAGAAAATATTCTCGCCAGAGCGAGACCTGGCTTTTTGTATGCGTTCATCAGCAGCTTGACCCACCGCTGATAAATCGGACTTGTCTTCGACTATTGAGTGGGTCTCCATAACTCCGAGGGCAGGTCCAGCCTCAGTCTCAAAGAATATGAGATCAGAGAAAGACGAAGGCAAGTCGGAATGTTGGAAACAGATCTGCCGGCTCATTCAAAGAAGAAACCGATCGAACCCGATTCCAAAAATTGGTCGAATGTGAACGAGCAAGTGCGAACGGCCTCGGGGCTTCACTTTATTTCGGTCCACTTTTATACGTGGGTCTCCGTGATCTCCGTGATCTCCGATAATGTTTCCGATGTCTCCGAGGTATTTGCTCGGAGACTTGTCCGAGATATGGTTAGTAAGAAATGCACGCAAACAATGGTGGTTCAAAGTGAAGAACATGTGCATTGAGTTAAAGACAATGCTACAGAATGGTATTAGCCAACAACCCCCATTGCCAGAACAACCCAACGCCAGAAAATGCAAATTCAGTGATGACCATCTGCGCCATAAAATCCCAAAACAAACATGACCCTTCTCAACATGGACGCCAGTAAAACATCAGCTCGCAGAATATTGTCTAGAAATCCCAATCTCGCCTTCCACATGCTGACACCTGCGCCATAATCACCACAACACAAACATCCACCCTTCCAAGACAGATACCATTAATACCTCAGCAGGGAGAGTATTCGACAAGAAAATCCAAAAAATCTCATCCTCCAGATCCTTGTTCATGCCCATAAATTCCCAACGCAAGCGCGGTTTCAACCGAGAGATCTGAGTGCGGATGTCGTCTTTGAGGGCTGGGATCTCGTTGCATGCATGCACAAAACCGGTGACTTGCTCTTTGAGGGTTTCACAGGTGTACAACTCTGTCATGTCTGTTCTCATCGAATCGATGAATTCTCGGAATCGTTCGACCTCATTCTTGCAGCATTGTAGTCTGTAGATCTGCTGCTTGATAGGACGGAACTAGCAAGAGACGGATAAGGTTAGTCTTTTCTCTCGACTGGAGTTGATGCAGTCTCACTCACTTCCGGTCTCATTCGTGTTCTGAACATATTAGATGCCATGATGTATGAGATGAGGTACGCTGTCAGGTGTATGAGGTGCTGGGTTGAGTTCTTTCTGTGAAAGAGCTGGAGTCAGTGATAGTATTGGAGGTTTAAGACGAGATGTGCTGAAGGAGTGAGATGAGAAATAAGAAACCAGAGAAAAGAAAAGAGAAAAGAGAGAATGTGTTTTTGAAGTGAAAGAGGGAGGTGCTCTGGCTCAGCGGCCGCTACCCAAACAGACTACGTGAAGCTGATCTTGACTCCAACCCTGGAAACACTTTTAGTTTATTTTTATCGGCTTATGATTAATATTACATAGTACTTAATGCCGATTCAGCAAGATATTGTGAATGGGCCAGGCAAAGAAGGTGGTCGTGCTCGCTGTTTCTCTTTCGGTGTCGTATATAGTATAACACGCCTCCAAATAAATTCCACATTCAGATCCAGGAGTATCGATAGAATAAAAGTGTCACTGGTCAAAGTTCTCTTGGAGTCAACAGGCGTAGGGAAGAGGACAGAAGAAACGAATCGAGTTTAGCGCTCTGAGCTCTAGAGAGAGAGGGGGGGGGGGAGTAGGAAGAAGAAACAGAAGAAGGGAAAGCACAACGAAGAAGAATGAAAGAATGAAAGAGAGAGGGAGAGAGGGAGGGAGACATCTATCTACAGGGCTCGGGCGAGCCACAGAAGACTCAATATACAGCTCGAGGGTTGCCCGTGTATATGAAACGCCTAATCCTGAGTACCCGGAGCTATGAGACTGGTATTGACAAGTTCATGACAGCTGAAACAAAAAAGTCTTAGCCATAAAAGAAAGAAAGAAAAGAAAAGTTTTAAAAAAATGTGGGGTGGGAAGGAATGCTTGGATCGAACCACCGACTCTGTTGTGGTTTGACGACAGACCGCCAGTCGGCTGCATCTCGCGTGCGGCTGACGACCCAGAGGACGGTTTATGGGACATCTAAATCCTAGCGCATTATCCCACCGAGCTACCGGAGTAGCTCCAGGAAAACAGACAACTTTTGTATTTCGTATAGACCGATGATTGCCTATTTAGGAAGGTGAATCCCAGTCACGTGACACAGAGCCTCACCTAAAAGGCTTGTTATATTCCCTACTTCTTGACCTCTACTTTTGCTAACTGAATTATTTTCTTCTTCTTTAATACACCTTGAAGGATCTAACATATTGGTACTACTACTACAATTCAACGCGATATTCATGTGATGTGTTAGGCAAATCAAACCATTCCCTCGCGGCCAACGGCAACTAAAATACGCCCCATAGAAATACTGCATAAAGTCCGTGCATATGCCATCCAGATCTCCAGATCTCAATTCAACTAATGGTAGCCAGTGAACACGGCACGGGCGGTCAGTAAATTCCGCTTCCAGCTGCCCAGACGGGAACCCGTGGATATGACGCAGAAGTACCCAATCTCTGTACCTCATCAACTCCACACCCAAGCCAGTCTGGACCCTGACACTTTCATCCGAGAACTTAAGAATGACAACTTCGCACTGATTCTTCTCAACTCCAAAACTACCAATTCAACCATGGCCAACGGCTTCCTCCCATACCATGAACCAGGAAGTGTGTATCCGAGCACATCTCAATTGAGCCTCACCCACTTTCTCACTGATCCCTCGCAGCCGTTCAAATCCTGATCATTGTATCGTTCTTTTTCTTCCTCTCGCTGGCGAAATGGGTTTCTGCCAAGATTATCCATGCTGGTATTATTGGCCAAATTGCCGTGGGCATTATCTACGGTGTGCCTCTGGCTAATATCCTCGAACATACCTGGCAGGAAACATTCCTTGCACTGGGCTATGTCGGATTGATTTTGATTATTTTTGAGGGTAAAGTTTTCTTTTTTTTCCTGCGCCTGGCTTGGCTACATTGGCCACTTGGCTGTTTCCACTTGGCAAACTGATCTCTGATGTCATCTATTCTAGGCGGTCTTGGCACGCGCGTTGATCTTCTAAAGCAGAATTTCACTTTGAGTATGGTCGGTGCTGCAACTGGTGTTTGTTTCCCCATTGCATTGTCTTACTTGCTGCTGTATCTGGGGTTCGGATATGGTGGGTGACGCTATAGCTATCCCCGGGAATTAAGCTGATATGGACCAGGCGCAGTGGAGACGTTCATTATAGGCGCGGCACTCTCAGCTACCTCTTTGGGTAAGTGATGAACCTACTTCAATACCCGTACTGTCAATCCCCTGTCGACCCTAACAGAATTCAGGAACCACATTTGCCGTAATAAGCTCCGCATCCAGCTCCGTCAACCTATCCGAAACCCGCGTCGGCTCCGTCCTCGTGAGCGCAGCTGTAATCGACGATGTCGTCGGCCTAGTAATGCTCAGGTAAATCAAACAAACCCCAAAACAAGAAACCATACTAACAAAAACCCAGCGTAATCGGCGACCTAGGCAAACTCACACCAAACACAAACCTAGGCTGGCTAATTGGCCGACCAATAGTCGCCTCCGTCGGAATGGCCATAACAACACCAATCGTGACAAAATGGATCTTCGCCCCCATATTCCGGAAATACATTGAATACCATTTCGCCCGCTTCGACCACATTTCAAATATCATCCTCATGATCCTGGTTCTATCTGCTTTTATTGCCATAGCGGGATTCACTGGGACGTCTGTGTTATTTGGTGCGTTCTTGGCTGGTGTGTTCATGACTTATATTCCGAGTAAGAGGCCTGAGGGACCTTTTGTTGTTATGAGTCGGGAACAGGGTGAGAGGGAGGATGACAAGAGTCCTACGTTTGTGCATACTTTTGAGAAGTATTTTCTTGATCCGCAGGAGTATTTGATGGAACCTTTGTTCTTTTCGAGTATTGGGTTTGCGATTCCCTTTTTGGATCTTTGGACTGGGGAGCGGATTTGGAGGGGCATTGTTTATACCCTTCTTATGGCTTTTGCGAAGGTATGTGATTGTTGGTTTTTGTGAGGTTGAAACTAATGTTTGCAGTGTATTGTTGGCATCTGGGTGCCGATATGGCAACTTACTATGGGGAACAAGTCGCAGAAGCAGGCAAAGGGTGAAAAGAAACGGAAGCCAAGTCATGAGGAGCAGATTGTGCGGAGAGATCAGTGGAGACGGGCTTGGCTTGCTGCTGCACTCTTGGGATCTGCTATGGTGGCCCGTGGGGAGATTGGTCTTTTGATCATTGAGATCGGACATAATGAGACTCCGTACGTGAGTGATGAGGGCTTTATCACGGGTGTCTGGGCTATTCTGCTGAACACCATCATCGGCCCGGTTACTGTTGGTCTTATGGTTCGGTTCTATGGCAGCAAGCTTGAGGAGGGGGATTGGGGATTGCAAAGTCCTTTGCCTGTTGAAAGCCAGGAGATAGGCCATGGGGCTGTATGACAGTGTGGATACGAAGCTCTGGTGGCGAGGAACGCATTAGAAAAAATGCAGGTAAAGTATACCAAGATCTACAAGAAAACGAAAAGTGATATGTTGTGAGAGAGAATAGCGATAAATTTGATTCCAAATATTTATGTAGTAAATCAGATCATTCAGCGATAGATCGAATTAGATCACGCAAATCCACATCCGAAAATCCACATACAGACCGTAGTTAGAAGCCTGTATATTGCTTTCTGTGAAGTAGGCTTTTAGAACCCCAAATCATACTTAAGTACGATTTCATAGGCTCAAAATCGTCCCAATATCCCGTGTCAATAGAGTACTGTCCTCGCCAGAAAACCAAATCCCTACGCGGATGACGAACCTTTCGATAGGCCAGGGGAAAATACCGATCAGCTAGAGATCTGGTTTCTTTCCTATTATCATCATCCAGCTCCACCCTTGTCGCTGTCCTGAGGTATCGACGAAAGCAGTCGAAATAGGCCATGGCCCACTTAACCCAATCGTTCAACTCTTGTTCAAGGGTAGGAACATCATAATATCCTCTTGCTTCTACCGGCTGCTCGGCAATAATCTGGAATACTTTCAAATTCGGAAGAATTGAGGCCCATAAGGGGATTTTAGGAGTATTGGAAAGGCTATCGTCCGTCATTAAGACCAACAAATATCGGATTCTGCCTCGATTTCTTTCGGTAAAATCGTGCTCGAGGTTATCTTCACCAAGTCCGTTCAAAGAGACCTGAAATATGTTCTCCCCATATAAAATGTCCAAACACTCGTCGCTGATCTTTTTTGATAGACGTAGGACGTTTAATCTGCTGTGGTGGGGGTTGAAGAAGTCGTAGTCGCTTTCAAGAGGCTCGAGTCCACAAGCGAACATTGGCTGACCAACTTTTATGATGCGGTTTCGAGGAATGAGGAATGAATACACCATTAGACGTATTTCTAATGGAAGACTGAGGAATCCGGAAGGTGCTGAATGTGAATGTGGTTGCCCGATCTCGTCGCTCGCTATTTGCTGCGTATTCTTTTTCGGCATTTCAAATCGTTCGTGAGGCTTCTGTTGGATCGAGAGAATATTTCCAAGACCGCAAGGTCACAAAGGAGAGTAATCAATAATTTGTTCAGATAATTTAAAATCGAATGGAAACGAGGGGTTCTCTCAGTATGTGGTCAGGACGTAGTACTTACCCCTTCTCATGGTGGATGATCGTCAAGATGACAGCTACATATCATAAACGGGGTTGTCTTATTCCAGAAAGCTCCGGAGCGAAATCCAACCCGCGACTCTGGCAAGTTCTACTCAAGACAATCATGATGTGGAGTAATATACGCAGATGTGTGCTGATGCTGGAGTCAACAATCTAGAATGGTCTCGTGATTGCTCTTGAGGTGTTTCCACATAGCGTTGTCAACAAATGAAGAATTAGAGGCTAGATTCTAGAATGACAGGCTTTCCAGTGATAAAGCTAATAATGTATTATATTCAGTAAGACATGATGTATCAACATCTGAACCATGTGGAACCGCCAAAGCCAGAACAAAACCGAGATGCAATGATTCATGAACCAAGTTCCAGGGCGACAGCTCAATGGAAACCTGGAGGGTATTCAGTGACGCAGAAACTCCATTCGATGACATGCGAGAACTTTTAAGAAATTAAACGCGACTCAACGCGAAGCGATTAAATATGCATAGAATAAGAGAAACCTCAATAAAGGATTTAGACCTCCGTCTCAGGCTTCGAGGCAGCCTTACGCTCAGAGTCGATCAACTCCTGGCGGGCGCGCTCTTGCTCGGCGAGACCAGTCTTTTGGACGGTGTGTTGGGTGCTCAGCTCGCGGCGGCGAATGAACAGGGAGAGGATGAAGCCGACGCCTGCGACGGCAGTGTAGAAGATCCACATGCGGTTCAGGGAGTGGGTGAAGGCTCCGAAAACGACTTCGCGCTGGGAGGAGGATAATTTTGAGAGGAGCTCTTTGGAGGGCCCGGAGAAGGAGGCGGAGATGGCTTCAGCGTTTTGACGGCCAACAGCTGCAATAAGTGCGTCGGACTGTTGGGCCATGACGTTTTGATAAATGACGGTTCCCAGAACCACTGACATCGACGTAGAGAGTTGGCGGATGAAACCAAATGTAGCGGTTGCAGTGGCCATATCCGCCGGACGGATGTTGGCTTGGAATGCGACAAGGGGGGCTTGGAAGTTGGGGCCAACGCCGACACCAGCAATGATCTGGTAGATGATTATGCGAGGCCAGGAAGCATAAGACTTGAGGTCAATGAATAGACCGAATCCAAGGAGGATGAAGAACATTCCGGCGATAATCAGCTCGCGGAAGCGACCTGTCTTTTTCATGGTGATACCAGTGAAGACAGACGTGATTGACAGTGACAAAACCAAAGGTAAGACATAGACACCGCTGAGAATTGGGGACGCTTGCAGGACAGTCTGGAAGTAGAGGGGGAGGTAGTAGGTACCGGCGATGAAGACGAAGCCGTGGCAGAAGCAGACCATCAGAATGAGAATGTTGTACCATTCATTGAACAGCCGCGCGGGAATAATTGGGAATTTGGCGACTTTCCACTCGTACATCATTGCAAGGCCCCAGGTCAAGACACCAAAGACGATCAAACAGATCACCGTCGCAGAGGCCCAGGGATAGTTGACACCTCCAAACTCCAGACCAAAGAGGAACATCAAGGTTCCACCGATGATCAGGAATGTGCCGACCCAATCAATGTTGCGAAGGCCAGCCAGCAACGGGGTCTTGGGAGACTCGATGTGAAGGAAGAGGATCAGGATGATCAGGGAGAAACCTCCAATAGGAAGGTTCAGATAGAAACACCAGCGCCAGGACACTCGGGTAGTGAAAGCACCACCCACAATAGGACCCAAGGCACCTGCAATAGCCCAGGTTGCACCAAAAAGGCCATAGTACATCGGGCGATCCCTGTAATACAGTCAGCTTTGTCTCTGTTTGGGCACATTCACCATAGGCCATACCTCATGCTGAATAGATCTGAGACACTGATGTTGGCCAGAATGATGATGCCACCACCACCCACACCTTGAATGGCTCGACCAGCCAGGATCATAGCCATGTTCTTTGCCAGGGCACAGACCAAACTGCCCACCAGAAAGGCAACATTGGCCATTAAGATAATGTACTTTCTTCCCCAGATGTCACTGATCTTGCCCCACAAGGGAATACAGGCGGCATTTGCCAGCAGGTATGACGATGCAATCCATGAGAAACCACTTTCCGAGGCCCCAAATTGCTTGGCGATTGTAGGAAGGGCGGTCGAAATGATAGTCTGGGTGAACGTTAGATCGGGAACCTGAAGGGGGATCAGATCAAAACCATACCATATCTAGCGCAGCCAAGAACAAGGCCAACTATAAACCCAGATTAGTTTTTGCACATCACGGTCGCAGATCGACTATGCGATCACTCACACATAGCGCAGTCATCACCGCAATGATCTTCTTCTTGCCCATCCTGGCAGCTTGTGAGGGGGTCCGGTCGAGAGGCGCGGTGGTTTCGGGAGCAACGACGGTAGGTTCCTCTGGAGAAGGCTGACTCTTCTCAGATTGCACTGAGAGAGTCTCATCGCTAGAAGCACGGCGTGTGCTCATGGCGAGTTTGAAGGGGGTGAAGAGGTGAGTGAATGAGGATGAGCGAAGGGGAAGTTTTATTCGGAGTTAAGGTCCGTCATGGCGCTAAGCCTATTAATGCCGAGCATAGAGTATTTAAACCACTCGGCCTGCGCAAGTTCGGACTTTCAAAAAGAAAAAAAGTTTGTCGAATCAGAGTGCATGTCGGTCATTGCGAACTCCCGACGCCGACATTCTGAGTCATGGAAGTACATACTTGGGTTTTTAAAGTACAGAATAACCTTGGAAATAGCTTAACACTTACCTAGACCTATATTTGGTTAGACAATTTAATTGTTCTCAATCGGCATAGTATACAAAAGAAAAGCCGAAGTCACCCAAATAGGCGTCGGCGCGGTTTACGTGAACGACTCTCTTTAACATAACGATCTCTACTGAAGTAGTTTAGTCCATCACTCAAACGAAATAACACCATGTTAAATTATCTAAAATCTACCAGGTCGAAGTACCTCAAATGCCTATCAACCAAAGTCAAGGCCGCACTGAAAATACACCGAGCGACAAAAGAACCCTCCCACCCAAACAAGCAGCAAAGCCCTATATTCAGCCTGACAAAAGATACACTCGAGATTATATTCGACCTTCTGGATCCAGTCGACCAAGCATGTTTCGCTCTAACCTGTAGAGACTACCTATATCTCTTCTGGAAGGTAAGAGGAATCGCAATCTGGGGCCCCAACTCTGGACCACACACTATACATCCCGCGCTTGGGGTTTGCTGGTGGTTCACCACACGCGAGAAACTCGGTTGGCGACTTCAGAATCAGGATTGGGTTTTCTGTCAGTGTCGTCGGTTGCATCCTCGAAAAGAGTATGAAGAACAGGGTCCTGGCGGTGGGAAACTGGACGGCAGGGTTAGATGGGGCTCCAGGGTGTACTGAGAGATTGCTGCTGTAGGACATTAATCCAACACTTCTGTTGAACAGTGATCCGAAGTCAACACTGGGAATTTGGAATTTGGAATTTGTCTGTTGAGGTTGGCGAAGTAAATCATATTGTTTAATTTCAAATCCATTAAACAAATGACTCCAATAATGTCGATTCTTCCCATGCGATTCTATAACAAAACAAGGATTCGGGTATAATAAGACAAGGCCGAGCGATGGTGAAGCAGGGACAACCCCAGCTCCAAACGTATAGACAATCTACTCCTGCAACAGAAGAATTTCTGCAAATGATTAGCAAACACCCAAAGACCCCATATTCAGAAAACATACCCGTCAAAGCCTCCTCAAAGCTCAAAGTAATATAACCATCCCTATCTTCATCGTAGCGCTTGAAAACATCCGTCATACGCTTCAAGCTAATACAAGCCTGAACGAATAAATCAAAGCTCATACCCTGACGAACAGGATCCTTCGAGGTATGCATTTGTTTCCCCTTTGCCTCGAAAACACCGAATATAACCCCAATAAACTTCGGACTAAGCCTGTATCCGAATGCGACAAGCGCATTCTCGAATTCAGCCTTGCTGATGCGCCCGCTGCGGTCTTCGTCAAATCGATCAAATAGTTCCCGCCACGCAGCCAGATACCGCCACAGTGAAACGAATTCGTCGAAGTTGATTGTCCCACTGCCGTCTCGATCGAACATCCGGATCATCAATCGCACGGTGCGCGGGTGGAAGGAGGTATAGTCCCCGTTGACCAGGGCGGAGCCCAGTTCGTTCTCGGTCAGAGTACCGGAGTGGGAGAAGTTGGCTGCGCGGAAAAGTGGGAAGAGTTGTTGCGGGTCATTGCTGGGGGCTGTTAAGGGTGGAGGGGCGGGAGATTGGGGCGGGCGCGATGAAGGCGCTGGCCGATTGCGGTGCGCGGGTGGTGGTCCGAAGCCGTAGTTTTGGGGTGGTGGGGAGGGGTGGAGAGGGTGTGGGCGACTTTGGCTTTGGCTGTAGCTTTGGCTGTGACTCTGACTGTGGCTGTGGCTGTGGGTTTGGCTTGGGAGGGGGTGTGTGGATGGGGATCGGCCGCTGTAGGAGTGGTGTGTTTGGGGGTCGAGACGTGGAGGCGCGGCGACGTAGGCGTTCTGTGGCGGTGCGCTGGATACAGGGACGCGAGGGGGAACACCACTTGGTCCTGTTGGTGGTGGACGTGAGGGTAGAGGCTTTTGAGCGATGCTTTGACTGTGTGCGGAGGAGTGGTTGGAGTGGCTTTGGGAGCCTCCTACACTCAATGAACCGATCATCTGGGCGACCTGAACTGGTTAGCAAGAGAGAAATAGAGCGCGACTCGGGTTTAAGTACTTGTTCTGGCTCCGCGTGCCTGTTTCTGTGTTAGCAAGGACAGGCTTCCACGTATCTGCGGAGACTTACGCTGGCAGCGCATCCGGGTTGTATGATTTGTTGTACGCCATTGTCGTGGATAGTAGACTGAGACAGACGCGATAGCCTCCAGGCAGATATGTGAAAGAGACAAAGCGACGGAGAAAAGGAGGTGGGAATTGCAGATTGCCCCAGCGGAGCCGTGGGGCACTGCTTTACTTAGCGCGCCAAGTGATATAATCTGAAGACTACTTTCGTACTTTGTACTTGGCTCTGTATGCAGTTCCAAGAAGAAATAACTGAAATTGTACTTAAGTATATAAACGATGGTACCTGATCTATTTCAATCTTGATTTCGGACCATGCTAAGCCATGCCTTTACAGATCAGCCCTACCGCGGGGAATATAAGCGCCTACTATAAATACATTGGGGGCCGTTGCTCGTATTCGTATCAGGCTTCTTTTTTCTGAGGCTGAATCAAGTGGGTCAATCCTTTACTAATTAATTTGTGCGGGATTCAAAAACAGTATGCGAAAAGCCCTTGAAGTAGGGGAGAATTGCCTTGGATTAAAAATGCCTGGATAAAATGGGTATCTCACGAGAGAACGCTGTCGATGAACGCCGGGAAGAATGCTTTTCTCGCGCAAGAAATCACTTTTGATACCGCGTTGTTCCAACGGTCAAACTAAACTCCCTGGTAAACACCACGAGCGATGATGGAAACCTCAGGGGCCTCCTCCTCCAGCACAGCAATGATCTCGGTCCAGACCTTCTCCTGGAGATCCTCGGCATTGGGGCCCGTAGTCAAAGCACCGGATTCACTGCACGGTTAGTAAACATACAATTTGAAGACTGAGGGGCTGTGTCTTACTCGAGGTATGTATCGCTGTGCCAGCACCTTCCCTGAGACTCCACGCCCTGAACCGTAGCACTGACCAACGAACGACTTCCTTCCTCGGCAGTCCGGGCAAATAACTTGGAGAACACCCATCGAACGCACCTCTCGTACCACTGGTTGTACTGACGACCCAAACTCGAGATGCAAAAGCCAGGGCTGACAGTGTTGACAATGAGGGGATGAGAGCCATCTTCGTTGCGTGAGAGTCCGGCGATTTTCTTAACCACAAACTCAAGCAACAGCTTTGAAATTCCGTACTGCTTGGCACCTTTGAAATTCACAGAATGGTTGAGAAACGGCAACAGGAGGTCATCAGTTTGCAGAGTGTGAGCTTTGACCCGGACAAATTTCTGGCTGGTGACGACGCTGAGGTGAGCGGGATCGGTGGCTGTGGCGCTCTTCCGGAGCTTGGGGATCAAGAGTAGAGCCAGCATGGAGGTGGACAGTGTATTGACCTGAAGGGTCTCCTCCCAGCCCTCGGGGGATTGATGGTATGCAGAGTTCCAGATACCGGCGTTGAGGATGACAATGTCGAGGCGGTTGAGCTCATTGTTCACCCGATCAACGAAACTCTTGACGCTGCGGAAAGAGCTCATTTCAAGCTCCCAAATCTTCACGGCGTTGGGTCGACCGGTGGCCCTCTCGAGTCTCATCTTGACTGCCTTGCCTCGTTCGACACTGCGGGCTCCAATGATGAGTTTCTCGGCGCCCAGATCCAAGATCTTGAGAGCAGCCTCGAACCCTACACCTGAGGTGGCGCCAGTCAAGAGCACCACTTTGCCGTCGAATGAGATGTCTTGGGGGTCATTGGGTGGGCTGCACTTCAGAGTGAACAGTTGAAAGAGGCCAGCCATGGTGAAAAGACCACTGGAATCCTCCAGCCCTTCAGCGTTCCAATGTTGGAAGAAGGAAGTGAAGGGACTCGGGAGTTGAGAAAGTCAGGTACAAAGCCCTGGAGAGGCCTTGACGATAAGCGATATCGATAGCGATAAAGATCGATAAGATGAAAAACCGATAAGCCCACATTTGGAAGGAGGGGTTACTTCATCTCCATTGTCCACACTTTGTAGTAGTCTGGACAAGTACTTAAGTGAATGTGTACCGAGGTACTTTGCTGAGGTGCTGAAGGCCATACTCAACCCATATTCTGATCTGTCATGACTGTAGCGACTGCAGTGACTGTATCTGCCAGGCGTTGTATCTGTTGGCATGGTCTAGTAGAAGCAGACATCATGAACCATGACAGATTTCACAACTTTCCCAACTAGAATTCAGGCTATTCGCCGTCCAGAATTTGTGTTTGTCCCATAAGTCCAAATTCCAAGAAAGTGTAGAAGTAGTAAATGCATCATGTCCCACACAAATGGCGGAATGGCAAACAAACACTGCAAACAACCGCGACCGCACTTTTATTTCCTTTCATAGTACACAATTGGAAGATCTATACTCCGTAAATCTCCTAGCGCTTCTAGAGTTCAGCTTCGAAAACAGTCAACTTGATTTTCCCTTCGTTGATCTGGATTTGTACCCGAGCAACTCTCGGGCATCGCGGGGCAATTATTAATCCACAATCCTTATTGCATATTGACCTACCCATCCCAATCTCCTCATTGAACATATTCAATATGGCAGCCGCACAAGGCCATCTTGTTCATCCAGAGGGTCGAACATGGAAGACTCATTTTCCTAAAGGGGATCTTTGGGTGTTTGGTTATGGGTATGTTGAGGCTTGACTCATAGATCTGCCATAAACCAGTGCTAATTTCAATACAGGAGCTTGATTTGGAAGCCACCCCCACACTTTGGTACGTAGTACCACTTACTGTCTCGGAGATCATATATCTTGGGCTGTACGGACGAGCCGGTGAAAATTGACCCGAATCACGCAGACCAACGGGTGCCAGGCTATGTCAGTGGCTATGTACGACGATTCTGGCAGGTATGTTGAAACAAGCGAGATCCCAAATTCTACATGAAACGACACTAATTCATCCTACAGGCGAGGTATGCAAGCTGATCAAAACTTCACCCCAGCCATACTTAAGTACTAACATACAATCAAGTTCTGACCACCGAGGCACCCACGAAAAGCCCGGCCGAGTAGTCACCGTCATTGAAAGAAGTTTCTGGGAAACCCTAGACGACCCCGTAAGTGAACCTATACTCACCACAGCCCAAAGCTAACAATGCACAGCACGCACAAGCAGAATCCGATTCTGCATCCACCGGCAAAGTCTGGGGAGCAGCATATCATATCCCAGCATCGCACGCAGAAGAAGTGCACGATTACCTCGACGAGCGTGAAATCAACGGCTACACAGCTCATTACACGCCGTTCCATGCAACTGTTGATATTGATGGAGACCAAACGCCCATCATTTGCATGGTCTACATCGGTCAGCCTTCTAACTCGCAGTTCCTGCGTGAGCCGGAATCTCGGGATCCGCAGCAGGTTGCCCAGGTTATTGCTTCCAGTCAGGGGGCTAGTGGCAAGAATACGGAGTATTTGTTTGGGTTGGAGAAGGCGCTTGAGGGGATTGGACTTGGGACTGCGGATGTGCATGTTACGGATTTGGTGAAGAGGGTTAAGGCTATTGAGACTGAGGGTCTTGGAGAGGCTGAGGAGAAGGAAGCGGAGCTTTATGTGACGAAGTCTTTGGAGGGTGCGGCTAAGGATCCTGCTCATGCCAATGGTCGTGCATCGATTGAGTGAGGTATTGAGTTTCAAGGTGGCTGCAAGTACATGCATTGCTCTGCTGTCCAGCTCGATTTGGCGGTTTGTTTCATTTCACATACTAGATTTGAAAATAGATCTCGGCCTTGAAATGGGACGATGAAGATATGCTTATAGTTTCTCAGGGTTCTAAATGGGCACTGGTGTGGCTGGTTTCAGAGCCTGATTAACTTGAGACCAGCCCCTGGTTTTCTGCAGTCTTTTTGTGCAATGGGCTCTGTTGTGAAACATCAAACTGGTGGAAATTATATAAAACCACACTTAGATCATTCTGTGAAACAAAAGCAAAAATAACACCAAAATAACTTTGTAGACGGGCAACCACACGAATGCTCAAATTGGCATTTCAGAACCCAAAATCAGCTACGAAAACCCATATACCCTTCGCAGCTTGTCGAGGATGAAAGAAACACAAGGACCTTGCAAAATCGGAAATAGTACCCGACATCCCCATTCGCATCCTCGCCGTAGTCTGTCGTCACTTCTTTTTGGAAGTATGATGGTACACGCATCGTCGTGAAAGGAGGAGCTAAAAGAGGTCGGATCTTTAGTGGGGGTGATGTCCGTCCTGAGGGGCTTGCTCGTTGTTGTTGCCACGCCAGCCTCCCGGTGTCAGTGGATACACTATTGGGTGAATGGGACATTCGGCTCACCTCCACCACCACCATATCCGGTGTTGGGACCACCGCCTGTTTCAAAGTAAGTATACTCCCGCGATTTCAATGCCGTCAAAATCCACCCAACATACCATAGCCACCACCTCCATAACCCCCCGCGCCGTAGCCGGTGGGACCACTGGGAGCATTGCTGTACCCGCGATTGTACCCACCGTATCCACCTCCGTTGTACCCGGAAGCGTTGTAGTTACCTCCTCCGTGGCCACCATTGCCCTGGTAGCCGGAGGGGGGTTGCGAATTGTACCCGCCCCGGCCCTGGAAGCCACCATCGGAACGTTGGGGGCGGTCAAACGCCTTGTCAACACGGATCACCCGTCCGTCGAATCTGAAACATGCATGAGATGGTTGCGCTCGATTTTAGATGCAAGGTTCTGGCCAAATCTTACTCCTGGTTGTTCATGGCTTCCATTGCGGCATCTGCTTCGGCATCTGAAGCAAAGCGAACAAAGCCAAACCCACGGCTACGCAACGTGGCACGATCTTTCACCACAATCTGCGAAGGTGGACTTTAGCGCAAGCCGCAACATTTTTGGTGGGTAAAATCAAACTGACGGCTTCCTGGATCTCACCGAATTGCTCGAATCCCTGGCGCAGGGCATCATCGTTGGTGTGCCAAGAAAGACCGCTAAACGAGGTCGCGATAATCGTTAGCCTTGGCTTCAGAAAGCACAACCATTTTTCGGATCAAGTACGGAGTACACACTGTACAAATAGCTTAGACATCCTGTCGAGGTTCTGACACGAGCTGAACAGAAGATCGAACCAACGCGGCTCGAGGAAGGGAATGGGAGATGGAGGAGGAGGTGATACACGAAAGAAGGGAAGAATAAAAATCAGAATTCGTCCGGGCTGTAAAAGGACAGGGAGACCCTAGTGGTTGCGAGGCGAGTCAGCAGTCCCGTGTAACAATCACACTGCGTTAGGGCTTCCACGTCGCTGGGGAAATTCCACTGGCCAGATACCAACGACCTGCCCACAACGCGCAATATACTGCTTACTGTGTCAGTGTCTAGGAGCTTGGCCCCATAAAGCGCAGACCAAAGAGTACGAAGTGGGGAAGCTGCAGAGCGATAAACCCAAGGCCCCGGGGCTGAACCTTGAATTGTTCTAAGAGCGGGTCGTGTCGGGCTTTCAGCAATCACAATGCGTCCGACGTTCCGTTTGAAGGATTGGCGGCACTAGTAACGGCTGATGTTGCCCCTCATTTGATATTTTAACCCTGTTGATGCTCCGTTTAAAAGGCTGAATTATTGGGACTCTCGAAATGCGGACACATGCAGAGCCATTGCGAGCTGAGCGGGTCTGTGGACGTAGATTTCGTACCTCGCAGTATGCACTATTGGTCGCACGCGTGCTTATGCAATGGTTGTGCTCCCTATTTGGTCGGGAACAGATTGCCCAAGGCGAGGGTCTGGCCATGAGATGTACTGCACTGGCCTAGACCAGCTTGTGTGCGTGCATCTGGGGAGGGGAGGTGCCCATAGGCCCACACGGCTTGGGCCGTGTCCACCGGAGAGGTTCCGATGGATCGCCACATGGATCTATACAATGCCATTGAGACACTGACATACGCGACTGAGAATGTCATCAGTATCAAGGACCAGTTGATCAGTACTTCGTACAGAAGACTGCGATCGTCTCTAAGCTCTGTTTTGGTACCCGCTCAAGGCAAAAACAAGTCACCAGAATTGTGTCTTGCGCAATATCGCAGTTGAGCCAAACGCCCAAGAGCCTCGATGGCGTCAAAGAGAAGAAAGATGAGAAGATGAGAATAGAAAGGGATGAGATGAGGAGAGAGAGAAGAGAGAGCCGAAAGTGACCTGATCGCGCCTGCTTTGGCGGTGACCTCATGCCAACCTCCCCGACTCCAACTCGACTCTCACGATCAATCGCAACTAATGCTGAGACAAAATGGAGGATCAAGATGGAACGATTCAGAAATGGCTATCCTCTGTGCAGAACGGACCACAGAGTGTGCGAGGTATATCGCTGTGGCCTCCTAGTGGATTATACCATGCTGACGAGACACAGAGGTCAATGGCGACCAAGATGCAGGTCGGAGAACAGGCACAAAAATACCAGACATACCACTGGAAGTGTCAGAGAGGAGGCGAAGCTATACATCCAAAAAGAGAGACGGCCACTTTGACGAAACCAGTGCGTCACCAGCCAATGCTAGCCGCAAGAAGCCTCGCCAGAACTTCGAGTTGAAGCCCAGACACAAGACTCGAGAAGATCGCTACAATTACAAGCCCAACTCGGTTGAGGCCAAGTCACACGCCAAAAAGGTCAAGCCCAGAGCCAGAAGACAGACGATGAACGATGATTTCCATGCGATGAATGTAACCGAGAACAGACTAACAGTACGCAGAGCCTCCACGCTTGTGTTCGTGATACTAACTGGGGCTAGATGCGCAGAATCGTCAACCTGGGGATTTTTAGCAAGGGCAAGGCCTCTTCCAACTGCTCCCGCGAGGACCCGCAGGTCTCTTGCACCGTGCCTCTCCCAAATAGCTCCCACAAACGGAAGTCTGGGTCTGATCTCGCCTTCTCTGAGATGAATTTCTTTCCAAAACCACGGTCGCAAAGAAGAACATCAGGACACAACCCTGGGCCTGCTCTCGCGGAGAACACTTTGTTCAACCACAGTGGAAACCAGCAGGCTCTCCCCAACCCATCCGAGATTGGAATACCCTTCACTTGTTTACCCCCCATCGTGATGGAGCGAGAGATATCCAGCTCACCTCCACCTTCATTGCATCTCTTTAAAGATCTTCCACGTCGAAGATCACCGAAGGAAGATGTACTCGAAGGTATTCCCATCAATCATCCCGAGATTGGATCAATAACACCTCCACCAAGAGGCCCTGCTTGCAAGTTGCAGCAGACACCCAAAGTTGATATCCTGGGCAAGATGGGCCGACGGAAACGGACTTCCTCTCCACGAACCCCAAACAAATCGCCGACCACCCCTCTGGAGCCTCCGAAGAAGAGAGGCAAAACATCGAAGAGTTCATCCTCCATTCCATACTCATGGAGCGACAGTGCACAACGGAGCATAGACAGTGATCGTGCTCTTGAAGAACATTTACTCACCATGATGCATGTTGGGCTGAATTCCAAAGAGATCTCTAGTGGAACTACACTTCCCTACTTGCCAGGAAAATCTTGGACCCTACCAGAGTTGAGGACACTGCTGGAGGAGAGGATGGGGCTCTGGTCGAATGAGCTAAGCAACACGGACAAAGAAGAGCAGGGACCACCCAAAATAGACTTGGTTCAGGAGGTTTCAGATCCGGCTATTCAATCACTGATGTCGGGTTCCTCTGAGCGAGGCCGTTCAGGTCGGTTCAACGTTGGTGGCATACGTGATAAGGTATTTGGCAAACGCTCCAGCCAGAAGGCGACCACTGAGGCCGATTGCGATGTGCGCGGTGGTCTCTTCCAGGGGAATGCAGTTGCGTGCACGAGTCAAAATACCGGACACGCCGTGGATACACAGGATAAGTACGAACTTCTGGCACAACGCGAATATAATGTGGAGAATGTGCCCGCGGAGGACCCCGACTGTGAGAATCCATTTACTTCTCACGATGAAGAGCCTCCCACTTCAGTGTTTTTGAACAAGGCCCCGCTTGCACGTACCTGTGATATCGATTTGCATGGCCTCAGCCGAGTTGAGGACGATAATTTATTCTATCAAACCCTGGATGCAGCTTTTGACACAATCATGGCCCCGGGGATTCCAGAAAAAGTCGCTTCAGACCTACAAGAGCACTTATCGGAAGCCATGTCGCCCTACGGTATTGGGGGACCATTGGATCAAGCTGGGGTTTCTCGGAAAAGTCCAACGCCGAGCTGCCACGACACTGGCCCGGAGTTTGAAGACGAGCATACAGTCAGCTTCACATCGGCTATCGAGCACAGCAAACCGGAGATATCTGAGGCAGGCCAATCTGAGCCTCATCCAACTACCATTGATGATGGATTCCACGATTCAAGCAATAAGATGCCGTGGTTTATTGACAAACAGTCCAAATCGCACCCTTCATCAGCGAGCGATACTGACCAGAGACAGACCTCGGTGCTATCTGGGTTTTGGCGGAAGAACAGACTTTATTGAGTGGACATTCGAACAAGCGAAAAGGAAAAAAAAAAAACAAGATTTGGCCCATTATGTACATTACACGAGTTGGTACAACATAGCACTAACTAATTAATTTTACTATATGTAGTACTCACTGTACATGTTATTGTTTCCGAATTAACCTTGGGCGACCTGCAGTTGTACTATATTTCCCGTAAAGTCGACATCGATAGGATATGATTAATTCAGTGGGTATAGAGCAATCCTAGATAACAGGGAAATCAAACGCATTTTGACTGGGTCCAATCTTTGTTTCTATTCAAGATATGGACATGCCTCGTCTAGCAAGTCACCATGGAACACCCTGCACCAGACATAGATCCCATTCTCTACCCAACAGCCCACAGTCAAGTGGTGCATAGAGCCAAGTAAAGATGTCAAGGGCGTGATTCCAAGTCCGCAAAAAATAAGCCGGGGGGTATTAAAGGACCGGACATTGTATGGAGAGCCATCGTATGGCAAGTAAGCGCGAAGATCAAGATTTCCGAAAAGCGCAAAGTGTATGTTTTTGATCCCGTAGATCATAAAGTCGCAGCCGCCTCAACCACGCCCGCAGCCTTGAATGCACCCGGGTTCTGGATCACAACTTCAACCGGGTACTTCCACTGCATGAACCGTGACCAGCCTGTAAAAATAGCCATTAGAAATGATTCCACGGCATACTCCGATTGCTATACTCACTCCAGTACGCGCACCGGCGGCCCATGAGTTTCCCGATGAAGGGAACAAGGACCATGCTGAGGAGCAGTTCCAGCTGCTGGATGCTTTCACGCCATTCTTCTTCTGCGTCGGAGGAGTATTCCGATAATGTGTCGAGGTCGGATTCCGTGGTTGATTCCGATGGGAGGGAGGCGACCTCGTCGTCGGACTCGTAGGAGTTCTGTGAGGGGACCATGTATGCGGACATGGAGAATGAGGGATTTGAGCTTTCGGGTGTGCTGGACATGATGAGGGGAGTTACAGCCCAGGAGCGAAGTGAGCTGCCTTGCTGTTGTTCGACTTGCCCTCGTCTCAGGCGGTGGGTCAACAATGATGAGGTAATCGTGGATTGGGGTCACGTGGTTTGCCGATAACGGCGATAAGAGAATGCCAAGCACAGCTCTCTACGGAGTACTCCGCGTAGAGGAACAAGATGTTTAGATCTCAATGGCACAGCTCAAGGTTTCATATCCCCTGAGACACTATCATGCGAGGGAGAAAAAAGAATAGAAAGCTTCGCTTGAAGAAGAAATAACACAAGCAGGGGCTGAATTGATCAATATATTTCACAAATTGGTATAACAAGGACATGCTCCAGGGCTTCACTGCCGAGATTGGCTCTCATGCGATGGATAAATTTACAACAAAAAAGGCATTCAAAACGTATGTAATGACTGGGACTTAGATATGATCGGAGACATATCGAGCTTAACCGCTGGCTGTGCTGATCTTCATCTGAGCAGCAAAGGCGTTCAGGTTTCGGGTTTGCAGGTACACTGTCCCCGGGCCTTTGAACTTGCAGGCAAGACCCTCACCGGAACTGAAACTTGACATGAGTCCACCTGAGGCAGGGCGAGTCATTTCGTAATCACAATTCCAGGCAACGAGGTGACCATTGTCGACAATATAAACCTCATCCTTGATAAGCTATAAAAGCCACACGTTAGTCGGGTTTGGGTGTATTTTGAGTGTGGGGGAGCTTACATCTTTCTTGATGATAGCACCGAAGCTCTGCATCCACAGCAGCCCTGTACCAGTGATGTGATAGACGAAGAAACCTTCACCGGAGAAGAAACCCTTGCTCAGACTTTGAGCTTTGTATTCGTGGTGCACACCGCTGGTATGCGCTAAGAATGCATCACGACCGATCTTCCAGTTGTCCCCATCGTTGACACGGTGAACAATGACATCTCCGAGCACAGATGGTGCAAGCAACAGCTCGCCTGGGCCGGTGTAGTGGGACATACTCATGCTCCCTCCTGCGATAAACTTCTTCAGAGATATAGACATAGCTCCTCGGAGAGTGATTGTGGGGGACATTGCAATCATTGCGCCTGAAGAACCATGGTGAGAATCTGGCTTGACTGCCATTGGCAGGGATGGAGAAAAATTTCCTACCTGGTCTGACTGTCAACGGACATCCCATTGCCAACTGGATCGTTAAAAGTGAGTTTGTATCCCGGTGACTGATTCGATAACTGCCTCCATTGAATGTCCCAATATCGTCTTGGGTGGACGAATGCGCTCCCATGAATTCTCCAAATGCCGGCGCACCACCTGGTATCTTCTCCATTCTTGCTGCCGAGGCAGGTGACTGGGAGGATGCCAACTGTTTCCCAATTGCTGCATTATGTTGGTATGCTTCTTCGTTGTATTGTTTAATGGCATTGTGGTCAAGGACTGGGGGGCTTGCCGAGGTTGGAGGAGCAGCAAATTGTGGACCAGAATAGCTGGGTTGACAAAATTGTGAATTTGTTGGGGGCGGGTTTGACGGAGGGGGAGGCAGTGCATTTCCTCCATTGGCAGGTGGTGTTCCCTTTGAAGGTGGCGGGAAGGCATAGTTTGTAGCTGGGGCTCCTGGAGATTGTCGCGACTCTGGCCTTGGAAATGCTATTGGGCTTGTTAGTCTCCAATGCAGATCCCCAAGTGAAGTGGCATCACTTTACATGTTACATGTGCCGGTGCTGTCTCGCTTTATTAGCAACTCTCAACTATTGTCTGCGCGATGGAGTCTCTAGTCTTACCGGACATAGGAGGCATCCACTGCTGGTTTTGAGCCATTGTCTCGAGTCAAATTTAGCTCTCTAATCACCTTCTCGTGTGTCAACTCGCTAGGTTTGAAGTAATTAAGTAACGCGATTCAGCGAATTGGTGTCTGTCAGACTCACAGCTCTCCGATGGATGCGGGGTAGCCAAGGTGGGCTGTGAGACCGTGTGGAGGGTAAGCAGTGAACCCTCAAAAAGTTTCAGACTATTCGAGAAAGTGTCTGTGAAATTATGTAGAAAATACAGTATTGAGAGAGGTTTTCAGGGAGGGGAGTAATCTTGCGGCGGGTCATTCTTTTAAGAGAACAGCTTGAGGTCTACACTAATAGCTCTCGGTCTAAAATTAGACCTAAACAGGCCTAGGAAGTCATTGCCCGTGTGATAATCGTCGCAGAGACTTAGTTGACCACCCGCGAGTCACACTTCACTACTGCATGTTCATCCCCGCCGGGCGCTTAGGATGCTTTATTGCACGATGTGATAGGCCGGCCCCACAGACCAAAACACCCCTCTGTCGATCTCTATTGGCCGTTTCAATGAATGCCATGGAAAGGCTAAGAGAGGAAAGAGAAATTTCTGTGCACTTTGCCGAATGAATTCTTGTGGATGAGGCACGGCTACGGATTGTTGTGCAATAGTCCCCAAAATAATGAAGAAACATGCAGCATATAGGGAAAAGTAGGGCAACAGTACTCTATACCCATTATAGGAGAAGTAAGTGTGAGATGAATTATCATGCTGTATTCCACGGTTGTATTGAATTCATCATGGTCAGTCAAATTTAAGAGAATTGCTCCAGCACAGCTTCGATATGCAAGCAGTGGGCTTGCAAGTCGTGTATCAAATCCAAATCCCTAGAGCTCATATTATCCTGGTCTTGTAGCCTTTCCACAAGAGCTTGATGTCCCTCCCCGACCAGATCCAATGCTGTCATGCCTTCACTATCATGCATGTGCACATCAGCTCCGTTTCCCACCAAAAGGTCCACGATTTCAGACTTAGCCTTCGCTGCTGCAGACATGAGCGCAGTGTGGCCGTCGCTATCGCGGGCATTAATGTTTGCCCCTTTTTCGATGAGGAATTTCAACATGTCAATCTGCTCTTCTGATGCAGCAAACAGTAACGGGGTCTCGTGGCATTCAATTGGATCGATAGGCGCGCCGTGGCGTAAAAGAACGTCCACGAGTTTTATTTCACCGGATCTACTGGCCCACCACATCGGGGTCAGACCCCTGCTGTCGAAAGCATGAGGGGAAGCACCATATTGCAGAAGGAGCTCGATCATATCGACGTTTCCAACTTCAACGGCTGCAATCAGGGGTCTCGGTGCGCGTGGTCTGTCGGCGCCATGAACAATTGCACCATAATCAAGCAACAACTGAGCACCACTTAAGTCGCTGATTGCAATAGACTGAATCAATGCCGAGTGGTTGAATGCGTCAACTGAATCAATGTCTAGGTCGTGCCGAATGAGAAGCTCCATCGCCCAGCCAACTCGATACTTGGCGCTAGTGGTGAAAGCAACTTGTGGTATACTCGGATTCTCTTCACTCAATTCGATCATTCTCAGCAATAGGAAGTAAAGCAATGCATAATGAGAGTTGCGGATGGTCCAATCAAAGCAGATCTCGTCGCCATCCTCAATTGACAAACCCCCTTCACGATCATGATCGATCGTGAGCCAGTGCTTGAGCACTCGGGTGGTAGTTTTGAGATCATCTGTTTCGAGAGTGGGGTTGTCGCTGTTTTGGAGTGTTTCCTGTACACCCATCGACTCGAGGTTGTCTTTAATTGTCCTCATGCCCGGATCATCCTTCGAAATCTCCCACGCTACCCAGCCAAGCTGAGCGCGGAAGCTAAGCCAAAAGTCAATCCAGGATTGTGACTTTGTCCAACTGGACGGCGTTGAAAACTTGCGCGTCTGGAAGAAATCGTCTCGCGTGTCTGACTTAAGCAGTCTGTATATCTGTTCGGCCCCTTTGATACGAACAGCTGGACTGTTACTTAACATTGTGTGCCGACACAGGAATCCAAGCTCGTAGACAGATCTCTGGTAGTCCCATGGCTCTTCTGGGCGTCCACAGATCCATCGAATCAAGTCAAATCCGTCCTCCCATTTTCCCTGTTTTACCAGAGTTTGGATACGAGTCTTGACCATTGGAGAATCAGCGGCGACCGGGGGTAGAAGCGATCGTTTCTTCAGCGCTGGAACAATGCACAAGAGTCCATCTTCCCTTGTCCCAAGGTCTGACTCTTCAAATGCGGAAACCAACTCATTGATGCGAGTGTTGTGGCACAAGAATGAAGCTTGGATACCGGGAACAACATCAACGTCCCCACCAAGCTCTTTCATACTGGCCATAGCTTCGTTGAGGAAGTGTACAAAGATATTCTGAGCTACCAGACATTCAAGTGGACTTGATGTTCTCATAGTCAAGACCGTCTTCTCGGACAAATTGTCTTCGGGCTCAGGCATGAACAGTCGTTGCGTGTAATGAATCGCATCAGGGCTAACCAGTCTTGCCTCAGTTTGTCGAAAGATCCACTTATGGAAATAGAAGTATGTCTGCTCAAGACTTGCCTCATTCCCGTCCAATCCAATGAGGCGACAAAACGTAGTGTCAGGTTCTCTCCAATGCTCATTAGACTTAACGAGCGACCATACCCATAAGCCCAGCACAGCCTCGAGCTCATTGGCATCTACCTTCCACCTCAGAACGTCGCCAGATCGCATGAGACCAATCGAATATGTCCCAGGTGGCTCAGGTATGCTTGTTGAATCGACTTCCGCACAAGCAAAACCAAGTCGAAACTCGAACGTCGTCCCAAAATCAACACCCCAATCACTCAACAGGTCCATTGTAGACTCAATCACCTTAGCGAGCTTTCTAGAAACCTGACGAATAGGCATATCATCCCAATTAACATTCATACTCTGATTCGAGTTCGAAGTCAACCTCGCCAATTGTACTCTCGTTTGAATAAGTTGTTTTGCCAAGGGATTCCCAAGAGGCGCGAGACAAGGCGATGAAATATTCGCTGATCTATCAGGAAGCGGAACAAGATCGAAAGAGTCCACATTCAACAGATGAAAAGCAAAACAATCCAACTCCTGTTTCTTGTCAGATGTGAGATCTCGATCATCCCGCATTTTGTTTTCACCTGGTGCCATTCTTTCGGTCCGCAGACACGTCCGTATAACAGCCATTAGAAACGTCGATCCGAGCTGAGCTAGGATGACAGAGGCGTGGAGACCTCTCAGGCCAACGAACTGGAGAATGAATCCTAGGAGTGTTGATGCGAGTGTGGAGTAGATTTCTGTGTACTTTCTGTCGAACCTGTGGTCTCTGACGGACTTGATGTATTCGTCGGGGTTTTCTTTAACGGCAAGGAATGTGTTGAAGGCTTGATCGCCCACGTCTTGGTTGCCTGGTTGTAACCAGTATATCTTGCTTGCCTTTTTGGGTTTCAGGTAGAACTCTTTGGACGAGCGTTCCATTATGAAGGCGCAGAAGAACATTCCGATGAATAAGAGGGTTGTGCCGATGAAATAGAATGGAAAGGCATATGAGGCAACTGCTTTGTCATCTTTCTTGAAATGCTGTGGAAACACAAATACTGTGAGGGCAGCGTAGATGATGGTTCCTGGTAGATCTCAATCAGCACTGTTATTCAGGTCTCGTTGAAAGTATACTGACCACTCTGGAGCACACCTCCAAGCACTGCAGCACAATAAAACCAACCCTGACCCCGCCGTTTGATCCCTTTATTCAATGACAAATTTGGAATATCCAATTCCGGCAGTTCACTCGGCGCAGTCTTGCCCCTACAAGACCAAACACCTTCCTCAAGAGCCTCATTCATGGTACCAATTCTTGTCGAAACCTCACCATTCTTCTCATCCTGCCAACAAACAATCTCCACAATCTTCGGCCGGCCAAGGACTCGCGCAACACCGCCATCATTGAAGAGCTCAGCAGTCGACTCCGACACACAAGGCAATAATTCCATTTCAGCCTCGGCCGGACCCTCCTGCGCGCGCCCAACAAAGGCTCTGAGTGACGAACTCCCGCAAATCCGAATAACAGAAACAACAGCCGTCAACACGCCCAGTGGCGAGAGAGCAAAAATGACATTATCGAGTGCGCTGATCGACTCGGACAGGAATTGTTTCGTCAGTCGTTCGCCGAATAATGTAATTAATGGTGCCTTTAGGCAATCATTAGCAGAAGCCTGTCTTCAATTCTTGAGACGTACCAAGTCCGTGGCAAGGTTATTCGTAAAATCATCCCAGTCATCATCGGCCTTCACAAAAGAAACAAACAATAATACAAACACAGCGCAACGCATCATCAATCGATATATTCATTAACTTCGTAACCCTGCAATCCCTCCAGACGCGCAACCGCGCTCTCTTAAGACCCCAATCCCAGGGTCCATACCCATAGCAAAGCCACATTGTCGCGAAACGCCCATATCGCGAGAATAGAAGCAACTAATAATACCTGTTCACAATCTATAGATGTACTAAACAACTGCCCCAGTTTCTGAAACTCACTAACTCACCTAGTGCGAGTGTAAGCGCTGAGCAAAAGCGAAGTAGCCAAGTACAGGGCCTGTAACTGCGCTAGTAGCGGCCCGCATTGCGCTATAGCACGGACTGCGGGTCTAGATGAGGTTCCAGTGCAGCGCGTATATCGAGATCGATACGGGAGTGGCTGCTTAATATAGATATGTTATTTGTGTTATGCGGGGGAGTATGTCAGTGGCGTTGGCTGTAGTGTTTGAAGATATTGGCGTTCGATGTACGGGGTACGGAGTACACATGCAAAGATACGGATGCGTTGTCTTGCGTCTTGAGTCTTGCATCTTGCATCTTGCGCATGACGTGGAGAGATGATAGTCTACGGAAATGGCGGTTATGCCTCGGTGGGTCTCTTACCATATTCGTATGCTGTGGGAAATCCTGATTTCATGTAAGATCTTTGGATTTGACACACGGCCAAGCTATGTACGCATGCTCGTTATCGAGGTATTAGTGATTGAGTCTGGTTAGGCGCTGCCATTGAGAGTCAATCCGTTTGAAGCATAATGACAAGCCACCAACGCCGTATCAATGATAGTGAATAGAGGGACGCAGGAAGAAACCAGCAACGCTAGACGATTAAAAGATGCTGTTGACAAGGTTGGAACCCATGGTGGCACCGGCACCGAAGATTGCTATGGCCAGTTAGATACCATCAGAGCGCAAGGCAGACACATAAAACATACCGGCATTTCCAAGTTTCTTTCCGAACTTCTTGCCGCCTTCCTCCAGCTTGTTCTGCTTGGGGTCTTCGGGGTTTGCCGGGTTCGCGGGGGGCTGTCCACTCTGGCTGACAGCGAGGGGCATGTTGCCATAGTTCGTTGGAGGGGGCACATGCACTGGCGCAGCCTTGGCCGAATCCTCAGTGACAAAGCTCGAAGGGAAGATACCTTCCTGTCCGGTATTTGTGTTGCGGCCTCGCCACCCTGTTTATCGCTGATTAGCCTGGGTTCCATTCGATTGACCAGATCAACCATACAATCCTTGTTCAGCTCCTGGGTGATTTGAATCCGATGCTGGGGCTCAAAGCCTAGATCACCTTCATCGGCAGGACTGTATGTGTATTGGGCCGTTGCCATACGGACTGGTGGTGTTTGAGCGTAAGCGGGCGGAGCCTGCGGGACGGGGCTCGTGTATTGACTGCGCGGCGCGGCTTTCTCGTTCATCGACATGTGGGACATCTGCGATGCCGGGGGAGTATATGAGGGCGCATATGGGGCTGGAGGTTGAGTTTGGGCTGGCACGGGGTCCACAGGCTCCTGGGCCAGCTGTCGGGAAGCCGGTGCTGCTCGCTCCGCCTCGGTGGCATGTGTGTCGACGATGGCCTTGAGCGGGGGGAGGATCGAGTTCATCTGCGCGGGCGTAATCAAGCCGACCGAGTCGAGAAATTCCAGTTCCTGAAGGGTTAGTTGGCCCTTGGCGTGCATTCAGGAACGACATACTGTCTGGATGGCGCGGAGCGACCGGGTGCGCATGGCAAGCTCCAACTTGCTAGGGGTTGCCATGGTGGGCAGTTTCGTGGTATATTGCTAGAGAAAGAGATTGAGAACAGTCGGACTCAGGAGATGTAGGTGGAGTGGAAGAATCAGGAGAGAAAGGAAGTTGTTATTATGCAGCCTAAGGCCAAGATCCGGGCCAACCCCAAACGATATCAGTCTCAGCTATAAATTGCGACCTTTTTACCATTTCCTCAACTATGAAGTGAATGTTCTTTACATTCATGTTTTCCATATTTTCTGGGATCACCTTTTGAAGATGCATTGGATTCAATGGCCAGGATGCCAAGGCCTAGGCTGATTTTGGAATCCTCCGGGAATAATCCGACTCGGTATGTTCAGTCTCTTTTCCGAGGTAATTTGATTCGAGAAAAGGGTGTATACCAATTAGATCCAAGATAATATTCATGTCCGAGGTTAGTAAAGTCCGGGATTTGACGGGGTCCTAGGGCTTATCTGCTCAACGGGCCTCAAGTATTTAACTCATTTAAGATGCCAATCCGGAATTCTACGTTTGTTCCAGATATCCGAACCCACGGGACAAGACATTGAAGTATACAATTCATCATTACGCAATACACTTGGGCTTTATTACCATAACTACATAGTACCCGTATTGCTACAAGTTGGATCAATTGCTAAGGGCGTGGGGGCCACGAGCCCGAGGGATTGGATATCCTTCGAACCTCCCTGGTCAATAAGACCCCAACTTAACTACTTTCCAAGGTTGTATCCCGTAATTAGCGCCAAACATCGAATAGACAAAGCTCATAACAAATAACAAATAACAAATAACAAATAGCCGTATCAAACATGACCGTTGAGATGCATGCGTTCCCCGGATCGGGGTGGCTGCATTAGGACTTCGGGAGTCATTCACGATATACATACTTACATACTTTTATTCGAGGATACGAGTATCATCGATAAATGTTTAGATTACAAATGTTACAATTGTAAGAATAGTACGTAGATAAAGAAAACACAAAGATACAGGGAACTATGGAGTACTAAGGATCTAACCGAAGGGTCCTAATTTCCCGTTGCACCGTTTAATTGGCACCGTCGTATTTTGCTGTCACTGTCGATCCGTAGTTTGCATTCGAGACCGGTCTTCATTTGCTTTTTTTTCTTTCTTTTTTCTGTTCTTTTTTTTTCTCTCTCGATTTCCTGTTTTCTTTAACAGTCTTATACAGTGATGATGACTCTCTGACACCAAACGCCACTCTCCCGCATAATCTTGCTATCAGTGGCGTTGATATCAGTGGGACTTCGGCTTTTGGATATAGCCCCGGCTGCTGCTCTGTCTCAGCTCGCCAGAAATTTCCCACCATGGCCAATCCACCAATTCAGCTGTCTCTCCAGACTGACCAAAGTACCGCCAGTCTAACACCACCAGTGACTCCCACAGCCAAGGAAAACCGTCCAAACCCATTCCAGACAAAACCCAAGGAAAAGGACCAGCCATGCACAACCTACTTCACCGACGACCTCGAAATCTGCCGTGACTCCAATGACCGCCAAATCGAGTTCGGCAGAGGAGTCTGGAGCACAGTATACAAAGCCCGCTCAACACCCTCCCAGCCATTCCTAGGAACACCACCCAGCTCCCCGGTAACTGCCGCACAAGTTCTCGCCGTAAAAGCACCATTGCGCCGAGACGCACGCCCAGTCCTCAAAGCCGAGGCTGCAACACTCACTCGCCTCACCCACATCAATGGCCATGAGCTGCACATCGTCCCATACCACGGTTTCCACACAGAACTATGCGCCCTCGTTCTATCAGCCATCCCTCTGTCCCTGGCAACATACACAGAAGACCAAGCTGAACTTGCGCGCAAACGAACAGGGTTGAAAACAATGTTCGAGCCCGTCCAAGGGACAGAGGCCTTCAAAGAACTCGCGAAAAAGTTGATCACAGGCCTAAACTGGCTGCACGACACAGCAGGCGTTGTCCATGGCGATATCAAGCCGCAGAATATTCTCCTGCGCGAATCTCACGGGCCATTCCCGTTCGAGCCGCTATTCATTGATTTCAGCGCCACTGTCGAAATCACCAGCGATGACGAACCACTCGATACGACGCGCGCGTCTATGTCCTCGTTCACCCCGCCTTTCACGGCACCGGAGATGCTTGCTTCGCTGATGTGTAGTGAGATGGCGCCGACTGCTGCGTCGGATGTGTTTTCGCTTGCGGCGACGCTGTTGGCTGTTGCGACGGGGGATTTGTTGTTGTATTCGAATATGAATCATCGGCTTAGGCTTGAGATGGCCAGGGCTGGGCATCAGATTATTGATTTCACGCGCGGGGGAATGAGTGGGTGTAGGGTGCCGAAGAATGGGTTTGTTGAGAGGATTGTTAAGCCTGCTGTTGTTAAGGATCCGAAGATGAGGATTGCGACGGCGGATTGGGTCAAGCTTTTGTCTGAGGTTTGAGGTTTTGTTTTTGTTTTTGCGCTGGTTATACCCTGTAAGATGGAGTTTGGGGACTGTATGATATCAGTGATATGGTAGGATATGGGAATATTCATAGATTTGCATAATCAATATACACCTAATACAAAGAGCTGTCAGTTATTCATTTGGTACTTAAATATAGTCGTGTCTGTGTGTATCATTCCAACAGACATCCACTTATCACCGAAGCCATCAAGTCCAACCATAACCTATTCCAAACCCTCAACAAACCGCCTCAAATCATCAACCCACAATTCAAAATTAGCCTGCAACCTAGCCCCATACATCATCCTCACCATAAAAACAACCCACCCAACCTGCGCCTCCCAATTCCTCACCTCCGTCCCACCCTCAACATCCACAACCTCATGCACCCGCTCAGCAGTCAAAAGCGACGGCGCCATCGTCCCCTTCGCCTCAAAATCACCAGTCCAAACAATCCTTCCAACAGACCCTGTCTCCGAATCCGGCGCACTGCACTCAGTAATGAGCATATGGACATCTGTTGCAGGGGGCTTGTCGGAAGTGGAAGTTGGGTCCATGCAGACGTGGAAGGTGAATTTTGTTCCTTTTTGAAGAATTGGAGAGAGGGACTCGGTGTTGGGTTGGGAGCGTATTGTCACGCGTGGAACGAAGGAGTTCCAGGTTGGCCAGGTTGAGGTGTCTGTTAATGCGGACCAGACTTTTGGGGAGGGGGCTTTTATGGAGGTTGAGCTGCCGATGTGGAGGGAGGCTTTTTCGAGGGGGATGTTGGGGGTTGCGCGGGTGGCATTTTGGGGGTCTGGGAGGGTTGTCATGTTGGGTTTTGGGTGGAATGGTTTGAATTGAGGTGGAAGTGTTGGAAGGAAATTGTCTTCAGGAGCTGTCAGTTGCGTAGACTCGGAGGTTGTTTGCGTCCGAGCCGACTGTGCGATAAGATGATAAGATAGGAGATTGGCGATAAGATATGCCTTATCGGCATCGAGTACCTACCTAGGTAAACTCCCGAGGTCTACATCGTCTCAATGTTGAGATGTCAAGACTTTTCTTTAAGCTTGAAGATTCGGACAGACAGACAGATAGTCTGACCTCAAAGCAATATCATCACTAGTCGACATGTAATTTCTACCAAGTCACGAGTTGGTTTTCATCATGTCAATTCGAGTACTCGAAGTCATCAACAACAGTCCATCACAGAATGCGGAATGGGCAAATGAGAGACAAGTCTATCGATAGACTGAAGCCCGATCGTACTCTCCTCCATGCTGGAGATGACATCCGCAGTGGGAAAAACAGAAATAGGAGATAACAGCAGGAAATTATGTACAATGATCCTCTCATCTTCAAAAGCCATCGCCGAACGCCCAAACCGAACCCACAACAACAGTGCGGCAAAGGAACGACACTGGAAATCAAATCCAGAAAGCCTTGAAAGAAGCGCAAAACAGATCATCAAAAGGGAGACAACTATGTAAGGGCATCTATCTAAAAGGTCAAACCTAGCTAATACAAGACAGCAGGGCTCCTTGCCATGTCATAATCAGAACGGAGCTCGATCAAATGTCAAAGCAACTTGGCACCGTCAGTTAGTGCTTGTAAGTTCCGGATTTCCAATTTGGGTTCCGCAGCTTGGTATGGTAAGACTGCTTGCCGCGATCAGACTGCTTTCTTCCTCGCTTCATGCGCTCGCGCCGATCGCGTCTCTTCGTGGCCGAGTTTACCTGTTCAAGACTTGTCGTTGAAGCTGTTGCAGCGGACAGTTCAGTTTCAGGCGGAAGGAGGTTCTTTCTCGCTTTGGCTCGCCGACGATGCAACTGATCGTGGATCTTCTGACGCCGCTGGGAAAGAGAAAGTTTCAAAGAGAGCCGAGCAACAAGGGACGTCTTTCTTTCTGGAGCTGGAGCCGGTTTCTCAGGCTCAATCTCGATTTTGACTTCAAGCTCTGACTTTGATTCCAACACCGGAGCAGGAGGGGGCGATGGTTTCGGACTCAAATCCGATCGCAGGATACGAAACCGCGTGTGGAGCTTGCGACGGCGACGGGAGAGTACTCCCTTTGAGACGATGGATGTCTTGGAGGTCTTTGAGGTATCCGGCATGGAGACGGTAGGCTCAGGCTTGTCTTTGGTTGTGACAGTAGGGGTCACGCTCCGAGTTCTTTTCCGGTTGATGCGCCTCACTCGCAATCTGTATGCTTGAATGATGGCTGTGGTGGCTGGAGGCTGTCTGAGAGCCGAGTTTGAGCCCTTTCGTCGACGAAGTGACAATACAGAGCGGTGATGGCTGGAACGCGCGCTGAATGACCTTACAAACCGCATCTTGGGTAGGAGGAAAGATGTGGGAAAAGAATGTATAGTTTTGCCAGAAGGTACTTGATGAGAAGAGACTGTGGAAATGAAGGACTGATGAGATAGTGGATTACGAGAGAAGGGAAAAGGAGAATGGGAAGCAGAAGGACTTGTTGACATAAGTGAGTTGCGAGGAAAGAAGGAAGGAAGATGAACATGGAAGGAGCGAGGGCATCCGATGATACATCAATTGATGGAGTGAAAAACATCTTCCTATAGTCTAGATCCTCTCATCCCTGTGAATTCGCATTAGGGTCTATACTTCAGTTGATAGCTTGATGGCTCTAGGAGTTGACGCCCAGATGATCATCTCGACCCGTTGGGTACAACAGCCATCACCATACACTTTCCATAGCCCTTGACTCCAATCTTCGAGAAAATACTAACAACATGTCAATGTAGATTATTGGAGTCGTGTACCCGCAGCAGTCGGCAACCCCCGCACGGCTTATCTCCGAGTAGATGAGACTTCCTCGGCGAGAATATTGACACTCCCACCAACTGCCATGACGAAAGTGAAGAAGCCCCGAGGCATTCGTCATGATCGCGACTGCAACCGCTGCAAAGGCCGGAGCATCAAATGCGACCTCAACCGTCCCCGATGTCAATCCTGTCTCCAACGCGGAGAGACCTGCATGTACCCACAAAGAGTTGTATGGGTTGACGACAAGACTTCCAAGTCTTCAAAGTCACCAGAACCAAAGAATGCTTCTCCAAGCACAACTAACGACGAAGGAGCAACCGCTGAGCCCAACCCGAAACCAACCTCAGTCAACCTATATGGCTTCATCGATCTCCTGGGCGCCTTCTACCAGAAACTTCGCACCAGCAGTGGATACATACCTGAAGAAGGAGTCCAGCTGATCTCACGCACTCTGAACTTTGCACGCTCGCGCATCGAAGACGCAGACAACAAACAATCTATCCAGTCGCATCTCGTCGCGCTCACGAATCTCAGCCAAGTCATCGAGTCCGCGCACCCGATTGCACTATTTGGAATAGCCACTTTCGCCATGTTTGAGGTGTGTTGCGGATCATTCGGCAACTGGCATTGCCATCTACAAGGTGCGCGCTCGCTATTGGATCTTCACTGTCAAGATAAGCGTGCGTTCGATGATCTCTGTTGCGAGATCTCTGGACTAGCAGAGGTTCTTGCCTACCTTGTTTGGTTTGATGTGACGGGGGCTCTTGTCCGAGACAGTCCGTTGATCTTTGATGATTGGCATCGCGAGATACTTAATGCCGAGTTCTTCGGTTCTGTGGGATGTCCAGCTGACACATTTGAGCTTTTTGTATACCTTGCGAAACATCGCGATGGCTGCGATATCGGTGTCATTGATTTAAGTTCCCGGGCTATGGCTCAGGTTTTACATCTTGATGCTGGCTCGAGCGACTGCAGTCTCGCTGCTACAGTGTACAGAGGTGCTGGGGCTATCCTGGCATTTGGACGGGCGGGTGGACTCAACGAATTGGTCCCTCAATCATCGAGCTATCATCGTGGTGTATTATGTTCAATGGTGGATCGGGTCTGTGATGTGATAGCGAAGATACCGTCCACATCTAGGTTCTACGTGCACCTGGCTACCCCCGCATATTTGACAGCCATGTATGGATCGACAGCGAACCAATACGAGATTATCCGAAGATACTGGCGAAACTGCCAGTCATGTGAGTTTCCTCGTTATCCCGATGCAGAGGTACAGTGCGAGGAGATTTGGAGAACATCGAGAGGGGTTCATTAGATAGCCTTCCTCTTTGGGTAAGGTGTCACATTGTTTATCTTCGGTGCAAATGTATCTATATAACAGCCATGGGGGTATAATAAGTTGCAAATCCCCATCATTTGGATATTTATCTCTCAAATTCAATCATGACTATCACTGTAACAACCCCTTCATACTTGGACCGTTGCACTCAAAAGCGGGATGACCAATATGCTCTGATTCCCTCCGAATGGCGCATAGATCCGATCCCATCGATTGAATCCGAGCCAAATGCCCTTCCTATTATTCGAAACATCCTCAGTCAACAAGAGTTATCTCTCACCGAAGAAACGGATATAGGTATCCTGCTTCGAAAACTTTCATCCGGACAACTCTCATCTCTAGAACTCACGCGAGCATTTGCCAAACGGGCAGCTCTCGCCCACCAACTGACAACATGCTGCACGGAAATATTCTTCAAGGAAGCCTTCACCTCAGCCCAAGAACTAGATAATCATCTAGCCACAACAGGCAAGACGGTCGGGCCTCTGCACGGCCTACCCGTATCTATCAAAGATCTCTTCTCCGTGAAAGGAGTAGACACGTCAATTGGTAACCTTCCCTCCAGCAATCCGATATTTTTCAATACCGACAAAAATCTAAACTGACTTTGAAACCACCAGGCTGGGTCGGTCTCACCAACAACCCCGAGACAGCAGACAAATCCGTCGCCCGAACACTGCGTCGCCTCGGCGCAGTCCTCTACGTGAAAACCAATCTACCGCAATCGATGATGATGTCGGACTCGTACAACCATGTCTTCGGACAATGTGTGAACCCCTTCAATCGGGCGTTGATTTCAGGCGGCAGCTCCGGCGGAGAGGGGACACTTGTCGCTGCTCGTGGGAGTGTACTTGGAATCGGGACCGATTTGGGTGGTTCGATTCGGATTCCCGCTGCGCTTTGTGGACTTTATGGACTATCGCCTAGTCCAGGGAGACATCCCTATGAGCGAGGAAAGTAAGTAACTGAAACTCTTTCTTTTTCTGTTTATTTCTTTGCTTTTCCCGAACACAGGTGATTGAACGACCGATGGCTAACGTTCACGCCTTAGTCCTGGACAGGATATTGTTCGCTCGGTTGCTGGTCCGATGGCTTGCACTCTCGAGACGATCGAACGTTATATGGAGGCTTTGCCAGAAGCAAGGCCATGGGAGGTTGATCAGCATGTTGCGCCCGTGCCGTGGAGACAGAGTCTAGCGTCGCCAGTAGCAAAACGCTTGAAAATCGGGTTCGTTGTTGACGACGGCGCAGTGAAGGTGCAGCCACCTATTGCTAGGGCCATGAAGGAGGTCATTGAAGCGCTAAAGGAAGCAGGGCATGAGGGTAGGTATTCCATGCCATGGACGAAAGAATGAAAATTATACTGATTGCTATACTGCAGTATTTGAATGGGATGCATCTTCGCACAGTCATGGCTACGACCTCTGGGCAAAGGCTATTTTCTCCGACGGGGGCGAAGGTTGTCGCAAGAAGATCGAGTTGACAGGAGAGCCGCTTGTTGAAGGCATGCTGGTGGGAAAGCCGGAGAATACTTTGACGACCAGTGAGACACATCAGGTACGGAAGCAAGGTTTACATCCACATTCAGAAGCTGACAACTTCAGTTAAATGCGGACAAGTACAAGTTTGAGTCCATGTATCTTGACCAATGGCTGTCCTCGGGCGTCGACGCCCTGATCATGCCGAGTACTCCATGGGTGGGGTACAAGCCGTGGACGTGGGTCAAGTCCAATGCTTATGTGGGCTACACTAGCATCTGGAACCTCTTGGGATATGCGGCGTTGGCGATGCCGATTACTACAAGTTCGCGAGAAAAGGATATTCCAGACCAGGAGTGGTTGGATCATGTCCCGCGGAATGCGGGTGATGAGTTCAATAAGCAGCAGTGTATGAAACCCCCTTTACACGGAGAAGGGAAAAAAATGCTAACATTGAGATAGACGACATCGATTTGGTAGAGGGTATGCCGGTTGGAATACAGGTTGTCGGGGGGCGATATGGGGAGGAAAAGTGCGTCGCCGTGGCCAAAGCTATTAACCAGGCCATGCAGAAGAGGGTTGATTTCTAGCCAAGCATCCAAGTTAAATACTCGCCACAGCAACGGGAATTCCGAGTCATGAATCAAACACCGGTGAATTAGTGAAGCTAGGATTGATTTTAGTTGAAATTCTTTTCGGCCGGTGACTGCTAGTGGGATCCGATGTCAATTCTATTTGTTTCTCCTGTTCGCACGCTAGTTTCAACTCTAACCTTGGGCCGTAATCCGAAGGTATAAAGCTACCTTAGTTAGACGCATTGTTGATCCGCCATGGTCATTGTTTCGCCGTAAGACAGGGTATCTAGTTTTTCTACGAGTACTCGTACTCCGTACTAAGTGCCTAGTACTTCAACTGAATAAACATCGAGATTGGATATTCTAGAGACCATGGAATTTTGAAGCACATTGATCTTTTATTCTTCTCAACAAAAAGAGGGATTTTGCTCGATTTGGTGTCTTCCCCCACTGGGATACGGGTGTGGTGCAAAGGTACGATGCAAAGCTTCATATCCACATTTTAGACATCGTTGAGAGGCGATCTACCGAGGAACTGATTTTTTGATATCAAACTTTGTGTAGCATTGCTTCGGACAATAATTTTGAAAATTTTAAAAGTCCGCGACACCCAGCGAAGCACTCAAACTAAAGGAACTCAACGTGTAATTCGTAATTGAAGATGAATCTGAAATCACAAATACTCATTAGCCGAATGGAACGAGAACACGGAAGCCCACCCGTATCCGGATCCGCATCCGCCCATGTTTTCTTCGGTTCTTAAAAAGTGAGCTAACTGAAAAAGGCAAAGGTTTAGAGAATCAAATTACTAAATGTACGAGTACTCGTAGGTTTAGGCTAAATCGAGACATTGGAAAGATGAAACAACAGCTAAACTTTACCGATTGGAAATCATTTTACCTAAAGCTCCTACTCCGTTCTCCGTACCCCATGCTCCATATCTCAACTGTAGTCAGCACGACTCATATAATCCGTACTGTCTTTGAGCCCGAGTCGGCACGGGACGGGGGCAGACCCGTACCCACTCTACTGTCATATTAGGCAAATCCGTCAGCAGGGTACGAATCCTAGTTGTTAGTGTACGGGGTAACACAGTAAGACATGGCTTGCGGATTTCCGCGGAGAAACTTAGAGACGCATTGAGAAGCAAAAGGTACAGCAATATACTACGAGTAGATACATAGACTGTATAGACCCTATTCCATGCTTATCGACTCATCAACGTAGCAGTTTGGTTCAGGTCCACATAGGCGAGGGCCGTGCTCGGGGAACCAACTGCCCTCCACAGTGTATGGAGCACCTATACTAATAGGGGCATGGAAATCGTTGCTTGTTCACCAATTCAATGCTCACGCGACCATTATACTCTTGTGGGTTTCAGAGTCAGAAAAGAGTTCCCGCGGCGTCAGCTTAATTATGCTCTGATTCGTGTTCGTGCCCTCGGTACGAGTACTTGTGCTCTATGTAGGCTGTGCTCAAAGTTGACCCACTCGGGACCCATAGTTAAAGGTTGTCCTAATTAAGCAAAGAAGATTTAGCGACTGGTCCCGACGGGGTCCCGACAAGGGGGGAAGATGCATGTCCACCCTTTTGTGGGTTTCATAGAGGATACAGGGCTTCTTGAATTCTAGTCCTAATTCGTCTTGTTCCCGTGTAAGCTCTAAGGTGATGCTTTTCATGTGCAAGGACCCACCACTCAAGCGTCGCACGAAGGGGATGCCACTGGCGATTGATTGCATCGGATATACTGCGGCTGGCGGCCTTCAATCTGCACAGCCTTTGCCTATTCTGCATGCCGCCGGTGTTTAACCGAAGTCTTGGAGGCCGGCTTCCATGCAGGGCGAGCGCCATCAATGGAAGGATTTATGCTCTGATGATGCTATTGAGTTAAGGTTTGATGCCTCACGATGTCTAATTTCAAGGTTTTGATGGAATGTAAAGTACTTAAGTAAGAGTATCCAGCATCTTCATCGGACCCGGTGTGGAATTGAGTTCACCTATGCGAAACCAATGCATGGAAATAGGCAACTATCACTCGGTGGGTCGATAGTATTTTCTCAAAGCCCATTTCTACATGCGGAGGGTCACCGAGACCTAGACTGCGATGGGTATCTCGTGTGATCGAGAGACATTTAAAGGTCAGCTCATGCCAGTCCCATGTCATGTTCGCTTTCACTACCCACTGTATCCGACCGTCCCCATTGACAACCTTATTTGAGGCTATTCTCTTCTTGAATCATTGCTCTTGACTTTGTCCTTTTGTGATTGGATTAATCAATTGAATTGACAAATGCCAAGTCAATTCTCCATGTCGCAGTCGGGTGGAGATGATCGGCATGCCGTGGGGTCGCGATTGCCGACTAACGACATCGAATTTGCCGAACTACTTCGTTCTATACACCCCTCTCACTCCGTTGATAAGGAGCCTCGGTGTCAAAATGGACTATATACATCGACCTCGGCCACACTTCCTCCGAAACCGAAAAATTGGAGCGCTGAATATTACTCCCTGAACCTCCCCAGCACCGACATCACAGACCAAATGATGAGTTGCTCAAATGACGAATCGCACCAAAAAAGCGACTGGGCAGACCTTCGGGGGGCTCATTTTGATGAAACCATTGAGGCATGGGAGTCCATGAATGGATTTCAGGTAAGACTCACTTGATTATGTCGAATCCATACACGTATCATCACTTACACGAAACATGTAGGATCTGTCCGCTTTTATTCTGTCTGATACACAGCTGCACACAGATGACCAAAAATCATCAAACGTGGATTGCTCTGCCGATTCAGTTTTCGATCAATTGCCCTTCACACCATCCCCGAGCTTGCAGTCTAAAGAAGAAGATTTGAACTGGACAGAATACATCTGCATCCCGCACGAAAAGCCAGAATCATCAAAGGCTCAACTTCCGATGGAGCTCCAAAGCGACCTGAGTCCACCAGCATCTTGCTTGGGCAGCCCGTCAATTCCATCAGCGCCAAATTCACACACACCAGCCAGCACAGATTCAACACCCATAAGCTCCTCAACAACTGCAACGCCAATCACGACCAAGATACCCACAACCCAAAGGCGACAAAAACTGCATCCCATCGCGACAGCCCCCTTGCGACCCAGATTCAACCCCATTTTACCTAATCCCAGCCAAGACAATGGTAGGTCCCATCTCACAATATCTGCTGCAGGGACAAGATTCTAAACTTATTTCTAGCCACACCACAAACACCCACCCAAGATTCAAATTCAAAAGCCCCGCAAAATAAACAATCGAGCCGGGTAACCAAACGCTCAAACATGACCGACGAAGAAGCCCTGCGTAAAAGACGAAACTACCAAAGAATCGCTGAGCAATCCCGCAGACTTCGACTGAACTCAGCACTGAAGGATTTGGAGGCTCTTCTTCCTTCAGAGCTTGTTCAGGAGAAACAACAGATAGCAAGTCCGGATCTTGAGCCCGTAACCAAGGCGGAAAAAAAGAAAAAGACCCCCTCGGCGGAACAGACGAAGGCTTGCGTGATGGAGCTTGCTGTTGAGTATATCAAGATGTTGCGCACAACTCTGAACGAGAAAAATGTGCGGATGACGGAGCTGGGGGCTGCTTGTCCCAGTATTTTATTGTAGATACTATCTAACGAAATAGGAATATAGATGGCCAGGTGCTTCTATTGAGGTTTCATATCAGTATTTACACGTTGGAAATTACATTTGAGTGAAAACGTGGAATGTGAAAGATCTTTTCATAGGCAGACTACAGCATTACACAGTGGCCCAGCTTCATTTATCAATATGACTCTACTTGAGCTTGGCCCTGAGGGCAATCTACTTCTAAGTTGTTTACACACAGTAATTCAAGATTGAAAATTATATCTAGAAATTATGAATTCTTGATGATAGAATTATACTGTATGGAAATGAATATCCAAGGGAGGTTTCAAAAGAACATTCAAGAGAGTATTCAAGAGAATATTCAAGAGAAAGAGAAACAACCGGCACATCTGAAAATCAAAAAAAACCTCACTGAGTGCACAGAGAATATCAAAAACAGACAGCTCTAACTATTCTCTGGGGTTCGCCCCAACCACCGGTGTATGTAGGTCTCCCTCTCTACCTCTCTCCTTTCTTCCTCACTCTCACTCTGCACGCTAGAGAATCGATTCATTCCTTCCGCCTTTCTTCCTTCACCTGCAGGCTCACCACTAACTCCTGACCGAACCCCGAAGTAGTTTCACGACATCATGGTCCTCTGGCAGACTCTTTTCTGCGCGGAGAAGGGGTGTCATGCCATCTTGATCTCGAGAGTTGGGATCTGCTCCTTTCGAAAGAAGGATTTCAACAGCTTCGCCCAAACCTTTTGGGGGCCACTTGTCTGCAAACTCTTTCATGTACTCGTCGTGATGCCCCCACAGCTTTTGAGGGTTATATCCCACTGCATATGAAAGCGGAGTGCGTCCAACGCTATCCTTGTCATCCAAAGAGGCATCCCTCGCAAGCAGCAGTTGAATTAACACCAAATGTGATAGCTCGGCTGCGTAAGAAAGAGGAGTCCTGTTTACAACGTCCCTGCTGTTTGGATTTGCGCCACTCTCAAGCAGGAGCTGAACAATGTTCTCGTATTCACCCGGTCTGAGCATGGACATGACAGCGTGATGCAATGCGGTACGGTCGTTGTGATCCTGGCTTTCGAGGTCCGCCTGAGGGCCGTTTGTATCAAGTAGAACCTTAGCAATCTCCAGGCGAGATTCGTAACGATAGTCAAGATCGTTAGCGACTGTTTGAACAAGGCAACTTTGCCCATCCTTGTTCTTGATGTTTTGATCCACTCCATGTTGAGACAACAGCCTTGCAGTCTCTATCCCGCACCTCATAGTTGTGTGTTCGGATATACACTTGTGAAGAAGACCCTTTCCATCACGCTGGAAGTTGACATCAACACCCTTCAATTCAAGTAGAATTTTGAGAGCTGCATCATCTCCATTGCGTGTATTTCGTTCAGGATCGAAAGATAAAAGTACGTGAAGGGCATTCTCAGCACATGAAATTTTCCACTTCGCAGTAATGCCATCTCTCTCGAATAGACGTGTGATTATGTGCTCACTGCCACCCTGAGCCGCGCAGCAGAACAGAGAACAATAGTATGATTCATCATAATTGTCACTGACATCAAACAGAAGATCAAAAATTGCATCCTGTTCATGCAAGGCGGCCATACCCAAAGGGTCCTCTTGTATTGGTCCTCCGGGTCTTGTAATAACACCTCGCTCAACGAGGCACCTGACAAGTATTTCATTTTTGCTTTCTACTGCAAGACAAAGAGGAGTAGGGTTTTCTTTATCTTTCTGTTGTTCAGCATCGTACATTCCACGGTTTATGTCGGCCCCCGATCGAATAAGAAGCTGCGCGGTCTCACTATTACCACCATAAATAGCGGCAGACAAAGGCGTCAAGTAAATAAACGTTTGATCAATCGGGTAGGCTCCACAATCGAGTAAGAGCTCGGCAACTGCCCGAGAATTATAACATGCGGCAACCCATAACGGAGTCATGTTCCTCGGTTCACGAACTATAATGGCGTCACTTTCCGGGATCCCTTTCAGGTCCAGTTCCCGCCCGGTATTACAGAGATCGTCTGTATCATCTTCCAAAATGGCTTTCATGGCCTCAACAAGATCAAGACAAGCAGCAAGAAAGATACACTGTCTATCTTCTGGCAAAAACCGAGAAGCGAAACCTGCTAGAATTTTTGGCGTGAATGTAAGCCCGGGTGGTGCATCAGAGACCTCCCGGACCTCCCATACACGAAGGAGCGTATGGAAACTCATTTGGCCTCTCAAGAGCCTCGAAACCAGACCTGGACCAAGCTATTGCTGGTGAATGTGATGTTGCAGATTGTTGGCGGTGTATTCAGTGAGAGGGTTGTCTCTAAATAGGACGTCGAATTGGTCATCAGTGGTCGCGTGCGATAAATCGCTGAACACGTCAAAGGAAAGGTAGCCAATGCAGCGAGTCGCTATTGTATGATGGGCATCCGGAAAAATTGTATCTTTAGTTCGATCAAAGAAGTCTTGCATCGTATAATGCACCAGTCTGACAACACCACTCTGGTCATCAACTGTAACAAGCCCCGCGCATACTGAGACCAAACTCTCAATATCAGGGATATTATCTTCGTCAAGAAAACATTGGTCGTCTTCGATAGCAAGGGCATGTTGCAATTCGATAGGGGTGAGAGGTCTTGTTGCGCAAGAAATCCAGCAAAGAACATCTTTTGCAGTCTCAACCTCGTCGTGGTATTGATTCTCGATGCGGCTCATTGCCTCGCCGTATGCAGCGTCTAAGCCCGTTGGCAGGGTCTGGAGTGCTTGTCGAATCAACTTGGGTGAGCGTTTTCCCCGCAAAGAGTCAAGGTGCAAACGAGCCAAGAGGAACCTGAAAAGTATTAGTATCCTGTATATAGAGACTATAACTGGGATGTGGTGGAAACATACATTCCATCGATGGACTTCGAGATTTGCGTTATGATTTCTTCCTGTAAGTCTGATCTTTTCTGGACAAATGCTGGGAGTACTCCGACTCGTCCAGCAAGAAACCTCTTGACATCATCTGGGCTGGCCCGAACTTTCAGAGTCGTGCAGCCTTCGAATAAAGCAGGAATACCCTGATCGTCTCGAGAAGTCGCAAATACACGCAAGTTGAAGTTTTCTTGGAGAGCCCTGAGCTCTGAAAGGAATGTTGTTCGGAGATTGTCTGGAAGGTGACATTCATCCAATGCGTCGATGACAATGAACACTTTTGAGAATGTGGAAAACATGGATTTGAGACAAGTCATAAAACCGCTCGTAGTGATACGTGCCCTGTTGTTGAACGAGTCCACTAGACATTGAGGAATGGATGATTGCTGCCGAACAAGCTGCTTGAGTAAAGAGCCAAGCATCTCATTTAGGGTTACCTTTTCTCTGAAGTTACAGAAGAAAAAGGCAAGAGCAACATCATCTGGTCGGAGGAGTTGTTGAAGATGGTTGATAACTATGGACGACAGAAAGGTCTTTCCCGCGCCAGGAATACCCGGGCAAAACAGAGTACGATGCTCCTCAGCAGTCTGTGGTTCAAGATTTCGATCAGCTAAACCATTGAGACTGAGCCAGTTCTTAAACTCGGCCGAAGCCAGAAGCCATTTTCCAGTGCCTTCTTGCACGCGACTGAAAAAATCAACCTGTTTGGCATCATGATCCAGGGATGAGAGCCACGCAAGACATTTTTCATGTTTTTCGGCATCTTGGTATTCAAGAAGCTGAGTGACTCCATGCTGAGTGGTGACTGCCATCTGCCTATTTATGGTTAGACAGTCTCGCAGAATGCGGAGGGGGCTGGGACTTGCTTTGTCACATGAGTCAAAAACAAATTGAACGAGTCAATGTTTGTAGAAAGGCGTTGTCGAAAATCAGAAATTTCTTTCTGATCCCAATTTAACCGTTTCCATACCCTATCGCCAACCTTCTTGATGCTTGGTTGCGCTGAGTTGTCGAGCGACTGGTGTTTGTTGATGATCGCGTGTAGCTCGCTGAGTATCTCTGTACAGCTCCTAGAGATCTCGTTCAATTGGTCTTTTTGGGTGTCTTTCAAGGTTTCATTCGGATCGTCATCCTCGATATCCCGGAGGACGTTCGATAGCAGCTTGACACTATGAAGGAAACTGTAAGCCCGGAAAGTGCAGGGGTGTTTGGGGATTCCAGGATGTGGTGCTTCACCCACTCGTCAGATATAGATTTAAATTGACTGGGTGCATCTTTGAATTGCTTTCGCACAGTATTGGCTAGCTTCAAAACAGCTAAAAAGTCACCGACGCCAAAACCAAAGCTCATTTTGGCTCTTTTTTATGATGTGAAGGAGATGAAAGTGACCAGCTGGGGCTGTGAAGCGGGGTCGATCTGCGTACGGCAGGATCTAGCGGCCCAATCTCACTTACCTATAAGTTCCACCACAAGAGAAAAGACAAGAGACAAGAAAAATAAAGGAGGGATAGAGAGAGATGAAAAAAGACTTGAAAAAAGATTAATATAAGATCGTTAAACTATACTATCTTTGAGGAGAGGAAAATATCTGCTGCATGTGGGAGATTAGAGAGTATCAGTAGTACACGGCCATACATGTCAAACAAGTGGAATGTGAAGTGATAACATCGTCGATGTTAGGATAATGATCCGGGAATCAGATACAATTGGTCATCGAGGTGAAATGAAGTGAAGCCGAGATTAACAGGCCAGCGGATCGTCTGATGATTTAAGTGAGATGAAAATGAAGTAATATTCTGACTGAGGTCTTTCGTCATCTCGTTAGGATGTTGGAGGTGCGCACGAATTTGAGAGTAGCAAAAGAAAGATAACAATGCGCCGTGTCGTGATAAAGATCCCTGGGCCCTGAAAAATTCTACATGGATACAGACTATGTGCTGACAGCTTGGAGATGGGATTCGGCGGACAAAGTAGAGCTGAACGAGCCATCGTTCTCTTCCACGCTACTCAGTGCACGTTTATTCGCTGTCCTACGGAGCAACTTGCGTCTGTTCTTTTGGAATACAGGAAAGTCATTTCGCGAGGGCAAATTTCTAGGCTTCTTGAAAACCATAGTTCATCCTTGTTGGTCATAGCCAATTCCGGAGGTCTCGGAATACTATGCCCAGAGTGGCGTCAAACATAATCTCGAAGCCGATTGAAGTTTAGGTTCGCGGGCCGACCCTGGTCGTTCTGGTCAACCCAAATATGCACCTGTATAGTTCGGGGAATGGTTGGTATATTGTTGACTGTGATTCGTCTGAACACACCACTCAATATCCACTCCTAGGGCTAGAGCCTGATCAGTGGCACCCCACCAACGCCAACAGAGCAGCTTAGCGTGACTGATTTTTAGGTAAGGCAAACATGTTCGTGAAAGCTGACCTCTACCGGGGAATTAGTAGTGACTTGATATTTTGACAAGGGAAACACCAAAAAAAAAAAAAAAAAACATGGGAACTGTATAGAGTTGTATGACAATCGCATTGCTCACAGGATCTCCGAGTATTTTGCAATATCTGATGCCCGACTCAGGAAAAAAGCATGTTCTTCAGCTCATGCATACAGATGCAGAGTGCCCAAATTATCACCTTTAATTACGTACTCGTAATTTGTATGGAGTATTTTGCATGTAGCGTGTACTCCACTTTAAGTTATTGCTGATTTGTGTCTCCTCTCCTGGCACAGGGTGATTTATTTAATTCTCTAGGTAGTCCTCCGATCTGAAATAGAATTTAATATCTGCAAAACTGCTGGGGGAGTCGCATAGGCTCCCTGGGGTATGAGAATGGGCTCATCATCCCTGTTGATCATACCTTGTCTGGTCGAATCCGTCCACGCGTTCACCACCTTCAACACCAATTGTACGCTCCCTCCTAGCTCAGCGACAGTCAGCTATGTTTCCTCACCGAACACCCGTGGTACCATGAGCATCGTTTGGTCCTGTCTTTTCACGGTCATCGCTTGCACTTGGACTGTTCAACACCCCGATCTTCCCCATCAACGATGGGAATACCCCAATACCAATGCAGGCTGATGGCGATGGAGTATCAAGAAATGGACAACTTTGTCAGCTTGGTTTTTGCTTACCATCATTGCACCCGAGGTTCTTTTAGCCAAGTATGTGGCAGAGCTCCAAACGGCCAACAACTTTTTGAAGAAGGTTCAAAAGTTTGCTAAAGACGATCGCGTTGAATGGACACGCACCCACTGTATGTTTGCAGTTATGGGAGGTTTCGTGATGAAAATTGGCGGCTCGCAATCGGAGAGACCAAACCAGGAAGCAAACAAGCCCGCTGACACGAAAGAATCTGGCGCCCTTGCAGACGCGGCGACAGAGAAGAGCCCTCCTGGTGATTCTGTTGATAATACTGTCAGCTCAAAACCACCAGAGCCAGAGCCACCATTTTCTCCATCCAATGGCGACAAGCAAGAAGCCCCAATAAATGAACAGGATCTAGAGTCTGGGGCTAGTTCTCCCGAATTGAAGATTCTCTACCCCGCTGATATCATGAGCCTTCGGAGAAGCGGTACACTGGAGAAGCTACCCGATATCAGTGCTGCATGCATAAACGACAAATACAAATCCGATAGATCCTACAAGGCGAATGCGGACGCAACGAATCGGTTCTGCTCAGGAGATAGAGAGAAGAAGGGAAAGAGTGAGAAGGGGAGCTATACAACACAAACTCTATAGCGGAGAATAGGGGTTTTTTAAGACCGTAATCATACAATCTTCCAACGGTTTTTGACCAAAAAACAGTTTCGACCAGGCTTGTCGCAATTGTACTGTATTTTGCAAACTACTGCCACACAGCTATGTTAGAACGAATACAGTTGTCACGTCAAAACATCGTCATATTAAAATGGTTGCTACATCAAAACAGTCGTCAGGTTAAAACGGTTGTTATGTCGGAACTATGTACTTCGATTTTCCAAACGATCCCAAAACGGTCTCAAAGCGGTTTGCTATATAAGCCGGTTTGCACCAAAAACCTGTATTCTTTGGACGATTGTTATAATACAGACCTTATCCCCAATACCGTTGTAAGACAAATATAAAACGATTCTTTTTTACAGTACAGTTTTATTACAGTCTTAAAAAAACCCTTATCTCCACTATAGCTGGGGTTGGGACGAACACCCCACAATAATTTCAGTTGATCTGATTCCCGAGGTATCAATATAGATTGCCTGTTTTGTTCATTCTGCACTGATTTTCCCAAGTTTTATACTTAAGTAATACTGATTCATGAAGTCTTTACAGTCAACATCATATCATTATCATATCATCATAACCATCCACCCATAACCATGTACCCTAAATAGGCGCATTCATCCTCTCCTTATAATCCGGAAATTCAAAATCGCCCAAATCCCACTCAATACTCGGATTCGAGCGACTCTCCCCACCCAGTCCCGCCATCTCCAAATCCACCGTATCAGACTGCATCCTCAATTCCCTAACGACCCTAATCCCATCCTGATCCCCTTCTTCCCGTGTATTCACCTTCGAAATACTAGCACTGTAACTAGTCGGGCCAGGCGTGAAGAGTTCATTATACCACACACCACCATCTGTATGTGAATGGTCATAGATGGATGATTTTCGGTCTGTGAGGTTTGTTGTTGCGGAGGGGGCGCGGGAGGCGGGTGATGAGTGCAGTGGTTGGGGGAGGAAGCAGTATGAGAAGATTCGGGAGAGGAGGGGGTGGAGTGGGGGGAGGCAGACGCAGATTATGGAGATGTTTGCTTCGAGGGAGGACCAGACTGCTGCTTGGGCGTTTGTTTCTTTTTGTTTTCGTGGTTAGATTCGGAATTTTGGAGATGGGGATGGGGGGACTCACTTGTGAAGTTATTTTCGTTCACGGTGCGGTTTAGAATGTAGAAGCGGACGGAGCTGGTTGCTATTACACTTTGGGATTTGTTAGTTGGTGTATGTGACTGGAGGAATATTGCTTACCAGACACCTAGACCGAAGACAGTGATGATACCGGCTTTGAGTCGTTTGGCAAGTTGCGTTTTCCATATTGTTGGCATGGGGAGAATGAGGATTATCACGTCTGTGGCGATGTGGATTCCTGCATTTAGGAGCCAGATTGGGCCTTGGGGGAGACAGTTGTTGTCGCCGTCTTTCCGGGTCCAGAAGTAATGAACTGGGATACAGAAGAAGAATCCGCTGAAGACCATCCAGAGTCCTGCGAGGACGAGGAATGCTATCATGGCGTAGCTGGCGCGGACGAGGAGACGAGAGCGGAAGAGGCGGGTGAAGAGCAATAGGGCTGAGATCTTGGCTAGGACTAGGGCGAGGTTGTAGAAGGGAATTGCTATCCAGAGATACTGTGAATGTGTGAGTATGAGTCGTGACTTGGTTGAGGTTTGCCTTACGTAGAGTTGGCCTTGGATTGTGTCTTGGGACAAGGATGTATCGTCGACGCCGAGGCCATAGTTGCGTTCTGGGACTTGTTAGTTCTTTGGGGTGTGGATTGAGGAAGTGAATATTTTGCTTACGGACAAGGACTAGGGCGTAGTATACCAGGTTGGCAGCCTGATTGAGATATTAGATCAGCTTGTCCTTTCATAATTGAAAGTTGAGTCTTGAGGGACCGGACTGAAGTTCCGAGGTCCTGGTACATACCAGTGCTGCTGTGATGAAGACATCGTCTAGCCCTGGCGACTTGACCAGATAGAACCGCGTGAACAGCCGGAGTCCGACTGTCAAAGTTGCCAGGACCACAAACACCGTTGTAATTGCCAGAACATGCATTCGATCAACGTGGGCATAAGGAGCGAAGAATGTGAAGAGTAGAAGTTACACTATGAATGTGATGAAGAGGATGTAGTGGATAGACTGGAATCCATTGGATTAAAGAAAGTAGTTGATATCCCACAGTGCCCATGTAATCCAATCGGCACCATGTGAGTAGATACTATAAACAGGCAGGAGACCATTTATATACGAAAAGGACGTTACAGATCCCAAAGCTGAAACAGAGATTGTCGAAAAAGTGAAGAGTTCAAGATCGAGAGATGTGGTTGGTGCAACCACCAGAAGAACGCCGGATTAGGAAACCGCGACGACCGATTGCGTCAAAGACATTCGCGGGAGCCTTGGGCCGGATGTGGTTGGATGTGTTTGATTGGTCAATTAGACCAGACTGGATCTTAAGGTTGAATCTTAATGTTCCGAGCCAACGGGGTTCATCCACACTTTCTTTACTGTGAAGACTTCAGGACCTAGACCTCCCCGGGGGGAAAAGACATCCCTGGCTGTGCGGATTCGCCAATTCTTGAATTTGGGCGCAATTAGACTCCGAGTGAACCGGAGATCATGATCGACTCGACATGGTTTACTTTGTCGGAGGCTTGTTTGGGTGCTTCTGGGCTCGGAGTGACCGATGCTGGCTCATGACTGGGGGGTGGAACTATCATTGCCTGGTTGAGAGGTTCACGAGTCAGGGACCTTCGATTTCTCTTCTTCCATTATGATGACTTCAGGAATTCATAGAGCATGGTTCATGGTGCGAAGAATGCCCATTGTTTTATGCTATTTCTGGTATCTTCATTCTTCCATACACCCATTCGGTTCGAGGTGTAGGAAAGAAAGACTACTTGTTCATGTCGTGTGGCGTCGGATACATTGCGAGATTCACCCCGTCATATGTCGTTTGAAATGAGTGTAAATTGCGTGTCTGACTAGACTTTCCTGTCCGGAGTAACCCCTCGAGGTCCCTGGTTCGTGAAGTGGCACAATCTCAAGATTAGGGCACTCGGAATTCCCGACGGGCGAGGACTCCCTTCTCCCCCGCAATGAGATACGAAACACCAATTGGCCAATCGGATAGTACATGATCGACAATGTACAAACTTTACACACCGAGAAAAGCCCTAGGTAGCACCGAAGTTGTACAGAACAGCAAATCAATTGCACTCAACTATACAAAACCCAGCCAAAACGCGGGATCAAAAGTTTTCGCAAGTCTAATAGCGGGAATATTTCATAAACAAAAAATCCATCAAATACATACCATTTACAGGCGGGCCTTGAGGTTGGCCTTCAGCCTGCGCTCAACAGCAGCCATGTACTCGGCAGTAGTAACCCAGGCCTCGCGGTCCTTGCGACCACAAGCAAGGGCAAGGTCCTTGGTCATGATGGCCTCCTCGTTGACGACGTCAACGCAGGCGCGCTCGAGCTCCTCGGCGAAAGAAACAACTTCGGGGGTGTTGTCGAGCTTACCGCGTTGGATGAGACCGCGGGTCCAGGCGAAGATGGAGGCGATGGGGTTGGTGGAGGTCTCGCGGCCCTTCTGGTGCTCGCGGTAGTGGCGGGTCACGGTGCCGTGAGCGGCTTCGGACTCGAAGGCCTCGCCGGTGGGGGTGGCCAGGGTGGAGGTCATGAGACCGAGGGAGCCGAAGCCCTGGGCGACGATGTCGGATTGGACGTCACCGTCGTAGTCTGGGTTGTTAGATTGGTGGTTATATGGGGTGGTGGGGAAAACTCACTCTTCAGGGCCATGACGAAGCCACCCTCAGACTTGATCATCTGGGCAACCATGTCGTCAATGAGACGGTGCTCGTACCAGATACCCTTGGCCTCGAAGTCCTTCTTGTAGTCCTTCTGGAAGATCTCCTCGAAGATGTCCTTGAAGCGACCATCGTACTTCTTGAGAATGGTGTTCTTGGTGCTCATGTACAGGGGGAGACCCTTCATGATGGCCATCTGGAAGGAGGAGTGGGCGAAGCCAGCAATGGACTCATCAGTGTTGTACTGGCACTGGGTGACACCGCCACCCTGGAAGTCGTAGACCTGGACGCGCTCGGGCTCACCACCGGCAGGGGTGAAGACCAGCTCGAGCTTACCGGGGCCGCTGATGACACGGTCCTGGGCACGGTACTGGTCACCGAAGGCGTGACGGCCAATGACGATAGGCTTGGTCCAGCCAGGCACCAGACGGGGAATGCGGGGGATGACAATGGGCTCACGGAAGACGGTACCGCCACTGGATAGGTTAGCGAGGATTCAAGCCACTCGGGTCAATTGAACTCACAGGATGTTACGGATGGTTCCGTTGGGGGAGAGCCACACTACGGGTGGTTAGCGGTTACACAGAATGGACAGGTCGATAAGCTTACTCTTCTTCAGCTTGAACTCCTCCACACGGGCCTCATCGGGGGTGATGGTGGCACACTTGACACCGACACCGTACTTCTTGATAGCCTCGGCAGCATCAACGGTGACCTGGTCATCGGTCTGGTCACGGTACTCAATACCGAGATCGTAGTACTTAAGGTCGACATCGAGGTAAGGCAGAATCAACTGGGAGCCAATTAGTATTGAACGTCAAATGGGAGTCCCGATATGATCCATCCACTGCATGCAGCTGCAGTGGACATGCAGATCTCGGAGGGGTGACCAGCTTACCTTTTCCCTGATCTCTTGCCAGATGATACGGGTCATCTAGATTCACGAAGATAATTCGGTAAGCACATGTTTTCGTTCTCGTTAAGACTCCCAGCCTTGCAGGGAGGTCGGGTGAACACATGGAAATATGATGTGTTGCCCGTATTTCCCCGCGTTTTCGAGGCGATAATGCGGCAGCCGAGCACGAGGAAATGCAGGCTTGTGACACCCGACCCGGTTGGAGGCTGGAAGGTTTGAAAGTATAAAAGGAAGCTCATACCTCATCACCGTCCAACTCCACCAAAGGAGTTTGGACCTTGATCTTGGATTCAGAAGCCATAGTGCGAACTTGAGTGGTGTACAACGAAGGGATCGATCCGGACCAGCGGGCAGATGCAACTCGATTAGTGCGGGAGAGAGAAGCGGAAGAGATGGATCGAGTGGTTGAAGAAGTGAAAGAAGAAAGAAGACGAGTAGAAGTGAGAGGGGCGGGAGGGGTCGCAATGGACCGACGAGCGAATGCGGAACTTGTTCGGAGAGCGTTCATCGTGGGATACTTTTGGACAAGGTCAGCACCCAAATTGGCTGTTTCTGTTTGGTTGGAACGGGGCGCAATTCGGCGCAATGGGCTACAGCCGAGGGAATGAAGTTCGGCAGAAGGGAAAGTGTGGAGTCGGGAAGATGGGCGGAGAAACGAAGAGCAGCGGGGGATTGGGGTATGAGGTAACTGACCAGCACTGGCTCGTCGTAGCTAACCGGGGCAAAACGGGAGAGAGTATAAGGCAAATCGGAAAGGGATAATTACCGAACTGGTTCAGGGAGGAAAAAGCCTTGTCCGGGAGAATGGGGAGTTGTTCACTTTAATCGCGTCTCCGCAAAAAGAAGCGCCGAAGCCGGAGTCACGGGATATGGATCGGAGGTAGTATACAGTGTTAGAGAAACAGCAGGAGAGAGAGCTGGGAAGCTCTGAAGGGATCTTTTGCTTTAAATCAATCACTGAGTCATCGGATCTAACCCTTTCTCAGGGTAAATTCTTCTTGTGAAGCTCCATTTGCGACCCGCCATCTGAATTGAACGTTTCCGGAGCTCGGAGCAGTACTCCGCGGCCTTCACCGGCCCTCTATGGGGGGACCGGGAAACACCATGCCGAATTGTACGATTTATCTCGTCGATCTTGATAATCGAATGTGTCATTTTAGTATAACTCAGTCAATTCGTTAAATATCAAAATTATGTCAATGGTTTGTTGAATTTCCCGGTCTAAAGACTCCGTGTAGACGCTATTAAATCTGTATGTGTTGAAGAATCCGAAATCATTGGTATTTACAAGTGCCCCCATCTTAGAAGAGACCATCGATATCGCCGGTCTCGGTGTCAATGTCGACGTTGAAGTAGCCTGGGGCCGTGGGCAATCCGGGGATGGTCTGGATGTCGGCCGCCAACGCGTAGCTAGAGCGAGTTAGTGCCGGACTTAATTAAAAACAAAACAAAACAAAACAAACATGCCCAGCTACATAGAGCCAGGCACAGAGAATAGGAAAACTTACAGATATCCAGCGCCCACCGCCAATCTGACATCCCGAATTGGCACAGTGAAGCCGGTGGGGGCGCCCTTGAGGGCTGCGTCGTGACTGAGCGAGTACTGAGTCTTGGCAATACAGATCGGCAGGTTCGAGAACCCTTGCTTGGTGTAGATATCGACCTTCTTCTGTGCAAGCTCGCTGAACTCCACCTTTTCGGCGCCGTACATGGCCTGGCCGATGCGCTCAATGCGCTCCTGGATAGTACCATCTAGGTTGTAGAGGAGCTTGAAGTCGCTCTCCTTGGAGCTGGCGGTCATGACAGCCTTGGCCAGATCAACGGCACCGGCTCCACCCTCAGCCCAGTGGTTGGCGGGGACCGCATCTTCAGCACCGGCAGCGATGGCCTCCTCCCGGATGACCGCGATTTCGGCCTCGGTGTCGGTCTCGAACTTGTTGATCGCGACCACCACGGGGATACCGTACTGCTTGGCGTTGGCGATGTGCTTGCGGAGGTTGACACAGCCCTTGCGCAGGACATCCACGTTTTCGGTGCGGTAGACCTCGTCGAGAGGGGCACCGGGCTTGATCTCGGGACCGCCTCCGTGAACCTTCAGGGCACGGACAGTAGCCACGATGACGACGGTGTCCGGCGACAGACCAGAGGAGCGGCACTTGATGTTGAAGAAACGCTCACCACCCATGGTGAAGTCGAAGCCGGCCTCGGTGACCACGAACCCAGTCTTGGCTTCGTGGTCCTCGTCGGGCTCGGTACCGGCAAGCTTCAATGCAAGCTTGTCGGCAATCGCAGAGCTGGCTCCGATACTGATGTTGGCGAATGGACCG